ACCCTAACCCTAACCCTAACCCTAACCCTAACCCTAACCCTAACCCTAACCCTAACCCTAACCCTAACCCTAACCCTAACCCTTAAATTTGAAAATTTATTAGAATTTTAAACGATTAGATTCTAATCTTTCCTCCTGAAAACATTAAAAACCATTAAACTTTCTCACATCTAGCCCTAAAACTGTTATAACCCTCCCTGTGCCAAGAATCACAATCTCCTCCATATTTTTCATAACGATTTCTAAGATTATCACAATGATCCTTAGAAGGCTTTCGTACAAATGTTTCTTCCAACAGCTTATCGCATTCATACTCAACATCCCTTCCCATTTCCATGCACGTACGTCCCAAATACAAACACTTCTCTAAGACCGGCTCGCTTCCATTGTGATGTAGATAACATACTTCTCTCAATTTAGTTGTACACGCACTACCCCTTTTCTTATATTTCAATTTTTCTCTACCTAGTGATCCACGCATGTAATGCTCTAACTCTTTAATCGCCGTTCTGTTAAGATAATCTTGGTAACATCTTCCAAAAAGATTCTCACACGGTATTTCAAGCCCCGTTGCATTAAAATACGTCAAAGCTTTACATTTCGCCTCCAATCGTGGACAATCTCTGTGTGTAACCCGTGTTTTTGTTAAATTCACCCACGGAATTGTCTTATTCCCATTAACGAGTCCCCTATCCTCAAGCTCTTGGTATAAAGACGTAAGATGCCCATTCAATGGATCATAAATCTTGTAATCAAATTCCTCACACATCTTCTTCACATTGTTTCCTCTTCCATCCTTCCCGCAAAACCTCTTCAACGTCACTGAAAGACCATTAAAATGCGCACACAGCCCTCCTAAGCTCTCGCATTTTTCTTTGTCAGTCCCTCCTTTGCCAAAAGCCGTTATTAAATACGCTAACAGTAAATACGGATCCCAATTCTCCAACAGTGGAAAATGCCCTCCTAACCTCTGGCCTTCTTTAAAAAGATGATCTGCGTGTGAATATCCCGTATATCCAACCCCTACTAGTCCTGTTTTATTCTTTAATTGTTTTAATAATTCCGTTCGATTTAAACATAACCGTGTAAAATCAAGCCCTTTACCTCCAAACTTATGACACGCTCCTTCAAGCCTGCTGTCATCCGAATCATCATTCTCCTCAAACTCCCGTGAAAGAACTTCCAATGCAAAATCCTTTTGTCCTTGCAGAAAACATTTCATTCTTGTTTTGCTGCATGAAACCGTCACACCATCACTACCACATGCTGTTTCCAGTTGATTACAATCCGACACTTTCTGTAAACACGTGGTGTAATCTATATTTTCTCCATTTTCCAAAATAAGCGAATCACATTCAATTTTAAGTAAGGAAAATAGCCCATGACACGCTCCTTTATAATTCTTGCAAACTTCCTTCAAACCATACCCACCCGACTTAAAAGTCGGATCTAATCCTTTCACGCCATTGCAATAACTCTTCAAATGTTTTTTACAGTCTTTTTCATTCTTTGTATGATTCCCCACGACGTATCCTCCAATAAAAAATGCCTGGGTCATATTGTCTGACTTTGGAAGATCCTTATAAAATTTCTCTGTTACTTTAAAAACAAAATTAATGACCAAAACAAGAAAGGAAAAAGCACTAATTAAATACCTGAAAATACGGTGGTTGCAGACAAAATCAAAGCACATAGGAAACCTAAGAGTCTCATTTCCAAACAGCTGTTGGAATTGAAGACTACTTAAACTGTTACTAAATGATTTTAAAAGGGTCGATGAAAAAAACGACGCTTTTAAAGGATTCAGAAGATATCTGTCAAACGAGTGATGAAAACACGTGTGAGAGTTTAGTAGGAATTCGAACGGAGATATAAATTACAAAACATAAACATAGATAAAAAATACTCTAAAAACATGCATATATTGACGAAGTAGAGAGAAAATATAATCATAAATAAATATATATTTTTACATATCTATTAAATATCTATATAGATCTAAATACACGTAAATAAAAAAGAGTTAAATAATATAGTTTAATACAACTAAGTATAGATAATTAATACAATATATAAAAAATTGAACTGTACTGACCACATTAATTAAAAACAAATAATAAATATACAACTACAGTAAATAAAAGCTACAAATGAGTTCAAACGAGCTCAAACAAACCTATTTGAAATCATTTGAGTAACTAAATGCATAATAAACCGCTCTTGACATTAGAAAATATATACAATAAACTAAATAAAATCTTAGTTCAATCCTAATTTTAATAAGATAAACAGATACAATATAATATTATAATATATAAATTATATGTTATAAATTACATGTCAACTCCAATATTTCAAACAAATTAAAGTCAAAAACAACTCAAAATAATGCATTCCTTAAACCATAAAAATTTATATTCCTGCAACATCCTAGTTAACAACATCCTAGTCAAATTTAACACATAAATGTACAACTTTATACGAATTTGAAGCAAATTCCAAAACAAACAAAACATGAAATATACAAACTAACAGACAAATTACATAAAACCCATGTACAAAAATCCTTTTATTCCAAATGAATCCTAAATGGATTCCACGAGATTCTATGAAACTCTAAATAATCTCCAACAGATAACCCATGAATTAATCTTTCCAGGAATCTTTGCACTAATCTCGATAAGCATCCCATAAACCAGTCATAGATTAGTCTCTAGATAAAATTCCCAGGCAAAAGTCACTAACACTTCAAACACTCCTAATAACCTAACAGTTCTGATAGTCTTTAAGACAGAAATTCTTGCATTATATAACAATTTACAATAATTTACAATACAAATACTATTTTTTACTATATAAATTCCATTTCATTATCCTTTCCAACTCTACCATTTCTCCGGACAACTGGGTTTTTAAGACTTCACAGTAAGCGATGCTCGAAATCATAAAATACTCAAAATATTTTTTATTTCTCATCCTTTTACAAAAATATACAAAACTAATCTAAAAAATAAGTTTATAATCTATTTGGCTCTTGCACTAGATAATCCTTTCTATTATTTAACTTCTATATAATTTCTATATAATTTTTATAATTTTTACATTATACAACTCTTACAGTAGAGTATTCTTATAACACAATCTTTACAATACAAAACTTTTACAGTATATAACTTTTATATTACTCAACTTCTATACCGCTTAATATCTATATTACCTAATTTCAAACCCAATATTTAACTTTTGTAACATGCAATTTTTAAAATACTTAATTTCGATACTCAAAGTACATACTTTTCAACCAAATGTTTAAATATAAAAATAGTCAAGTTTCCTATTATAATATCCTTTTTAAAATAATGAATCAAGATATTTCATTAAAAAACTCAAAATTATCCAATCATTTTAAACATTTATTTTAATTTATTTTAAATATTCATTTTAAACATTCTTGTTAGTATATAAAGTTTAGAAATAATTATACATATAAAAAAAAATTTTGAATAAATTAAAATCAAAAACTAGATGCAAAATATAACTTAAAATATAAATTAATTTTAAACAAGTTAAATGAGATGTATAAGCAAAATATAAAAGAATAAATCAAAACAATATCTATATACCTATATATTTTTTTAAGATGCTTGAGACAAAGGTCTTATAGATTGGGTTCATGGTGTAGTTGGTTATCACACACGCTTTGCATTTATAAGATTGCGTGGGGTCCGGGGTTCGATTCCCCGTGGATCCAGCTTTTTTGAAAATCAAAATATTAAATTTGTTTATCAAAAAATAAATAGAAATGAAATCATAAATTTTAATATTTCAAAATACTTAGATATAAATCTATTCTTCAAATAAAAAGTTAGACTGGCTTATCATATATTATCAAATGAAATAAAACTTAGTATACCACTTTTAATAATAAAGAGACAATTAAGAGAATATAAAAACTTAGGATTTCATTACATTTTCATTATATCTATAATTTGCATTTTTTATTGCAATTACAAAAAGTTACAATTTAATATAGTATTAAATTTATAGTTAATTATATATACTAATATTTATAACTATAATTTTTTACAACAAAATTAACAATAAAAAATTAACTAATTTCATTATTCCAGTAAATTTCATGAAATATTTTATTCTTTTCTACTAGAAAGGATTATATTTTTTTAATAAAAAAAATTGACAAAATGAATACAATAATAATTATATTTTTTATTTCTTTAATTGAAAGTAGAATCATCTTTTTAGAAAAAAAACTCTTTTAAAAGATTTATAAAGTCGTAAAAAGTTAATATAAAACTTATAGAACTTATTTATTTATAAAATTAATACAGTTTTAAATGATCAAAAACCAAAAAAGTAATTAACTTTCGAATTTCGTTACAATAAAAACATTTTAACAATCATAATTTTTTATAATTAGTCTTAGACTTAATATATAAAATATTTTTTCATAAACTTAAATATTAATATTTTATTCAAAACTATAATAATTTATATTTCAAAAACATAAATAATATATTTAAAATGGTTTAAAGAAATAGTAATCCATTTTTCATATGAATTTAAATTATTAACATTCTAATAATTTAAAATTTAATATTTTTTATATTAAATTATACTAAAAACTTCAAAAATTCACCATATTATTTTTATATTTGTTAAATTTAATAAACTACAAATTCAAACCATTTTCAGTTTTAGTTTTTTTTTTTTGAAATCTAGTAACTTTTAGACTAGTATTTTTTCTTTAGATTCACTCGTTTTAAAATATTTATTTTATTTTTAAAAATGAGCTGCATTCTTCAAATTACTTAAACTATATTAGAATTCAAAAGTATACCAACTTGAAAACTGCGTCGACGGGGAATCGAACCCCGTTCTTGTGCTTGGAAGGCACAAATCATAACCACTAGACCATCGACGCTTTCTTAGGAGGGCACAGAATATATATTAAATATTTATCAATTGAGAATAAAATAATTGTTTTAAATTAACTATAACGTTAAAATATAAGTCAAGTTCCAACTGTTTTTTATTTAAAAAATGATAATTTAAATATATAAATATTAAAAAATTCTAAAAATTTAAAAGTTTATTAATTTGTGATAATTAAATTATAATTTTTAAATAAAAAAAACTATTCATTACTAAATTTAAAATTAATATTGAAAAATATATTTTATTCATATTAAAATTCATTCAATGATAATAACTTTTATAATTTTACTTTATAAATTTAATATATTTAAAAAATCAATTTATATTATTTTATTAAATAATTTAATAATATTTTTTACATTCAAATGATACAATAAACCAAATATTTAATTAATCTATAATAGCTAGACAACCCTATCCAAAACTATTCAAAATCGCTGAAATGATTTGTTTTACACTAAATATTTTATTGAAAAAATCTTTTTTTAATTTCATAAAGTATTAACTTTTTTTCAAAAAATGTATTATTAAGAGTATTTTTTAATATATTAAAAGCTTTGAAAATTAATTATATAATTAGAAATTTTATAAATATAAACTTTTAAATAGATCTTTCGAAACTGTATTTTAAAATTTACGGTCTTTACAAAAAACTTTACCTCAAAAATTTAATATAAATAAAAATCCAAAAATCTAAAATCTCTTTCAATAAACTTTTAATGATTTGTACAAATTTATATTGAATTAAAAAAATATTAATGATTAAAGTCAACATTTCAAAAACTATTAACAAGATAATTTAGAAATATGAAATCAAATGAATCAATAAAAGGTCATTCATTAACATTATCAGAAGATGATCCAGTTATGAAAACCTATAATATTTATACTACATCTTCTCTTAATGATTATCTTTATCTTTTTCAATATCCTATACGACCTTCAATACAACCTTATACAGAAGAATCATTTAGCAAACCATTAGAATTACGAATCAAACCTAAATCAGGCCTTGTTGAAGTGGATGTGCCAATATATACACAACAATATTACAATAAAGAACGCGGTATTGAATTTTCTAAAAACCTAGAAAATGATCCTACCAAAAACAAATCTCCTATACTTGATTTTCAAACTCTTAATTCAAAAATAAGTCCTTGTCGCAATTATTACATGGTTGGAATTATTCGTGGAGGTTTTTCTTTTCTATAATTATAAATGACTAAATACTTAGAATGATAATAGATGAACTTCATCTTTCACCAGTAAACTATACTCTTCAGCTTAGACCAAGTTTTAAACACTTGAATAGCCTTTCCGTTAAAGAAGTCCCTGTAACAGGTTCCCTGTCAAATCTCAAATCTACTAGAGCAGTACAAACTTCTGCAAAATCCCCAGAGTATTCACAAACACTAACACTTTCTACTACTCATATTCTTCGTTCTATTGAGAGCGAGCCGTGGACAAAACTTACTTGGATAGATTCTTCGTCGACAATGAGTAAAAAGATATTTGAGCATCTTTATTCTAATGATATAAATGTTTTTATACAAAAATACGACTCTAAAGAAAATTATCTTAAAAGTATATCAATTGCAAAGTCAAATCATGTAGAAAATGATACTAAAAGGGAATCTTAAGAGTAAATTTACATGTCTTTTCGATAATTTTTTATAAAGTATCAAAAATAAAAAAAAATTAACAAATTTCCCATAATGATACCTTCCCGTCTTTTCCACCTGCTGCTAACCAATGCTTTTCTGATCGTTCTAGTTGTTTGTTTTTTTCAAATGATCCTAGTATCTTGTAATGTTTAGGGATTATTTCTGAAAAAGCAATAGAATAACATCCAGTCTCATGCCATTTACATACAGCTAATTGAGAGAGCGTATTACACGAATATACTCTAACCTTACCATCCCAACCAGCAGTTGCAAATATTTTAGCATCAGAACGAATCCTAAGAGATTGTTGTCCAACATGTCGTGTTTTAAATTTTAGTATATTATCCGAATCTGAATCAAGATAATATTTTACAACAAATGAATCACTACCAGATGAAATAAGAAATTCATAATGTGGATCACAATGTATCGATAAAACTAATAAATTAAAAAAGCGATTTAATTCTTTTTTTACCTGGTTCTGTATGCACTTTAAATAAATATTTAGTTTCCCATACTTGATGAACTGGAGAAAACAGAAAAACACCTACATGCCCACTCTCAAAACCAGCAGAAATTTCTAAAGTCTTGTAAGACAATTTTTGTCGATAATATATACAAAGACTCATTATTATTCCTTTTTTTATTTATTTTAGAAATAAAAAAAAGTAAACTAACCAGTGGTTTCTTTAGTAGAACCTATTTCAGAATATACCAACTGACAATTGGGCAAAACATAAATATCTATCTATATAGTTATTTAATATATTTTTAAAATAAATAATTTTAAAACCAATTCATTTTTATTTGAATTAGGAACAGCCATAAAAATTTCATCCTTTACATCATCTTCTAATTTTTTTAATACTATTTTGTAACCTTACAAAATTACCTTTATCACATACAGAAAAAGAACAATAATTTAAAGAATTAATATTAAGACTATAAACCATCCATGGTTTTTTTTGATATTCTTCTTTTTGGTCAATTGGAAGGTATATTTCTAAACCCTCTTCATATTCAAACTCAAGCTGCCAAATATATATTTTATTATCTCTTCCATGTCTAATTATATTTTAAAAATTTAATAAAAAAAATAAAAAAACTTTACGTAATAAAATAATTATCATTCCAATAATGACAAGTAAGTACTGAGTCTAAGTGTGCTCTCCAAACTATAATTGGCCTCCTAGTAAAAACATTCCAAATTATAACCCAACCATTAGCATCACTAATATTAAAAACATCATTTAAAATCGCTAATGAATTTACCAAGTTGCAAGATTTTTATTTTTTTTAAAAAAATGAATATAACTAATTTGTACCTCATGTCCTCTAAAGATATAAAGTGGACGTGGAATATTATTCATAAATAATATGCTCAGAATTACTTTTTTATAAGTATAATTATAATTTGACAATTTAAAGCACCTTAAAACCGGAAAAACATGAACTAAAAATTATTTATAAAGCACTATCTTAAATGTTCTGTAATTGAAAAATATAAAGCAATTTTCTAATACCTTTTTTATTGTTTAAAAAATATGGCATATGTTGTAAGCGCACATAAAGCATCTTCAGTAAAATATGCAGTAAAATCATATTTTTTAGAGCCAGAAAATCCATCTTTAGTAATTGCGTAAGCTTTAAAAGTTATTTAATACAAAAATTAATGAATTATTACATAGTAAAAGTAATAGAATTGAAATATATACGCTTTCAACTCAGGGATTAAAGCATGCTCATGAATTTACAATAAATGGAAAAGTATCTGCAATCTTATCCTATAAACCCCATATTGGCTCGGATACTGATCACCTTTTTATTGTCACAGAAGAATGTGTATATTTTACTTTGAGTTGGGATAGAATCAAAAATAGATTATGTAATGAAATACTAATTAAAGACGTTTTTGATCCATCATTAAGAACAACAGACTGTGGTCACTTATCTATTATTGACCCGGATTATCGTGCAATAGCGTTGTATTTATATCAAGGACTTATTACCATTATTAAAATTAAAACAGGAAGATATCAAAAAAATAGTAATGGAACCAAGAATAAAACTACGAATGAAGTATTTAATCTAAGGTTAATGGAATTAAATGTTATAACAATAACTTTTCTTTTTGGTTGTTCAAGACCAACTATTGCAGTTCTTTACCAAGATAGTAAATATGCAAAACATCTTAGTTCCTATGAAATAATAGTACAATCAAGGGAAAAGCGTATGAAAGAAGGCCCTTTAAAGAGCAGAGATTTAGATATTGGATCATCACTACTTATACCACTGTTAGATAGTAAATTATTCAAATATTTTTATTTTAAACTGATTTGTAATAGGCGGAATAATTATAGTTGGTGAACAAACACTAATGTATATTCATCCAAATTCAGAAATTAAATCAAAATTCATTATCCCAATTCCTACTGTATTTTCTTCTTATACAACGATTAACAATAATAAACATATTCTTGCAGATGATTATGGGCGTATATTTATGCTGACACTTTCAAATTCATATAAAGATTCTAATTTCATGAAAATTTCTCAAATAGGCATTACCAGTATCGCTTCTGTTCTTGTATATCTTCCAAATTCTTACTTATTTATTGGATCACATTATGGTGACTCTCAATTAGTAAACATTCCTGATTGCTTAGTTTTACAATCATTTCCTAATATTTCTCCCATATCGGACTTTTGTTTTGTCACTAGAGAAGGAAGAAATGAATTTATTGTAACATGTAGTGGGGCTTATAAAGATGGAAGTTTAAGAATTCTTCGTTATAATGTCGAAATGAATAAAACATTAGAGATTTCTAATCTAAATGGTATATATGGAATATGGGGACTTTATCTTCAAAATGAATTGTGAGTCATTTTTTATACATAACATAATATTAAAATGAGGAAGCGAATATACAGCGCTAGTTTTGTCTTTTGTAAATGAAACACGAATACTCAAAGTTTTTCATAATATTTTAAATGAACCAGAAATAGAAGAATGGGATAATTTCGCTATTCCTAATGCAAAATTACCAACATTAGTAGCAAAAAATGTCAATAATAATTTATTTTGCTTTATTTCAAACAAATCAATATGTTTAATTGACTGGAAAAGCAATTTAGTATTAAAAGAATGGATACCAACAGCAGATGACATAATTACATGTGCTTGTTTAGATACAGAATTCGCTTCTGTAAGTTTAACCAAAGGGAAAATAGTTGTATTTAGTTTAAAAAACATGACTATTGTAGAAATAGGGTAAATTAATCTTTTAGAATATTTATAATACTAATATTATATTAAAGAGAATACAAATTCAACTATGAAGTTTCTTGTATTGATATATCAAATAATGCGTTGATTTCTGTTGGCCTCTGGATAGTTCCATCAATACATATTCTTTCTATTCCCTCAATGGAATTACTTTTGTCACATAGTCTTTTAGGAACAGTTATTCCTAGATCAATTTGCATAGTATCATTAGCTAGTATGAATAAACCAGTTATTTTAGTTGGTATGGGTGATGGAACTCTTCTTTCCTACGGTTTAGATGGTTTGGACAAAGGTATTTTAATAGATCAAAAAACTACTACTATAGGGACATTACCAATAAATTTATCAAAGTTTATAACTCCAATTGGGATGAATGTATTTGCAATTAGTGATCGTTCTATAATTATATATGGTAGTTCAGGAAAACTATCTTTTTCATCAATAAATTTAAAAGTATGATAAAATATTTAAAATTGAGAATTAATAGTACTCTAGGAAATTAATTGTATGAGTTCTTTTATATCTAGTATATTTTCATCAACTATTGTTGTTGTTTCTGAAAATATTATTAAAATTGGATCAATAGACTCTTTACAGCAACTTCAAATACAAACAATTCCACTTGGAGAGCTTCCAAGACGAATTTGTTATCACGATAAACAAAAAGTATTTGGTGTTTTAACTATAAAATTATCTCTTGAAGCATCAAACGGAAATGAAGTTCAAACTAGCTATTTAAAAATTTTAGATGTTACTAGTTTTGATGGTAGTATATATATTAATTATATTATTCTAAAAATATCTAGTTTTAGATTCTTTCCAGCTAGAACTAAATGAATGTGTACAATGTATAACAAGTGTTACTATAGATAATCAAGACATATTTGTAGTTGGAACTGGATTTTCATTACCAGAAGAAGAAGAAAGTTCAAAAGGAAGAATCATTTTATTCGGAGTTACTAATAAAAAAATATGGGTATTTTCAGAAATTCAAGTAAATGATGCAGTATATTGTATAGGAATAATTGACAATAAAATCATAGCAGGAATAAATGCTTTGGTTTGTAATTAATGACATGTATCATAATTATTTAATTATTGTTTTAGGTACATATATATGCATACGACAGTTCTTTGAAAAATTTTAATGTTATTGCAACATATAGATCAACTACTCTTTGCTTATCACTAGCCGTTCATGGAACGTATGTTATAATTGGTGATCTTATGAAATCTGTATCTTTACTTGCTTTCATTAATACTGAAAATGGACCTAGATTGAAAGAAGTAGCTAAAGATTGTAACCCATTATGGATGACTTGTGTTGCTGCATTAGACAATGATCTTTATATAGGTGCAGAAGCAGAAGGAAATTTATCTTTATTTTGGAAAGATTTTAATACTACTTTTGAAGAAAATAAATTACAAATAATATCAGAAATTAAGTGGGGTGAATTGGTAAATCAAATTAAACCAGGTTAATATTTTTTCAATATTAATAAAATTAAATAATGTTAGGCACAATTTTATATTCAGAAAATTCAATAATAATACCAAAAGCTACATTTGTAACAGTAGATGGTTCTATTGGGATTATTTTTACAGTTAAACGTGAATATCTAGAATTTCTTGTTAATTTACAATCTAATATGGGAAAAATTATAAGCGGAATTGGATGCTTAAATCATTCAAAGTAAAAAACATACATTTATATATTTATGTTGATATTTCACAGTTGGCGTGCATTCTGTAATAGAAGAAAAAAGTCAAATGAACCTAAATGTTTTATAGATGGAGATTTTGTTGAAATTTTTATTAACTTGGATGATGATATTAAACAAAAAGTAATTGATGGTGTTGATGGTGGTATTCCACTGTTGTTGACAGTTAAAGAAGTGAATGAAATCATAGAAAATTTTATTAAGTTTCACTAAATTTAAAAATAATATTTATTAAATATATTTAAAATATTTTAAAATTTACAAAACAAATTATATTTAGTTTCCATTTTTCATAAAATTATTTTAATTTGATTTTTTTATTAAGATATTTTCTGTAGTATTTATTTTTTTGTTTTATTTGGAATTATATTTTATATATTATAAAAATAAAGAAAATTGAAATACAATATTATTTAAATTAATATAGATTTATTTAATAGAATTTATTTTTAAAAAACATAAGAGAATGATCAAAAACAAATCATGATTTTTTATAAAAAGGTTTTAATAAATTTAAAATTTAAAAAAAATTTTAAAAATTATTATTAAATTTTTCAAAGTAAAAAAAAATATTTTCCTATTAATTATAATAAAATATAAATGTGTTATTTTCGATAATTAAAGTTTGTATTTTTTTAAAATACATAAATTATATTTAAAATCTAGTTTTTTAAATATAATATATATTTCGTATTCTATTTAATATAATCCATTAGGCATGATAATATTAAATTCTTTTATAATTTTTAAACAATCTTTAATGAGCTAAAATTGAAATAAAATATTAATATTTTTTATTTTAATTTCAAATCTATAAACTAAAATAATGAATGTAAAACCAAATTACCATTCATAAATTAAAGTAAATTTCTAATAATTTAATAAAAATCTATAAAATAGAATTGAAATCAGGGGAAATTATAAAATAATTCATATTATTTTAAATATATAATCTACAATTATTTTTTCTATATAAATATATAACGTTACTAAATTATAGATCTAGACTTTTAAAAATGGAAACCTATATATAGAATTTTTATATAGCAATATGTACCCAATATTATTTTCTTATATAAATGTTTATATTAATTTCTCAATAATTAAAGATAAAGTTTTATTAACTCTTCACTTACTCCATTAGGATCTAAAATCCCCAAGTCAGTAATAAGTGCATCAATATATTCTGGAGCAGTAAAATCAAGGATAGGATTATTACAAATTTCATCTTCTGTCATTTTTAATTCATTAATACGATGAATACTAAGTGAAGATTGTCGTGAATTTAATTTTGGAACAGAAGGAAATTTTTGATTTAAAAACTGTAGAATAGGAGTAGGTGTAGGTAGATCATATTGAGAAAGAAGAAACATTCGAACAAACTTATGACTTTCAGCAACAGCATAAAAAGGCTTATTCGCTATTTTTGCGAGAGTCGCTATTTGAGAAGTCCCAATCTTTAAAATTAATATAATAAAATATATAAAAATAAACATACATGATTAATAAGACCGCCATTTTCCACTATACCTTCAGCACCAACCAAAACAAGATCTATTTTTTGAATAAGATATCCAACAGCAGAATCAAGTACTATTGCAGTTGGAATTCCTGCTTCTGATAAAATACGAGAAGTTATAATCCCAGAACCTGTAGGACGAGATTCTGTAATATACACACTAAATCTTATATTCTTTGAAGCAGCTTCCAAAAGTAGCGCATTTACATTTCTTGAATATGAATGAACCAATATTACCTATTTTAAAATAAAATATGCAAAAAAAAAAAAAAACTTACTATACCATCTCTAATAAATTTAACACCAATAGAAGCAATTTTATCGCGAGATTTTCTAGCTCTTTCTACAAATAATTTTCCATTAGACACAAGGTGATGTTTACATGATTCAACGTCCTATAATAAATAAGTTTTTGTAACGAAAGATCAGATCTATTATAACAGCATCATTAAGAGAACGTGTCACAAATCTGAGAAACAAATCACAGCCAGCAGAAACAGAAATATAATTTGCAACAGATGATTTTAAAATTAATGAACCCTCTTGTAAAATCTTTGTAAATTCAGAAAGCGTATTAGCTAATTAATTATTATTTATTTGCCAATAAAACTTTAAATTATACCTTTTGTATGACGAACTAAATCTACCAATGCTTGTATTGCGGCGATAGGCATTGTAATATTCTAAAATCATAAATTTTTCTATTATAATATTATTTTAACATACAGGATCTTCCTCTAAAATAGTCTCATATCTCTCAACAATATCAAATTTATTATCATATGATTTTTTGTAAATTTCACCATTGTTAGTTGATATATTTTGATTAGAAATTAATGACTCAGTATGATCCATAAAACCTATTATAAATGTTAGATTTACTTTTCAAATAAACTGTGTTTTATATAATTAAAAGTTATAAAAGATGTATAAATATTTTTTAAAAAAATTTAAAATATTTATAATTATACAATTTTTATTAGAAAATTTGATTTTAAAATTTATATATTTAAATAATTTAAAATCTAAATAAGTTTAAAATTTTATTATAAAAATATTAAAATAATATTATATTAATTTATATTATATTATATAGATAAAATGACAGAGTGTAATTTGAACTATATTTTTGTAAAATTTGAAAAACATATTTAAAACTTTAAAAACATTATAACTTTTTATAATGAAAAATACAAATATATTAGCAATATTATTGATTTAAAATTTAAAAGCAAAACTTTTAATATTAAAGTGTATAAAAAAATTCTAAAAAATTATTTAATATTATATAAAAAAATTGTAAAATAATAAACCAAGTTATAAGTATTAATATATACTTCATTATCTTATTTATACTAGTTAAAAAGTAAAAATGAATTACAAATTTAATATAAAATACATTAACTCAATATATGAAAACTAATAATATATTTTAAAATTCTGTTTTTTTAAAAAAAAAGATCAAAAAGCTCTAAAAAGAAAAAAATATTTTAATATTATATTAAATAATCTAAATATCTTTGTTAAGATATTTATTTTAATAAAATTTTATTTCGCAAGATCGTTAAAACTTAAATATAATTTCTTTTATAAATTATAAAGTTGATTTAGTTACTTAAATAGCTTGAAATAGATCTTGAAGATAGATTCTACAAGCTGAATTTTGATTATATAAACTACTTTTTTTTAAAAAAAGCAAAGTTATATAATTGAATTTTTAAAATTAGTATTCTAAGATTAAGGAAACGGAACTTTAAGTGTTTTATACTATGTTCAAAGTAAATCACTTATAAAAATATGGCTATTTTTAGACTATGTTAACAATTATTAGACTGGGGTTGTAAGAGAATATAAAATAGTTGTAGTTGGAGGTGGTGGTGTTGGAAAATCCGCACTTACCATTCAATTGATCCAAAGTCACTTTGTTGATGAATATGATCCAACAATAGAAGGTGTTTTTTTAATTTTTTACTATTTATGATATTAAATTCTTTTAGATTCATATAGAAAGCAATGCGTGATTGACGATGAAATAGCACTTCTTGATATTCTTGATACAGCAGGGCAAGAGGAGTATTCCGCTATGAGGGAACAATATATGAGAACAGGAGAGGGTTTCCTTTTAGTCTATAGTATTTGTAATAGAAACTCTTTTGAGGAAATTATAACATTTCAACAACAGATTTTAAGAGTTAAAGATAAAGACAATTTTCCTATGATTATTGTTGCAAATAAATGTGATTTAGAAAATGAACGGCATGTAAGTCAATATGGTTAGTATTGTATTTATTTAGTTTTTATATTTACTTAATTTTAAGAGGGTAGAGAATTAGCAAAATATTTTCGGTGTCGTTTTATTGAAACATCAGCAAAGCAAGGTATAAATGTAGAGGAGGCATTTTATACTCTAGTACGAGAGATTAGAAAGTATAATAAAGATAATTCATCTAAAAAAGCTTCAAATATATCACGTCGCTATCAAATGGATATAAGTAGAAAAAATAAAAATATAACTTGTTGCAATTGTGTGGTAATGTAAAATTTATAATGTATATAGACTGAAACACTTGCCACAATATTTTTATTAGTAAATTTATGGTTGATAGTTTTTAAAAAAAAAAAAAAAACATTATTTACTAATATTCTACTATTTAAAATTCTATACAATATATTTTTAAAAATATATACTTTTTTTGTAAATAGGAATATTATGTTAGAATAATTTCGATTTATAAAGTCAAATTAGGTGTTAAATATTTAAATTATTTAAGATTTTAATTATAAATGTTAAATGTATAATTTAATATTTCTAAATCTACATATATTTATAATTAAAAATTTACAAAAAATATTTTTCATTTAATAATTTAAATAAAATATTCTAGTAAAATATTTTTAATAATATTGTATAAATTAAAATAAGCTCAAGATACAATTTGTCTAAAATTTTTCAAAATCTTAGATTTTTTTATTTAACAATTAATAAAAAATACATTACTAAATGAAATCACATAGTTAATGATATTCATATTTAAAATATCAAATTTCTTAGCTATTTTATTTATAATAAATTAATTCAAGTAATAAAAAACATAATATATTCATAACGTGATTTAAAAATTAAACGATAAAAATATAATTTAAGGCAACTAAAAAAGTTTCTTAAAAATTAAAAATGTTTGAATCTGGAAGTATATTTAAAATAGTTAACATTTTAACAGCAATAATTATGGTGAATATTCATTTTAAAATTATATTTTTTAAAAGTTATACTTATTAAACTTAGATTTTAGGTGGCATATCACAATTTTTTCCACTTGGATTTAAAAATATTATAATTGGAATATACGTAATAATGTTTGGCATATTTACAGCTATTTTGGAATTCTTTATTCCTCCAGAAACTGCCAAATATTGTTCTTTTTGTATAATTTTTATATAAATCTATTAATTATTAATTATTAATTATTACTTAGTTTTCTCATTTTTAGGACGAGGAATATGTAAGTTTCACCCAAAATTTATACAATTATTAATAATAACTAACTTTTTATAGTTTATATTTTGTTTGATATCTTTTATATATTGATACCCAATATTAAACATTTTATAGCGTTGGTAGTCTTCTCTTAGATAATTCAGCTCTTCGAATACTTTCAGGGGCTATTATAATAATTATTGGAATAATATATTTTATTTTAGAATTTGCGTCCAAGTATTTTTTTTTAATTTTAAATATTTTATTAATACATTTAGTGTTGTACCTCCAGATAATATGAGAGAACCTACAGTGGAAGATAGAGGACATATTTAAATAATCTATTTCAATATTCCGTACTAATATATGCTATTAATAACTTATTAACATAATTATTTAATTTATCAGGACTTCAATTTGACGTTTTGTTCTATTACTTTTTTATTATTTTAAACTTTAGAAAGTCAAGATCTATTGCTAAAAAGATTTCTTCTATTAATTTGCATTAAAATTTCCATATATATTATTTAATTTTTACAATATATATCTAGAAAATCTTTAAATTTTCATATTAAAAACATAAATGTTTAATATAAAACTATATTATATCTTAATTTTTAAAGACAAAGACTTATTACAAAGTATTGGTAAAGATATTTGCCATAAAGTATTGATATTATTAAATAATATTAATCTGGTATTGTAATTTATATAATTATTACAAACTATTTAGAAATGAATAATTATAAAATAATATCCCTATGGCCTGAAAATTATAAATAAATTTAAATTTCACAAAATGCTTATATTATTACATAACTTTTCCTTTACATTCTCCTTCAAGAACTTCTCTCACAAATACTTTGTTATATAAATTAGCTTTCTGATCTATACTTTCGTAATCACAGCTTGTTCCTATAGCCATAAATTTTCCATCATTACTAAATGCTAAGGAAGAAATAGCAGCTGGATATTTTGGATATTGTCTTAATCTTTTTTTAGCTACACCATCCCATAATGCAACAACCCCATCACCACCGCCTGAAATAAAAGTTCCATATCTTAGATTTATTAGCTAAATTATAACTTTTAAAATACTAACATTGGATGAAATGCTAATGCATTTACCGGATAAACATTATCAATACCATCTAAGTTTTGTCTATGACATTTAAAAGCATATTTTTTAGCCTGAGATTCAGGAGATGGATCAAAAAATTCTACAGAAATACGTCCTTCAATAGAAGATGTTACATATCCTTAAAAATTAATTAAATATATAATTTCTACAACTTACCTTGTTCATTAGGAATACATTTAACAACTCTTGTCATAAATTTTAAACTACTTTCTCTTTGCTGCATAGGTTCATTCATATTTCGTAAATCATAAATATACACAATTCTATTAGCCATAGCGACTACTAATTTATAGTTGATAGAGTCCATACTAAAAATTTTTTGTGGTTGCTTATAAACAGAAAGAGAAGCATTCTTTAATCTGAAATCCCATTGTCTAATAGTTTTGTCCCATGATCCTGTTATTAATGAGTCTATATATAATAAGTTTTCAATTTATAAAATCATAAACATATAACTCAAATTTCTATTAAATAACACAGATTTAACAGCATCATCATGAATGCCTAGTACTGAAACAGTTGAAGCAAAGAGATCAAATCTAAAAAAATAAATATCAATAATAATATTAAATGTTAACATACTTACGAACTCTTCGATCTAATCCTCCACTATACAAATGTACTTCACTACTAAAACAACAATCCAATACAGGTGCTTTATGCTCAAAGCTAAATAAGATTCTATCTTGATCACTTATGGTATTATTATCGGATATTATAGATGTAATATCAAATAATTTTAAAGTTCTGTCCCATGATGTTATAGCTAAATGCATTGATGTAAAAGGAGAAAATTGAAGAGAAGAAACACCATCTAAGGGACAAGGAGTAATCTCCCATTGATTATGCTTATTCATTATATAATTAATAAATGAGAATTTAATCTTTACGATTTAAAGGATCAAAATAATCATTAAATTATATAATTTAAAATATTCATTAAATATGCAGTAGAGAAAATATTATTTATACTATAAAAAAGTACATAAAAATAAACTGATTTCATATTTAAACTTTTTACTTCATGTTATGATTTTCATACAAATAATTTTTAAACGATTGATTTTAATTTATAAAATTTTTAATATGTTCATATTTTTTCATTAATATAAATATAAAAAATCTCTTGTTGCATCTCAGAACTCATCTATAATTTAAGGTGAGTAAAATACCATTTCATTATTATATACTTTAATAATAAAATGAGAAAAATATTTTTATAAATATAAATTTATCTATTTTATTTATACAATTCTAATAATTTTAAAGTCTAGTTATTTTTTTTTAATAAAAATTCTTTACATATATATATATATATATATATTATATTTTAATTTATAAATTATATAAATTTCCGTTTAACTATATTTAAAACTTTAAACTCTTTTGATATAAAAGAATACGTTAAATATTTTAGGAAATACTTTATACTTCTATTAATTATTATAAAAGCGTCATAATTTTAATATTTTTATTGATATCAAAAGAAAAAATTTATTTAATTTTATTTGAAAAATTACAAGTTGCAATCAATATTTGTAGAATTTACAAATTTTTGTGTTAAAAGAATTGTTAAATATTTTATCGTAAATAAGGTTCTTATAAAATTATATTAAAGAATGCAAAAAAATAAATGATCTCTAAAAGTTCAACGTCAAATAATTTTACTTTGAAAAAAGTATAATTTAGAAACTAAATATCTCAAAGATTATTGAATAGTGTTTAGTAAAAAAATGTGTATTTACTTTAATATTTTAATTATTATTAATTCATATACAGTAATAGACATATTTACAAATGTTATAAGCTATTTTTCAAAACCTCTTTAGTAAATTGCATTCTATTTTCTAATAATATGTATGTGTATAAAATTGTGTTAAATTTTCTTTTACATTTCTCAAAAAAACAATAACAATAAATCTTTTATCAATATTAGATATTTTAAATTATTTAACAAAACGAAGAATATATATATTTTAAATAAAAAAAACATAGCTATTAAATGCTATAGCCTATATCTGTATTTTTAAAAATAATAAATTTAATTTATAAAAGTATCAAAATAACTTTTATAAATCTTAATAAATGAATTTTTTTTATTTTAAAGCAACAAAACGTTATTAATAATGTATTTGATTCAATTTAAATTTACAATTATTCCATATATTTTACAAGATATTAAATTTTACAATAATAATTAGAATCAAAAAAACATACAAAAGTTATACATTTTAAATTACTATAAGAAAATATCAAAGTATAAATCCTTATAATATTAATAATTGATAGAATAAATTTAAATAAAGAAAAACATGAATCCTAGTAAATTAAATATTTAAGCAATTTTTTCTAAGAAAAATATTTTATAAATCAAAATATTCTATTAAAATATATAAAATAGAATAATTATTATAATGACAAGATATTATTCCTAATAAAATTATAATCTTCTATACAAATAATCTTGATTAGATATTTTAATCATACGCAAAAGTATTTAATTTTTTTAAAAGTATAAAGCATATTTAAAAAATTACTAAAATCATAATATAAATCAATTATATATTATTATCCTAAATAGTAATTGAAATATACCTCTAATATTATTGTTCTTTTTCAAGAAAACTTGGATCTATTGATAATTTTGAAAAAAACTTGGAATACCAATCTTGAAAAGCCTTTTAATATTAAAATAATTAAATAATTATTTGTATATAGATACCTTTAGCGGAATATAAGTATTATCTATTTGTATATTACTAAGTAACATTGAGCCCTGAGGAAGTTGAGAAGTTGCAAATCCAACAATAAAATTATATAAATTTGTCATAATTTTTTGCAAAGTAATTTGAACAGATGGCATTGATAATGAAACTTCTTTAGATTTTTCCAATTTTTTCTGGTTTTCTTGAATTGTAGACAAAGATGAGAGCTGCTGTTCTATAGATAATAAAGGTTCAATACTAATACCAAGGACAGCAGAAATAGATAAAGATTCTAAAGAATCTGACATTTCATCTGTTTCAGAGTTTGCATTATTTGCATTTGATGTATTTTTAAGTCGAAAAATTGCAGACGGTTTTTTATTTGAAAGTCTTAAAAACTTAATTCACAAATAAATTAAATCGCATTATACCCTCCTAAAAGTTGAAAAGATTTCCCAGAATACTGAAAATGTACAGTTGCTCCAAAATTATCATGAAAAGACTCTACGAGGCTTTAAAACCAAACATTGAAACATTAACTTACTATCCGGGAGTAAAAATATAACTATATGATTAATAGTTAATGCATTTTCCAGAACAAATATAAACTTGTTATTTTCAATCTAATGCATTAAAAAATAAAAAACAATATATCAAAAATATACCTGTTGAACATTAGTCTGAACTAAACAAGTTTTATCAGCTTATGTATAAATTCATATATCTCTTACTTGGTCGACCTATTCATTAGAAAAAGATAAATTTAACTATTATCAAGACCTGCACAAATAACTCCAAACATTTCAAATATTTTTTTGATCACTATTTTTTATATATTTCAATAATTTTAAATCAATAGGTGTAGTCGATTAATCGACATTTAAAATTCTAATTTTTTTTATAAAACCTTTTAATGGTCTCTTCTACTTATCTCGGAATAAATTTGGGCTTCTATTCTTCAGAACCTTTAAAGGCTTCAGAAAATTCTGAATATAGAGAATATCATAATATAAAGAATAAACAAAATAAAGTTAATTATTTTACAATTGATGATTTTATTAAAAAAATTACATTAAAAAAGAAAAAAAAAAACAAAAAATTTGATAGTATAGAAAAGAAAGTAAATGTTATAACGAAATTGAAAAATAAACATTTTTCTGATCAAAATAAACAAAAAATTATTTTAAATAATCAGAAAACAAATAGACAGGAAAAAAGAAAATCATCTAAAAAAATTAAGTGTTATCAGAATAAACGCCCTAAAAAATTATCATATTTTGTAACTTATTTCATTAATATTATGTTTTTAAACTAATATTTTTAACTAGTCATCAGATGAATTAAATAATAAATCTATTGAAATGTTGTCAGATCCAATTATTGTCTCTTCTCCTTTAGCTAAATCTAAAATTAATAAAAGAATGTATTTGCCTATAACTGCACACGGAAAAAGGATTCTTATACCACAAAAGTATTCTTTGATACAAAAATTGAAAAACAAAAAAGAAAAAAAAAAACGCATACTCCCTAACGATAATTTCATTTTTGAAGGATTTGAAGATATTAGTGAAGAATATAATTCTACTCCAATGTATGGTAAACTTTTATTTGTAACTTCTGAATTTTTAATTGGTTTTTATTAACTTAACAAAGAAATCATCTGATGATATTATTTATGAAAAAGAATCTGAAATACAGGATTTAGCATGTTTTGTTCTTGGCAAATCTAGTTTATATGAATCTGAAAAAAATCATAATAATTGTTAAAAAGATTCTTCTATATCTAAACTATATTTTAATAACACATATGATGAAAACAAATTACATTTTAGTAACGATTTTTAGTATCATTCTATTTTCAAAATATTTCTTTAAATTCTAATTTTAAAATTTTTGCAAAAATGTTAAAAAATCAACAAAATTTATTTTAGAAAAATTTCTATTTAAAACAATAATACATTTAATAAAAGCATATCTATTCTTAATAAACTTAATCTTACTAATGGTATAATAGTTGAAAATACAAATATGCTTTTTTATTTCAACATTTCAGTTAAACCATACATATTATTAATAATCATATAAATAGTATATCTTTAAAAAAGTATTTATTTTATTATCTCTAAATATTTTTAGAGGAATCTTTTGAGAAAAAAGAAATATTATTTTCCATTAATATTAAAAAATAAAAAAGACTGATATTATTGAAGTATATTATGATACTATTGGTCCTATAATTTTATAAATTAATTCTAAAGACATTTAAAATTTATTTAGGAAAAATACTTAAACTTTTTAATAAAAATAACTAGATTTTGTTTAGAGAAGGATAAATTGATGTGGGAAATAATCATTATAATAATATATCTACACTAAAAACTATTTATTTAAACTACTTTTACTAAAAGCTATTTTTTCTAGATTCTCAGCATTAACATTATAACAGATAATGAATAGGAATTAAGTATAATTCTTAATAAACAAAAAGCTAGCAACATAAAAAAAGTCTTGTAAGCATAAAAATCCTTTAATCAATAATCTCTTAGTATCTTATGAATCATAATTATATAAAAATATTCTATAAATAAATCATCTATATAGCTAAATAAGAAATGTTCTAGATTCTTTAATATAACATTTGAATTTTTTAGCTTAAAATAATCAAAACAATTTTATTCGTTAAAAAACAATATATTTAAATTCAGTGATTTTTTCACAAATAATAACATCGTTTACATTTAAATCTATTTTTTTAAAAATACATTCGTTAATCATCGTTTAAAATAAACTAATAGCTCATAATTTAACGTTTTAACAGTATCTTTAATAAGTACAATTAATAAATAATAGTTATATAGTATTTAAGAATTTATTTCAAAAACCCAAGAAATTTAAAAAATAATTAATTCCAAATTTCAATCATATATACTATAGTTCATAAAAGTTAATAAAAGATTACATTTTAGATTTATATTAAAAAATTTATTTAAACTTTACGTTTCAAAATATTTTGACATAATTATCGATTTATTATTTTTTGATATTATAGGATTATATCTAGTAATTTATAAAATTTATAATTTTAATCAATAAAAAAGATGAATAATTCGCTTTCAATTATATATAATTTTTCTATGTTAGCTTAATTTTTTGCAATATTATCCAAATCTTTTATAATTTTTAAAATCATTTATATAAAAATATTGGAAATTATAAAAAGATTGATAATAAAAATATTTTAAATATTAATTCCTAAAAATCTAATATACAATTTACTACACTCATATAAAAATCAATTATTTTATTTATTAAAATATATTATTATAAAAATCTATAGTTAAATAATTAAACCCAAAAATATTAAAAATTTAATTATATAAAAAATAAAAATAAATTTAATTATATAAAATTATATAATTATATTCAATACTTTAATCTATAAATGTAAAAAAAAAATAAAACATTAAAACATAGTTAGATTTATTTAATTTATATAAGAGATATTTATCATCGTTGAATATTTTAAAAGTCGAAATTTTTAGAATCGAAAAAGATTTGTATTTAAAAATGTTAGGATCAGCATGGCTCTACTTATTAACAATAATAATTAATTCTATAAATTTGTTCATGCAAATTTTTTTTACTATTATGTATGTTTTTTTTAATAATATTTAAAAATAATTAAATTACATAGGTATTCTGATCTTGAATGTGATTATATTAATCCAATTGACTGTTAGTAAATTCCGTATGTTTTTGACTATTACTAATAGGAATGATATAGTGTGTAATAAGCTTAATATGGTTTAATTTTTTTGATTTTATGTTTTTATAAATTTAAAATTTCTTGTAGTATATTTTACCAGAAGCAATTATTCATGGTTTTACAACATTGTTATTCCTTTTAGCAAGACACTGGTTACCATTGATATTGAATTTTCCTATGCTTGCATATAATATCAATAAGTATTTAAAACTACATTATTTCATACAATGTTTTACTAATTATAGAATTGTAACAAATCAATATGCTTTAGATGCTACAGAAATTTTTCGAACACTTAGTCAACATAAAAAGGAAAGCTTTATTAAACTTGGTGTATATTTATTTTTTTTCTTTTTTTATCTTTACTTGTAAGCAAATATTTTATTTTATTATAATACTTATCGCAGAATGATTTCTACACTTATTCAAAATAATTCCTAAAAAACTATAGTTTTTGGAAATTCATAAAATTATAATTTCTATTTTTAAAGTAATAAAACAACAAATTTTTAAAATTTATATTATAATCAACAAATGCCAATTTCCTGACCTACAATCAAAAAATACATTAAATCTCTTACAAATATTCTGTATTTGGATCCAATTATTTTTACATTTAATTCATTTTAGTCTACTATTTTTCAAACTCATTAAAACCTTAATAATATCACTCTGCATCTTTTACGATTCTTTTAGGTTGTCTTTCATGTAGGTAGTAACATTAGATCTAGATAATATAAAGGGTCTATTCTAAAAATATATACTTTTCCAAAAATTTAAAATTATTTTTACAATTTAATATTTTAAGTATTTAAAGTATTTATATACCATAAATACTAGAATTATACCGAGATCCAGTGCATTTTGTTTACTTAAAGATAGTTTACAATGATCTATCTAATTTTAGAATTTACGTAAGTTTTAAACCATTTAATTTTTAATATTAAAGAAACATACCAAATCATTTCAATACAATTTTAAGAAGTTATTTACGGCAAGTTTTAAATCCACGCCCAAGAAAATGAGTGTTTTAAAAAGATAATTACCTATTTTTTTAGAGATTTGTTGACTCTAAAAATCATAATATTTATTTTAATATAAAAATCTTTTCCATATTAATACACCAGAAAATGGCTGAGTTAAACATCTTTTGCAAAATAAAGTTATATTGAATCGAAACAATCAGAAAAAATGATATTTATTTTAATAAAATCTAAATATACAGAATCAAGCTGAGAAAAATGAAGAATACTTAAATGATAGGTATACTCAGCAATAAAACCACTCATTCAGGTGCATCATCTATATTTTTGATAGCATTCTCAGTCTCATCAAGCTGAAGCAATTTAACAATAATGGCATTTACTTCCTATGATGGTTAAAATAAGTTTTTTTGAAAAAAATTAACAAACCTTCGGTATAGTTTTTTCGTAAATTACCATTAACTCCATCTGATTTGGATATACTTTAAGTGCACGGAAAAAACAACTAGCAGCCTCGATAAATTTATGAGACCCTATATACAAAAATTAACACAACCATATTCATAATCCATAGCTACCTTGTGCATAAAGACCTTCACCTTTCGCAACTTCCTGCATAAAGAATTGTTCTCGTTCTTCTATGAGGTGCGGTAGAGCACATCTTTGCACTTCATGATACGCTTTGCGAATCGCCTGTGCCAACGCCTCCTCTTGTTGCAGTGCTTCTTGTCTTTGTACCTGAGATAACTTCTTTTTATCACGTCCTTCAATAAAACATAAAAAAAAGTCCAATAATATACTCTTCTTACTCAGTTTACGTCGAAACGCTGCATTATTCCTTCGTTTATAATCAAAATGAAGAGCATAAGCTATTAAGATAAAAAATAAGTCTTTAAAACAGTCAAAAAAACATGCCTATTCCAAAAGCTAGAAAACTTGATAAAGCAATACTAACAATCCAAGATGTTTTCATCAGTGAAAAATAAAATCAATATTCAGTCGTTACGTTAACGGACAAACATCGAAAGTACATTAGTCATTTTAACAATAAATATTTATATTTAAAGACGATTTTAAACGTTTATATATCAAAAAATGACAAGCAGAGTAAATGCTAAGAAGTAAGAAAGGTTTAAGTTAGTGATTGTAGTTTAATTAATATTTAGATGGCACTTAAAAGAGCAAAAAACAGAGGATTCTTTATCGGAAATATCACTCCCTCCATTGCCAAAAATACAAGAAAAAGACAGGATTAAGGTGTGTGCTGCATGTGTATTCATTGTAAAAGTACTCTAAATACTTTTAAGATAGGATCTCTTATAAAACGAAGATTTTCAGCACGAGTGGGCCCACAAATTTTAAATGACAATCATAAGGGCCTGAATTCATTTGTTTCCGGTTCTCAGTACCCAAGGAAAGGTATAGGCGACTCTCAACGACCGTTTCTTGAATTTCATCTTTCCAATTTTGCATCTCAAGACTTTAATCCCGAAGAATGTATGTTTTTTTAAAAAGTAAAAAATTGCTCTAACTCCTGAAAATAGACATTAATGCGAACTTTCCGGATGCTACAGAGGATGAAGTTTCTAGGTTTTATGTTCAGTTATTACAATCTTTTGAAATAATAACATCCAATCTTCAACAAAACATTTTTGATAATTATTCAAAGTTTATCTCAATTTCAAAAGAAATTTTTGATGTAAATACAGATATAACCACTATTCGAAAACAAATAAACTTATTGTCTAATGCAATTGAGCTTTTAAAGGATGATATAAGTTCACCATCTCGAACTTTGTCTTCATCAGAAAAAAACAAATGGAAGAACAATAAAAATTCAGTTGCAGATCTTAAAAGCATATGGGAAGATAAAATTAAAGATCTTTTTAAAAATGTCGAAGGGATACAGAAATTTTTACCTACATTCTATGGAAAACATATCGTCTATGAAAGTAGTAATTGGAAAGAGTTGAATTGTACATCATGGAGACCAAAATATAAAGCTCATTTGTTCTTACTTAATGACAATCTGTTGGTTACTCGTGTTTCTCCTAAATATCAAGTTTCTCAAAGTTCTCGAAGCATTGGAAAAATAAAATATATTGCAGAAAACTGTTTTTCTTTAACCGAAATTGAAATGGTTGATCTAGACTCTAGTTCTCTAACTTCTGAAGAACGTGATATGAGTGGCATTATAATTATTAGGAAAGAAAAACGAAATTTTGTTTTCAAAACAGACAAAATTGACGAAAAACAAAAATTGCTCCAAGAGTTTACAAAGGAATATTACTCATTAACGAAATCACAAAGAGAAGAAGCAGAGGCATTGAGAAGAGCGAGGGGTTTTTGAATTTATAATAATTAGATGAGTACTAAAAATGTATAGAGTCTATATATTTTTTAAACGCTAAAGATCCTTCTATGACTACTCGAACTTTACTTAATTCATTTTATTTTAATAGTGTTTCACCAATTTCACTTAATCCTAATGAAGAAATTCAAAATTTACAATGGGTTCAAGATAAAATGGACGAATTAGATATAATGATTGCTCATAGATTGTTTGAAGATGCTACAAAGAGTATTGAAAAAGATATGTATATAATTGTAAATTAAATCAATAAAACTAATATCTTTTAAGAAAGGTAACTATTGAAAATTTTAAGCAAGAATCTATTGCAACAGAATTAATCATTTTAAAACTTGAAGAACGCTCTTCAAAGTTGGTCGATATAATTTGTGATGAATTGTACAAAATGTCATCATTTAAAAATATTGTAAAAAAAGATGTTCATTATTTGTTAAGACTTGGATATGAAAGTCGTGCAAAAAATTCATTTTTAACATCTAGATCAAATTTGATTAAACGAAGAACTAGGTAAAAATAAAAACTTTATGATTTTTTATTGAGAAATAGGCAATTATATTTCAAAGGGGATGTTGTTGCATACATATCAGATTTAGCTCTTATTCACTTCGTTTTAATACGTAATACAGCAGAAATGTATATATCAGCTTTTCAAAAACCATCTTTAATTTCTGGTTAAAAATCAATTAATTTTTTGTTGTATTAATGTTTTTACTAGGTCTTATAACATGGATAAAATTTCAAATACAAAGTCAGTAGTTTTCTTAATTTTTCTTTTAAATTAATATTTTTAAGGTTTTTTGGAATTCTTTTCAAGACAACTATGCTCTATTGGTTATGAATCTGATATATTTTTGCATAGCATGAATGCAATTAAAGAACAATGCAAAATATTAAATGAATTAGGAATCGATATGAATTTCTTACTCGAGAATTTTCAAGACAATATTAAGAAAAATACAAAAGACATATCTATTTGATTTTTACATAAAAAATTATTTATATATTATCTTTTATTTTTAAGGTTTTTCTTTATTATATATTTTTTTTTCTCATTTTGCTTAGAATATACTTTTATACTGGTTATATAGTCATATAATGTGCTTATACTGTCTAAATATCATAATTTACCAATTACTAATTACTTTATAAACAAATATCCTTTTATTAACATATCTTTTATTTATTTATAACTCATTCTTATTAAAGATGAAAAAATATACAAAAAGTAATTAATACAAAAAGAAATATAATATTAGAAAATCAAGTAAATGTATATTTTACAATTTTTTTTAAAATTTTTTAATGTAATTTTTAATCGTTTTTTTTCCGATAAATAAAAACTGGCGAGATTACTTTCTGGAAATATTTTATATTCTACAAAAATTTTAAAAAGATTAGGATTTAATTTGTATTTTCGTCAATATCTTAGAATGGTGCACGCTATTTCATCTATGAATGAGTTTAAAAACAAAATTTCATCGGAACAGTTAACAGTTGTTGATTTTTTTGCAACTTGGTGGTAAAAATGATAATTATTTTTTTCTTGTTTAATAGCACATAGTGGTCCATGCAAAGGTTTTTTTTATTCTTAAAAATTGTTTTTATATGTTTAAAACATTTTTCTAGCAATTGCTCCTAAATTTCAGGAATTTTCTGAAAAATATCAAAATGTGTATGTACATCTTTATAATACTACTATATGGTAATTTTTTACAGTGCTTTCCTCAAAGTAGATGTAGATGAACATAATGTATTATCTATGCTCGTTAATATTTTAAAATATACTAACCTTGTTAATTATAGGATATTGCTTCTGAGTACTGTGTGACTGCAATGCCAACATTTATGTTTTTCAAATCAGGCAATAAATTATGCGAAGTTGTTGGTGCATCTAGCAAAAAACTAGAAGAAACTATTATTGCTTGTTTATAAAACATGAATTCATTTTTATTTGTTATTCATTATTAAATTTCAAATATTAATATGTTTTAAAATTTAAACTATTTAAAATAGTATTATAAAAAGTCTTTATGATTTCTAAGTTGTTTCTTTTTTTAAAAACTAAAATCTTGCTTTATATGATAATTTTTAGTCCATATTATAAACAGTATATAAATTTCAATAAAAATCCTTAAATTAGAATAATTTAAGCGCTTAAATATTCATAATTGTAAAATTTAAAAATAAAACTTAATAATAATAAGTTATATTATTATTATTGTTTTTAAAATATTTAATTATGAATGTTTTAAATTCTAAAGTTTGCAATTCTTAAATTTTTAAAATAATTTTATAAGACAATATTTTTTCACATAAAATATATATATTTAATAAAATTAATTTATCAAAAAATTAATAAAAACAATAGTATTTATATAAAATTTAAAATAATTTAAACATGTCTTTCAAAGCCTAATTCCTAAATAATCATAGTAACAACAATACTTATATATACATTATAAATGCCAAAACAATTAATATATTCAATATAGTAATGTTGTTTTTATTTAAAAGCTTAAAACAGACATTTTCATACGATAATGAATTTGTCTAGATTATAACTAAACAACTTATAAAGGATTTCCAATATAACTAGTATGCTATTTAATCAAAAACTTATAGAATTCATATTATACTTTTTAACCTAAAAAATACTCAAGAATGTAAATTAAATCTATAAAAAGATTCAAAAATCCTAAAAAATTATTAATCACAGGTATATATATATTTTAAACAAGTTAAAATTAACCAAATTAAGTAGTCTATTTTTTAATATTAATAACTATAAATTAGAACAATTGAGTTTTAATGGAGATAAAGTCATAGAAAATGGAGGATCGAAAACCGTAGGAAGGTTACAATTTTCGGTATTTTCAATCTTCAAATCAATATTTGTCATATGAAGAGAATTTTTATTAACAGAATCTTTTTCTAATAATGTTTTTAAATCTTTATGCAATTGCAAAAGCGATATTTGTTGTTGTAATATATATGGTTGAGAAAAAGATGCTAATGAAGAACGAAATACAAATTCATTTAGATTTTCAGAATTATCTTGAATAAAATGATTCGATAAAAATAATTTTGGATGCTTAAAATTAAATGAACTTTCCCAGTTATTTTGATCGCATAAGTAAGACTGTATACTTTCATCAATAAAAGACTTTTTTTGTTGATTATGCAATTTATTTTCTATTTCCGAATCAAAATTGTTTTTTAAAAGTAAAGCTATTTCTTTAGTCTTTTCTAAATTATTATGATCACTGTTTAACATAGTACTAGCTGGTATAACATTATGATCTATATTTTTGAAATGATAAATTTGAGAATTATTAGTATTTTTAGAAATAGAAGTATCCCTGTTGCATTTTGATGGAAAATCAACAAAATCTTCTTGTTCATTAAATTTTAAATTATAATTTTCAACTTGTTTATCTGATATTTGATTTGGTGATATAATATTAAAAAGTCTTTTATCTGATAGTGCCTCTACAATTGAACTGTGTTCTTTCCTGGAATCATCTGATTGCACTTTTTCAGATACTTTATTCTTTTTCCTTCGTCTCTGATCACGTTCAAGTAGTATCCGAATTTCAGTATTATTCATTTCATCTGCAAGACTAGAAATACAACTATTTAAAGAACTTCGTTTTAAATTAGAATTAATAGAAAAGACGTTTCCAGAAGCATTGACTTTTTCTTTTAAGTACAAGGATGGCTTTGATTTAAATATTTTAAAACCATCTACTTTAGCAGCATAAGATGAAATACATATATTTTCTGATGATCTTGAGCTAAAAGACGTTACTGTCTCAGTTCTATAAACACCATTTAGATCTAAATCTTTGGAATTTTTATCAAAAAGTCTTGAAGAGTATGAAGATGATTTTGTAGAAAATCTTAATGGTGATTTTTTAAAACCCAGTATACTTGGTCTCCAACGTTTATGGTAAATAGTTAAAGAATGAGAAGGCTTAAAGCATTCTTTGGATTCATCAATTGCTTTCTCAAAACCTAATAATGACTTTTGTGAATATTTATTATCTCGTGATAGCTTTTTCTTATTATATTGTTTATAATTCTTAGAGAAATAGAAAAAAGGAAACATTAACAATACCGCACCTACTTATTTAAAATTCCTTAACAATTGGCAAAATTTATACTTGTTCTTAATTATATATTTTTTTAAAGAAATTTAATCTATAAAAACAATTTAAATTAAAAATAAAATGAAACAAAACAAAATAATAAAAATATAAATAATATCTAGATTAACGATTACTAATTATACGTAAAATAGAATGTTCTTCTAATGTTAAATAAGGTATTATAGCTTTGAAATTGTTGATATTATTGGATATAACATTCTTAAAAAAGCCAATAAAAAATTTCTTAGAAAAATCAGAATAAAGCAAGTCAAGAAAAAAAATCGAACCTCTAAATCTAAATCTTTTAAAGGATCTTCCATAGAATCATCACTATAATCAAATACAGTAGAAATTTCTATAAATGTTAAGATTAATATTATAAAATATATTATTTCTTTCCTTCTTCACTGTAACTATCTTGAGTAGATAAATCTTCCCAATCATCCTCAGCATTAACCAAACTAAACTTAAAAATTTCAGATGATTTTTTATTATTAATGCTTATAAAAGTCGAAAGTTCTTTTAACAATATTTTTATTATTTTTATTGGAAGTGAAATAAAAGTATATTTTTCAGAATCTAAAAGAAATTTATTCATTTATCTATTTCTCAAAATAAAAATACTTAGTTTAGTTTTTGATCGTGTTATTATCTCTTCTGACCTGTTAATAATCAAATCTCCTTTTACAATAATATTAGAAAGTCGTATATCTTGAAGCATAAATAAGTTTGCCATCGCAACAGAACTACTTAAGTTAGTCATAAGAGTATTCGCTATTAGTTTAATACTTTAAACGAATATTTTTATAACCACATATAATATCAACATTTTCACACCATGATTTTAACAAAATATCTAAGCCCGAAACTCCACCTACTTTTATATTATAAAGAAAATCAACAATTGCTTTTGCTTGATTAACAAGTAAATGTGCAAATATCAATAACATTTCCTATATAATGCATTAAAAACAAAATTATAGATTTTATACTTATTTTAACTTGATAGAAACGTGGGGAAGAAGAATAAGTAAGACGAATAATAATAGCTTCTAGTAAAGATGGTAAGTGATTTTGAAAGTTTTCTCCAGCCTACGAAAGTAAACAAAAATTATAGATAAAAAGTAAAATCTACATTATACATCATAGCTATTATAAGAGAACCAATAAAAAAGTTTGCAGACTCTAAAGAAGACTTTTCCAATAAAATTCCTATAATATTCATTATTTCATCAAAAACAGATATTCCTGTCTCGTATTTTCTAGATTTTGTTAATAAAAACAAAAAAAAAAACTAAAAACATGCATATTAACGAGTTTGTTATAATCTTTAAGAATAATTTGTCTTAAAACTTCCTCAGCAGACTATTTTTAAATCAGTCCTTTTATCCAAAAGTCAAAATATAAACCTGTAAAATTTCATTATTATCATAATTTTTCATAACATATATAAGTCCAGGAATAATTTCCTCAAGAAATTTTATAGATAAAGATACCGTTCCTCCTTTTATTACAGAATATAATATATCAAAACCAACCTATATATAAGCTATATATAAAACTAGGTAAATATTTATAGATAATAACCTCGACTAACTGTGTCTCTAAAATATTAGATACTTTAGAAAACAAAAGCTCTTTCAATGGAAAAACAACAATTTCACAAAACAATGAAAAATCCAAAACATTTTCTGCTAAATCTTCAAATATATCTTGAACAATTCCAATTAGATAAGGATCATTTGAATTAGACATAACGATCTTAAATAGTAAAGAAATTATTGTTGACTCTGAACATAACGCAATATCTCGATTAATTTTAATAACAGAAAGTAAAACTTCTAACAATAATATTAATGATTCACCATTGACCTGAAAAATATAAAATTCTATAATTTTAATCATTTGAGGTTGAAAAGGTCTTAAATATTCTGAAGGAAGTGATATAGATAATCTTAAAATAAATAATACCCAATTTCAATATAATCAAATTACCTTTGTATTGTTTTAAATACAGACAACTTAATTATTCCTATAGATTCAGAAAATACAATAAGAATGCAATCCGAAAACAAGCTTGACAATTCATTATTATCCAGAATATCAGTTAACTGTCCAAGTATAAGAATAGCACGTGCCTTTAAAAGATCTTTTCTGATTAGAATATAATTATATGCTTCAAAAATACCTGAAGAATTTTTCATGTTATAATAAGATATAGAAACATTAGCGATATTGCGCTTTTCTGAAAGACCAAATTTTTTTAATATTCTACTAATTACAAACAATATCGCTTCTTTATATCTCCATCTAAAAATAATTTAAATTTAAAAAACAAAAAAAAAAAATAATTTTACTCAAAATCTAAGCCAGAAATTATTAATTCAAATTCATCCATTAAAATTTTTTTAGTTGAAATTAAACTGTAATTTGAAAGTTCCTAGAATAAAGTTTTAAACAAATTAAAACTAAAAATTCTAAAACCTCAATAAAATCTACTGAAGCCTGACGAACAGTACATCTGGAATTTTCATTTAATTCATCTTCGATAAAGGTATTAGAATCGTCCATAAATTCTTTTTCCTAATAATAATAAATAAATATATATATATGTTTAAAATATAACCTGTAATAATGATATTTGTGAATAAAACACAGATGTATTAATAATTTTACTTAAAAATGAATCTTTTGAACAATTAACCAAATCTAAAGTTTTTTGTATTATTTTATTCCTTAATGAAATTTGAATAAACAAAAATTCTTCTGTTAATAATACAGACAAACTTATAGAATCACCATCAGAATCATTTTCATGGTCAGATTCATGAGAATCTAAGATGTAATATTCAGAATATATTTTCTTTAATTGCTCAATTTCAATCCATAAAGTTTGAAAAATATTTGGAAAATGTTTTGTCAATTGAGATAAAAATGTTTGTCTAATTTTATGTAAAACCTTGAATTCTGTTAATTCTTTTTAAGACAATGTCATTAAATAACCTTAATAATGTTTAATTTAAAATGTATAAATTCACAATTCAAAGTTGTTATAGTATTCCTAGAAATGATTTCAATAAACAAATTTATCCATAAATCAAAAGCTTCAGTAACAAGTACACTAATAACTTCTGAATTTGTTTCTTTTATCATTTCCAATGAATCTATGCAAGACTTAAAAACAGATAAAGACAGAATTCTAATTTTGGTTGAATACTGAAATATTTTAATAAATATAAACATTTTTATACCAACATTACCTGATCATTTGAACATATATTATATAAAAGCTTTATTAAAGTCGGAGAAATAGAAAAAAAATATTCATTAGTAAGCGCATCATCAATTAACTCTAATTATATAAATTTAATAAATACAATGCAAAGCAGAAAAACCTTTTAAAACTTTTAATCCCCCATTCATATCGTTTTCTGAATTCTTAGAAAGCTTAGATACGATATTATTAAATAACTCTGGCCATTCATCTGGCCAATCAATACTAGCTATTTTTGAAACAACATGAGCCTGTTTAAGATTAAGTTTAATTAAAAGATAAATATATATATACCGCAGCATTCCTAATCATATTTGAATTAGATGAGATGAGATCCAATAATATAACTCTAATTTTATTTTTTATATATTGATTTGGAATAGGTCCATGAAATTCCTCAAAAACACAGGACCAATGGCCCAATACATATTTTTTAAGTATTATTAATGATGCCTTTTTAAATAAACAAAATACTATAGATTATTTTTTTAATATATACCTGTCGTACATGAATTTCAGTAGTTGCAGAAGCAGCGAGTTTAGCCAAAAAGATGGGATATTCTATTAAAATTATCAAGAAATCATATGTAGCCAAGCAAAATACAAACCTTCTAGAATCTCTAACTGTCCTAACTCTATTTCTGCATTTTTCCTAATATCAATATCTGTTGATTGACAAAATGAAATTAATTGATGAATTTTTTCTTCCATTAATGTTTATGCAATAATTTTAAAATTAAATATAACCAAGAAAATGTAATAATGTATATAAAAATATAACTTATTTATATATATATTTTTAATCTTCAAAACATTAATTTTCTAATTTTTAATAAGTAATAAATCTATCGTAATAATAAAAAAATTCAAAATGACAACATATTCTTACTTGATTTTTCTATTAGAATCTGCGTTTTATTCAATTTTAGGTCAGCACTCTATATTTTTAAGTTAAGTTTTAACTTAAAACTTTATTTAAGAAAAAAATAAGCTTAAGTCATTAAACCTTGAAATATCATCAGAAGATGAAAAACATATCAATAAAACAATGAAAGCTATAAAGGAAAGAATCTATAAAATTGAACAAGAGCAATCTGATTTTGAAAATAATGTTAATATGTTTGTAATGATAAATGTTTAAACAGTGTTTAACGAAAGTTCAAGATCTACAGAAACGCTAAAGCAGCAGGAATATATTTTAATCAGAATACAAGATTATTATAGAAGATTAGAAGAAATGTTGGAATCAGAAAATACAGACGACTATGAGCTTATTATAGATTTAAAAAAAGAAGAAAAGGAACATAAATTGTAAGATAAATTTTGTTGATTTATATTCTTAAAGAAAGTAGGGAAAATGAATTTCTTAGGACATCAAATTCAAAAGAAACAGAGGATTTTAATAATACTTTTATAAAAAGTTCTCAAGAAAGTCAAAAACAAATACTAAAAGCACAACAACAAATTATAAAAGGTTTTTTTAAATAAAACATTCATTATGGATAGTTAATGATAAATAGAACAAGATTTGTCATTAAACAATTTATATGATTCTATATCTACTCAAAAAGAATTAACAATTCAAATGGAATCAGAGTTAGAGTTACATAATGAATTTCTTGAAGAAATGGAGGTACTTGTAGATAAATCACAAGGAAAATTGAAGAAATCTGAAAAAAGACTTAAAAAAGTTGTTAAAAATATTAAAAAGAAAGGAAAGTATTTTCAGGTTAAATAATTATTTTAACACTATAATAGGCAATGTTTTTTGGATTATAGTAATTGCATTTTTGCTTATGTTTTTAATAATATTATCCGGATAAACTCATCAATTGTTATATTTAATACTCATTAGGAATTCCTTAAAATATAAAAAAAAAAAAAAAACAAAAATTAATGAACATATTTTTGTATATTATATTTATTTTATATTCATACACATTTTATTTTAAATATTTATTAGTATTTTAGAAGGGATACAATATTAATAAAGTTTTTTAAGTACTTGTGTCTATTCCTTATAAATAATAGTCAAACCAAACCAAAACCATAACAATTTTCATAAATTTTTATAGCATAAAATTAAGCAAAAATTAATTTTGAAAAATTCAAAAAACTTAAATACATATTTTTATTCATCTATTATCTTTATTTAGATTCTTTTCATTTGCCATATATTAAGGTTATTTAAAATATGACAATTCAAATAAAATTTATGTAAACTATAACTTTTATAATATTATAGTATTCCAATTTTTATTTCTTGTTTTTTTGGCAAAAAATCTTTATAAGTATCATGAATATATAATTTGCAATTATCCGAAGAAAATGAAACATTAGAATTTAAATTCTCATCACCAGTATAGATAATTGATGTTTTTTCAGGACTAGATTGAAAGTCACCCGGTGATAACTGATTAATATTATAAAATAAAGGAAATAATTTAGAGCCAAACGGAGCATAATTTGTAGATGATAAAGAAGCAGAAGCAGTAGATGATGATGACGATTGTAATGTTGGTGTCACTGGACATGTTGATACACTGGGTTTAATAATAAAATTATCAGTGTCTTCAACTGTATTAGATAAATCAGGCCGAATGTTATTTAATACTTGTTCCTGTTTAATAGGTTGAGTAAAAAAACTTAACATTAAAATTTCTTGTAGAAGAATTCTGCGCCAATATTCTTCTTCTAGAAAACTTTTATAACAATCAAAACTATTTAATACCTCATTTTTACGAACATTAAACGAACATAGTAAATTAATCGTTTGCTGAATAAATTGAGATATATAAAAACGAGAGAACAAATTATTTCGAAACATGAATATATTTTTTTTTCGTTGAATTGATAAAAGGACTCTTCGAAAAAGTTTACTTTTTTTTGATGGAACATATGTACTCAATTCAGATAACCGAATTTTTATATCACATGATGGAGATGATGGTAAAGCTTGGCATGATGAAGCATGTTGTAAACTATCCACTGATAAAGACCCAAAATCATTATAAGATTCATGTTGCTTATAAGAAATACCAGAAGACGTAAAACGTTTTTTTCTATTTTTATCTATTGAAAGTGGAAAATGAATAGACATTGATCTATTTAATGTTATTTCAGGTATTATTCCTGTATTATTTACTTTTTGCGAATATGCTTTGTAAAATGCAGTCATTAATATTTTAATAATGTCTAAATGTTATCATAACACTAGTTTCATTTATTTTATATTTTCTAAGATTTTTTTGGTTATCTAAAGTTAAGATACGATGATAAAAGAATGTATAGAAAATAAATAAAAAAACATGTCTTAATTAAATTAATATTTTTATAATAATATATATATATATATAATATTATTTATTTATTTATTTCTGTTTTAATTATAATCAACAGTAACATAGATTTTTTTAAAAACAATAAAAAATCCAAAGTCATATTTTTAAAAAATAATTCTCTTTAAAACTTATAAACGCGTAAAAAATCTTTAAAAAAATAAATATCGAATATAATATATTTACTATATTTATTAAAAGCGTTTACTTATCCATATTCTATGTTTTTGACTTTTGTATTTAATATTAAAATTGATATGCTTAATTTCATAACATTTAATTATATAAATTAAACTCAAATGCTTCAAAAATCAAAAATATTTATGAAAAATTACTTTTAATATATTTAAAAAATAAATTTAGCAGTTAGTAGCCAATTAAAGTCTAAAAACTCAAAGTACTAAAATTCGAACACTTAAAAATAATGCTATAAATTTGGATGATGCTATTTTTTAGAACAGCTTTTTTATTTAAATAATTTTATAAAAATGTCTTTTAAACGAAGAATTGCACCTGGATTACAAAATGTGCAAAAAGCATTAGAGACATCTTTAGATACAGAAGAAACTTTAGACAGTGGAGTATGTCCATCTCCGCTTAATGGAATCCATATTACAAGCTCAGGCTGCTCATCTCTTGATTCAATTATTGGTTTTGGGGGTCTTCCACTAGGAATGTGTTTTTTGATTGAAGAAACTGGAACAACTGATTTTTCAAGTTCTTTATTGCGTTATTTTTCAGCAGAAGGCATTATTCATGGACATGCAATTTGGTCAGGTGGCATTTCAAAAACATGGTTTCAAGATTTACCAGACGCAGATTTAAATATATATCATGAAAAAAATAAATCATCTGATGATATTATGAAAATAGCATGGAGATACCATCATCTAGGGGATTTTAAGGATAATTTTGGATTAAATAAAGGTTTTTTTTTATAAAAAATCCATTCTTTTGTTAAATATAGTGAATTAGGCCCGGGCATTAATAAATCCAAAAACATAGAATATTGCCATACTTTTGATCTTTCAAAACGCTTGAGAATACCGCATACAGCATCCATCACATGTTCAAAAGTTCTCCCTATGTCATCTAAACCTTACAGCGAATTTATATCAGAAATTCTTAAACTTTTATCTTCAGAATCTCCCAAGACAATACGATTAGTAATTCCAAATATTCTTTTACCTATAGTTTATCCTTCTGAATCTTTAAAACACAAAAATATACTTGAATTTTTTCACACATTAAGAGCACTTTTAAGAACATATTCTAATCGTCTGGTCGCTATGATAAGTATTTCAACACAATTATATTCTCGAGAAACTGGTATAGTTCGTTACTTGGAATTATTATCTGACGGTGTTCTCGAATTGATTCCTTTTTTAAATACTGATTCTACAAATGAATTTCAAGGTCTTCTAAAGTTGCACAAACTTCCATTTTCTCAAAATTCAATCAATCATGATAATGATTTAGCATTTAAAATTAGTCGTAAAAAGTTTTCAATTGAGCCATGGTCATTACCTCCTGTTGATGAAAAAGAATCTTACATAGGAAATAAAAGTGATACATCTATTTCAGTAGATTTTTAATAAATTCATATAAGAATGATGTATAAGTCTATATGATAGAAGCTTTTTAAAAAAAGTTTTGTAATAAGGTTATATTTTTTAAAAAATAAATTATACATCTAAGAAATTCTTAATCTCGTAATTTTAAACCAATTAAAAAAAATAAAGACAAATAATAAATCTATTTAATAGGAATATTACATGGACTTTTTATAGCCTTTTTTTATGTGTAAGGTTTCATATCAAAGATAATAATGCTTCAAGAAGTAATTGATTTTGCAAATAATTTCCGGGGATCTTCTTTAATGATATTACCATCTATGTATTCTAAGGAAAATGAATCAACATCTAATGAAATCAGTAAACTTCTAAATTCTGAATGTGAAAAAGAAAGAGCAGTTGGAGTGAAAAAAGTTATTTACGTATTTTTATTGTTTTTAATAAACAGCATCTTATGAATAATAGTTAATGTCACATGGAATAGATGTATCAGAATATTTTTTACCCATTGTTAAAAATGTTGCATCTTCTGATTTAGAAATACAAAAGCTTATTTATATTTATATAACACGTTATGCAGAATACGACCCTAACTTAGCTCTTCTTTCTATTAACACAATTCAAAAGGGATTAAATCACAAAAATCCTCTCATTAGGGGGATGTCAATTAGAACTTTATCAGGAATTCGAGTAACTGCAATTTCAAAAATAATTTTGTTAGAAATAAAGCGTTGTATTATGGATATGTCATTTTATGTAAGAAAATCTGCAATAATTTCTATGATAAAATGCTACAGGTGAATTAAAATTCTATAATTCAGTACTTATGCTCAGTAGCTAGATTGGATCCTTCATGTATTTCTACAGTAATAGAATATCTTTCACTTCTTTTCAATGATAAATCTCACATGGTATTCGGCTCAGCTCTTTTTGCTTTTCAGGAAATATGCCCCGAAAGATTAGATCTTATACATCCACATTACCGTAGAATCTGTAGAACTCTTCATGAATTGAATGAATGGGATCAAACGATCGTATTAAATATTCTTTTAGTTTATGCTCGGAAATGTTTTTTAATACCAGATAATGTAGCATGTCATGATCATAATTTAAATAAAGAAGAAAAGTTTTATTCTAGCGATGAATCTGATCAAAAAACACCAAAATTAAAAAATAATACTCTTAATGAAGATTTTAACTTACTCTTAACAAGTGTTGTCCCATTACTTAAAAGCAGAAATAACTCAGTAATATATTATAGTATATTTTTTATTCTAATTAATTCTATCTTAGGTTGTAATGGCGGCTTGCAAAATATTATATCATATTGGATCTTTAACAAAATTACATGAACTTGTAAAACCATTAATTCGACTATTAAAAGGAACACCGGATATCCAATATATTGCATTAACTAACATTGTAGCAATTTCTATTAAATATCCTGTAATATTAAAATTTTAGATATTTAAACTAATATCTTATAGACAGTTTTTTCTTCATTTTATAAGCATTTTTTTATTTATCCATCTGATTCTGAAAAGATATGGAAGTTAAAATTTGAAATTCTCTCTCTAATTGCAACAAAAGAAAATGTAATAAATATTTTGAAAGAACTTAAGGTATTTCTTTAAATATTTTCTTACTAAGTTTAGTTTTCTTAGTGGCATACAAAAAGCTTGAATCCAAATATAGTATCTAATGCAATAAAATCTATCGGATATTGTGCAATTAATCACTGTTTTATTTCAGAATTATGTCTTCAAAGTCTCATGACTAATATTAATAGTTCTAATGGTATTTATTAAATTATTTGATATTATAAATTCACTACTATAGATGTATTAGTAGAAGAATCTGTATCTGTAATATCTCAATTGATACAACTTAATCCAAAAGATCATTTACATTATATAGAGCAACTTGTCTTATATTATGATTCCATTTGTATAGCATCAGTCAGGACATCTATAATTTATCTTGTATCGGAAAATATTTTTAGTCTTCCAAAATTATCATTAGATATGTTAAGAATTCTTGCAAAATCATTTTCACAACAAGTATATAATTTATATTTATTTTAAAGTTCTTACGTATATTAGGAAGAAGTTGTAAAAAACCAAATTCTTATTTTTGCAACAAAACTATATATTATATATAATTCAGATTGTTTCAAAAAGAAGTCAGATGATTTTTTAACTGCTTTTCTAGAAAAATTAGATATATCATCTAATTCAAATAACAATAATACTTTTTCAGATTTAATATTAGAAGAAAATGAAATTTTAACTAAAAATATTGCAATATATAACAATTCATCAAACAAACAAATCGTTACAAAACTTTACGATTATATTATGTTGTTATCTCGATATGACTTTTCATTTGATATTCGCGATAGAACACGTTTATATAAATTTTTAACACTTAACCCTACTAGTTTATTTTCACAAAGAATTATTTTTTCTTTAAGGCCAAATACAAAAATAATAACAAATTCTATGGGCAGAGAAGCATATACACTAGGAAGTTCGTCCCTTACACTTCTTAAAACAATAAAAGGATATAACAATTTACCCAATTGGTTAAATGATATTACTCAATTACCAAATTCAGATTTAAGGGAAGAAAAGTTTAATGAAGATACTAACTGTAACTTTTTAAAAAATTCTACATCAAAAAAAACCGAAAATAGTTCAATTCTGTTAAATTTAAAAACATTTGAAGCACAAAGATTAGATAATTTTTATAAGTCAAACACTGATAGTGAAAATACGGATTCCGATCATACAATAGATTTTGAAACTGATTTTAATTATGAAAAAAGCACAGATAGTGAAAATATTGAAAAAGAAATAAGTTCAGAAAACGAGGATATTAACTCTGATAAAGCTATTCCACTTTTGTGAGATTTATAAACTATAAATTTCAGTTATTTTTTTGATTTTGTTCTATATAATTAATTTTAAAAGACTCAATTGTATTTTTAACTAAACATATAATAGTGTTTTAATTAGAAGATTAACATACTTTAATTTAAAATAAACAATATTAAAATAAAAATTAAATTTGATATATTTTTATAATAAAAAACATTTTTAAAATTTACATGATTTAAAAATAATTACAAAAAATTTTTAATAAAAAAAGAAATTATAAATCTATAAGATTAATAAGTCTAAAATTTCATCTGATAACAAAAATTTATAAATATTATAAATATTTTTACTAGACATTTTTTTTATTAATATTTCAAATAAATATTCAAAAATATAGAAATTAGAAAAATACTCAAGGCCAAAATTTACAACAAATGCCATTTGATAACTAAATAAATATAAAAAACTAAAAAAACTACATATAAAACTCTAACCAAATGATAACTAAATATAAAGAACTAAAAAAATTACATATAGAATTCTAACCAAAAATATATATATTAATTATATATATATAATTATTAAATATTAAAAGATCAATTCAATTTAATGTAAAATTAAAAACAAAAAGCTAGAATGAACCCATAATAAAGCTGAAAATATAATAATAACTGCTTATTACCATTGAGTAAATATATATAAGAACGTATTTCAGCGATATTCACAAGGATATCCATAATTATAAGATTGTGAATACATATTTGATGATGGAGAGCACCTACGTGAATAACCTTGGGAATAATTAAGCGCAGCATAATCCATTCTTGGGTTTGGAGCATAGTCTAAATGTTGCATAGACTTACGATTTCGATAATTAGTATCATAAGGTGCATAATGTTCTGAATAAGGATAATACCTAAAAATATTAACATATAATAAAATATTCATTAAACATACCTATAACCATCAGAGTACTTAGATCGCATACGCAAAGGAGCATGACGACCAGTATAACTTGGATAATGATCATAAGGTAAAGTATCATTAGGATATTTAGGTACTAAATATGGTCGATCATAAGATTCAGGATATATATAGTCCTGATGGTTATAATAATCATCATAATACTGAGGTTCACAATAAGCATAAGGAAGATGATCTTTTCGTATTGGTTGATAAAGAGCAACTTTCTTATTATCTGAAGATTCTGTGTTCTGATTATATATTTCTTGTTTAGCTACAGCTGAAGTATCTTGAGATGTAGAGTTTTGATTATTATGCAATTTTTTATCAGCTACATTATCTTTTTCAGATTCTTTTAATACATTTTCAGCCTGAGAAGAATCTACTTGGGTTTTAGAACTCTTATCTTCATTTAAAGATTTTGCTGATTTAGACTTAAATTCAGATGACTCAAAATCATTAGATGAAGCTACTAGCCGATCATTTTCTCTGACTTTTGGATCAGTATTAAGATATCTTTTATAGCTGATAGAAGCGCTTTCAGAAAATTTTTCAGGAGGCGGATTCCATTGACGATTTCTATATTTCTGAAAGTCTTTTGAATCACGTATATCGCGATCACGAAAGAAATAATCTTTTTGTGCATAATAATAAGAGTTTCTATATGCATTTGAACAGGGTTGTCGATATGGCATATCTTCAAAATAGTATCGTGGATAACCGTAATTATAAATGTCATAATTCCCTAGAAATAATAAATTCAAGCATCTACAGAAAAAAAAACTATACCAGGAGGTTTCATAGGACCATGAGTTTCTGAAGATAAAATAGAAGATTTTGGAGAAACATTTTGCGGTGTTCTAAATCTTGAGTATTAACACAAAAAAAAAAGATCATACCCCGGAGGAGGCATCTTTGGACAATGTTTAGCCCAGTGATTCTTAGCACCGCAGTTAAAACAGCCTTCAAGCTTTTCCGTTACTATTTTCCTTACACCGTATACTTGTTTCTGAGTTTCAACACGTAATGTCTGACCAAAAAGCTCTGTACCATCTAGAGCATGGCATGCTTTAATACACGACTCAGGATCTACAAACTCCTATTCTTCATTCAGCATATTATAAATCACAATATAAACCACTGTATTTTTTACCACAAAGCCACATCCAATATTAGGTTTTAATTCAACATTAATAATAGTCCCAAAAGGAGAAAACTTTTCACGAAGATGATACATACGACACTGATTACTTAAATTTCCAACATAACATTTCAATGGACGTCCATCTTCTGTAAATGGCCTTGTAGCAGTACTAGGAAAAATTTGCTGATTAACTGATCCTACTGGTGCTTTCTCAATAGAAGTAGATGTCATTATTACTTATTAAAGGTAAAAAATAAAAATATATGATTCTTTTCTCAAGAAAGACTAATCTTATTGTTTTTGTTGTCAGTAATATCATTTCAAAAATATTTTCTTACTATCAGTACAAAAAACCAGGAAAAAACCCCAAAAAGAAGTTGGCTGAGTAAAAAATAATAAATAATAAAAAATAAACCAACTTTCCAAAAAAAACAGCTTTTAGGGAATTTTTTTTGTTTTTTTTTATAAGAATTTTTTTATAAGAATTTATATTTAGGATCGCCCCAACGTAACACGTAACGTAGGTTATCTTTATATTAAGATAAAATTTAAGATAAAATTGATAAAAAAGAATATAAAATAAAAAAAGAATAGAAATAAAATAAAGGAATTTGTGTTTTAAAGAAGCTTTTGATATTGTGTTTATATTTCTCTTTTTTTCGAGTAAAAATGAGAATATTTAAAGTATTTTTTTAGCAGGGTAAATATTCATTGATGATGAGAAATATAGGAATAATTTGTTTGGTAAAAGAAGGTAAAGACGTTTTCTTAAAGATGGATGTAGACATTTGCATTGAAAAATTATATAAAAAACAGCTTCTTAGTGAGCCAATTATCGAAACCATCTGTGATCATGCAAAAAGACTTCTTATGGAGGAAAGTAATGTTCTTCATATATGTTCTCCAGTTACTGTTGTTGGTGATATCCATGGGTCTGTATATATATCTTTTTTTGTTGTTTTTTATGTGGTCTAGGCAATTTTATGACTTGGTTGAAATTTTTAGGATTGGTGGATTTTGTCCGGATACTAATTACCTTTTTTTAGGAGATTATGTTGATAGAGGGCTTTTTAGTGTAGAGACTATTTCTTTGCTTGTATGTTTAAAACTAAGATATCCAAATCGTGTTCATCTTATCCGTGGAAACCACGAATCACGAAGTGTAACTCAAACATATGGTTTTTATACAGAATGCATTCGTAAATATGGAAGTGCTAATGTATGGCATCATTTTACTAATATGTTTGATTTTTTGACATTATCTGTTATTATCGATAATAAAATATTTTGTGTTCACGGAGGTATATATATATAACTATGATTTAAGAAATAAACATTTAGGTTTGTCTCCGTCTATCCATTCTATTGATCAAATAAAAATTATCAATCGTTTCCGAGGTACACAATGATTAATATAATTAGGCTTATAATAAGGTTTTTTTAGAAATACCGCATGAGGGTCCTATGGCAGACCTAGTATGGTCAGATCCAGATCAAGATAAACGTGATTTTTCTATTTCACCAAGGTGTTTTTAATAAAATAATACTTTTTATATTTAATTTTTTTAGAGGAGCAGGTTATACATTTGGCATCGATATTGTACAAAAATTTCTTGAAATTAATAATATGGAACATATTTTACGTGCACATCAACTATGTCATGAAGGATATCAAGTATTAATTTCCAAAAATAATGAGTCAAAATAAATAACTAATAATAGGTCTTGTATGATGGAAAACTGTCTACTGTATGGTCAGCACCAAACTATTGTTATCGTTGTGCAAATCTAGCATCTATATTAGAAATATATGACAATGGGGAAAGAAAATTCAATGTCTTTGATGCTGCACCAGAAAACGAACATGATAATCCATCTACAAATAACAACCAAATCAAGGTAAATAATTAAAAAGTTATTTCAATATTAATAATATAAAGTCACCTGTTGAATATTTCTTATAACAAAAATTCATATATTAACAATTAATCTTCATTTTTATTAGCATATTTACAGTTTTCATGTTAGCTATTTTTATATTTTTATATAACACTGTATATATTTTTAAAGATCTTGCCATTTAAATGATCCCATGATCAATATTTGACTAGGAAGTTTTCCAGGTAAGGGTGATAGTATAGTAAGTGTCTTTTTATTGTCATCTACATCGGATCTATGTCTTAATTAAAACAAAATTTAAATCAATATTCATTTTACACGTATATATATCCTGCTACTGGTGATTCTAGAATAACATCAACAGGATCGTTTGCATTAGCATGAGAAACAGCTAGGACAGAATTTTGTAGTATCGAAAAAGCATCTATTTTTATCATTTTGGGTCTTTGCAGTGGAGTGTCATGACCTATTGGTAATGCAGATGAGTGCGTGAATGTTTCTAAAATCAAAGTTATTCAAATATATATATAAACAAATTTCATACCTTCTTCTATTTTATAAACAATTAAACTGTCAAAGTCACAGATTATTGAATGTGGACTTAATGCATTTCTAAAGTCCCCATAAAAATATTTTCTTATTGCAGAGTGTTGTACTTTTTGTATAAACGGTGCTTCTCTAGTTACACATCCTCCAGATTTTTGAAGTTTAACAACATGTACTCCATTTTTATTGTCATATTTTCGTGTCATATCACTATATAAACGTTCAGACCCCAAAACAATTAATACATTTACAGAAAAATCAGAAATAATATTATGTATTATATCATAACCTTTGGATTGATCAATTATCCCTGACGTATCTATGATGCAACCTGAATATCTTGCTACACCCTCTAGTATGTATAAAAATATTATAATAAACATACTTTCCTTGGTTTCACTCATTTTTGACGCACACAAAATACTCAAACGAGAGATTAAGGACTTATAAAATTTAAAATTTTGTGTTGGTAAATCATAACCGTAATAATAAGATAGTGTTACTAAAGATGGATATTGAGATGGGCCTGTTGTCAATGTAGAACCAAACATATTTTCTACATCAAGAATTCCTGAAATAGACGTTACAGAAACAGACCCAGGAATACTCCCAATGTCCTAAAAATATAAATATACCTATTTCAGTCCATTTTGCATTTGATACTTCTCGTGTATCTAGATTCACAAGAATAGGTGTTCTTTTCTGTTTCAATGCATAGCCCGAAAGAATCCTTAAAAGCGTAGTTTTTCCAGAGTCTTCGGGACCTACAAGCAACACACGCGGCCCGTCTTCATCATTTTCTGTTGCATCTATCCTCAATTTTTCAATCGCAAAATGCATATTCATATACGCCAGCATTGGTGTCTCTTCAGCTAAATAATGAACCGACAAAGCTCCTTTCACATCAATTATGCATCCACGCCATGAAAATAGTGCTAATTTGACACCACTAAAAGTATAAATTGGCCCAATAGCTAATTCTGTACCAAAAATCTCGGCTGTACCTGATTTAACCTGAAAAACACAATTAAAATTGCAAAAAAAAATTTGGAAAGATTTATGCACCTCAATTTCCACACGGGAATCAAATTCTACTTCAAATCTAAACTCATGACATGCTGGAATAGTCCATGTCACCGTTTCTTCAGAAATCTATGTAGTAATCAGCAAAAACAGAAAAAAAAGCAAAAAACTTACTGTTTCAAGCGCTGATAAAGGAGAAAGATGCATTGCATAAAAAAATTACCTCTTTATTTTCATTTTCTTCGTCATCTTTTATGACATTTAATAGATATTTATATAGAACAAAAATGTAGGACGTCATGGACTGAGATTTCGGAAGTCTAAAATTCAGAAATAAATACAAGAAAATTATAATCTTTTATATTAAAAATACAAAAAACATTTTTCAAAAAGATAACCTTTACTGAAAAAAGTCTAATATATAAAAAAACTAAACTACGGATCACCACAGTAGATAGAAAAACCACGAAACTGTTCTTGCATGGCTTGAGTTAATATTGATTGAACAGGAGTTAAAATAGGAGGCTCATCTGCTCTATTGTTAGCTTAAAGTTTTAGAAGAAATTAAAATAATATACGTGTAAACTCGACATCAAAATTACTAGTATCTACGGCATTAACCTATTAAATATATTTTAAAATAGAAAAAAAGAATAAAAAATTAAACATACAACTTTAGGAAAGTACGGTGGATGAACCCTTTTATGATAGATATCATCCCAATTAATGTTTCTAAAAAATGGATGAGCCATTACTTCCAATGCATCGCTTGGACCAGATCCAAGACGTCGGTCTGGATCTTTGGTAAGAAGCTAGTGAAAATAAGTTAACTCGATATAAAAAAAAAGACAAAAAGTACCCTTTGAAGAATGGAAACAGATTCTCGAGGCATATGAATAGGATAGAGGGGTTCGTCCGACTGAATTGCATCAAAAATTTCATCTTCATCTTCACCGCGAAAAGGTGATTGTCCCAAAAGCATTTGATAAATTAAAACTCCAAAAGCCCACCAGTCGACAGCGCGTCCATAAGGTTGTTCATACAAAATCTAATATATGTAAAAACATAAAATAAATAAATAGAAAATATACTTCAGGAGCCATAAACTCTGGGGTGCCACAAAATGTATTCGTAGTGGAACCATACCACATATCTTCTTTACAAAGACCATAATCTGTCACCTTAATATGTCCATCAACACATAATAAAATATTGTCAAGCTTTAGATCTCGATAAACAATACCATTTTCATGAAAATGTTTTAAAGCAAGCAAAACTTCAGCAGCATAAAATCTATTTAAGTAAGACATAGGTGCAATTACTCAAATATAAAATTACTGAGCTCTCATTTGACCAAATTGTTCTCGCTGAATATGTAATAATAAGTCACCACCACTTACATATTCCATTACAAAATAAATTCTTGATTCGCTCTGAAAACAAGAATGCATATTAATAAGAAAAGGATGTTTTCCTTTATTAGCAGCAAGAAAAATTCGTTTCTCTGATGCTGTACTTCCTATCTCTTCATTTTCTATAATAGATTCCTTTTTTAAAACCTTAATTGCATACAATTGTTTTGTAGACTTAGTTTCTGCAAGCATAACTTTGCCAAAATTCCCTTTACCTAAAACTGCTAAAAAATTAAAATCATCCAGTCCAACTTTTTTTATATCAAACGAAGTAATTTTTGTTTTCATTGAAGACAAATATGATGCAGGTTTATTAACATAAACATTACCGGATAATTGATAATTATCAGTAGATGAATCAGAAGAATATGACTCATCTGTTCTTGTATAGAGATTTTCAGAATACCGATTATAATTATAAGAATATTTATTATCATTAGCTTGATATGTTATATTTACATTCTTTTCTTGATAAGACGTTATAGACTGACTTGAATCTCTTAAAAACTAAAAAGAAACATTAGTATAAAAAATAAAAAAAATAAAAAATACGTTTTCTTGATTTTCTTGTTTCTGGAACTCATTTTCATATTTTAAAGAAACACCTTGATAAGAGGTAGAACTATGATCCAAATCTAAATCTGATGACATGTTTCCTAGTAGAGCAGATGATTGTGTAGTTTCATTATCAGAGACATTAAAAGCATTTTTTGCAAAAGTAGAATGTGTGGAAAAAGACGACCAAGGCTCACGCGTTTCTTGAGTATTAATTATATCAGAAACATTTTTCTGTAGAATCGTCTTATCAGAAGAATAAGATGTTTGTTTATCTTGAGATTTAAAGTGGGACTCGTCTGTATTTTGAAAAGAGTTAAATGTAGCTTGAGAGAAATTCTTCGATGAAAAATAAGCCTTAAATTCATTTTTATCATTCTCATGAGAAAATCCATCTATAGACAATAAGTTATATGCTTCCGTATTATATTTATGATAATGACTTTGAACTTTTTTACTAATTATATTAAAACTATTTGATTGCCTTAGTTTTGTAATTTTAATTTCATTCAAAATTTGGTTAGCTACTTCCATTGACATGCCACATAGGTTAGGAATAAAATGTCGACATTGTGTATGACATAATATGCTACATTCTAAACATTTTTGTGCATTTTTTTTTCCAAGAGGAAGAATATAACCACAATGACAACACCAATTTGCGCCTATATTTGTAACTAATTCAAATCTATGAGGAATATGGTGATTAAGTTTTTCTTCAAGATCCTAGATATATACTTTCAGCTCATAAATGCTAGTTAGTCAAAATTAAACTTACTGTACTGGAATTTATTTTTGAAATACATTTTGTAATTACTTTAAGATAACATTTTTTATGGCAAGTGTATCTACAATCTATACATCGAAATCCTATAGCATTTTTAAGAAACTCGCTACAAAAAGCACACTTTATAATTTGATAAAACTGATGTTGAGCAAAACTATGACCATGTACTTCATAAACCGTTTTTTTCTTTTCACGAATTGCACCTTGTCTACCAAGACCCAATTTATGATTAGGGCGTTGATTTTTAGCGTTTTTTACTAAAAACTATTCATATAAGAATATAGAACGGAACAATATACCAAAATTCAAACTTAAATGTATTTGCCCTGCTGGCTCAAGTGAAAACCAAGTATCGATACTTTTATCTTCTGATGCTGCAATTTCTTTAGAGATATTGGATTGCTTTTGAAATGTAGACGAACAAGAATGAGAACTCGTTATATCAGAAGCATCTTTTGCAGGACTAATTCTACCGGAATTATTTTGCATCTTTTCTGCACTAACCCAATCAGGTCCTGAAACCTCTTTAATACGATTTTGGCGTAATTCTTCAGCAATATCGGATATCTGTATATAAAGGATAGCAATAGGAATAGATGAACTCCCTTGCTTATCATAAACAACAAATTCAACTTCATTAACCTTATTAGCTTCAATTTCAAAAGATTCTTGTTGCCAACGATCTGTTTTAGACATTCGTGTTGTAACTTCTGTCTTATCAACTTTAATTACTATATATGTTTCAGGTGTTCGAGATGTTCGATTAACGTGTTCAACATCTTGAATCGCATAAACTTTTCCCTTAAAAATACCAGAAAGTAGTCCCCTTACACTAGATGCATTCGCTTTTTCATCTAACAATATTAAATAAATACAGTTGTAATACAGAATTATTATACTATCATTCTGACTATCTTTATCAATGTCAATATGAAGATTTTCGTAGCGTTTTAATGCACGTTTTAATAATTGTATTTTATGAACACTCTGAATTCTCTTTAATTCAGCTTCGTTTCTATTTTTCTTATCATTTTCATTTTGATATAATTTAATTAATTTATCAAAACCGTCTTTTACTTGTTTCTCTACAGTAAGCTTAAATTCTAACAACTGTAACATCGTTTGTATTTTCACGCTTGTATATGGAGTATAGTATTTAAATAAATCTTTAAATAATTAAAAAAGAAGATCAAAAAAAAAAAAAAACCTAATTTAGTATATTGCTGTGTTGATTTTGATGAAACCAACAATCCTTCTGCAGAAACTTTCTCAGCATTTTCAAGATTATCTATAGAATTTTCTTTAACAATTTTTTGTGTTTCTGAAAAAAATACATCATTTGAAGTCGGTGGCTCTGATGATTCAATATTATCCTGCTCTTTCTGCTCGTCAAGAGATTCTTTCTTTTTCAACTGAAGTTCATGCAACATTTTCTCCAAATATGCTATATTTCTTTGAGATTCTCTAATATTATTCTCGAGACTTTGTTGAACTGTCTCATTTTCTGTCTGACTACGCATAGCTTGTGCACCTTGAATTAAAACCTTTTCTCGTTCAATCTTTTGATAAATGTCTCGAATTTTATCATCCATGTCCTAAGATATCTAAGTCTTTTCCTTATATTTTTCTAAAAAAGTCACCGTCATTGATAATTTAATCGATTTTTTTAAAATAAATCAAATACAAGATGAACCCTTCAAAAAAACAAAATAACTTATGTTTCTAACTTATTTCCTTTCTACAGAAAAGACTTTTTTCTAAAATAAATATTATGTTTTTAAGTTTTTTTAAATATCTATTTCATAATGCTTAAAATATCCGATATTCACGATTTGGGAGAAATTTCGAATATAACGTTTACAGAAAGATTTTTATAGATATATCTATTGAAATTAAATAAAATATTTTCAAAGGTGAAAGAATAAGTTTTATTTGTTAAAAATATATCTATTTTTTATAATTCAGATTTTATAAAAAACATATATTTTATGATTTTTTGGTATTGAAGGTATAAAATAAACTTTTTTAAATCCAAAACACAAAGTATCTATATAGTAACTTAAAGAATAATAAATAAAAAGTGGCACTTTTTAGTAAATTTATAAATTATATGTTATGTAATTATTAGATACAATAGAAGCTAATAGAAAATAAACATAACTAATTAAGAATATAAAGACGATTAGAAAGATATTCCATACATGGTAAAGTTTATTTTTATATATAGATATTATAGTTAAGTACAAAATGTTATATCTTGTGTATACAAATACCGAATAAAAGTTTTTAAATATTATCTTACTCCTAAAAGACGGACAATTCCAAAAGCAGAACCAGCAGCAATAATTCCAACTAACAGTGTTTGAAAAGCTGAATAGATTGAACGTTTTATAGATCCAATAAGATATACTGATTTGAGGTAGCCGAAAATGAATAAAACAGCAGCAACAACAATAATGCTAACTTTAAAGCCCATTAATGTATTATTATAGAAAACGAAGTAAGGTGCAAGAGGAATTCTAATAAAAATATTAATATTGAAGAAAAAAAAAGGAATATCTTACAATCCCCCTATGAAATAAGACATACCAATTGTAATAGCACTAAACCATGCAGTTCTAAGGGATGGTTTTTGTAAACACAAATCAAACCGCATAACAAAATTAACAAAATCAACTGGATTTTGTCTCAAATTAAAAATCAAAGGCTTACAAACTTCATTTACAATCCCATAAGACTGCAACTGGTTAAGAATCTGCTGCAATCTATTTTCCGGAGCATGTGTTAAAAGATCCATCTGTGTTTTACGCATATGCTCAAAATGGTCAACTTCCGACTTTGTAGCAAGATATCCACCCAATCCCATTGATACTGCACCCGAAATTAACTCTGCCATTCCTGCTGTTAAAACAATTTGGGTATTATAAAAAGATGAAAGGCCTGCTGCTAATGAAAAAGGCACTGTTAGCCCATCTGAAAGACCCTAAATTATATCAGTATAACTTCTTTTCTAAAGGCCTATTAACAATAATAATATCACTAACAATACGTGATGATTCCACTGAAATATCTCCACGTTTTTTATCAAATATTAATGACTCTGATACCTCCATTAATATATTTTTTTTCCTTAAGTCTTTTATTCATAAAATTGCTTTAAATTTTAGAATTTTTTTTAATTTCTTTTAGTTTTTTACTTAATTTTTATGAAAACTTTGTATTTTATATAAAATATATACGTGGCATATCTTTAAAAGTGGGGTACGAAGAAATAATTAACCAATCAACGCTCGTCTTTTTCTCAGCAATTAGTCAGCATTTGCCATGGCAACAGTATAGGTCTTAGGAGCACATCGAAACAGTTTAAGCAAGGATATTTAAATGTATAGATTGGGATTCAAAAACACATATATCAGAGTTTTTAATATATACATATGGTATTTTATTGTATTTTTATTGTATAAAAAATTCTTATTTTGAAAAACTATACATTTTAATAAAGTATTTTAATTTTTACTCTATTTCTATTATTTGCAATAAATTTTGATAAGTCAAAAGTTTCTGTAAAAATAATTATACTAAAAATAGAAACAAAATATGGACACAAAAACAATTTGTTACAATTAAAATCAAAGAAATTTTATGTCGATTTTTTCATTTTTTAATCAAGAAATATATTCTATTTGAATTTTTTTAACTACATCTTACAAAATATTTCAGCTTAATTTTTAAAATATTTTTATTCATATATTTATAAATATTTTATCACTAAAAATAACATATAAAATAATAAAAATAAAAGACGTGAATGTTAAAGATTAATTTATATAAAAACCTATAACTTTTTCTATAAAAAATGAAATATAAAAATAACAAAAAATGATATTTAAAAATTTATATAATTAGCAATATTTTTTTTAAATTCAAAAGAATATTTAGTTTCAAAATACTATTAATCTACAACAAAAAATACATGTTTGGTATACTAGAAATTCCCAATTATTAATGATTATTGTTCTAGGCAAACAAAATGATTTTCAAAATAAATATTTCACAAACAAAAAACTTATACCTAAAATCCATACTATAATCAAAAAACATCTTATACACTTGCATTTATATTCCTCAGTTTAAAAAACATTTGCCATTAAAAATGTTTTTACAAATAATACTAAAATGTATAAATCTTATTTTTAATTTAAAAAACAACTTACTATGCCTTAAACAAATAGAAATTAATATCTAACAAAAACCAATAGTATAAATGCTTTGCATTTTGCTGCATCTAACAAAGTCTATCTATTCCAATATATAATATATCATGTACCTTTTAGCGACCATAAAAACATTATCCATTTAAGAAAGCATAAAAGAAAATATAGAATCACCTAAAAAACAAAAAAGAAACATAAAATACTCCAACAACTTCGTTTTTTTCTTTTAAATTTAAACGTCAAAATAAAAAACCATTTTTTGAAAAATATTATAAATAAATTAGTCATAGATTACATTATTATATCTTTCATCTAAAAGTAAAATCTCTTTTATCTTAATAGGTGGGCAAAGTCCTAATTTTTCAGCTCTATTCCAACGGTTTAAACGAGATAATCCCCGAAAAGGTCCATATTGATAGGTTAAATCAAATTTATTTAAAACCTCGTCAATATAAGCATCATCTAAGGGATTTTCTAAATGCTTAAGTATCTAAATATACTATTATTTAATATTCATATACCTATATCTGCCTCACTTAATTCTTCAGCAAAAGAAACAGAAGAAACAGGTTCATGCAAAAGAGAAGATCCTTGTTTTTCATGTTTTTCCGATATTTCATTTTTCAATATATTTTTTTTCCCAAAATCATATATATGAGTTTTTGACCAATGAGAAGTCACTTTTGAAACTTTTAAAGATGGAAACGAATTTATTAACTTTTCCTGCTCATATTCTATTTTTCTTTTCTTTTTAGATGAAATAGTCATTTCTGCAATTAATATTTTTATTAATTTCCCAAAAATAACTTTTACTCTGCCAACTTTTTAATTACACTAAAATTATGAGATATCGAAAAATCAAGTTTAACTCTAAATTTAATACTTGAAAATTAATATGAAATAATGAATAAAACTATGATCAAAGATTCCAAAAAAGATAATTATTTTATATTTTTGAACAACAGTATTATTCTACTATATTAATATATATAAAAAATGATGAAATAGATGTTTTCCTATATCAAAAATAAATAATTTTTTATGCAAATAAAATATACAGAGATTATGAGTTCATTACATAGAATTCACCATTTTTCGTTTTTTTTATTATTCTTCCACAAGTAGATTAAAGATTTCATGTTTTCGTTGTTTTAAGATCTTTTTTTATAAAATGTCTATCAATATTTTAAGTGTTTAGCTTTTATACATTAAAAACCTGTCTTTTGTCAATAACATATAAAATTACACAAAGTTATACATTTTGAGCTTGACTAATTTATCCAAGATATGTCAAGAAGAAAACTCAATCCAATATTTTTTAATAAAATGAATTATCATAATTATTAAATGTATAAAATTAGTAGCGAATCAAAATCAAAAACAAAACCAACGCAGGAATAGTGGTAACAATAAAAGAACTATATGGTGTACTTGGATATATATTCCATGCATACTCTTGCAATGCCCATATTATAATCTGTAATACTATAGGTATACGTGTTTTAGTAAGAATATAAGGCATACTCCATGCAAACCAACAATAAAATTGATAATGCAAAGAGCGTGCACACAAAATGCCAATTAAATTAGATGTAAAAAGTGTTATAACAATGAGAGACCGAAGCTGAACATGTCTCCTGTGTGTTTTATTAATAAACAATGGCTTTGTATTTAACAAAGAGGATCCAATTTTTTTCAAAGAATAATCAGAAATTCTAAACATTCATTAGTTAGGAAAAAAACAAAAAATAAAAAAACCGATTCCACAGTCTACTTGAAAAAATAAAAAGCATTAATCCATGAATAAAAAACAATAAATATGAAAACTCCTTGGACAAAAAAACTGACTCTGGCAAAAACTTCCAATTAACGGTCCATTTATACAAAAATGTTCGAGAAAAATCAAAAGCACGAGAGATATATTCTTTTTTATAAGAAATAAACGGTATAGATAATAATGCCTAAAGAAAAATAAATATAATTTTAAATAAAATAGCATTGAGGAAACCACCTGAATCACAAAAACAACAAAAAAATGCCACAACATACACCTCAGACCCAACATTTGTAATAATATTATAGCTATTGCAGGAAAAAAAAGTAAAACATTCATTTTAATCCCCAATGCAATCCCAAAAAAACATGTACCAAATGTCCATAAATGCATAGCATAAGCATAAATCGCCATATATGAAAAAAGCATAACCCAACAATCATTAAACAGACGTAATAAATAAATACTATGAAGACGTTTTGAAAAAATTAATAACAAATATGCATAAAAAGGTGCCTAATAATATTAAAAAAGAAAATAATAGATCATAAAGTACATTTACTGAATAATAAATTTTAAGTACGAAAAAAAGTGTTACAAGATATACAAACATAAAAATCTGTTGACCCTTTATAATATTCTGCCCAGAATCTGTTAATTTATAAAGAAATGAATACAAATAGAGAAATCCAGCAGGATATCTTTAAAATTAAACTTTTCTTTAACATGAAAAACAATAACTTACACTATTGGGCCTGTACTACCTTTGATATGAGTATAATTTCTCTCACCAGATAAATAAAGAGAAACTTGAGTCATATAGGTTTCCCAGTCAATCTCAGTGTCTAAAAAGAGTAAAAAAAATATTTAGACTCCAAAATTTGAATAATCTACAAGAAACTTTTGATAAAATAACCATGCAAAAAAAAGTATCCAAAAGCAAAAAACAAACAATTGCATAAGAAGTGAAAAGAGGTTTAGAAAAAAAATAACGGATAGTGTAGCAAAATCTCCGAATTGTACAAATCATGGTCAGTTTTATAAATACTTTATATATAATTAAGGTATTCGATAAATTTTAAAATAAATATTTTTAATATTTTTAGAAATACATTTTTTATGATAAAATGAGATGTTTTATTACATATTTTATAATGAACTAATAACTTCGACCAAAAAGTGCAAATGTTATTGCTAATTCTCCACAAGCAGTACAATGAATAACACCTTCTTTCAAGAGATGTTCACCAGTCGGTTGTTCTAAAGGAATACAAAGACTTTTTGCGCCCATAGCTAACATATTTTCATCTTCTGAACCAGTACTTGATTCACTAGTGCTATTTTTTCTAATTTCTTCTTCACATAAAGATCTTTTACACCAAGGAATAAGTAAAAGTTTTTTTTTATTAAGTAAAGGAACAAAATCTTCCCACTGATATACAATTTGAACGTTTTCATCATATTGTTTTTTTGCTTTTTTGTATAAATCAGATTGAATTGTTTCTAACAAATCGAAAACAGAAGATAATAATTGTGAAAGAGGAATCTTAGTTTTCATACTCGTATCTCGACGAACAGCAACCACTTGTAATGCCTCATGATCCATAAGCCCATATTCCAATCGTAAAGGAACTCCCTAAAAAATAAATATTTACATAAAAACAGAAAACAAAATATACCATCATTTCCCAATGAGAAAATTTCCAACCTGGAGAATATGTTGTACGTAAATCTGATTTAACACGAAACCCCCCCTTTTTAAGAGTATTAACAATATTTGAAATACCATCCATAATCATTTTTTGTTGTTCAGTAGTAGTTTTAGCAGTAATTCCACAAGGAATTACAATAATTTGAGTTCTTGAGACCCTAGGGGGCATTACCAATCCTTTATCATCACTGTGAGTCATTACCATAATCCCAATTGCTCTTGTTGAAAGACCCCACGAGTTTTGCCAAACATAAAGTTTAGCCTTTTCATCATCTAATTTTGCATTTGGGTCCTCTACAGAAATATCAAACATTTTGCTAAAATTCTGTCCCAATGAATGACTAGTTGCAGCTTGAATACCCCTCCCAGTAGCTGGAATGAATCCTTCAATTGTTGACGTGAAGACAGCACCAGCAAATTTTTCTTTTTCTGATTTTATACCCTTAATAACTGGAACTGCAAGCAATTCGACATATATTCTTTCATATAAGTGTAAAATATTAAATACCTCTTTCTCCGATTCTTCTTTATCTAGATATGCTGTATGACCCTCTTGCCAAGAAAACTCCCGAGTTCGTAAAAAAGGTTCTACACTGTCAGTACAAAATATATTTATTTATATTGTTGAACTTACGTGGATGTTTAAACTCCCATCTGACGACAGAATTCCATTGATTAAGTTTTAATGGTAAATCACGATAACTTCTTATCCATTTAGAAAAATAAGGATACATAATCGTCTCAGATGTTGGACGAATAGCGATTGGCTCTTCAAGATTAGAATTTCCACTAGCAACATTAAATATAAATAATAGTTATAATATATATCTATTACGCTTTTGTAACCCATGCAACTTTAAGTATTAATAGAATTTATCTTATATCATATCAATTACCTTCTGGAGCAAATCCTTCTATATGATCTTTTTCTTTTCCAAGAGCTTTTGAGGATACAAACATAGGAAAATAACAGTTTTCTACTCCTAATTTCTTAATTTGCATATCAAACCATTCTACACTGATATGAGCAAAACTAAAAAAAAAAAAACCATAATTACTCTGTATTTGTTCCCATATGTAATAAGATGCTGGTTTTAATATATAGCACCCCGAAATATCATAATAGTCGATCAAATATGAATTAAGAAAATAAAAAGTAATACGCTTAAAACTTACCATATCTCCTTTAATCAATACTTGACGATACCATTCAGAAAAATCATCATTTTTTTTAACAGTAATTCCAATTAGTATATTATCATGTTTAGCTGGTTATCAATTAAAGACATAATAATAGGAAAACAGAAACCAACACTCTTTAGAAAAATTAAGCGTAGACTTTGGAGGAACCTTCTGTTGCTGTCTAAAATTTAATTAGTAAATATATCTTTTAAAAAAATATACACAAAAACTTTAATAATAAATCAGTTTTCCAAACACCCAGATGTAAGAAATGATCTAACAACTGAGAATGTGTAAAAAATATAGTTCTACATGTTGATAACAAACGAAATGCAAGTAATCGGCTCTCAAGAGATATTCGTGAATCTAAAACAACCCGTATCTTTGATGCATTCTCTTTTGTAATACAGAGAGGTGACACTAAAAACAGTCAAACAAAACTTTGGTTCGTTATAAATTTATAGACCTTCCTCTTTTTTCACATTAAGAATATCAAACACCAATTCAGAAGAAGCTTTTCGCAATGCTGTGCACTCTAAAGGTCCTGCCAAGGACACCAAATCGATTTTTGTATCAGAAAGACCAATTATAAATGCTAATACGCAATTTTCAGACACTGAATTCACCATTTCAAAAACCCATATTCTTGTCAATTGATATTCAAGCAAATTATCTTGTTTTTTAAGCATTTTTTTCCAAGATGCTTCAGAAGAGGCTTCATCATGTTCAATTAAATAAAGAGAATCTATTTTCAAGCGCTCAATTGCTTCTAAAAGAGCACTTTCATCCATTTTATATCTAGAAAGCTTTATTTTTTTGCTTGTAATCGTTTACTCCACACAAGAAAAAATAAGAAAAAAAAAGAAAATAAAAAGCATCAATAAGTGCTTAAAAACAAATGGCTCAACTGTTTCAGCAGAAATCAGAATCAAGTATATGTAAGTCTTTATTTTTGTTTTTTAGTGGCAAAAATTGACAAACATAGTCTTGAACGGAGAAAAAATCAGTGGATCAGACGTCCGTGATCAACATGGTAGGTAGAACACATACAATAGTATCCATAAACTCTTAAATAAGTGTGGATGATTAAAAATATTTCCTATAAGCAAATTCACTTTTCCTATATTTGGGTAATAATACTATAATAAATTTAAATGGCTTTGGTAATTTCATATAATTACGGATACTTTATTGGGTCTTAAAAGATATTATACTAACTCATAGTGTTTAGTTCTTGCAGCACAAACACTTTCAAATCTTTTAAAATCATCATTTGGCCCAGTAGGCCTAGATAAAATGCTAGTTGACGATATTGGCGATGTAACAGTTACTAATGATGGGGCAACTCTTCTTTCTATGTTGCATGTCGAGCATCCAACAGGAAAAATATTGGTTGAACTTGCACAACAACAAGATAAAGAAGTTGGCGATGGGACAACATCTGTAGTGATCATTGCGGGTAAAAACAAGATTTTTTATCAATGGTCAAGTTTGAGCTAAAATTTCTTGTGTTTAGCTGAATTATTGCGTCGAGCAAATGAACTTGTAAAAAACAAAATCCATCCAACAACAATTATTACCGGTTACCGGCTAGCTTTAAAAGAAGCTACAAAATATCTCACTGAAGTGTTGCAAGTCAAAGTGGATCATCTTGGAAAAGACTGTTTGATCAATGTTGCAAAAACAAGCATGTCATCAAAAGTAATCGGAAGGTTTTAAACTTTTAATAAACTTTTTTATTCTTATATGTATATTAGCGACTCGGACTTTTTTGCAAACATGACAGTTGATGCTATTCTTTCAGTTAGAACAATAAATGCTAGAGGAGAAATAAAGTATCCTGTGAAAGCAGTAAATATTTTAAAAGCACATGGAAAGAGTTCTCGAGAATCGATTCTAATCAAAGGTTATGCAATAAATTGTACTGTTGCGAGTCAAGGTTACTACTTTAAAAAAGAAACAAAAAACTAAATATCTATTTAGCAATGAAAACTAGGATTGTTAATGCAAAAATAGCATGCTTAGATATAAGTTTACAAAAAACACGCATGGCATTAGGTGTAAACATTGTAATCGATAATCCAGACCAGCTAGAACAAATTAGAAAGCGGGAATCAGATATGGTTGTGGAAAGAATTCAGAAAATTCTTGCATCTGGTGCCAATGTTATCTTTACAACAAAAGGAATTGACGATCTATGTCTAAAATTTTTCGTAGAAGCGGGAGTTATGGCTGTAAGAAGGTGTAAAAAAGATGATTTAAGAAGAATAGCAAAAGCAACAGGAGCTACATTGATAAGTACAATGTCAAATATGGAGGGGGAAGAAGTATTTGAAACTAGTTATCTCGGATATTCAGATGAAGTCTCGCAAGAACGTATTTCTGATGATGAATGTATCCTTGTAAAAGGAACCCGTGCGTTATCATCTGCGTCTATTATATTGAGGGGCCCAAATGGTGAAAGTGGCTAGTTGTTTGAATTTTCCTGATATAATTAGACTATCAATTAGACGAAATGGAACGTTCTCTTCACGATTCCTTATCATCTGTCAAAAGAACGCTAGAAAGTGGCTTTGTAGTGCCAGGGGGTGGTGCTGTAGAAGCATCTCTAAGCATCTATCTTGAAAATTTTGCAACTACATTAGTTTATTCACTTTATAATATTATTCAAAACGCAATTAACATATTCTATAGGGATCTCGTGAACAACTCGCCATTGCAGAGTTTGCGTCTGCATTGTTGGTCATTCCAAAAACACTTGCTGTCAATTCTGCTAAGGATTCATCTGAATTAGTTGCTAAACTGCGTGCTTATCATGCTGCTAGTCAAAATGATACAAAAAAAAATTACAGAACATACGGGTTAGATCTAAAAGCAGGAAAAGTACGCGATAACATTAAAGCGGGTGTCCTTGAACCTTCAGTTTCCAAAATTCGAAGCCTCAAAAGTGCTGTTGAAGCATCCATTGCCATTCTTCGCATTGATACATCAATCCAACTTAACCAAGAGAAACAAGAACCTCCTGAGAATATGCATGAGCATTAATAACATCTTTTCATGTATTTTTTTTATACTGAAAATATAGATAAAACTCTCATTCTTCGTGCCTGATACGTTATGAAAAATCACTGTCAAATTAAATAACATATAGATTAGAAACATAAAGTTAATATCTTTAAATTTTTGTATGAGAATTAATATTTTGTTACTATTTTAGCGTTTTTAACTATCTTTTTACTTTTTCTAAGTAAAACAATCAACATTCAATATTTATTGAAAAAAAAAAACTATTTTTTACAGAAAAAAAAGAAAATTAAAAACACATTGAGAGAAAAAAGTGTTTAAAATAAGATATTTTATTTTTTATGGATCTTTTATCTGAAAAGGAAGAAAATAATTATAATATTAAACAAAATTTTCCAGACGATATTTCTCCTCGTCTTGCTCTGTTGTTTACAAGAATACAATATAGAGGGATGCAACCACTATTTCCAGCTTCCTGGAAGGTAAGTATTTAATTCTGATTCTATTTTATGAAAAAAATATAGATAGATTTTCTTGGATTGCCCTCTACACTTTTTGTCCAAAATAATTCTAATTTTAGACCCCCTCTTTGCTCTATGAATAATAGTGATGGAGGAGAATTCAGAGGTTTCACAAATATTATTTTTTTTTATTTACTTAAAGTTATTTTTTTAGGAAAACTAGCTTTTAAAAGACTTATGTTTCTTGGACGTGATATTCGAGATAAAATTCAACTAAACAAAGAGTATCATTTATCTCATGATTCTCATTCTATTGAACCGTATATCTTAAATGAACTCAAACGTTTTCAACAATGGATGGAGAAAGATAGTCTAGGATGTACTAATTGTATCCCTCTTTATAAATATATTTAACATTCTTATAGTATATACACCAGAAAAAATTAAAATTCCATATCTTATATTTGCATCATCGTGTTATTCTGATTTTTCAAAAAATGTGGATGTAAATATCAATAATGATTATATAATTGTTGCAGAAAAAATGGAAAACAAATTACGTGAAGCTGCTCAATATCATCGACAAAGAGTCCTTTCAAGATATATAGATCAATATTCTTACGTTTCTTCAACACCTCTAGATGAGAACGAAAATACTCTAACAATGATTAACAAATTCCCTACAATTTATGGATTTGCTATATGTGGATCTCAGGTTGCAATTGTTTCATTAAATTCAAGTGATTCAAAGGTATAATCTATCTATATGAATATTTCCTTAATTCTTTTATAGAATCCCATTCGAACCTTACTTGTTATAGATTATTGTAATATTACACAAGATTTATGGTCAGCTATTGCTATATCATTGACTATGGTTGCTTCTAGAGATGAAGCAATAGAATGGTCATGTTTTGAAGGAAGTAACGATATATCGAAATTAACAAAACAAATGGCTTCTGTAAAAATGACAGAAGATATTGATTTTTAGTTTATTAAATTCACCACTTTTAATTTGGATATGCTCATGATTCTTTTTTTTTTAGCAGTTCACATTATAAATTAAAATTGCAATTCTTTGCATGTAATTTAATATTAATTATATAATGCACTTTGTTTTTTCATTTATTAAAAACGTTAAAAAACTGTAGGATTAAATACTATTTTTAAATTTCTAATTAGAAATTGTATATCTTAAAGAAATTCATAAAAAATTAATTTAATTATTTTAAAAATACATTAACAAAATATTACAGATTTAAAAAATACATATCCATTATATAGTATCATAAATACTATAAACACGATTTAGCAGCTGAATATTTCAAGAATAAAAAATCATATTACATAACTTAATATTTTAATATATTTTTAATAGATTTTTAAAACATAAATATCTATTAAATAAACAAAATCAATAATATTAGAAAGTCTATATGCAATATAATATTTTAAAAAAGGCTAAAATAATTCAGCTAAACTTTGAACTTGAAAAAAAGAAATATACCATAAATACTAAAATTTAAAATACCGAATTAAAATAAAATTGATTCTTATTATATAAAATTTTAAATTATTTCCGAATAAAAAGATAAACATGATCATGCGAAAGTCGATTAAGTTTTTTATATGGACCTTCAAGACACATTAAAAGCCCACCAAAACTTACATATACGGATCTAAAATAATTTAGTTCTTTTTTAATCAATTAGAAATTCCAACACTCGATCCTTTTCTCCTTCATCAAATCTATAAACTTTCCCATACATAATATAATCAGCACTGTCTTTAAAAGCATCTTGCAACGTTGATGCAAGCTGGACAGAAATCGATTCATCAGGCTTCAATGGATATAATTCAGAATTAATATCTAAAGTCATCTCTATATCTTGCAAAGATGAAATAGCAACAATTCTTGAGACTAAAACATATAAAAAAGAAAGAAATTAAGAAAAAGAATAACCTCTATCAAATTTTTGAGAATCTACTGAATTTATATGAAAAATTTCATCAATCAAAATTGTATCTGTAGATAACATTATTTCTAAATAAAAAAACTTTCAATTATGTAAAAAGATGAAAAAAATAAATAATATACACTTCTTTATGTTTATTGTAAAAAATATCACAAAAAATGTATATAAAACTTTGTCTTAACTCTTGTTTCTAACTTTTATCTTTTTTTACCGTTGCGATTTCCAACATCCTCTTTTTACTATTAAAAGCAGATAATATGATTTATCAATTAAATAGCAAAAATTCTAATCAATTGTTAAAAAACAAAATATTTTCATCAAAGGCAAGTTAATGTTTTATTGCAATGTATTTTTTTATAATATTTAAGGTACTTTTGGTTGGTGCAGGTGGAATTGGTTGTGAGTTACTTAAGAACCTTTTGCTATCTGGATTTAAAGAAATACACATTGTAAGTTATTATTTATACTGTTTAAGTGACTAAATACATTTATTATGTATTTAGATTGATTTGGATACAATTGATCTGTCAAATTTAAATAGACAATTTTTATTTCAAAAAAAACATATTAAAAAACCAAAAGCATTAGTATAAACATAAAAAAGTGTTTTCTTGAATTAAAATCTTAAAGATTGCAAAAGAAAATGCTCAGAAATTTAATTTAAAAGCCAAATTGGAGGCATACCATTCAGATATTAAAGATCCAAAGTTCGATGTCTTTTGGTTTCAAAAATTCACACTAGTATTCAATGCATTAGATAATCTTGGTAACTTTCAGAAGGGTTCTAATGTATAATATTTATATGAATAGATGCTCGGCGTCATGTCAACAAAATGTGTTTAACAGCAAACGTCCCTCTTATTGAAAGTGGAACGGCAGGATTCTATGGACAAGTTCAAGTCATTATTAAGGTATTTTGTTCAAAGAAGTTCTTATTTTCTAATATTCAAGGGAAAAACGGAATGTTATGATTGTAATCCTAAAGAAATACCCAAAACCTATCCTATCTGCACGATAAGAATGACACCTAGTTCACCTATTCACTGCATTGTTTGGGCAAAAAACTATTTGTTTCCGTAAGTATTAAAAAAAAGTAATCAATTCTGAAATTTTAGACATATCTTTGGTTTCGATGAAAATATACTTGACATAGAAATCTTTGAAACTGAAGGTATTCTTAATCTATATATAAGCTTTTTTTATCTTTTTCTTAGAACATAACATAAACAATCTACATACAGAAAAGAACTTTTTTAAAAACATTAAAGATTCTATAGGCAATAAAGATTTCCCTAAAAGATTATTTAAAAAACTTTATTATGATGAAATTATAGAATTGAAATCTTTAGAGGATATATCTAGAATATTAAAAACAATAAATCCTCTTTCATATGAGGATTTAAAATTAAAATCATGTGCAATTGATAAAGAAAGATTAAAAAATGGTCAATTAGTATGGACTATTGAAGAAAATTTTCACATGTTTTTTTCAAGGTAGGAAACAATTTTATAATATTTTTTAAATATAGAATTATTTTTAATTTATAAGTTTGGAAAATTTAAGCAAAAGATTTCTTTCGTTATCAGAAACATCTTCAAATAATAAGCCTGTTATCTTATTCGATAAAGATGATGAAGACTCTTTGAATTTCGTATCAGCGTCAGCTAATCTTCGATCTTATATTTTCGGTATTGAACAAAAGTCAAAATTTAAAATTAAACGTAAGATACATAATACTTATTTAATTGATTTATGACTAGAAAAGAAATGGCAGGAAATATTATACCCTCTATTTCTACTACAAATTCTATAATTTCTGGCATTTGTGCTTTACAAGCATTTCATGTATTATCTAATAATTTAAATTCTCTAAAAACAGTATTTACTAAATCTTTTTTTCAATGTCTAGACTAAATTTATAAGGTGTTTTATTCACGACGCCCAGAAAAAGTATTTAATAGCGAAGCTGCAAGCCCTCCGAATCCTCAATGCAAGGTATGTGGAGTGGCAAGATCTATATTTTCAACAAATATTCATCTTACAACACTTAAAGATTTAGTTATAGATGTTTTACAAAAAGGATTAGGATATGGGAAAGAGATAAGTATTATAAGCGATAGATTACTATATGATATTGAATTTGAGGATAATCTTGATAAACTACTTAAAGACATTGGTGTTCAGAATGGAACATTTTTGACTATTATTGATGAAGAAGATAATGAAGAAGAACCAAACAGAAAAAATCTAATATTAGTAATAGAAGAAAAGTATCATTCTACAATGTTGTTTATATTTTAACATATATAGAACCTTTGAAAATGCCGAAAAACCATATTCTATATTAAATATTTCAATTCCTAGATATTTACACAATTACAAAACTCAAGAAAACAAAACTGATGAAGATAATGAAAAAAATATTTCCGATTTAAAAAGAAAATCCGATTTATCATATCTTGAATCTGATACAATTTCTAAAAAAACTAAAACAAATCATATTATTATCGATGATGATGATAGCGATGTTGTTATATTAGATTCTACGTGATACACCTTTTTACATACCACCATCTATATATAATGTAGTTCCTGTTATAAATTCATTGCATACAAGAAAAACAGCAGCAGATGCAATTTCTTCTATATTTCCAAATCTTTTTATATGATTAGAAGATTCTGCTACTTTTCGTTTTTTTTCATTCAGTTCTAATACAAATCAATAAGGCATTTTTTCCATCTTCAATATTACGGCTTAACATAAATGTATCAACATATCCTGGTGAAATTGCGTTCACTCTAATTCCTTTAGATGCCCATTCTGCTGATAATGCTTTTGTGAATCCTTCATTCTTAATAAAGATCAATATATAGATTTATTCACCTGATATTCCTGCCTTTGAAGCGGCATAAACAGTAGCACCAACACCTCCACCCAATATTATAGAAGAAGAAATATTAATAATAGAGCCTATCCTAATATATTAAAATATTATTAAGAAAAAAACAATTTACCGCCTTTATTATTAAGAAAATGACGAAGAAATACACGGCATGCGTAAATTGACCCTAAAAGATTGGTTGAAACAATATTTGCAATTTCATCCATGGGCATTCTTGGGAATAACATGTGTTGAGATATACCTTGGCATTTTAAAACCCACAAAGCAAATGAAAACACCTTACCTGCTGCATTTACAAGTACATCTAACTTATCAATTTTTTTAGCAAGTTGGATCCATTCATCTGGATCTTTAACATCCAAAGAATAATATTCGTGAATATTTTGAAAAGGAAGCGTAGAAAGGGCTTCTTTTAAGCGATCCTTATTCTTTGAAACTAAAATACAACGATTCCCTTCTTTTGCAAACCTTTGTGCAATTCCTAGACCAATTCCTCTTGAACCACCAGAAATTAAACAGGTTTTTCCCTGAAAAAAAGTAGAAAACAAAAAATATTCATTAAAAGAAGGATAAATATTGTATTTCTGATATAATTTCTTAAAAAATAGCTTTTTAAAAATATATTCTTTAAAAAATATTTTTCTACTGATAAGCATTGTCTCAAATGTATCACCATAGAAACAAATAACTAGCAATCAGTAAAAGGCAAAAACTTATCTAGGATATAATTTAAAAATATAAAAATATTTGCTTTAAAAGAAACACCAGCCTTTATTATAGGCTGTTCTTTTTTATTTTTCTTTTTTTAAAGTACAATATCATTTATGACATAACTCGTTGAAATAATATGCTTTTATAAAGAGTTAAGAAACCAAAAAGATCATATAGAAAACAATTATCCAGACATATTCCTTTCCATATCTTAATTAGGCATATACCAACCATATGTGCAAAAATCAAATATAGCCGATCTCTAAATGCTTGAGTAACGATTGAATGGAAAACCATTGTATAAAAGCAAGTCTGACATTACAAAACAAATATACAAAACAGATGAAAAGAAATTTTAAAAAGTTTTTGGTGATAAAAATAATAAACCATCCAGACTACATGAAAACCTGTCCCAAACCCATATTCACACATATCAAAAAATATATCAACACACTTTTGAATTGCAGGCAACAATTTTTATCTTATCTGCCACCATTGTATCATTTTCTAGCCGAAAACATGGATTTTTAATAATAAATGTCCAAACCTCATCACAAAACCTATATGTATCCAAATGCCCCTAATCACTGTTATTCTCTGAAAAAAACCTTGCAAGCATCCAAAGCATCTATTGGCACAACTCAACAAAACTTACACGAAATGTCATACGGGATTTCACTTTTTCCGTCAAATTATCCGTAATGCTTTTGTCAAACTATCTTTTTAGCTTATTTGTCTCTAAATAACAGGCAACCACAAACAACCGCCTATCTACTCACATTTAAAAGAATTTTCATTGCAAGTTGTGGCGGAATCTGCCCATCACGAATCAAATCATCTAGTGCATCTGTCAACGAAATACCTATTCATCTTAAATCAGCATTTTTCAGCCGAAAAAAAGAGCAAAAAACGCTCCATATGCTTCTTTACCAATAGAACTTCTTCTATACAGTTCATAATACTGTGTACTCGTCATTTTTCACTCTTTTTTCGCCTTTTTCTCCTTTAAAAATTCACGTATCGTTCTCGAGTACTTTCGAAAACTCGGAACTTCACTGCACATCTTCTAAGTCTTAGTGAGCCCCTTCGATCAGCCATCGGTACACATATACGGTGTATATCATACATATATTGCAGATATATTCTATATAAATAAAAAAGGTACTTTTTTCTAATTTTCAGACACAAACTTGACATTTACATTTATATATTTAGTTCTGTATATTGACACTCACCATATATATTGTTACGTAGTGTTTGTGGTCAGAGACATATACATATATTATATATATATCCATTGTTCTGTTTTCAGCTTTTTTCATGACAAACACAGCAGAAAGCATGTCTGATTTTTTATTTATAAGTAGTTTTTTATACAGAAAGGCCTTTTCAGCCTTTGACAATTGGCACAGATGACTTTTTTTCAAAAATCAGTCCATATGCATGGGGTTTACTTGGTATCAGTATATGTATTGGTCTTAGTGTTGCAGGTGCTGCATGGCATGTGTTTTTATGTATTGGTAAATACAATCTCATAAAAATAGGGGCATTTTTATTACAGGAACAAGTATTCTAGGTGGAGGTGTCAAGGCACCGTATATACAGACAAAGAATCTGATTAGGTGAAGATAAATAGAATGACAAAAGCCTATATGTGCTAATGAAGCATTAACAGCATTATTTTTTGTGAAGTAGTGGCGATATACGGGATTATTATGTCAATTGTATTCAGTGCAAAGTTACAAGAGGTGGTAGGACCAGACTTGTATACAAGACAGAATTATTATACAGGTATGGAAAAAGAGGTATATAGACTTATATTTACAAGAGGAACAGGATACTCACTTTTCTGGGGAGGAATGACGGTGGGGATATGCAATTTGACATGTGGAATAGCAGTAGGGATTACAGGAAGCAGTGTGGCGCTTGCAGATGCACAAGATCCGAGTTTGTTTGTGAAAATTCTCGTAGTGGAAATTTTTGGTTCAATTATAGGTCTTTTCGGGTTAATAGTGGGGTTATTGGTGAGTACGATATTATATATAAGATCCAATTGAGTTGTTTCAAGATAAGCGGAAATGCGGCTAGTTTCAGTTAAATATTTAGATGATAGTTGGATGGTTCATAAGCCAATATGTATATAAACTGAAGGTTTATAGCAGGATTTCCTGTAAACGATTGAAATAAATTCCTTGTGGATGACTCATGTTGATAGAAAGCTTAAATACAACAGTAGAAACAATGAATTAAATTTCAAGGCTAGGTTTTCAGTAGCTTTTTTCAAATTCTATAAAAATTATTTGATTTAATGTTTTTTAAATTAATCTGTTTCCTCGGATAAATTAAGAAGTCTATCAAGATTAATTTCTTATGCATAAAATAAAAAAAGATTTACGAGTATTGCTTTAAAAGAACGCATTCTCCTCCATTTTCCAAGCTAATATCATAATAATATAATTGTCCTTCAGAAGTAATAACCATAAGTTGTGAAGAACTATCATCGTTAATATAATTCAGTAAAAAAAAAGATATAAAAATATCTATACGTAGAAAATCAATACCTGTTAAATGCTGCTATATTTTTAGTTTGATGACCAGGAATTTTTGCATAAGCGAAATTTCTAGTAGGCTCCCAGATTTCTGTCAATGTAGTAGGCAAATAATTTTCTATAGTAGTTATAAAATTTCTTCTAATAAAATAAGATGATCTTCTAAAGCTTCTTCTAATTTCATTAAAAAACTAAAAACGATAGTGATAAATTGATTGATTTACTTTATAATCGACCGTTTTTTTTCTAAAGATTCACATGATTTTGATAAAGATGGCATATTATAACTCCGTTTCCCTTTATTAATTTCATCAGGAAAAAGCTTATATATATGTACCGTTTCTGTATTAGATGTAACACAAAGAAAATTAGAAGTTAAACTAAAATTTATACTATATATTTTTGCTAGAGAAGTTCCTCTTCTAAATTCATAAAGCTTCGTACCACATGGTATAGAAAAAATTCGTATAACAGTGCCCCTATCAGAAGACGTAGCTAACAACGTACCACTGTTATTTAAAGATATAAATGCCAAAGGAGATTTATGTGCTTTAACAATATTTATCGGTTGTAAAGTTAATGCATCAAAAAGAAGAACATCTCCACTCAAAACTGAGGACTTTGAGTGACTCATCTTTAATCTGTATGTCGAAGTATGGAGTCCTGATGATAATAAATTCGGTAAAGGATAAGCAATATAACAGTTTTCTGAAGAGTATGATAATGAACAAACAGCTTAAACAATATATCAGAAAATTTATATCCAAAAATACTCCTTCACACTACCAGACGGATTTGGTGAAGTTTCAATCGTATGAAGAAGTTTCATATTGCTAATATCATAAATATAAATTTGTTCTTCAAGAACAACAATTAACCGACGCCGATTTAACTTAATCGATAAAACTAGCGTTGGAAACGTGAGTTCACATATAATAGATTGACGCTAGACTAGTTTAAATGGATATAGAAACAAACCAAGGAATACTTTAGTATTGAAAATTTGTAATCGTCTGGGTGACATACTTGGATGACCACCCATACCCACTAATGCGACTAAAGAGGTACAAAAAAGCATTTCCATAATTCCTTTAACTGTTTAATCCATTTTGTGTCTTTCTTGCGCATTTTTACCAATGCCTCCATCCACTACCTGAGACTCAGTATTGTTGCTATAAAAATAAAAAATATAGATAATTACATTTACTGTAGCATTTTCTAAAAGGATCACATGTATAAATTCTATATCCATACTTTGTTCCAATACTTAGACAACTTTTTTCCTTAAAAAAGATAGTAAAAAACTAACTTTTTACCTGAAATCTTGGTTAAAATTAAAGCATAAAAGCTTATCATAATCTTTATTCATAGGAAAACTGACAAAATATTGGAAAACTGAATAGATAAAATAATTATTTTGAACAAAAAAATCAAATATTCTTATTTTTTAAGTCGCCTTCTAAATAATTTTTAAACACCGAAGATTAAACGAGATCGAGATAACATCTAATTTTTAAAATTATCAAAGCAGAAAAAAAAGTCAAAATAAAAATATTTAAAGAAGAAGCGCAAAGAAATATGCAATTATTTCTTTATAAACTAGAAAAATATTTTAAATAAAAAGAAAATCTAAAAATCACTAAAGAAATGCAAAAGTCTGATAAAAAAAATAGAATTATACAAGGTATAATACCATTTTTTTATGTTTAAATAGGTTAAAATAAAGGATAAAGGGACAAATGACGCGTCTATTGTTTCTAAACGTTCTGCAGAATATCATGGTTATCCCTTTTCTAAAAATCAATATCTGCGAGCATTTGTTAAAAAACCAAAAAGAAGATCTCCAAGTATTTATAATTGATTTAATTTATTTATCTCTTTCTAAAGTGCATAGTAATCAACAGAGGGTATTACATTCGTTGTAAAGCAATAGATACAATTATACAAAATGTATTATTTTACTTTTTTTCTTTTATTATTGATATTTTTAGTTTCTTTTAGAAGAAAATAATATGAAAAAAGTTGTTATAAATTTAGGATGTGGATAGTATGTTTTTAATATTTTATTGAGAAATCTAAATATATAGTGATTCTTTGCCATTTCGATACATTTCAGAATCAAGGTTCAACAATGTATTATTTTTTGATATTGATTTTCCAGATCTTATAGAAAATAAGAAATCTATAATTGAAGAAGATCATGAATTGAAGAAAATGTCTTTGAAACATATATTATCTTCCACAAATCAATTAGAATTACAATACCAACTTATCGGGTGTAATCTAGAAGATATGGATTCATTAAAGATAATCCTTAAAGAAAAATGCCCGAATCTTGAAACTATGAATATATTATTTATATCAGAAGTAGCAATGGTATATATGGAAACGAAATTTTCTGATAGAGTGATAAGTTGGGCATCTTTTTTTCCTTATGGTAATATACATTGTAAAAAAAATTATAGTAACTATTATTAGCAAGTTTTCTTATTTTAGAACAGATTTTACCATCTTCAAAAAATCATCCTTTTGGAAAGACTATGATATCACATTTTAACAAACTAAAGACACCTTTGTATTCATTAAATGAATATTCTACTCTTGAATTACAATATAAACGGTTCTTAAATAGGGGATGGAAATATGTAGAAGCATTCGACTTATGTACGTTTTGGTATTGTGGTATTGATGAAGAAACAAAAGATAAAATAAATTTAACAGAAGAATTTGACGAATGGGAAGAAATAATATTATTTCTTCAGCATTATTGTCTTTTAATTGCTAAAAATTTTTCATCAGAAAAACAAATTTTTTTAAATCCTCCACCCAAAGGTTTTCAATATTTAAATTCTAACAAACCACGATTTTTGAACAATCATATAATTAATGACTTTAACTTAGACTCTTTATTAAAAGCTCAAAAGATTAAAGGAAATATGCTATTTCATAGAAAATTTGGAGCAACTACATTATTTAATCAAAATTCTATTATTTACCATGGCGGTATTTCTGAATTAGGTCGTGATGAAAAAATATTCATAATAACATATAAAGGAAATGTGGTTCCTGAGTTCAAAACACAATCTTTAAGCCCTCGTGTATGTCATACTTTGGACTATTTTTCTCAAGATAATGTTTTATTTTGTGTCGGTGGAAGAGAATCTCCATCTAAATTATCAAATTCAGAAGAATTTAATCATTTAGCACAAAATACAATAAAAACAGAGTATCATATCAATCGTTATAGACATGGGATGGTTAAAATTACTCTTCAAAAAGAAACTAGATTTATAGTATTTGGAGGTAATGAAAGAACATATCAACTCGCGGATAAAGAATGGATGATATGGAGTCACAAAAAAGGTTGGGAATTGCTAGAAATTACTTCAAAAAATAAAATACAACCACGATCTGGAATGTGTATGATTTGGTTGCCTGAGAGAAAAGAAGGTATTATTTGTGGAGGAATGAATAAAAACGGGATTATATGTGAAGATATATGGACATTTAAAATAAACATTTTGGATGATAAATGGACGTTGGAACTTATACCGTGGTCTAATCTGTCTATCTTAGATATTCAACGTGTATCTCGATTTGGTGCAAAAGCAGTAAATGTTTCGGGAATTTTAAACGGAAATGTATTAATTGCCGGAGGTGTATCTATGTTTCATTGTATTTCTTGGAATGATCAATTTATACTACTTAATTTAGATAATCAAAAAATAACATCATTAGATTTTAAAATTTCTGGGGATGAACCAATACTTATTGGTTTTGATATTGTAAGAATAAATAACAGTATAATTATTCTTGGCGGGGGCTGTGTATGTTTTTCCTTTGGTGCTTATTGGAATAATGATATTATAACATTATTTGAGTATAGTTTACCTAAAGAGTGGTTAATTTATGAACATAAAAATACAGACATGCATGTGTCAAATTTTACTAATGAGTCTAATAATTGTAATATCGATATATTTGATCCAACAATTCTAAACCATATAAATCCTAAAATTGAAAATATTTCTAGTATAAAAATTACATCTGAAGATGAATGGAAAAAAATATTAGAAAAAAATATGCCAGTTGTTTTAAAAGGATTAAATATAGGGACTTGTGTGCAAAAATGGACTCCAAAATATCTTGTTTCTCATATTGGATCTACACGTAAAGTAAATATGTCTATATAGATTATATTTCATAACTAACATATTAGGTAATTGTTCACAATGCAGAAACTAATTTTATGAATTTCCATGTAAAGAACTTCAATTATGAAACTATGGATTTTGGTAAATTTATGGATTCTGTATATAAAGATGAAAGTAAATTATATATGAGATCAATTTCAACAAAAAATCCAAGAACTAAGCCAAGTCTTTTAGAAGAAGATTTTTTGGAAATTTCAAAAGATTTCACAATTCCTCCTGAGTTATTACAAGTTATAAATCCAAATAAATTTTCATCGCCTCTTCGTATTTCTAGTAAAAATATTGGGATGTGGCTTCATTATGATGTATGTTTAATTTATAACCAGTATAAGCATGCTAATATAATTAGGTAATGTCTAATATTCTTATTCAAATTCAAGGTTCAAAAAAAGTTCGATTATATCCCCCTTCAGACATTTTATACCTTCAGTTTCCTCCTGGTTCATCATCTTCTAAAATTCTCAATATATTTACTGAAAAATCTACTGACTTAAAAAATACTCATCCTTATGAAGTTAGTTTGCTTCCAGGAGATATTCTTTATATACCTGCATTTTGGCACCATGCAATTTATTCATTAGAACCTTCAATAAGTGTAAATGTGTTTTGGAGACATTTAGAAAGCCAATATTATGCAACTACAACTAATGATGTCTATGGTAATCGAGATCTAAAAGCATATGAAGTTAGTCGTGGCTTAATTAAAAAAATAGTTGAAAATTTTAAAGGGCTATCAGGAGATGAAAAAAAATTCTATTTAGGAAGATTGGGCGCAGAACTTATTGACATATCTAAAATATAAATTGAACAAAAGGAGATTAAAAATTGGTATTATTCTTGGATAGATATTAAGTGAAACTCTAAAAACTATATTATATATTTTTATTACTGCTAATATTATTTTTAAATAATTATAACATAACCCAGGTGGTTGTAAAATGATAGAACTCAGTGTTTAATAAATATTCAAAATAAATTAAGAAAACCCTAAACACCAAAAAAGATCCAAAGTAAAATCCAGTATCCCATACTAAAACTATGAACCCAGAATTTTAGCATTAGTTATTCAAGTAAAAGTATCAACTTACGAGCTTTTCAACAACATCTTATTTTTATAAACAATATTCATTTGAAATTTCTTTCAAAATTGCTTTAAGTGAAGTAATGCCATGTAAAACATTTTCATCTGGGCCTTGACCAAAAACCCAATGTGCATGTGCAAAATCAATGAGTCGACAAACAGAAACTCTAAATGGAGGATTGTCAACATGGTCATCATTATCGCTAGTACTATCACTGGTTTTATGACTAGAATTTTGACTGCAACATTCTGTATTGTTTTTGTTCATTATTCTTGTAAGAGTAACAGGATCGCTTTCATAGATAAAAAGCAAGCTAGAAGAGTATAAACGAACTTCCACATCATGTAGAACATTTTGGATTTGAGAAAGACTATCAATCCATTCAGACACGATATAATTCTTTTGTTCAACTGTTTCAGCAGCAGAAAGAAATGTCCTCAAACCTGTTCCCACTGTTGCTAATGTCAAAGATTTGCCCCATTCCTTTGAGTATGTTTGATACATTTTATCACGTGCACACCATAACTGCATTGCTGAAACACGAAACCCAAGAGACCCACTCGTTGTGTGTTTTGAAACCCATTCAAGTCTTTCTTTCTTCTCAGGAGATGCATCATCATCCCATAATCGTTTACCCAGTTTAATATCAATCATACTTGGTTGAATAAACGGATAACACAAGTTTTCAAGAACAATTGCATCAACACCCTCAGATTCAGTATTTAATCCTTCAGATTCTTTAGACTCTGTTGACTTCAAAGGCTCATTGGATCTTGCTAAACATGCTGCAGGAGAGTTAAGTATTAAATTACCAATATACGTTGGCATCCATTGTTGAAAAACAGGATAATTAGATGATGATATATAAAAATTAATTTCTGCTGTAGTACATGGCTTACAAATAACTTCTCCAGAGACATCAGACAAAACTCCAGCATGGCCTGCAATCTTTAGTAGTTAGTCAAAATTTGATGCAAAAAAAGAAAAAAAGATAACCTGATTTATATATGGTACAAAAGACTCTGACATAAAAATATAAGCGCTAGTTTTCAGAAGTAAAGCGCTCTATCTTCAAGTTGAAATACTAAATAAATTTAAAATTATTCTGCAAAGTTGTACAACATTAATAAATGGCGTTAAGCTCAAGAATTAAAGTTAAACTGTGTCACGTGACCTCAAAGAAACTATCTAGAAAATGTAGAGTAAGCCATAAAACAAACAGATGACAGAATAAAAGAAGACATATGGAAATGTTTTATGTTTTTTTTGGTTTCTTTTTTTGTAAAAAATTGAACTCTAAAGATATTTTGTATGAATTGATACTCAAAAGAACTTTAAAATAGATAGTAGTTTAATATTAAACAATAGGGTTTTCTTAATACTCAGGACGTGTTTTTTGATGTGAAAGACTTGTACCATGAACACGAACACGATATAAACTTTTTTGAAGTTAATATAGAAAATAAAAAAAAGCAAAATACCATGTAAATTTATTATTTCCCCAGTTATTAATAATTCTGAAAATAACATTTTCTATAGGAATATTTAATTGTCTTATACCAACTGGAATAGGAAATGTTTGAATTGGATATGTTGAGAAAACGTTATAAGTCATAGTTGCAGCTAACACATAAAATTTTGATGGAGGAATAATATTTTCAGACTGTTTGATGGAAGAAAGACTTTGTTGAATCATTTTTTCTCTCATATGAAGATCATCTACTTGAACCCAAAGCTCAATATCTCGAGGTGCTGTAGAAACATCATGAGCAATTTTGGAATCAACATGCTCAATAGTCACATCGGTCAAAAAAATGGTTTCACTTAAACGAATAGAAATCTGACCAATAGACCCAGGGAATGCCCAACACATTCCTACGTTATTTTCATGATGAATTGCCATTGCAGGTGGATAACCCCATGTGCATCCAATATCCCAAAATATTTTTGATAAAAGATTCGGAATAAACTTAGTTGGCCTCTGCAAATATGTAGACGATGTAAGAAATGGATTAATTCTTGCACCAGACGAGTAAAGAGCAAAATCAGGCCGAGCCAAAACATCAGAAGAATATTTATGCAAAGCTGTTTCAATCAAAGTTTCAACTACCTTATTATGAATGTTCTTAGTATTTTTTAAGTGATCTGAATGACTAGGTTGTATTTTATTTTTATAAGTATAATCTAATTTCTTAAATTGATCATTTATTTGAGTTTTTATTGTTATAAGGTCTTTTTCTAAGTCATCTTGAATCTTTTTTAGATTTTCCTTAAGAGTATTAATAAAATATGCTTTGGATATAATTGAACCATTTTCTTGACTTTTTCTTAAATCTTCATCTGTTTGAGATTTAATAAATGTTTTTATATTTTCTTCATTATTTTTAAGAAAATTAGACCATGATATTAAAGATAAAGTATCTGTATTTTTAGAATTTTTCAAAAAAGAAGTTTTTAAAGCTTTATCTATTTCTATACGATCAGGAAAAATTTCTCGAAGAAGAATCCAAAATTCAGGACTAATATCAATTTTTCCTGTTTTAGGGTCTATTTTTACGACAAGCTGTGATGGAAGATAAGATTCAAGAGTATTAATAATTTTTTCTGTAATATATTTATCATTTAAATCGTTTTTAAGAATTATCTGTGAGTTAGTAAATTCTTGATAAACATGGTCAACATGTTTTTTAACAGTGACAACTTCTTCATTGAAAGATTTTAATGATTTTTCATGGTTAATAAATTGATTTTCATATTTTGAAACATTTCCTTGTAAAAAAGATAAAGAGTTAAAAATATCATTAATTTTTAAATCTCTTTTACTATCTTGTAGCTTTATATAAGATATTTCCTTTTTAATAATTTCAAAAGAATTCTTAAATGCATCAAGTTCCTTTTTTATTGATTTTGTTATTTCTGAATTTTCCGATCTTTTAACATCTACTTCTTTTATTGCTTTAAATAGTTTTTTTTTATCATGTAGAATACCCTGTACCATAGATTCATAATTTTTAAGAGTCTTTTCTAAAAGAATCAAATGCTGCATTAATTCATTTGTATTTTGAGAGAATGAAAAGTTATATTTTGGTTGATGATGAGATAAATTAAACCATTTTGAGTTTATAAAACTTTTCTCTATTAAACCTGGAATAATCATGAGTAGTATTATAGAAAAAATAATAAATACGGTGTATATTTTTCGGGTGACAATCTTTAAAACTGAATTAATCATAAATGAAAATATCGCAACAATGTTTTTAACTGGCCAAAAAAAAGAGCTAAAACAATAAAAGAAAAACTGTTTAGAAAGTGATATAATCATAAACCAACAAAAATGTAGAAAATTTAATATTTTTTCTAAACTTTTTTCATAATCACCATCCTCAAGATACTCTTGATCATCTACGTTTTTATCATCATCTGAAACACTATATTCATAATCAATTTCATCAAAAAAATCTTTAAAATCATTTTCATTTAATTGAGTATACAAAAATTCCTCTTCTTCATATGATTGAGATTCGGAATTTTCCGGATTTACTGAATTATTAGTTGCATCATAATTCAATGATATACGCGAATAACCATCAATACTGTTATGTTCCCTTAAATAATAACGAGTTATTTTATCATCTTTCTTAATATCTCGAGATTGATTAAAGTTTTCTGTTTAAAATTAAGTATATTTTGAAATAATGAGAACAATAACCTTCAGAATAGTTCCCTGATTCATCAAAATCCAATAAACCTTCCTGAAAATTTTCATTATTTAAGACACTATTTAAACTTTCTTCAGATTTTTTTATAGCTGTTTGAGACCTAAACAATTAAATCTAAAAGGGTTTCAATAAAATACCAAAAACCTTTTTTTATATTCTGTATTATTAAGATTCTGAGAAGATAAAGGTTTATTATTTGTATATTCTTGTTTTAAAAATTTAGGCTGTTTCAAAAGAGTATTAACATTCGGACTTATATAATCTTTTTTCTGAGCATTCTTCTGTGCTGCACTAAGAGCAGATGCAAGACTAACTGTTGTATCATGAAGAGTCGGAATGTCAGGGGGGTTAATAGAGGGAGAACCATATGAAAATGATGGAGAAGCCCCTGATGATGGGAGAGGTGCAGCTGGTCGATCTCCACTAATAATTCTAGACAATTGACGTTGATTACGTACTCTTCTTCCACCAACTGGAGTCTTTAAGAGAGTTCAGAAAATTTTAAATATAAAGTTATATTTATTAACCTGAGTAAACATTTTAAAAAAATGTATATTTTCTTAAAAAAGAGAGAATTTTAGATATTATTTTGCCTTAACAGCCCAAATGTAATGATATGTTTGCAAATATTTCAAATGAAACGAGACAATTATCTTCAAAAATGTGATAATTGTTAATTTTATTACTGTTTTATTTTTAATTTTTCTTATAAAAAAAATATGTTTTTAGCTTACAAAATACTTAGAGCCAAAAAAATTTATATTCTTAATTTTCTAAAATAAATCATCCATATTTCTAATAATTTAGCTTTTTCTTAAGATGAACGGGACCTTATATCATTTCGAAATTTAAGCTTATCTTGAAAATAAGAAAAATACTATAAAATAAGTAGAAGTTAATACTTCAAAAACTATTTTATTAATTTATTACTAATTTTATTATTTCTAAAAATCCTCGACTTTTAAAAAGATATTTTTGTGAATATTTTGATGAATTGTTTATTTTAATAGAAAAGCTATTAGTATTTATCTTTCTAAGAAAAGATATATAAGTGAAAAGAAGCATAGTTTTCAATAAATAGAGTAAAGAAAGATATTTATATCTATATCTACATTTATCCATTTATATATTTATATTATTTTTTTAAAAAAAATGCTATCTTCAAAAAGATTCTATAAAAGTAATCGATCAATATTTTTTAAGTTGAATTTCATAATTTATTAATTGAATTTCTGAATACCCTGTATGTTTTTGAAATCATAATTTATATAATAAAAACAGTAAAAAGTATTATATAGTATCTTTTTCCATTGTTATCCAAACCCGGTCCATTCGATAGTAAATACATGAATAGTATTAGTATCAGGATTGTTTGCTCCAATAGCCCACGCTTTTTTAACATTTGTTCCAAGTCTTCCACCACCTACTATATTCACTATAGGAAATTCTTCTTCCCATTCCATTACATTCACTAAAAAGTGAGAATGATATCTTAAAGGATCACCAGGATAAGCAAGATAATGGGAGCCAAATTTAAGACCAGGTGTTATATAGTAACCTTTATCATGAAAATATTTCCAAACGGAATATTTAGATGGATCTACATGTACTTTAGGAGATAATTCAATAGGCATTGTATATAGTGATTTTGCAGATTTAGTTGGAATGATAATATTTCTTGGTAAATCATAATCAATAGCATTATTTTCTTGAAGATCGAAACTTGACTTCAAAGGTGTTATATTTTTTAAAAAATTTACAAGATTTCTTTTTTGTGCATTTTGTTGTTCATATTCTATATTTTGACGCATAGCTTCTGCCATTCTTTTTTCTTTAAAAGAAAGCACGTCTTCAGGAGTACTGTTTTCAATATAAAGTTGGTGACGAAGTTTATCATTTACAATATAAGCATGACCTAAATTCAATTAAAATATAATATATTAGGTGAAAAAATGAACCTTGATCAACAAGCCATGCAACTTCTTCCTGCATTAATTCTAAAGGGAGACCAAGGAAAATATTTTGTTGAGGTGCTTGTGGCAATGTTCCAATAAAAGATCCACATATACGATACTGAAGTCTCAATTGAATTACAGCTAAAATGTATCAGATAAATAGGGAAATTCTATAAATAATAACTTTTATGATCATAAATCAAGTAGTGAGATGCAACAAGATAGATAGGGATAGAACATGTTTCCATAGGAGTTAACGAAGTGTCTGACATAATCCTACTATATAGTATTTTATTAGTTATCAAAACACGTTTGTTTTCAGAAAGAGGTACAACATTGATCATACAGATATTTTCTTTCAAGATAACACATAATAAATTATGTTACTCAGGGGATTGACAGATTAATATACCATTTTTAATCATCTAATGGTACTTTTTAAAATATAAAAGCGTACCTTTTATGTAAACTAATTGGATCTTTAATAAAATAAATAAGATGATACAGTTAAATTCCATAAAACTTATTTAAAATATTCCAAAATCTATTTATACGATATTATTGATATCATTTTTTGTTCAGAAGCTGTGATAAATATCGCTTAACGGAAAATTAAGTTCAAGAAAAAAAAGGATTGAAATGATAAAGATAGTGTTATAATAAAAAAATACATAAAATTGCAATTATTAATTGTATAAGCTATAAGATGTAAGGAAGAGTTACGCTACAGAAATTAGAAACTCTAAAAAATATATACATATAAATACCTCACACCAAGGCTAATAGCAAGAGCAAAAAGCGCTTTGACTCTTCGACGTTCAATAACGACTTCTGCCTCAAGTTGTTCAATTTTAGTGCGTTTAATTGGTATAAAATCATCAGAACCACAAAGTTCTAAAGGCCGTTTTTTAGAAGATCGAGGTTTACTTAAGTCAGAGGTAGAAGAAATAGGTGGTATTGTATTTTTGACAGAGCGTGGAGAAGAATCTAAAGTATCGCTTTTAAAGGGTTTAGAATGCATTTTTTTTGGAGAATCATGTTGTTTAACATGAGAATTTTGAGTAAGAATTTCAGAAAATACATTAGTATCATGTCGAGATATAGCAGGAGTAGAATATTTAGACTTGGATTCTGTACTAAACTGTATATGCTTTTTGAATGTAGCTGCAGTCACCTCCTTAGATGGAGAAACACTATTTTCACAAGAGCGTTCAATAGAAGCATTAATCAAAGCTCTAATCCAGGGGCGAATTCCATAATCTTCAGCAAGTGAAAGTGCTTCAAGGCATGCATAAGTACAAAATATATCAAAAAATAATAAAAAATACCATCTTCAAACATAATCCATATACCTGAAGTATACTCATTAGAAGTAGCACTGGGAATATGTTTTATAACATAATGATCAAATTCGATACGCTCATCTGACTCTGTAGCAGAAGGAAAAGCTGCACGAAACCTATAAATGAACAAATCAAAACTAAAGGCCAAAAACGAATCAAAGTATTTTACATTGCTGTTGCAGAAATATAATCCTGCTTATGTTTCATACGCACAAGATAAAGAGGATTATCCTTAGAAGGAACTGGCACAGGAAGTGTTATAAAGTCAATGTAGACATTGTTTTCAAACCGAATATTATATGTTTTGCACTGTTTCAAAAGCACTGATTCTAATATTTATATATTAGCCTAATTTTCATCGAAAAAAAACACACTTTTTGGTTTTCCAAGCAAAGGATTTTTCTCTGGAAGAGTTCTCATCTGTTTGACACGGAAATACTTAAGATTCTATAAGAAATTTTTCAATTTTGCATATTTTAGACGTCTTCGACAGTTTAATTAATTATGCGATTATCAACAGAAATTTAACGTAAACTTTTTAGAGAGTATAAAAACGCAGCAAAATATAAAAAAGTATTCTTTTATTTACTATTATTTATTAAAAATTGAAATCTCAAATAAAATTAAAATAACATTTAAATACTTAATATAAAAGTCACGTGATCTTGCCTCAAAAACTCAAGGAGCATAAAAAAACGTCAAGAAATGTTGCAAGTAGGAACGGCTAGAATTACACTTCAATTAGCACATATTTTGAAGAAAAATGTTCCAAATATCCTCATTCATTCTAAAAAATACTCTTCAACAACACGGATTCCCGATTTTTCAAATTATAAGTGTGTTTTGAACATTATTTGACTTTTAATAATTAATGATTTTTTTGCATTAGATCAGAGTCTTCCTTAGCAGTAAATAGAGCATTTTCATACTTTATGGTTGGTACGTTTGGCATGGTAGCAGCAGCAGGAGCACAAGCTACAATTACGGACTTTTTATCAAATATGTCAGCGTCAGCAGATGTTCTTGCTATGGCAAAAGTAGAAGTAGATCTTTCAAATCTTCCGGAGGGAAAAAATCTTATTATTAAGTAAATGATAGGTTTTTGTATATAAAATCCATTAATGAGTGCTAGATGGAGAGGAAAGCCGGTTGGTTTTTCCAATTTATACGCTTAACTTATAGAATCAGGTTTTTATTCGGCATCGTACGCAAGATGAGATTGATGAGGCTCGTTCTGTCAACATATCATCTCTTAGAGACCCACAGTCTGATGACGACCGTACTAAAAGGCCAGAGTGGCTTGTTATGATTGGTTTGTTGATTTTTTATTGTTTTAACATAATTAATCTTGCAGGTGTTTGTACTCATTTAGGTTGTGTTCCTATTGGTGAAGCAGGTGATTACCGTGGATGGTTTTGTCCATGCCATGGGTCTCACTATGATATTTCTGGTCGTATACGAAAAGGTCCTGCTCCTTTGGTAAATTTTTCCTTTCTTGAAAATCTATCTTATAGTTTTTAGAATCTTGAAGTCCCAGAATACGATTTTCTAAGTGATGATAAACTTGTTATTGGATAATTATCATATTGACTTATTTATCAACTATAATTAGTTTTTTTATTCATTTTCATTTGTCTTATACTGTTTTAATAGCGCTTGATTTCATAGAACGTCATAAAAGTTTTTTTTTTAAAAAAAAAAGAAAAGTATAATAAATAATATTTATTGTTTTGCTTTTTTCTATGAAATGCCCTTGGCTTTTTGTTTTAGGGAGCTCTAAAATGTTTTTTCCTTTGAAAAATATTTATTCAACATCTTTCAAACCATTTATTAATGGTCCAACACTATTAAAAAGTATTTTGAAGAAAAGAAACACATTGCAGGTCTCAGAATATATGAAAAACTGCATTTGTTGGGCTCTTATGGGTTCTGCTTCTGTAAAAGAAAAATTAAATTGGTTAACTGGATATACAAAAATAGAACAACTCAAAAATCAGATCCATGAACAAGGTGAAGGGTATTCTATTTCAAAATACCATGAGTTAAGATATTATGACTAGAAATCCTCTTAAAAGAGGCAAGAATTGAGACAAAAGAGGCAAAACGCAGACATACATTAGCAGTTCAACAACGTTTAAAGCTACAACAAGAAGTAAATGAACTTCTTCAACGAAAACATCTATGGACACCTATGGATCTTGAAAAATTCACTTCTTTGTATCGTAACGACCATGTTAATGAACAAGAAGAGCAAAGTGCTTATAAACATTTAATTGAATGTGAAGAAAAGCTAGATGAGCTGCAGGTTCAGCTATTAAATTTTATGCTTACTCGGTACCATGAAGAACAAATATGGAGTGATAAAATTCGACATACAAGTACATGGGGAACGTGGAGTCTTATAGGACTAAATATTGTATTATTTTTAGTAATTCAACTTGGATTGGAACCACGAAAACGACGTAGACTAATTCATGACTTAGAACAACGTATATATAGCATGTTTGAGAAATATAAAGATGATCTTAGTGCAAATCAAATGATGTTTCAAGTGCCAAAAGAATCTTTAGAAATTTCAGATGATCTTTCATCTCTAACGTCTGGGAGATTTCAGTAACAAATGCATTCATTTTATAGCAATATGAATAACATGTTTTTAGAGTGTCTGTTACACCAACAACACTTTCTTTTTTGTGTTTATCAAGTGCTTTGATCGGAGTTACCTTGTGTTATTTAGTTAAATGGATTTTTTAATAGAAAAAAGCAAGACATGATTTTCTCAAAAATAAATGAAAAGTAACTACTTATGATAAAAAAAATTAAAATATTATTTAAAAAATGTTTTATAGAAACCATATTCATCATTCTTTAATCTATATAAAAATTTTAAATATATTTAAATAATTTATTTTTATATTATTCTTATAGATTGTTAAAAAAACTATTCTAAAAGACATTGCTATTAATAGGAAATATATTATTTTATTTATTTTATAATTTTGGGACAATTAGATTTTATTCGGTTTTTATAATATCTAAAACTATTTTAAGCAATCAAATATTATATTTATGTAAAACTTTAAATTTTTTCTATAATAAAGTTAAATCTAGAAAATAAAATCTATTGTTTTTCTCAATGAAATAATATTTAAGTCTTTTCAATTTTTAAATCTATGTTAATTTAAAATAATTACATGAATTCTTGAAATGTGTACTATTAATAAAATTATTATTATTATTATATATTATTTAGTTTTTATTGATTTCTTTTTTTATTAAATTTATATAATATTTAGAAATAATTCCTTTTTATATAATAGATTACCATATAATTTTTAATATTTAATGTTACTCTATATGTTAAAATTATTAAAAAATATGTGGAAAAATGTTTTAGGATTATAATAAATAAATTTTTTATTAATTTTTAACAAAAATTAAAAAATAACTAAAAAAAATAATATAATTTTTTCCCTATTCTAAATTAATATTATATACTTTTATAAACAATTTAAAATAATTAGATGTAAATAAAAATAATGGTTTAATTTTTTATAAAAAATTCTCTTTTAAAATATTTCCAAATTTTAGGAAATAAAAAACATTCAAATAAATATATTAAAATAATATATGTTTGAACTTTTGTTTTATATTCATTAACATAAAAAATTATCTTTTAAATAAAATTAGAGTTAAGTCGTGTAAGCAAAGATATTCCTTTTCATGTTTTAAATTAAAATCTTTAAAAATGACTTATTTTTTGTCTTAAAAATATTTATTTTAGATGATATCAATTATTTTTTTCGCAAATATAAAAATATTATCAAAAAAATAAACTTATTAATAATTGCTCCAAAATATATATAATGCCTCCTTTTAAAAAGGTATATTCGTTTATCAATAACTTTTTCTTATTTGATTCTTCATAATGTTATTATGATTAAATTATTCGTTATCAATTTTGTTTTGGAAAAATATTTGACAAAAAAATCTTAATGTAAAATATTAAATAGTTACAAAGATTCAAACATGCATTAAAGATCTCATCCTCGTCTATAAAATATATTTTTAATGAGATTATTTTTATACATTTCTTTTTTCGTGTAAATTACATTATTTACTTTTAGCAAAAAATAAAAAAAAAGCATTTTTTAACACTTTATTCAATAAAAAATCTTTTTTTAACAATATAAAATCAAAAAATAGATTTATTTTCTTTCTTAAAAAACTGTCACCCATCTTCGTCCAATACGTAAATTAACGTTTCGAAAGTATACTTTTAACTTTTAACTTAAAAGATCAAAAAAAACTTAACAAATTGTTAATAAATAGGTAAATTCTAATATAAAAAACTTAATATTAAACTAAAAAGTATTTAGAAGTTAATATTTTTTATTAAAAAATTGGGGGTCAATAAAGGTTTATTAACAAATCATATTGATTTGATAAAATCAAAAAAAAAATTAAAATCTAAAAGTTGGCCATTATTTTCTTATTATTTGGCTTTATTTAAAAAATATGGAGGATATCCAAATGACTGATTCGGATATTAAACTGCCATTATCTCTGGGGAATATTACAGAATCACTTGAAAGTATTAATGAAGTAGATGGATGGATTAAGCATTTAATGCAATGTAAACAACTTTCTGAAGCAGATGTCAAAAGGCTTTGTGACAAAGTAAACATTTTATTTTTTTTTTAAAAGAAATAGTATTAATAACACAATTTAATTAGGCTCGAGAGATTTTACAAGAAGAATCAAATGTTCAACCGGTCAATTGTCCTGTTACAGGTAACACATGTTTTGTATTTTGTTAGAAAAATGGTTTAATTAACAAAATATTAGTTTGTGGTGATATTCATGGCCAGTTTCACGATTTAATTGAGCTTTTTCGTATTGGAGGAAATTGTCCGGATACGAATTTTTTATTTATGGGTTAGAACCATAATATATATTAAAAAGGCTGCATCTAAGTAAAAAAAGGTGATTATGTTGATCGAGGGTATTATAGTGTTGAAACAGTAACATTGCTGGTAGCACTTAAAGTGCGTTATCGCGAACGAATTACGATTTTGAGAGGGAATCATGAATCAAGACAGATTACGCAAGTTTATGGGTTTTATGATGAATGTTTACGGAAATATGGTAATGCAAATGTATGGAAAAATTTTACAGATCTTTTTGATTATCTTCCTTTAACTGCATTAATTAATGATCAAATTTTCTGCTTACATGGAGGTCTTTCACCCGGGATTGATACATTAGATCATATTCGTGCATTAGATCGCATTCAAGAAGTCCCACATGAGGGACCTATGTGTGATCTTCTTTGGTCTGACCCAGACGATCGTTGTGGCTGGGGAATTTCACCTCGAGGTGCAGGATATACCTTTGGACAAGATATCTCACAGGCATTTAATCATAACAATGGGCTGAGTCTTGTGGCTAGGGCCCACCAATTAGTTATGGAAGTAAGATTTCGCATGCAACCAACTATTAAAACTTATTTATTTTTAAGGGTTATAGTTGGTCACAAGAAAGAAATGTAGTTACGATTTTTTCTGCTCCGAATTACTGTTATAGATGTGGAAACCAAGCTGCTATTATGGAAATTGATGAACAAATGAAATATACATTGTAAGTAGCCTTATTATTATTCTTCTAACAAACTAGTCTGCAATTTGATCCGGCACCAAGAGCAGGGTAAGTTTATTTTTCTGAATAATAATAATTGTGTATTTTAACATATTAAATCAGGGAACCTCAAGTAAGTCGTCGAACACCAGGTATAACTTAACGATTTATTAATATCATTATTAAATTGATTAGACTATTTCCTATGATGGTTTCTGGATTTAAGCATAATGATACTGATTTCCTAAATAACTATCTCTTGAGTTGTAAAAGTATTTCAAAAATAGTTATTTTTGTTTTTTATTCAGTTACATTTCTAATTATATTAACAAAATTAGTAATGATTTATTCTCTATCTAAATTTAGACTTGCCAGGGTTTAGAGACTTTTTGTGAATATAATCAAATCAATGTAAGATAATATAACATAATTTCATGCCATTTTATACAGTGTTTTATACATATTAGTTATTTTTCATATATTTTGCATTATAGGTATTAACTAAGATTGATTATGAATGATACAAATCCAACTCAATTTCTGATGCCCTTATATATTTTCTCGAATAAGCAAAAATGATCTCCTTTACCCATGTCTTAAATTTTACTAAAAGTTCCCAAATTTGTTTTTCATCATTTTTGGTAAAAGACAAATCATGAGGGTTTTCTGCATATTCAACTTTAAATTTATATTTAAGTAAGTCTTTAACTGTTAAAAGCCCGCAAAGTTGACCATATTGCTCAACAAGTATTACTTTTGGGCCTAATTTTTGAAATAACTCCATAACTGTTTCTAGTGGAAGTTGAGGATGAACCGTTAACGGTGTAATATTAATACAATGCGAAAAATCCAAAGAGGCAGTAAAATTTGTATTACCGTTTAAACTGTCATAAGATTTCTTTAAAAGACTCTTAAATTCAGATTTATCTTCAGGTACTGAAAAAAAACAAAGAGTTTTAGGTGATAATTTACTTGTAGATTTGAATTTCTCTATTGAAAATAATAAATATTAAATATAAAATTGTTAAAAAATTACCCAATACCCATTGAAGATAACTACGTTTAACAAATCCTATTAATAACATTGATTCTCGATCAGTTACTACGGGAAATCCTTTAATATTAGATGAATTTAAAATTGCTTCTAACAAAAATTAATTATAATTAACAATATAGAATTTAATAATAACCTAGTTCTTGTAAATTCAATCCATTAGATGGAATAACAGTTAAATTTTGAGTCATAATGTCTTCTACCGGAACACCAAAATAATGCTCTTTAGAATCTAAATAAGGGAATCCATTAATCAAAATCGTTCTATTTGCAATTCCTCCTGTCTTAAAATGGTCACATACTGTTTTTGTAATTCCAACCACGATCTACGGATTAAACAGAATTAATATACATACTATATAAGTGTGTCAGGAAACTATACCATTGTTGGAAGTATAAATGTCAATGCACCCGTAAGTTCAAACATTATTACAACAACCGACACTGTAATATGCATTATTCCGCTTAAAGCAGCAGCAGCACCAAGAAATGCGTATGTTCCAGGTGTTATACACTGTTTAAAACATAACATTAATATTCATTGTTGAAAAAAATTCATAACTTACAGATACGTTTGGCTCACATGCAGAAAATAATATAAAATTTGAAAACCTTTTTTGTAAAGCTGAAACAAAAATACCCAATAAACGACCAAATGTTGCCCCAACAGCCATTGATGGTATAAAAATTCCTGCAGGCACCTTTAAACCATATGATACAATTATTAAACATGTTCTTATAATGGTAGCAATAATTAATGAAATTATTATCCTTCCTTGAGAAGAACGACTTTATATTATAAGTTTTATAGCGGATGAGAATAAATAATACTTACTTGCATATACCGTCATAACCTAAATCATCTGTACATTCTCGAAACAAAATTTTCATATTTTCAGTGATATCAATTCTCAGAAATGCATTACCATAACTCAAAATAGCCGTTATTATAGCAAAAAATGTTGCTTCAGATACGGCAAAACCTGAAAGATAATGTTGACGAAAAGCTTGAACACGAAGATTCCATTTAATTACAAATGCTCCATATATTCCTCCAAATACTCCAAGAATAGCGAAAAATATAAGTTCAAAAAAATGCCAACTTCGATTATAGTGAACTTGAAACATAACCAATTGTCCTGTTCGAAAAGGATTCATAGTCTTTACACAATTAAAAAAGTATATGAAAAGCACAAAATTTACAGATAAAACAGCAGTTGCTACTAATGCGCAAAAAAAACTTCTCCACATCGTTTTCATTGGAAAATGTGATGATATTTCCTAATATAAAGTAAACGATAATAGAGCAAAAGCTAATATTCAACTTCTAGGGAAAATAAAACGCCTCCAATTGGGCTACCAAATGCCACAGCAACACCTGCTGCTGAGCATGCAGAATAAACTTCTCTTAATTTGGCTTTGAGTGTTTAGTTTTAAAAAAAAATAAAAATAAAAAATACCTAAATGAGTATCGTATTTAGCGAAAAATCTACTAATAAAATCCCCAATGCAAAGAGAAACATGGACAAAAGGACCCTCTTTGCCTATACTAAGTCCAGATGCAATGGCTAATGAAAGCCCAACAGATTTTATTAATAACGTTAATGGCCCCAAAAATCCCTTCATTAAAAACCCACCAACAATACACTTAATCTCAGATATCCCTGACCCTGCTGCATAGGGTGCATATGTGCGTACCAGAAATGCACTCACTAGCGAAAAAAGCCCCTTCGAATCACTTCAACGTTTATTCTATCTGTATAAAATACTTACTGCAAATATAATATAAAAAAAAAAATTAAACAATGAAAAACTCGACCACATATGCCAATCACTACATTCTAATAATTCCTTCCGTTAATCACCTTTTCCCAAAAGTATAAGAGGTATATACACCTTCACCCATCTCCCAACAGCAAAACTCTTTGCTCAAGTACCATGCACCTGAACAGTACCCAAGCTTTATATCTGAAAGCCATTTCGTCGTTATGCCGATAAACGTTGCGTTTAATCCAATGAAAACACCTGACACATATACACAGCTGTCCTTATTTCTTCCAAAACAAAATTACCCACAATCGTCATAACAATCCACATCTTCCCGTTATAACATAGATCTGAAAGCACAGAAAATGCCTTTCTAATCCACGTTTTTTTCTCCATACTAATTTTCTTTGAATCACGGTGAACCGTCATCCACTGATTCAATGATGCATCCTGAACCCAGTCTTCACAAATAGAACCATTAAAAAGGCATTCCCATTATTCAAAGACATTACCAATTGTCCTAAAGTCTTCATAACGCTGGATTTCATCAGGATCCTCCATTGTCTGACGACGTGTGTAAAACCCCATTTTAACTCCGTTTAAAAAGGAATCTCCCTGAAACAAGAACTTACGGTTACATTCTAAATAAATAGACCTTTATAATCCCGTTAATTCCTTCTAAAATCACCTTTTTTACTCACCTTTTTCCTTTGAGATTTCCTGTTGTTGCCTCTCTGTTATCGTCGCCATCCGGTTGCTATAGCAAGACGATCGACAATATCTGATGTCTAACGACGTCTAACATCTGAAGACAAAAAATAATGCAGAATATGCATTGTCAAGATATTACTGGAACATCTATTCTTTCTGTCTCAAAAATCAAAAAAATCATTCAAATCGACGATGATATTGTCCAGTGCTCCAGAAATTCCGCTTTTCTTATTGCCATTGCAACGGTTTTTCCCTTCTTTTCTGTTTCTTGCCTGACCTTCAAAGGAAATGTTTATTCAGTATATAACACATCAGGGTCTTTTGATGTGCCTTAATGAGAATAAAAAGACTATCCTCTATAGACACCTTGGTAGCTGCTTCATTGTCTCTATCTGCTTACTTTTCCAGCCACTGCGGTTTCACGAATCGATTGTCTCGAGTTTTTGTCAGGTATACTGCCTTCCCTGCCATCCATTCACATGCTGACTTGAAAGATACAATTCCAAGGACTATTACATTCAAAGATCTTCCCTCCAAGAAGACCAAGTCTTCCAAGGACCCCTTTGGACCTTTTGAACCCTCTGGACCCTCTAATCCCACTGGGTCTGCTGTGTTGCAGGACACTCAGATCCCTGAAGACTTTAAAGATCCTACGGAACCTGCTCAGATCATGGCCACCGACACACCCTAGCTTGTTGCAGCCTAATGTTTGCTACCAACTCGTGTCTGGTGACCACCTGCTGTTATCAGAGGCTCTTGCTGTGCCAGAGCCCAGTTCCTCATTAAATCTCGCTGCATGGCACTGGTTCACTACAATTTCTCTTACTCTGCCTACTTGCTATTGTCCGTCTGCTCTACTGCAATTGCCATGCACTGCTTATACAGTGTCACTGTGTATCCACTGTCTATTTACTGAGTATTTGCTTCACTGTAGTGTTGTATACTCCGTGCTCAGACCGTATAATCCGTATAACCCATGTACTTGTATACACATCCATATACGTATATACATATACATATATACATATATATATACATATACATATATATATACATATACATATATACATATATATATACATATACATATATATATACATATACATATATACATATATACATACATATACATATATACATATATACATATATACATACATATACATATATACATATATACATATATGTATATATGTATATATTATATATATATACATGGATACATGTATATTCCATATACACTCTGTATACTCCATACACCTATAGATATCTGTATACACCACACATTCTTATGCATTCCCATATACATCCATATACACCTATACATGTCTATACACCCTTATACACATTTATACACCATACCACACTGTATTACATTCTATACACTTTACACACCCCATATACCTTCTTGGTGCTCTGGATCATTTTTTTTTCTTCGTCCCGTACTTTGACCGTCCCGTCCCTATCTCCTCAGTACTGCTTCTTTCCATTGATCCTTACGTCTCTCCACCACTCCCTGTACATCTCCTGCTCCCCGTACTATATGATACCGTACTCCTGGCAGGTCCTGTACTCGTCCTCCCCGTAATACTACAACTGCATGTTCTTGGACATTATGTCCTTCTCCAGGGATATATGCAACCACTTTCCTTCCACACGACAAACGTACCCGTGCAACCTTACGTTGTGCTGAATTTGGCTTCTGCACTGTTAGTATTGATATGTATTCAGTCTATACCTTAGGCTTCATCTATCATTGTCAGTTTGCTAGTCTTTGGTGTCTGTTTTGTATACCGTAAAAACCCTGTCACAGACTGCACGCCGTAGCGGTGCTCCATTGAGCCGTGGTGCACTTGGACGCTGCGGTGCACGTGGTACGCGGCATCCACGTATTACTTGCTGCAGAGTCGCCATTCTACGCATCCAAATCGAATTTGCTTGTAGTACATGTGCTCTAAGGTGACACAGTATCTGAAGCATTTAGATAGCAGTGTATACTGATTTGTTATATACAATACTTTACAAGTTGCTAACATCGCCCCACTAGCATAGTTGGTTATTGCATCGTGCTTATATGCCTTCCATTGGGAGACATTCCTCGAGACGCGGGGGTCGGCAGTTCGAGTCTGCCGTGGGGCATTTTTTGTGTCGTTTTGGCAACGGCTTAGTTTGGTAACTCTCATACTTGATCGAGTATGGTAGTTGCCGGGTTGGGTCAGGGCTTCCTGAAATAGAAGGGGAGTTGCCGTTGAGAGTATCTGCCTAGCTCGATACGTAGTCAGATACCTGAACAGGCAGGTCAGCTGCCCTATACAGTAGTCCGCAGCGTGCAGTGACACGGCGCACATACTACAATTATAGTCTGCGTATACTCTGCGTAACCTGTAGTGTGTAAGTGCGTAGTGTAGTGTATAAGTGTAGTGTATAAATGTAGTAACATGTATAATACAGCACACAGATTATATGTATGGTACGCTGTGCACTATATACATACTTGTAGATGTCTTGTGATGCTATAGCATAAACACGATGCAGCATATGCGTCGTAGGGTGTATGCTAGCATTGTACACTGTATACAGTATACACACCACGCTCTGTGCACAGTGTAGAACCATATACAGATAGTATGGGTAAGATGCATAGTGTATGCATAATATAGATGGTAGAGACTGTCTATACACTACATGTATATTGTATATACACTGTAGCTCACAGTGCTGTGGAAGCCATAGAGTATATACACATATACCATACATAGCGAGTATCGACACTATGCAACACACTGTTACACACATGTTATAGAATACACACTCTGTACAACGCATCCTAAAACAGTGCAAACTATATATCTGTACAACATGCACTGTGGCGTGTTGCACGATGCAGACGGATACACTGGAAACTGTGTGCACACTTAAAAGCCATGCTATACACACCGTGTTCTGTAGAGTATATCTTGCACTACACTACACTACACTTTGCACTACACTATACAGTACATTATACTATACACTATACTTTGCACTATGCTATACAGTATACACTGCTGTATACATTGCTGTATGCGCCATACATATAGTATAAGTGTATACTGTGCAGCAGAGTATATGCACAGCGTGCATTGTATGCATTTATAGTATATGTATTATATATATAATACTGCACGCTCTGCTGTATATTTGTACTGTACATTCCATTGCTGACTACGCTATACAGCTATACACGCTATACACTGTATACGCCATACTTTGGCACACTGCAGCACAGTAAACACTAGACATGCTGTGCATGTTGTAGCTGTGCATGCTGTAGCTGTGCACGGTATATACACTGCAGCTTAGGCAGTGGCTGCACTCACTGTACATTCTATACATTACACACTACGCACACAGCAGCAGCATATACACTCTATGCACACTATACACACTATGCACTACCATACACTGTAAATAGCATGCACTATAGATATACACTATATACCATACTATATACCATACTATATACCATACATATACATATACACTATATACTATATATACACAACCATACCATATATACCATATACACTATACACTGCAGATATACACTATACACTGTATACACTACATATACGCTGTATACACTATAACCATACACTATACATTCATATACACAGTATACTATAAATACCATAAATACCATATGCCATATGCACTATATGCACTATGTGCACTGTAACTATACATACACACTATACACTGTGCACACACTATACACTGCATATACACTGCACACCATATATACTGTGCATATTATACATACTGTATATGCTATATACACTATGTATGCTATGTATGCTATGTATGCTATATTATATACACTTATATACACTATATATGTTATATATGCTATGTATTATGCTTTGTATGCGTTGTATGCGTTGTATGCGTTGTGTATGCGCAGTGTACCCGCAATGCTGCAGCATATACACCGTGCTGTGTAGTAACGTATGCACTATAGACACATACAGTACATGCACTGCTACACTGTACGGTGCATATGCAGCGTGCCGGTGGGCGTCTGTGCGTGTCTATGCGCGTAGTCAGTGTATGCGTGTATATATGAGTATATATGAGTGAGTATATGTGTGTATATGCATGTATACGTGTATGTCAGTGTATATATGTATAATATCAGTGTATATTTATATATGAGTGTATATCTATATATGAGTGTATCTGTGTGTATATAGTGAGTGTATGTGTCAATGTGCATACAGTGCACGCAGTGCATACAACGCGCATACAAAGCATACAACGCACATACAAAGCATACAACGCACATAGTGTATAGCATATAGCGTGCATAGCACACACAGCGTGCAGCACAGCATATGGGCGTATGTGCATATAACATGTCCACTGCACATGCACTCTGCGGTGTATGCACTACGACTATACTGCTGTGCATACTATACATATACACGCATACATTGACACGCATATATACATATACACGCGCAGACACTCGGATGCCCACTGCACACACTGCACACCTACGGCGACTGCTGACACGGTGTATATGCACTGTGTATGCGCATATATACACGACACACACGTACTATGCACCGCACACTGTGTACCGTCGCCCCTGCCCGCACGGGCCGGCGCAGCACGATACACAACACTGCACACGCTGCACACTGCACACTGCATAGCATATACTGCATGACATTGTACACACTATACTACACTATGCACTACACTACACTACGCACTGCACTACGCACTACGCGCTGCACTACACACTGCACTACTGTCCATGTGCATGCTCCGGCCCGCTGCCGCTACCCGTATCACGTGCCCCGCCCGCCCCGCCCGCCGCTCCGGCATACCTCGCATACACCGGGTGCACCACCGCCCAGTAGATCCTCTGTGCGCCCTGGAACTGCGGCAACGACAGATACAGGATAAATACCGACTTGGCAAAGTAGTAGAACGCTGCTCCGTCAGTCACGCCCCCTTCCACGCACACCTACGCATCCAGTACAGCACCGCCTCCTCATAGTGCTCTGCCAGCACTAGCCACGCATAGATCACCCTGCCTTGTCAGCCACTCGCCTGCCGTTGCCGGGGCGCTGCCCCGGCAACCACCCACCAGTACGCCAGCCACTGCGTGCTTGCCGCCCTACTCGCACTCTCCACCGCCTCCACCGACCAGTATATCGCCGGCAGACACCCAAGCATATTTGAAAGTACCCGTCCGCCCACATTTCCAAGCACAAGGGCACTGTACACTGCCGCCACTCCCCCAACAACATAGATCTGGGCTCGTCTCAGCCCTGCACTTGGGCACTTTCTGCTTACCTTCTTCACCCCCGCCTGCCGCTCAAGAGTATTCAGACACGCATAGCGGCTCAGCTGCCTACATCAGCACACGCACTGCTGTCCACACATACTTCGTGGTCCAAACGCGAGATCTGCGCCTGCAGCCGGTCGTGGAATGACATGGCCCCAGCCTGCCCGCGGCCACGCTTAAGAGGGCTTTGCCCTCGGACACGGCAGCGATGATGCGCTACGGGTTTGCCGAGGACCCATTTGCTGAGCGGGCTGTGGAGACAGATGCAGACCACCAGGAGCTGCGGCGGGTGACGCTTGAGAACCTGTCGCTGTCGATGGAAGAGCTCGCACGCAAAGTGCGCGAGGAGGAGTGTGGCGCACAGGGCGAGAAATACCGCCAGGTGTTTGGCATAAGCTGGCTGATGCGGCACTGTGAGGCAATCCCGGACGTCGCTGTCCCGCGAAACCGGATCTATGCACACTACGTCGCAGTCTGCGCCGGCGAGCGAATCAAGCCGCTCAACCCTGCATCCTTCGGCAAGCTGGTACGTATGGTGTATCCCGACATCAAGACGCGACGCCTGGGCGTACGTGGGCAATCCAAATACCACTACTGTGGGATGAAGCTGCGAGAGGAGAGCCTTGGGCGGCGCGATGGAGAGGGCGCGTTCCTCAAGGGGCTCGAGCCGCTGCTCGAGAAGGAGTTCAAGAGGGAGATGCGTGAAGAGCCACGGGAGGACAAGGACAAGGCGGAAGGGCGCAGCGCTGCGCCGGCGGCGCAGGCATGCGCAGGGTTTGTATTCAAGTCAAGACACCTACACTTCCCCGCCAACAGCGGTGGAGGCGGAGAGCGGCGGGGGTTTGTGCTGCCGGAGATCGAAGAGTATGTGGGGGGAGAGGTGGACGGCGACACGAAGAGCACGCTGGCGTCACTGTACACGTCACACTGCAGCGCGCTGATTGAGTCGGTGCGGTACATGAGGCTAAAGCAGGTGGGCAGCACGAGCAGCACAGCAGCAGGGGCTAACGGGGCAGTTTCTGACGATCACGGGGACATTCCACGGCTCACTGACGGCACCGGTGCAGAAGCTGCTCTCGTCAGAGCCGCTGGCCAAGTGGGTGCAAAAGGCGGACTTTGAGATGTACAGGGTAGGCGGCGGCGGCGGCAGCAACGGGCTGACGGAGATAGGAGATTGTGCGACTGCTGTCGCCGCTGGCGCTGCAGGTAGTACCGGGGCCGATTCTGTCATCGCTACGGGTGCTGTCGTCGACGCTAATCAGCCACCTGACGCACGCGCTGTCGATGCACCCGGCACACTTTGTGAGGGCAAAGGTGGTACCGGCGCTGGCGTTCTCGGCGCTGCTGGCACGGCTACTACGGGTGAACGACACGGCACATGCGGCCGCACGGTTTCTGACGAATCCGGCGGACCGGGAGCTAATGAGAAGCGATTGGCAGCGGTACATTGATGCACGGGCGATTGTCAATCGGGAACTGCCCTGCCAAGAAGAGGAGGCAGTCAAGGTTCTAGACGACGTCCTGCACCTGCTGTGCGGGACGGGGCAGGAGGGTCAGAAGACAGAGAAGGAGGAAGGGGAGGAGGGGGGCAACACGCTGGACGGGGCGCTGAACCGATGGGCAGAGTACTTTTCATCGCTGCCGGGGCGGTTCCCAAGCGTCTCGCCGAAACTGTTTCTACTGTGTGCAGGGACGGTCGAGACGGCGATTCTACGGGAGATCACGGTTGCAGGGGGGGAGTCGTTTGGGGCGTGGTGGGTCGTTCGGTGCTGGATCGACGAGTGGATGTGTTGGATCAGCGAGCGGGGTGGGTTTCTTGAGATCCAGCTGATGGACCAGATGTCAGCGGGGGTGGAGAAGGCGACGGGCACCCAGGGGCTGGCAGAGGACCCCGGAGCGGCGCTCTCCGCAGCGCTGTGTGTTGATGCGGGCGCAAATGGTACCCTTGAGGCGCACACCGACGCCAAAAACGACGACTACATCCACATGGTCTTTGATGCAAACGGAAGCACATAGTCCCGCAGCACGCCTACTTGTGCAGGCAGTGCAGGCAGCGCCGGAAACAGCACCAGCGGTAACCAACGGTAGCCGGTGGTTGCCAGGCACCCTTAGCAACGGGCATCGCGATGCACGTGACAGTGCAGCAGGTGCGAAGAAGCTTCTCGAACATTTGGGTTTTTAAGGGCGAAGGCAAAGGTATAAAAAGGCGACAGTCCCCCTCAGCGGCAGAAAAAAGCGACAGAAAACCAAAAAGTATTGGAAAGCGTGGAGGGGCGGAAAAGAGAGAGCAGGCCGATGAAGGATCAGTAGAAATGGTCAAAGATCAGAAGCTTTATCGGTTTCTGGAGATTGCACCGGACGCGGACGAAAACGCGATCCGGAAGGCATACCGGAAACTGGCGCTCAAGTATCATCCGGACAAGAATCCGGCGGGGGCGGAACGGTTTAAAGGTGTTGGGAGAGAAGAGGGCGTTTAGACGCGTCTAATGTTTTTTTCGCGCAGAAATTAGCCTTGCCTATGAGGTTTTAAGTGACCCGAAGCGGCGACAGCTGTACGACCAGTATGGGCTGACGGAGGGCCAGCCGCAGCCGGATATGGGGTTTTCCGGGGGGCCGGGGGGGTTTCACGGGTTTTCGACGCGAATGGGCAATGGGCAGTCGTTTTTCTTCTCAACCGGTGGGCCGGACGGGGGCTCCCGGTTCAATCCGTCGTCGGCCCATGACGTCTTTGCGTCGTTCATGAAGAACTTTGGAGGCAGCTTTGGCGCCAGTGATGCAGACGACTTCAGCATGGGAGACATGTCTGGGGGGTTCGGGCGGTTCTTTAATATGGGCGGAAGCACAGGCATGCATGGGGCCCATGGGGCCCGTATGGGCGAGAGCAGCATGAAACGCGACAACGCGGAGCGGGAAATCGTTACCAAACCGCTCCAATTGACTCTAGAGGAGTAAGTACCCTTTTCCCTCCTCCTCCCTCGGTGTTTCTCACGCATTCCCGTAGATTGTTTAAAGGCACTACCAAACGCATGAAAATTAAGCGCAAAGTTTACACCAGTGGAACAATGCGCCAAGAAGAGCGCATTTTAGAAGTTCAAGTCAAACCCGGCTGGAAACCCGGTACTAAAATCAAATTCGCTAGAGAAGGCGATGAAAAACCCAATGGCACTGTACAGGACGTGCATTTTATCGTTGAAGAAAAACCCCATCCCCTCTTTAAAAGAACGGGTGATAATCTCACCACCGAATTGGAACTCACTTTACTCGAAGCATTAACCGGATTTTCCAAAACCATTGCCACAATCGATGGCAAACACTTAAAAATTACAAGTATTAATCCAGTGCAGCCGGGCCATGAGATATCGTATCCTGGTCACGGCATGCCTTATTCGAAAGATCCTTCTGTACGTGGAGACTTGATCGTTATTTGCAAAGTCATCTTCCCGTCAACCATTTCTCCTGAAAAAAAAACAGCACTTAAACAAATTTTTACGTAAAATCAGCATGATAGTAGATAAAGCAACCCGGGTTTTCATTAATTTCTCATTAATAGATATATGGCAACTGTGTATAATAAATCGATAATTGTGTGGTTCTAACAAAAGAACAAAAACTCAATTCGATATTTTGAATTTTCATATTACGCATAAAATGTACATATATAAACATTTGAAATATCATACTTAACAATGACGCCACATTCTTTATACCGCTTGTTTTCCTTTCTTTTTTTCTATTTTTCTCTTCTTTTCCGGGTCTTTCAAACCCTTTGTTTCACTGTCCGTTGCATCTTTTTTCCTTTTCTTTTTTGCATCTTTTATTTCTTTGGGAACCGCAATATTATCCCGAACCTCTGGTTCCTTAATCGTTGTTTCAAGAGTAGACGGTTGTTCAGACGGCTGTTCAGACGGTTGTCCAGAGGGCAAATTATAATCTACATACGTAGACTTCCATTCTTCAGGTGTTGCATCATTAATTCTTCCATATTTCTAAAAATATTAATGAAATAAAAACGAAAAGACAACAAACATCAAGTTTGCCTTCTTTTTTCAAAATCTTTTTCTTCATACTTTGAGGGCCTAAACCCCACCTTCGAGGATAGGTATCTCTTTCCATAATACATCGTTTAATTTTCGCCACAACACCATGATCACATGTCGACAATTCTACAGTCGACATCTGAGCAATACCCAAAGCAATTGCTTCACCTTTTGTTGTCATAAGCACAACTTCTTCATTAATTTCAATCCCAGACTCTGGAATTTAGATAAGAAAACTTAAAATATACAAAAAAAAACAAACCATAACGAAGTAAACCCGGAATCATCAATTTGGCACCATAACAAATAGCGTTAACCGCACTATCCTTGACAACAATTCTTTTATAAGACACAAGAAGAGATTCCAAAGGCCGGATAACCCGTCTTAAGTACTTTTCGTCCCTTGTATTATCATATTCCCATTGTGCATCAAGGACTATTACGTTCTAGACAAAAAAAAAGAAAATATCCAATACCATCATGCATTGTAACCATTCCGTCCATTTCACTCATACAGCCACTTCGAACACGACGAAGTTCTTGCATATGAGCACCAACGCCTAATAAAAGCCCTAAATGCACACTAGTAAAAATTAACACATGATCTAGATTTTTTTTAAAGAAATAAAACACCATAAAGTACGGATATATGTTCCTGCTTCACAACTTACACGAAATACACCAAGATGACGATCATTGTCGAATTCTAGCAACTTGGATTCATGAATGGTACGAATCCGAAGTTGACGTTTAACCTAACCAGATATTAAGAGAATTCAAAAAACTATAAAACAACTTACAGCAGAAATAAGAGGAGGACGCTGAAACAAAGCACCTGTCAATGTTTCAAGGCATTGGGCAAACTTTTTTTCTGAAGATAAAGCCTCATGGAACCGAATTACACATACATATTCTTTCCCAGCACCTTGCTGAGATTTAACCAGACGAGTTGCCTAAAAATACAAATTAATGGTTCCATATAAAATAAAATAATGTACCCTATCAATACAAACAATTAAACATCCTTCTTCACTTAACACACATTAAAAATCTATTCAAAGCTAATACCTGTTACTTTGGGATCTAAAGCTACAAAAGAATTAGGAAAAAACAAAGATAGAAAAAGAGTATTTACTTCCAGAATGACCAGTTTTTTCACAGCGTAAAATCCGTTTGATCCATGCTACAACCTAACAAAAAGAAATATCAAAATACATTCTTTTTTTTGAAGAAAAAAACCAAAGAACCTCATGAGACGACGGATTCGCTGGTTTATCAAGATTAATAACACCAGAACTTATATATGACTTAATATCTCTTTTTAACGGCGATGATCCATGAGGAATCGGAGTATAATGTCCCGTCCGAACTATCAGTTTATCATAGTTTTTCAACAAAAGAGGCCATGTAGAAGCATCTGCATTGCCAGAAATATTCTCCGGTTTAATGAGATAATCTGTATTTTTCTGGATCTCTGCAACTGAATCCATGCTTAAAATTCAAAATATAATGGTAAACGACATAAAAGATCGCAGAATTTTTAATACACACGAAAGAAATAGATAGACAAAAAAAACAGTAACAGATACAAAATATACAATAGTTAAGGACTTTGTAACTAATAAAAAAACATATAGAAATTTAACAAATTCCAACTTTATTTTATAAAATATAAAATGAACATATCAAAAACGCTGACTACGAAGCAAACTAATGGTATTCTCTGCAGACCTAATTTTCGAAAACCTTCTCTCATCTACTGGTTTATTCGTTTCAATTATAATAACCCTGATATTAAAAATTAACAAGTAAAATATAAACACAAAAGGAAATACTTTTCAAGGAGAGTAATGGCAGCTTGAGGCTTAACACGACTATATTTCTTGAATTGTATATCAGCGTTAAGATATTCTTCAGGTGTTTCTGACATAAGAAAATTAAGACTTTGTCGTTGTTCCAGAAAAGTATCTGCATAAGAGATACTTGGATCACTGAGACTTTCAACAAATTTCTCTAAATACCGCAAATCTACATCAAGATTTAAAATGAAATTTTCGTTAATTTTCTTGGAATTTTTATTTAATAATATTTGCTAAAATATAAATATATATAAACAAAACAAAAGACCACTTACCATAACAGAAGATGCAAAATGATCTAACGTTTGAAAATATACAAATGTCTTTATAGAATGTGGGAGATTATGCAAAGTAGAACTCATGACAGTCGTTAAATATGAAACCATTTCAAGCAAATATGGACTTGGTTCTGTTTGTTTCGTTACAGCTTGTCTTTTCGATCATTAGAGTAGTAAAATCGCACCAAACACTTACCGATCATAGTCTATAATTTCCAGAAAATCATCTATTTTAGAATTAACCAACTCTAAAATACAGCATTAATCATGCAAAACAAAAGTTAATTATATACCAAATATCCGTTTTTCTGCATCTTTAATTGCATCACGAAATTCCGATTTAGCCCTTAGTTTTAAATTTCTAGTTTTACCAGATGCTTGTATTTCCAATAATAAAGAATCAAGCTCATCACAGGCACTTTCAAAATGCTCAAGATTAATTATAATCTGCACTACTTGCGCCAAATTATTCGACTTCAATCTTTCAATCAATTTTTTCTTAACATGACTAACTAAAAGCTCATCTAAAATCTATTTTCTATAAATCATAAATATAAATATACATTTAAAAAAACCTGTTTTAAAATATCGTCAATATCGTGACAACGATTATAATATCCTTCAGCAAATTTATAATATTGATTTACAAAATTTCGAATATCCACACAACATAAGGGATATATTTGAGAAAAAGGAAGGGTGATAGGAAACCTATTTTAAATAAGTATAACCATTATTATACATGAAAACAACTTTATAGAGTCCATTGAATCATTAGGTTTATACCAACTAACATCCAGTACTTTTTGATAATCTTCCATATTATTAATTACAATAGGCATATAATCGTCATCGGCGACAATCTGCTCAAAATCTTTACTAAACTGCGCCTTTAATAATCTTGAATAAGTTTCAAACAAATTTAAAGAAAAGTTATGTAACTTTTTCATTGAATAATCATATGTCTAAAAATATTAATTTGAAGGAAACAACAAACTCTAAATTATAATAGTACTTCAATGGCTTGTATAAATAATAAAATAACAGATTTTATATCATGAATTAACTGAGGATCATCAACGTCTTTAATACTATTTGAGATACTCTCAATCAATTTTCCAGACAAAGAATCCCATAAAGAGTCAATCTATATGCATGAGATAATAAAAACCATTGTTATAAAAAATTACCTCCTCTAAAGATCGAAAAGCGCTTACTTTATTCAAAGTAGTCTTTTCTATAATAATAAACCCTGCAACATCCTGAACTAGTCTATAAATGGGAGATATATCCTTATTTAGAATAAGTATTGAGTTTGGAACCAATAAATCTTTCTGCATTCTACGATCATTTTCATAACTCATCCGAAATTCGTCATGAAGCCCAAGCTCATCATAAATATGAAGACACTCAAATAAACACGTAAAATCAACTTCAATCTGATCATTATATGTAACGTCAACTAAATATCTTTAGAAAACGTTTCAATCACAACCCTAACATCTTACAATCATCTCTTTCATTTAATACCCATTCTACAGGAGAATTGAATTCACACGATTGCAAACGTGGATCTTGTTTAACACGCATATTCCAAATTCTTTGTCTTTCAAGAGTTTTTTGAAACACCAGTTCACCTACTTTGCTCGAACTTGTACGCAGGCTATAATGTTTCTCAATACGATTCAAAAGCACAATAAACATACACTAAAAGCCATTCTCTAAGATTTTCCATTACTGCCTCTTTAATCTTATGCTTCATATATGGAATCGAATCACCTAGACAATATTAACGTATTCAAACAATGTATTTGATTTTTGAAAACACACGTATGTTTTGTGCAAAACGAAACTGCAATACATCTTTTAAATGAACCGTTTGAAGCTCCTCAAGAGACTAAATTTAACTTTAATACACATCAAAGAAAAATAAGAAAAACAACCCTCAAAGCACGATAAAACTCCCTATTTTCAATCCACTCATGAATCTTATTCACTAAACGAAGCACCTTCAGACATGTGCGAATAGTATCAGATGTTTCATTAATAATCTGATTAACCTGACGTGCATCAACTAAAGCACGCTTCTAAATTACCGTCAGAAACACAAACCAAGTTTGGTACTGTTCCATATCAGTACCAATCGTGCATTAACACACCTTTGCCGCTAGATCACTACCGTTTCTCTGAATATCTCGATTCAAGCTAAATAACTGTTCCGTAAGCATCAATACACCATGACGCACACTCAAAAGTTGATCAATAGAATTAATGAATCCCTGACATATATAAAATACTTTTTAAGACATAAATCAAAAACCTGATGATGTTCCAAACACGTTTGCTCAACTTCCTTACGTTTTTTCTCTGCCCATTGTGTCCACATATCCACCAGCCCATCTTCCGTTCCTGACTCAAATGCTTTCTTTAAAACAGGCACAAATACTTCCACTTGATTATTCTCTAAAGAACTGTGCTGAATTATCTAAGAAAAACAACAAGTAAGTATATATTCATATGTTTTTCATGGTTTTTTAAACAGAATTTCTCTGATTATTTCAATACTTTGTTACACAATTATACATTCCATTTTTCATTTGTTTTCACAAAAATACATATCTAACGTACCTCTTCCATGAAATGCATATCCTTTAACTCACTAACATTCGGATCATTTGCCATCTATATTTTTTAATAGCTCTTCCAACACACCGCTACTTATCTAAACGCTGTTACCGCACTAACGCTCGACCACACACAAGACCCTCCGTTGCGCTTCTTAAAAATAGTTTTTGATGCCTTTTGGGTTCTATAACATTTTTTTTCTTCACGCTGCCTCCTCCAAGCAACTCTGGGTCTGCCTCCACACAATCATCGGTGATGAGCACAACTACGCCCGATGCAACTTTTTCTTATGAACTGCTCGAACATACGTCTAGTGATGTAGCTAGCACATGCTTATTCAATGAACCACGACGACATATTCATGTTATCTACGAGCTTGCTGTGCAGTCTTCTGCATCTCTTATTCTCTCTGTTTTTGGCTCAGTTTTGACGGGATTTATGCTCAACTTTGTCCAGGTAAGTAATTAAAAACAGATATCATAATAAAAGCAAGAAAATTTAAAGTTTAAATACTTTTTATTGCTTTCTTTTACCCATTATTTGTGCACCATTTAACCTTACAGAAATTTTCTATCTTTCAGAGTTATCCTGCACTTTTTATCCTTATCCCAATTCTTTTGAACCTTATCGGGTGTTTAGAAATGAACCTAACATCAAGACTTAGTACACTTGTATCTATCCTTTTCAGCAATACACTTACTGATAACAAATACAGGCGAATATGGATTTGCTTAATACACACGATGCACGACGTACAATTATATCAAAACAGCTTATTTTGCTACAGGTACAGACAATGACAGTTGGCACAGTATCAGGTTTTGTAGCATTTTTATTTAGTTACATTCATGAGTCATACAATCCACCTCAAATTATCTCTCCATTACAACAAAAGTATAATCGATCCCTTTTCAAACTTTTGATACTTCTTTCGAGCGCCATGGCAACAGGCTGCATCTCATCAGCAATCCTTGGTACATTGGTTTCTTTGCTCGTTATTTTCTCTCTACAATTCAATATAAATCCAGGTATACATCCTTTCATCCTTTTTCTCTTGTAGATTAACACAAATGAATAGACAACATTCTGACACCCATTGTATCATCATTTGGTGACTTGATTTCAATAAGCACATTCTCCATGGTTTCAACCATCTTTGTTTCATTATTTCATCTTTATTCACTTATCATTTTCATTATCTCGATTATCGCCATCTTTTTTTTCATTATTACTCGCCTTAACGAAATTCAGCTTAATCAAATAGCGCTCAGCACATGGATTCCTCTTTTCATATCACTCTTAATCACCAGGTGCACTCATCATGACACTTGCACACACAACTCATTTCTACATAGTGGTTCAGGCATTTTATTCGAAAACTACGTTTACCGATACCATGCCATTGCTTTTATGCTACCTATTTGCCAAGGATTGAACGGTATTACATCTTATTTACTACTGTTATGATCACTCATAACTTATCCTGCATCAGGAAACATTGGTTGTATTTATGCTTCACGTATCAGCACTGCTTTGCAAATGAAAAACACAAAATATAAAGAAATTAAATGGACTACTATAGTAACACTCTTTTGTATTAACTTGCTTTTCCAAACGGTGTTTCTCCTCACTATTTATAAAATGAAAATCTTATCTCTCACGCTAATCTTTATCGCAATTTATCAATTAATATCAGGCTGTGTGGTAAATTCAAAAATTTTGCATAAACACAATGCTCTCATACTACAGGTTATCACTTCTTTGTTCCTCGGTGAAGTCCTAATGCATCTGTGTTGGAAATACAATTTTGACCCCGACATTCATGCATTCCCTATTCTTTCTTCGGTTCGACCTTGTCCTTAATTTTTCCCTGCTAACTCAACCAAAGCTCTTAGACTTTATTGCGACATTCAGTCTTGTTTTTTGTTTCCGCTTATCAATGTCTTGATATATACTTTTTCCACTTTCCTCATTAGGCCATATTTCTATACCCTATCTCCCCATGCATTCTATGCATATATTCCAGCATCTATACGCTACCGTTTTGTCTTTTCTAGCTTTGTTTCCACCTACTTGCAGAAAACACTAACCATATGCACTAAAACACCACTTATACTGCCCAACTACTTATATACCATATCCTATATAACCACATACGACCATATCGATCCTACGCGACCGACTACATACGCTTTAAAACCCAATCTGTAGACATAATACTTCAATAAACACACCAATGTACTAGTCCAAAACACTATTCCATAATCTCTGCATACTTATTCCATAAACACAGCTGAATCATTCTTTTTACTCCCTTTCGACTACTGAAGCCTGCTAATGCCTTGTTAAAATGCCATTTTCAACAAATACGTTTCTATTCGAGGAAGAAGTCTGCTTTATATAATGTGTCTTATTAAAGTCATCCCGTCACGTGGAACATTCCATTTTACTCAATCAACCAATCATTGCGTTGCGTTCCCCCGATCTCGTTTCTTATCTATTACATTTGCCAGCATATCCTTGCAAATATACTATTTCTTCGACAAAAAAGTCTCTCTATGAGCTATTATTGTGCGAACAATTTACTCAATATGGTAATTCAACCCATTTCTAAAATATTCAAGAATATTCAATCATTTCAATATCGAGGGTTCCCCTGTAAAGATCCTAAAAATCAGTCATTTGTAAATCCAAATATGGAACACCACATGGATTTCCTGTACACTGATTGGCCAGTCCTTATGCTTACCAATGCAAAGATTCGAAAACTGACTCGTTTTCTCCTAAAGAAATCGCGCATTAACCCTTTCAACGTTGCATGGTAGTGAGTATATGGTCCATGCTCTTGGCCGATTCAATTATAAATAAGAATGGGGACTCCCCTCTAAGCAGTGACGTTGGAAGCACCGACCACAGGGGGATGGATGACGGTGTATGAGGTAGGTAGGGGAGGAAAAAGAAGAACGCATAAAAAGCGACAAAAAAGGCGTGTAAAGCGTAGTAAAGCGGTGTGACGTGAGTTGGAGACGGGAATATGTATGCTTCTGAGGAAAGGACCATAGAAACAGTGGAGGAACCGGTATCACCAGGACAAGGGCTGGGAGAAGAGTTTCATGGAGATGGATATGAAGAAAGTAATACTAGCATTGATGAAACAAAGTTTTCAGCCCGGGAACTTGACAGTAGCCCACTCCGAAGCTCAGTAACACAGTATTCGGACGCATTTAGCCACAAAGGACAAGACCTAGAGGAGCTGGGAGCAATTCCATCGACACTGTTTGATTCACCGACATCCAAGGATGAAGCTGTGACAGGAGAAGACCACCCGGTACTTAAACGTACCCACAGCGGGCGGTTATCTGCCAATTCACTGAGTACAAAGTCTCCGAAAATATGGCAAGACTCATCACCAGGTTAGTGGAGAATTGCATGCACGAATACACGTGCACATTTTTTCGAAGATGAATTAATCTTTGTAATAAGCAGCTTTACAGCCGTTTTACACCACTATCAATTGTACTGGAGCACGGCCGACATACGTAAAACCAACTATCGATAAAGATGTACTAAGAAATGCCAAAACATTGACGGAACATGTTAGCCAATCCACAGGATTTCCCACAACAACACAACATTGCCATGAATCTAACTCAAATGACTTTGAAAAGAGCCAGGAAGCAGATAAACCGGTTAAACTGTTCGAGTATCCGTTTACAGAACCATTGGGGTCATATGCAAAACACAAGACAATACAAGAAAATATAGCTAACTGCCTCCCTAATTCTTATTCTGAAAAATACGTGTCTATTCCAAGTCGTTATCTTCAAGTTACAAACCTCCCTAAAACTATTGAAACATGGGTGTTGAAAGAAATTTTTGAAGTATAAAACTTTCTGAAAGATAATTCGTTGTTTACTAAGAATCCTAGAAATTTGGGGATATACAGGGAATCTTAGCAAAAAATCTCCGCAAAGATGGGTCTGTTATTGTTGGGTTTTACGATATTCGTGATTGTATTAGAATTCAAAAACAGCTACGTCATTATCGGTTTTTTAATGGTCGTTATCTAGAAGCTCAATTTTGTTCCAAAACCACATTGGTGTCAGTAAGTTTCCCCATTATACGTATACATATGTATACACTCGTTAACTCTTATTCTTACAGATATTTAAAGAAAGTTCTATGCTTCCATTTCTTTCGGAAAACGAGGGTGAAATCCTTATATCTTTTCAAGGCCCCAATGATATATCTAAAACCGCTTTGTTTAATCTTTTATCTTCATACGGTGATATTCGTACAATTAAATCTCTTCTTGCAACTGTAAAAAAAGCCATCATTTGTGAGTATTTTGATATTAGAGATGCAGTCTTAGCCATGGAAGAGTTGAATGGTCGAGTAGTTCAGGTAAGCCGTAACAAATCCATCGCATTCTCATGCGTTAATCTTACCCTATAGGATAATAAACTTCATGTTACATTTTATGAATCAGGTTTTATTTCTTGGAAAGTAGTGTCTGATGAATTACAACATTTACAAAACGAAAATACTATATTAGATCAATTTAAATCTTTGGATATTTCAGAAAGAAGATTAAATAACATTACAGATGAATATTTGGTCAATCATCATGGATCAACCAATACCACCTCTCATTCTAAACTTTCTCCTCCTTTGGGTTTTTTTCCTAATAAGAAAAATTCCACTGGATCTGTTATAGATAGGTCTAATTCAGTACCATCATATTACTCTCTTCATGATGAAAAATCGTCCTATACAGTACAAACGCCTAACCCTCCTGAAAAAATGGATTATTACAAATGCGATGTAAAGAAGCCCGTTTCTATTCAAACGAATAATGGCTCTTACATTTATTTAAAAGATCAATTTTCGAATACAGATAGTTATGTAGATTGTTCAACAATTAAAAAATCATTCGATGAAACTAAGATTAAATCATATAATCCTGCATTTATTCCAGGTAGCGCCCCGACTCAACGTCATATATATTCAGCAAATATGAAACGCAGCATTACTCATGATGGCGTTTGGATAGACCATCCTACATCAGTGACAGAGCATTTGCCTCTTAATTTAAAATATTCTTTTGATGTCTTAAAAACTATTAACAATACTGTCCCTGGAGCAAATTTGGTTACAGAAAAAAATAAAGTAGATTATGATCGAATCACTCGAGGTTTAGATATGCGTACGACTATTATGATTAAAAATATACCAAACAAATTCACACAGGTAAATTTCGGTTTATGCTTATATATTATTTACTTATACATGTCAATAGCAAATGTTACAAGAATACATTGATGCAACAAATTCGAAAACTTATGATTTTCTTTATTTAAGAATAGACTTTAGGAACCGTTGTAATGTCGGTTCGTTTTCGCTTTTTCCCCTTCCATTGATAGACTAATTCGTTCAAGGTTATGCTTTTGTAAATTTTATTGACCCTATTTCTATTGTTACTTTTGGTCAGGCTCGTGTTGGAACAAAATGGTAATAAATTACATATATTCATAATCCAATTATACATGGTATATTAATATTCCTAGGAATCGTTTTCACTCAGATAAAATTTGTGATATTTCATACGCTAATATGTATGTCTACATATCTTTATATCGTTCAGGCTGACTATCCTTATTAGTCAAGGAAAGGAATGCCTTATTGAAAAATTCCGTAATTCTTGTGTAATGGATGAAGATCCGTCTTATCGTCCTAAGATTTTTGTTTCTCATGGTCCAGCAACAGGAGAAGAACAGGAGTATTAAACTTAAATATAATAAAACATATTTATTAATATTTCTTTAGATTTCCTGCTCCTAACAATCCAAGAAGAAAATTGAGATCTATTGTGAGTGCTCAACAATTTGGTATGGTTTCCTTTATAAATGTATTTCATATTACTCATGGATGGGTTTAGGGCTTTTCCCTCCCGTTGGATCAAGGACACCTTGGAGTATACGCGAAGAACATACATTTATATAATTTTTTTAAATATTATTTATTTTAACAACATTTTTTTAGTTTTAAAATTTTGTAAATTTTCCTTTATTGGAACATGGAATTATTTTTTATACACTTGGTTTGGCGTGTTTATGCATTTTTATAGAATGGATATAATGATCAATATCAAATATTTACAAGTATATAAAAAGATCAAGATCTTTTATTGTTGGTAGCATCTGTAGTAATATGAAGCTTTTTTATGTATTCTTCGATATCAATATTTTGTGTATTTGCTTTTAGTAAATCATCCGAAATTCTTTGTGTCATAAACTGTGAAGGTCCCCAAAGCGAACTATCTATATCAACAAGACGAAGCTGGGGAAGTAAATGACTATTGTTAAAGCACAATGAGTCGCCCAGCAGTTCTTTCCAGGAAAATAAGAGGGAAGAAGTTCTGTAGTGCCAGAGATTAATATCAATTAACCAAGCTTTTGTCTTTGACGGTGGTATATAAATATCAAAAATAACTGAAAAGTAAGTTATAGAAAAGCAGTAAATATAATTTTACAATTTTCATCAGGAAATTTGTCTTTCAAATAAAGATCAAATAATTCTATTGAAAGAGAAAGAATTACAGGACGTAATGACTCAAGAAAATCATAATATTTTAAATCACGTTGAGAAATACCTAATAACATTAGTATATAATAGACGTATCAAGCATGACTAGTGTTAAAAACAAGCCGTAGAAACAATATTCACAAAAAAGCAGATACCTATAAGACAACGCTGTTTAACAAAACAACGAAATTCCATTGATGGATGAACATTAAACCATTGTTTCAATACAAGTTCATGTTGAAAGTGCGATGGCGGACCAGGCGAACAACAATCATCAAAAGCATGATACAGATCATGTGTGATATAGTCCGAACTCTTAAGCAATAAATAAACATCAGAAGAAGTTGTACAGCGCAAAGTCCGCGTTGATGTAATCCATGCAGCATCCTAATACATGTCAGCTGTGTCAGAAGAAAGCTAGATAAAACCTTTGGCGCTGACCAGTTAAGTTTAGGAAAAACTGCACCACCTAAAGTAGCAATTACACATGTAATCTCTTGATCCAATGATCGAAATGGAGCAACACAATCAGAAGTATTAATATGAATATCGCCTGATGAGTTATCTGAAAAACTACAATCCGAAGCATTATCTTGAACACTATTTAAAATGGCATCTTCAACATTGTTTTCACTATCTTCATTATATTTTGAGGAAATAGGCGGTAAAATAAGTCCATCTTGGCCAAGATAATAAAGAAATGCCTCATCAGAGAGACGAATAACACGTGCATTAGGAGTAACCGCAGAACAGTATGTACGCCAAGCAGAAAAAGAGCAGTTCATTACATTTTCCACTGATATATGTGGGAACTCCTCTAAAGATGCCTCCTCAAGCCGGTCTTCCATGTACCAAACCACAAAACTATCATAAAAACTATATCAAATCAAATTATTATATCCAGAATAGCTATATTAAGCGAAACATTAAATAGAACATTAACTTTATCAACGACTTATTTTTAATGTTTTAACGGCACACCATCTGTGCGCAACAAATGATCGAAATTCAACAAAAAGTTATGATAACATAGCTAAAGATGAAGCATCTTCTACATCTTCAGCCACTCTTACATCTTTTCCAGCTGTTTTGTTGCTTCGTTGTATACGATAAGAGATAAAAGATGGGTGGAGGAAACATTGTGTCTTTACACGTTCAAGGCGTACTACTGTGTCACCAGATGTATACGACAATCTCCAGACCGTTGCTAAGGATAAAGCAGTAGTATTAGCAGCAGATGATGTGCTTGTAATATCAGTGGACACTGCGTTTGTATTATCAGTAGAGATAGCTGTTCTGAATATATTATTAACAACGGCTTCTTTTGGTATTTTTGTCTCTGTTTCTTTTGCATTTAATAATGTGTCTGATTGATTTTCTGCTGTTGCTACATCAGTCAATATCTTATCTGTACAATTTTTACGAAGGAAGCGAAGAAGAGCAGCTGTCCAAGCAAGAGCACGTAAACCGTCACGAGAACGACGTACACGTGAAAGTAGAGCATGTGTTTCATATGTTTCGATTTCACTCAAGAATCCATTTTCTGTCCGAAACCCAACAATCACTCTCGGCACTCCTAACAAATATGACTGAGCCCTATACAAACATCAAGCACTGATTATAACACTGTTTATAATATTTAGCATAACATTAAGCACTATTTTACACTGCTAAGCATTGAACATTCTGTCAAAATTCAAAATATTCTTAATATAATAATAAGCACTTAGACTTGAATACTAAAATTAAGCAAAGCAATAGATTAAATGTGTCTAAATGCAGCAAACATCAAGAAATAAATAGTAAATATTAAGCTGCATACATACTTGAAACCTATTATTAAACGTTGATGCAAACTTAGGAGAACTTAAGCAATCAATGAAGTTTTGATTAAAATATTGAACACTATTTGTTATTAAACAGTAACACCAGTTTAATATTTCAATGCTAAGTTTCTTCAAATGTCTTGATGCTTTAATACATCATTATTAAGCAGATTTAACAGCATAGTGTCAAACTATAATGCTTTATTGTATTATAACTATAATGCGTACCATGTTTTAAAAAGTTTGTTACGTTCAAAAACAGCTCGGTCAGCAAACGCAGTCTTAAGCTCGACATAAAGTGACGTTGGATTTTCTGGAGGTGATGGTTTAACATCCCATATACAGTCAACCTCTCCAGCTATCAGAAGTGTAATCCCATCAAGCCTATTTTTTTATCAGTATCTACTAAGAGTAAAATGAGTACAAGCAAAATATAAAAGAAAAACATCTATGTAGAAATTAAGCATCAGTTTAGTACTAATTGAGTCAAATCTGAAAACTACACAATAACTAGATTATACTCTAATTAAGCAGAATCTAGATTGAAATATAAGCTGGATTGAACCAAAATCCAAGCTACACTTATATTCAAATTGAGCTTACAATTGCATAACAATAAACTTGAAACAAATCCAAGATCAATTAAATCGAAAATACATATAGATGTTTTTCAGTTTACTTCATTATACACTCGCTTTACTTGCTACTTACTTGGTACGGACAACAGCACAATATTGTACATTATTATTAACAGTAGTATCATACCGCCTCTCAATTTGTTCACGTGAACACTTATCCCATGTGTCGGGGAGTGTTGAAAGAGCTTTATAACAAGTTAGTAAAATAAACAATAAAAACAAAATTTCAGAACAACTGCAAAAAAACTATAAAAATAACAAAAAACCTTAGAGCAATTTTCTAAAAATATCCAACATCTTAACTCCACCCTAAAACATCATTCATAGCAGTTGTATATTTTTGCTATAATATCACATCAATACCGACCTTCAAATTTATGACCCCAAAAACACATTAGCGCTTCACGCGTAGTTGGTGGAAGGGGTGATGTATGACAGTCCTCAATAAATCTATAGATCAGCATGTCTTAAAACTACAAAAAGTGTACATACAATGTGTCCTATGCCATTCAATCAGTAAAATTAATAAAAAAGTAACTATATAAAATGTTTGAAAATCAAAAACATCAATAACATTAATATAAAAATAGCATTACATTTATACTGTTTTTACATTATGTCATCTTTGGATTATAATATTCATACTGAGATTATTCTAACACAACTGCATTACTTTACCTGAAAATACATAATATTAACACTCCAAGAAGTACGCCGATCATATGGCGTACACAGAAACCGTGCTAAAATACCTATTATCTATCAGCTATAAAAATAAAAAAATAACAAAAAGAAGTAAAAAATAAGAAAGAAATATTAAAATAAGATTAAGAGCCTCATATAAAACTTCTTTTTAAAACCTACATGCCTCTCCATGTAAGAATATCAACTGAAGTACGAGTACGGCCATGTGTACGTTCATATGCACAAAGTGAAAGTAAAAATCCATCAAGATGTTCATCAATTGTCTCATCACGCTCAATACGCTCTTCAAAACCCTGAGAAAGATCTGCACCTGAAACAGCAGGATAATAGTATTTCTACAGCAATTAATATAGATAAAATAAAATACAAAACATAAAAAAGCACAAAAAGAGCTCCATTGTTAATTTACATACCAAAGAAGATGCATCATGCCGCAAACCTCTGCACTCATCATAACTAAAACAAAAAAGCTCTACCGGTTGCTGATAAACCGGCGTACAACCTTCAAACCGCTCAAGCGGTTCAATAGGAAAGACTTCCAGTGTAACAAATCTCAGTTAAAGCTTCTTTAAAACAAAACTTGTATTTAGCACTATTGGGTACAATTTAACCCAATATTAACCCAATATTAATTCAATATTAATCCAATCTTAAAGACAAATATGCTAAGTTTAACTCTTAAATTTTCTTTTAAGTCAACCAAGTTCTGCTATTAACTTTATTTAATCTTTAAAATTTTCTTAATATTTTAGTCTTTAATTTCTTTTAACCAATCCTTAATATAAGTTATAATTTATGTTTAAATTTTGTTTAACTTAATTCAACTAAACATAATCTAACGTATGTTAAAATAGTTTTTTAACCTTAAATTATGTTAAATTACGTTAAAATAGGTTAAGCGTATATAATTAAATTTTAAGCCAAATCTAAGTTAAACTTAAGACAAACTTAACATATTTTTAACAAATTTCAATAAACTCTTAACAAAGTTAACGTTTCTTTAATAAGATTATACACATCGATTAAATTCCAACTTAAGGTACTTAAGAACAATAGAAATAAACCAAATAAAACAAATTAAAATGTATTCAGAACATGTTAAGAACTCATTAAGAACCCATTAAAAATTAAAAACTCATTAAAAGCTTGTTAAAAACTTATTAAAACGATTAAAATAATATCAGAAACATTTGAACTAAGATAAATCGTAAAAATGTCAGAAAAACCGCTACGACGACAGCTATTTGGTTTACGTACACCACTTGTACCAAGTGTATCTATAGCAAGTGTCTTTGGACAAGCAGTATCAACACTTTATGAAGACGTAATGGATCCATCGTCTTTTACAGCTCTCCAATTCCTTGAGACACCTGTACCAGGCACAGAAGAACATGATCAAAAAGCACTTGAACAAGCAAAACAAGCAGAAGCTCTACGCAAAATATATACAAGTGAACAATTTCAACATAAAGGTAGGCATCGTGGGGCTAAAAGAAGGTATACAAAACAACTAACAAATATAGCTCTTGGAGAAGCAGTACGAGAGAATCTTAAGCGAAATATTCAAGCACTAGATGAAGACGAATGGATGTTTGTAGCAGATGATACCCGACCAGTATGGCAACAGTAAAATTGAAAAATAACAAAACATTAAAAACAAATAGCGTTTGAAGTAAATTAACAATATTTTTTAAAAGAAAAAACAGGCCTTTAAAATGCCAATATAGCATTTTTAAAGTACTAATATCACTTAAAGAACTGTAAATATCTCAAGAACATCAGTTATTTTTATATGTAAACAATTTTCCAAAACATTTTCAAAAATTTTCGTAGTCTTCTAGAAAATCAAATAAACACATGCAAAACCTTAGTCCACCGTCTCATGAAGTGTTTCGTGTGTATTAAATGGCAATTGCTGTGATGTACGTGAAGACGATGTATTATTCGTATTAGACGATAATATATCATTACCAAATAACTGGTTCATTAGAGTAGCCCATGTGTTGTTAGGAGGAGGCCCCGTATGAATATTAAAATAAATACTAGCAATTTTATCAAGTGACTAGTTTTTTAATTAAAATTTCGAAACAAACAAAGTACTTACAGGCTTCCAAGAAGATGCCTGCTTTAAAGCATCTTCATAATGCGCTTTTAGAGTGCAAAACAAATCAGCAGAGGCCCGCTGACATGTTAAAATAAGAAAACATAAAAAATTCATAAGTGGCAATGAAGGAAACAAAATGATATCTGCCGAAGACGAAGACAACACCAGTGTAGATGTACTGCGTCGATCAGCAATGTGCCGAGCCATTGTGTTGTAAGCCCGGAGAGCACATGCAATGTTATATATCATCAGATAAGGAAAAACCGCTCGTGATGTATAAAAACATGCCATATCAAGCGTATCCCGATCAAAATATCCACGCAAAAGGCTCAAAAATAATCCAAAACTATCAGCAGTTCCAAGTATTAGATGTTTTTCAGCACTAAAAAAACTGCTTTCTACGTAATTAAGCTTTTTCTTCTCTAATATGTCATACCATATGCTAAAATTTTCCCTACTTCATGATGAAGCTCAGGATCACCAATAGCAGTATCTCCATACTTTCCAGACCACCTATGCAAAAATTAAACTAATATTGGTCAACAAAAACGTATACATTAATGAATCGTGAATCAATCGCTTTCTCGTTGGCTCATCAGGACAAAATAAGCGCAAAAGATCAATAATGCGGGCTTAAAAAGATCAATTTCCTACTCCATTAAAATCCTTAAAACAACCTTTACTGGGCCCATCTGGCCTTAATTTCATAGTATCATATACTTTAATCATATAAAGTGCTAAATCACCTCCACTAGCAAATTGTTTAATTTCAAGCAAAGATTTAGATGAAGAATAAAGCAAATCAACAGCCTTATCGTATTCACATGCTTTTACATGTCTTTAATACGTTATTTAAACCATTTTTATAAAAAATCTCTCACCTATTTACAATTGTCCGCATAAGCTGATGTGCTTCATAATATTGTTGCTCATTTAAACTATTAACAAAATGTTAAAAATAACTCAGTTAAAGTAGATAAATAAACATACGCTTTTTGAAACTTAAGAATATTTTTATCTAAAACTGAAGACATTTATATATAATATCGGTAGCAAAGCCGTCAGACGAACAAATATAGATAAAAAATAAAAAAAATACAATAAATATCAATAAAAGAGTAAATAGATAACTATCTTAGTACTGAGAAAATATCATCACTGAATTCTTGTTTTTTTTCAGGTCGAAAAGAAACATAAAAATATTATTTTCAATATAGAAAAACATCTGAAACTATTTTTTTAATGAAAATTGCGCCAATAATACACGAAGAGGACTTAAGAATAAAAGAAATAGACAAAAAATGCCAATATGCACAAAGAACTAGAAAAATATTAGTATTATAAAACCAATGACGAAAATATACATCATAACTTTTCCAAAATAATAAAGAATCTCGCAAATTAAGAAGGACGAAAGGTTGTACTATATATGCCCATGTCATTTGAGTCGTAAGCCATGATAAGATGTCATAAACTATTTTATACGATGTAGGCTGCATATCTTGAGTTAGGAATAGCGGTCTGAGATATTTTCTAAGATATCTTCCTAAAATTTGAGCAAATGCGCCAGTCATAAAAGATACTACAAAGCATTAAATAAAAAATACGTAAATTTTTGAGATTGCAAAAAGCAACCGCAATATTTTCCTTACAGTAATAACCCGGATAAACTGAAAAAAATGAATAAAAGAGAAAATAAATACAAATCACTTACATCCGTGCCATAAAGCACTTGTCATAAATGTCACAATGGAACCTACAGCATTCCGTTTCTTATTATGTGATACAATTCTTAAATAGACATAATACTTTAACCATCGATTTGCACCTTTATTCCAAGAATCGAGCAATTGTTTAGTACTCTGGGCAGTCTCAAAACCATATGGACTAATATTTTCAAAAAAACATTGAGTAATGTTTCCATCAGAATCTCTTATAGAATCTCCTAAGCCAGACAAAACACATGCACCTTCAGCAAGCTTCCAAATACCATAATACTTCAAACGATGTGTGAATGCTAAGAGATACAAATATAAAAATCTAATAATATTTAATAAATTCTTTTATTCAAACTTACATATCTCTTTTTACCTTTGAATACATGTCATTTGAAAAAATTGATCCTCATAAACGAAAGTTGTAGAATAACGTAAACTCATCCATTGAAACATATAGAGATAAAACAAACCAGAAAAAAGTTTTTTCACCGAGTAACGTCGATCATTCCAAATTAACCGCTTTTGATACTCATTTAAGTTATTTTCTTTAGATGCAGAAATACCACTCGCCAACCATCGATGATAATCTGCTAAATCAAAAGAAGGTCCTACAAAAAAAGAAGGAAAAAAAAACACATAACCCAAAAAATCTAAAAGAGATGGAAGTTTCTTTAAAGCGTATTCCTTTTGTTTTGGTGTCAATGTCTACAATATAAATAATATTCAATAAAAAAGCATATCTTACTAATTCATCCTGTTGTCCATCATAAAAATTCCAAACAAATGCAGTTAACTTCATGCAAAGTACCATATGTACACATGTAACATCCAATTTTTGATCAATATTTCCATATTGACGGTAAAGATGACTGCTTTGTAGTCAAAAATAAAATCACATATTTTATCCAAATATACTTAATACTCAAATGCCCCATCAAAAAAAAAAAAGCAACATATGGCATAAAACGACCTTTAACATACTGAACAATAATATATGCAAATGTTGTACTAATCAGTACTGTTTGGACACCGTACCAAAGATTAAAAATCATTATCAAAAAAACAAGAGAAATACTAACAACTTATCATTTTTTGTATAAAAAAAAACAAAATACATACACAATATTGAAAATATTACGTACAAAAGACATTCTTCCAGGAATACTCCTCAAAACATCAGCAAGAGGATATGAAAAAATAAGACATTCTAAAAGCTTAAAATGATGAATTGGAATACCAGTTTTTTGCAAGATAATTTCATCAATATACTCTACCCATGTAGGAATAGAAAATTCCCCTGGTACAAATATAGAACCTATTGTCAGCACTAACAAAATTGCTGTACTTGTGTTCATTTCAGCTGCTTTATCCTTTATTACTGTACAGAGTCATTCAATTAGTTGCACGTGCATTTCATATTAATTATACAATAGCGTGTTTTACGTTTCGTGTTTCGCGTTTAGTTTACACACATCTTTACGGACACATCTTAACATATCTCCAGACCAACGATTTCACTAGATCATCTCGACATGAACGTAATACGAGCGATACAAAGCTACGTCGAGACAATCACTACAGTCTCAAAAGACATGAAAATCCTGCTTTTAGACTCTGCTACGGTAGGTTTTATCATACAGAGATGGGCATTGGTATTGAACTATATGAATATTCCAAAACACATAATATCTATCACAAAACATCAGCATATATGGCTGAGTGCAACATGTATGTGTAAAAATAAAACAAATATCCACAAGAAGATTCTATATAAGCAAATAGATATTTGAAAAGATTTCTAGTTGAAAATACAGACAGAAAAGCCAACTATATATATCTATCATTGAATTAATATGCAAAATATCAAATCTATAGAGAAAGAAAGACTATGAATGATAAAAAAAGTATATATACTACAATGAAAAAATATATTTATCACTATATTGTCTATGTATATGAAGATATTGGATTATATGCGTTATATATACATGCCAATACATCACCAACTGCTCTCTGTTCTCTCTGCACTTTGTTATACGTCTCTTATCATCACCAGGTAGCAATGATGTCTATGGCAACGACTAAGAGCTTTCTGCTGAGTCGGGAGATCTATCTAATTGAGTTTTCAGGAGAAAATACAACAATAACACCACTAATGCATCATTTAGCCGCTTGGATAATATGCAACGTGAAAATGTTCGCCATTTGACATGTATATGTGTTCTCCAGCCATGCCTCAGCTCGGTACAGCAGCTCTCGAAAGAACTTCGTACTCCCCGGTATGGACGCTACTTTGTCTGTACGACAAGCAGTATAAATATACATTTCTAAGAGAAATACAGATTTTACAAACATTCTTTCGAAACCTTTTCTTGAAATGCTTGCTACCTCGGATGATCACGAAGTTGTACACGCAGTACAGGTTTATAAAAGCACAGAAAAAGTGCTAGACTTTTTTCAAATAAATATTAAGCGATATCAGGAGATTTTTGCAGACTATATGGCAGTGCACTCAGATCTAGCAATGCTGTATCTAACGAAAAGTCTTTGGAACAATCAATGGGATTTGTGGGATACAGAAGCAATACAACAAACACGAGATGGTATACTATCTATTCTATTATCTTTAAAGCGAAAACCAGTGATTCGATATGAAAAAAACAGTAAAATGGCAAGAACGCTGGCAGTGGCATTGCAAACAGAAATAGAAACAGAAACATCATTATTTGACTTTTATCGTACAGATACATCCCCAATTCTTTTGTTATTGGATAGATGCAATGATCCAATAACGCCATTGTTGACACCATGGACATATGAAGCAATGGTACATGAATTAGTTGGTATTGTTCATGGGCGTGTGGAAATTGCAAATTTTATACATGAAAAAGTACATCACGTATGTAGTTAACATACAAAACATCCAAATTATGCAAAAAAGATGTTAATATACTTGTATATAGGAAATGGTCTTATCTCCGATACAAGATACTTTTTTCAAAGAAAATATGTATCTAAATTTTGGTGATCTAGGAATACGTATTAAAGAATATGTTGAACATTATCGAACCAAGACTCAGTCAAATGTTGAAATTCAAAACGTATCAGATATGAAGCGATTTGTTGAAGAATATCCCGAGTTTCGTCAGCTTTCAGACAATGTTGCCAAACATGTAACACTGATGAGTGAACTCAGTGCTCGTGTTGAGAAAGGATCTTTATTTGATGTCAGTGAGCTCGAACAGAGCCTCGCATGTGATGATTCTCATGCATCAAATCTTAAGGTAGGATGTAATTTTATTTATGCACGTTTTTTATATTTATATTTTTTAGGACTTGCAAAAACTCATTCGAAGCCCTATCTCGAATAGTAGTAAGGTTAAACTTGCACTTCTTTATGCTTTACGTTATGAAAAACATCCAAACAATGCACTTTCTTCACTTTTACAACAACTTGCACAGGCTGGAGTCCCGCCAGAAGAGTTTTCTGTAATTATTTTCCTATGTATTGTATATTTCTAATACAAAAGGTTATAAACATGCTCTTTGACTATGCTGGATCAAATAAACGCCTTGATAATATATTTGAATCTGAAAGCTTCTTTTCTCGAACAAAAAGTGGATTCAAAGAGTTAAATGGAACTGAAAATGTATATACCCAACATAAACCTCGACTACAAAACCTTCTTATGTCTTTAATCAAGGGTCGCCTTCGTGAACAAACACACCCTTATATGGAAGGGACCGCTATTTTTAAAGAGAAACCACAGGACATTATTGTTTACATGATTGGTGGCACAACATACACAGAAGCAAAAGTTATTCATGAAATTAATCTTTATGCGACTGGTGTACGTATAGTTTTAGCTGGAGACCAAATTCACAATAGTAAATCATTTTTACAGGTATTATTATTCCTCTCTATATTTTATACATCATCTTAGCATCAACCTTTTTTCACATAAAGAAGAACTAATAGATTAATAGCAATTAAAGCGTATTCATACTACTCAAACATGAGATTAATAAACATGACAAATAAAAACATGATTTAACGTATAATAAATCTTTAAACACTCAATCAACATATCGATGAACCAATAAAAATTATAGGCATACAAAAAATCTCTCCACTACCGGAATGGCTACTCAATTTATTTTTTAATCTTTTAGACTTAATTTTAATTCATCGATATGAAATTACAAAAAATACTTAATTTATCCAAGAATACTAATAGATTTAATAATTAAACAAAATCAAAATCTTATATACTTTGTATATTTCCAGCTTAAGTAAATTTAAAAAAAAATTATATACTAACATCATAAAGCTCAGATACAAAAGCACAACGAATGATACGACAAAAACAACTAACACTATTAAATAATATACAAAATAGTATACATACGGCATTTACACGGGTATTTTGTCAATGGGTTTCCATAACACGTTTAGGACAAATTAGATGCTTTACAGATATGCCTAAATACTCAATAGACTCAGAAAATGTAACAAAACATTCCTCAAAACAATCTGAACGTTTATATGACCTTTATGGGCCTTTTTCAAATGCAGAGTTACCCAAACCAGAAGCATTTTCTAAACTTCCACCAAATGTTCAAGCAGCATATCTTGAGCCACTTCGTCGTCCTGCCCGATATGGGATTATAACGTGTTCACTTCAAATGCGAAGCTTTGAAGTACATCGTCTTGCATTTTTCGCAGACTTTTCTATGAGAGCGGCATATTACATAGGTCTTTGTGCCTCTGGCCCAGTACCACTACCTAAACGGATTGAACGATGGACCGTTCCACGTGGCCCATTTGTCCATTCAAAAAGCAAGGAAAATTTTGAACGCATTACATATAAAAGGCTTATTACTATTAAAGATGGGCATCCTCGTGTAGTTGATACGTGGCTTGCATATCTAGCAAAACATGTCATGAGTGGAATTGGTATGAAAGCACATGTTTTCCGTTATGAGGCAATCATGCAAGAAAAAGAAAGAGACAGTAAAATGCCTGAAGAAAAACATTAAAGCAATATCAATACCAACATTATTCTTCTATCTCTAATAAAAATACTAAGCATCAAAGAATAGCCTTTTTCAAAACTAATAAATTTAAACTATTTTTTTTGCAAACTCTGATAAATAGTTTCTTAAAAGGTGTTAGATTATGTATCACAGCGCTTTTGTACATTTTTTTTATTAGGACAATAACTTCTGAACGCTAAGACTTTTTTTTTCGAAGCAAGGGACCAAGCGACCTAAGCCTTTTAAAAGAAAAAAAAAATAATAAAATGGGTAAAAAAACACCGATGAATACATTAGATTTAGAAAAAAATTCCAGTTATTTTGATGATGATAAGAATTCAATTTTTTTACGAATGAAAAATCGGCATTTTTCAATACTTCATTCGAATCTTTCAAAAATATTTTCCCCTTCACGAGAGATCAAACAAGAAGATAAAGGACACAAGAATAAAGAAAATGTGTCGATCAAAAAAGGTGATCAACAGTCAAAACAAAGCAAAGAGTCATCTGTGCAAAAAGCCAATGGTTTCATATCTCATTTGCATCTTTGCCGTCCTTTGCAAACTACATCATCTTTATTTCATGTTCCTTTCTCTTTGGCCATGCGGTGTGCTATTTCGTCTTCAGCAGTTCTTTTTTTTATGCCTACAAAGGCAGAATATTTCTCTGATCAGGTATCATCATTAACTCAGTTCAATGATTCTTTATTATTTTCTTTTGAAAGAGGAATCGGCATGTTTGTATTAATAGAAGGAGCACTTTTGCATTATGGCTTATATGACAATGATATGTGTAAGCCAAAACACGTGATAAGAATTCAGCATAATACAAGTATTCGTGTATTGAATCATATTGAAGGCACAAGATGGATATTGGAACTCGTAAGTTCGATAGATGTGTCAGATGAGGGTTCAAGTAATAATGATGAGTTAACGCTTCAAACTTCTATCTTAAAGAATGTATCTTGCTTAGATGTTTCATTAAAAAATGATAAACAGAAAGAAATTGTTTTATTCAGCATAGCTACACAAAAATCTCTGAACCAATGGCTCAAAATATTTCAACAAGAAATCTCTCGAAGCAAAAAGCATTTATTGTCTAGTCAGAATTCCAAAAACAATACATTTGACACAAATTCTAATATTCTTTCGACCTTGCTTCCTCTAAAAAATCCGCAAGGAAAAAGGCCACCAATACCGGTGCGTCCAGACTTTATAGACTTAGGCTCTGAATTAGTAACAAAGCAACTCCGTATAGAATGCAAAGAAACAAATCAGTCAAATAATCACGATAATTCAGATAAACATTCTTGTGAAGAAATTAGTAAAGAAACTATTCATACACCAAAAGTGCTTGATTCTACAATAAATAAGATCCAAAAGAAAGACTATAGTCCATTAGCAGTTAAAAAACCTTCTGTTTTGTCACTCTTCACATCTCCAGATGTACCAAGTGTCTCAGACTGTCCATCATTAGAGGCATCTAATTCAGAAGACTCTCGAACCCCTTCCTATGCATCATCTGCATCGATACCAGCAAGTTATCATAAAGAAAATACATTTTATCAGCTTTTAAATACACACGGTACCCAAAAGGAGATATTAACTTTAATTCCACAGTGTCCATTATTATCACAGCACATAGTTCGCAACAATATATAATGTTACTGAATAATAATAGTAAACAAAAATGCTGGAACAGTTGCTCTATATTTAATCAGATATAAAGAAAATATTATAAAATATTGAAAAATATACCAAATATTGGGAAATATATAAAATACATAAAAATATAAAAGAATATGTTTTTTTTTTTTGCTTAAAGACAGTTAACAAGTATTTTTCTTGATGTTTATATTTAAGATTGCATTCTATGAAAGACTAGAAGACCATAAAAGACGTAAGAGACACTTATATCTTCTATTCAAAAGTTTATCACAACTATTCTGCTCAGCACTCTAAGGCTAGTTCTAAAATTAATTCAAAACTACGCCTTAAAATATTGTATGTTGTATTTTACAGGTTATTTTTACATCCTCAGAGCTAAAGTCTTTTCAAACTCGAGTTTTACATTTTGCGGTTTCAAATACAGAATTTACTGTTTTTATTTCATATTCTTACTTTTATACACTATTTTTATTTCATATTCTTACTTTTATACACTATTTTATTGCTTTCCAATCTACTCTATCTATTTTTAATTTTTTTCATCTACATCCTCAATTAAGACTTGATTCGGTCGGCATTCATTTGATGTACTTGTTGAAACAGCACATGAGCCATTTCCTGATCCTTTCCCATCTATATTTTTTGCTGTCTTACGCTTACTTTTCCGTTTCTTATATAATCAATACAAAAACATATATATTCAATACCTACCACATGCCACCCCCATAAAGGCCGGAAACTATCAATGAATCCAACATCTTCATAAAGATTAGGAAATAACCAAATTCCAGGAGGACATATAGCAAGTGTTATAATAAAAATAAAAAGACGTAATACAGTTAAAATAAGTAGTGAAACTACCAACCCCAATGCTACCCAGCTTAACCGATGTGCTACACGACGTAGCCGTGGTGGCCAGAGGGGATAAACAATTACAGCCAAAACCAATAAAAGTGCTGCAATACCAAGTAATACAGTTGTTATTGGAATTTGATCATAAAGCCATACATAATATGCTTTATCTGTTACACCATGTTCAGCACTTATACGTAGTCGACGGGTGCGTCGACGCATATTAGCACCATGTTCAGTACGCTCAGCACGAGAAGACAGCTTGTCAACACGTCTGATAAATTTGTGCCGAATTAACAATGAAAAAGCAGCTGATGCATCCATAGTATTAGCAGAATCAAAGGTTGTGCTCTGGAGAATGCGAAAAGCATGTTTAGCTATACACATGTAAACAGCTGTCTATACAAAACCATGGATCAAATGTATAAAATTTTGCAAAAAGCAAAGATTTAAAAGTTTTTAAATCATTTACTTTCAAAATTTATGTAAAATACTCAATTACCTTTGAAAAAGTCAACACGCTTCCCATCGAGTATTCCAGGACGGTTCTTAAGCATAGAATGGTGACGTAAGCGCTTAGCAAGTGCTAGTGCCTCTTGACGAGTATTATCAGATCCCATGAAAATAAGAGTTTATATGCACAAAAAACAGTTATATATATATATATATAAGTAAATATATGCGGAGTTTTTCTGTATATATGTGCAACTAAGTCCTCTATATGAATCTGTTTTAGTTTGTATTAAATATAGCAACAAAGCAATTCACCTAAAATATATGTAAAAACCAAAAATACCTAATATATGCGACCAAAAATGATGCAAATCCCACTTTATGTACAATATATGCGTATATATATACACTTTACTTCAAACACTCGAAACTCACCTAAGTTGTTTGCCGAATCAGCCTCGACGGAACACGCAAATGCACTCCGAGGCCGACAACGTTCTCGATTCCCTATAAACATGAATATAGACCTAAAAACGTGTTAGAAGGTGTATTTTCTGTAAACATAGGTACAAAATGGCTTAATATATGCGTGCTACTTTTGTATATTATTATATGTTCCTATATACATGTTCCTTTAGCTGCCCAACCGTGTGTTACTAAATATGCAAAAGCAGCAGCAGAACCATATAGAGCTGTATATCAACAATACATGTGTATATTGGATAGTATACATATTTATTGGAGGTATAATCAATAATATACATAGAATACCGCGTTATATATGCTATATATGTACAATATATTCAGTCTTTGCACATTGAGTATTGTATACATAATATATACACTTCATGCATGCTATATATACTATATGTGTCGTGTATATGTTGTCTGCAACTTGTATACATATTTTAAAAATTTATGTATAGTGGTGCATGTACAGTGCTATATGCGCGTTATGTTATATATACACATTGTATACCCATTATAAGTTGCATACATTTTGTATATGCACAAGTGCTCCATCCTATATTTTATTGCTCTTTTTACTATACACATTATATACAGAGTATATAGATATTGTATGCACCGTATGTATACTGTGAGCAACATAACTATATACACAGAATTATGGGATGAATAGACGTACATCTATTTACTATATAATGCATGTATAGAATACATAAAACATATATAGAATATATACAATGTACTAGTGCACATATAACGTATACATACTGTACATACAAGATGTAACGCATACTGTACATACAAGATATAACGCATACTATGCATATTGTATGTATACAGTTAACATAATAAATACACAACATATATTCAGTGTGTGTAGTCTATATACACTCTGCATAAACAATATATATACAGTAGGGACTAGACAAAGTATGCATATAACATTATATACATACATTACATATATATTCTCTTATGCACTTCTAAACAACTATATACACCTATACATGCATATACGTGCCTATATATGCACATGCATACCTATACGTGTCTATAGGCCCACATACAGTTATATACATCTATATATAGCTATGCTTGTATATATACAGCAAATATCCTCAGTCCTACACTTTAAGCCCTCTGCATATTCACTGTATATGTACTACATACACTGTATATACAGTATATACAAAACAAATTATAAATTATATACGCATGCATACATATATACGTACTATAGTGCTTTGTAAACCATGTAAATATATACTGTATTTATGCAGCATATGCAATATTAATGAAACATATAGATATTATACACACATTATATGCATATATATTACCATCTATGTATTTTATATCTGTATTGCATATATACAAATACATTGTATACATTGTTTGCAGATACGCTGCATATAAAGTATATACATTACATAGACAAAATATACACAAAATATACACTATATGTATATTATACAAGTTATATATGCATCCTAGACACTATATACACTCTATATGCATACTCTATGCGCACATCCTCTCTCCACTGTTCGACGCTCCACAATGTCTCAAAACGAATCGCAAATATTAAATGCATTTCTTGTGTCATCGTCAGGATTAAAAGACATTGCAGGATTAAGCACATTTACGTCGCTTTTTCCATCTTCTAAACGGTAAATTGAAAGATATTTATGCATTTTTACTAGATTAATGCTGTCAGATCTCATCCAGATATTGAAACTTTATACCGGCTGCTACAGACACAACGCAGTGCAATTTGCCAAACAGTCAGGAAAAATATTGAGCTGGAATGCAAGCTTGGACCTTGCAGGAACATAAAAGGTCAGGGAATGGGCTCAGAAAGCAAAAAAACAGAATTTACAGAGTTTCATAATGAGGTATGGGGGAAAACAAAGCAGAAAGAAAAAAAACGGCATAATAAGGAGAAATATGCATAAAAACAATGCTTTTCTGCATCAAAATTAAAAAAAGATGTTAACATTAATAGCCATGGCAATTAGAAACAAATAAAGCACTAGAGCTTTCAGAAATGCTTAAGCAAATGGAAGAGACAGTAGAAAAAATGCAAGAAGAGATGGAAAAACTTGGAAAGGGATGTGATGATTTATTACAAAACATGAAAATGTACGTTTTTTGGTATCTGGATCAAAAAATTAAATAAATAAAGGATAGTAAGCGAGATGGAAGTTGGTCCATATGAAAAACAGTCTCTTGATCATGCAGAAGAAACAGTGAATGGATTAAGGGTCCGATAAAATAATTCTAAATGTAAAATGGAAGTAATACAATGTAGGAATTGATTGAAACGTGTGAAGAATTACTAAAAAATTGCGAAAATACGTATCAGCAAGCACAAAGAACAGAAAACAAGTAAAAAGTAAATATAGACGTAAAAGCTTCAAGATACTCTAAAAACTTCAAATAAGTGGATAAATAAGTAACTATTTTAGTATTTGCATCAAAAGAGATTCAGATGTTGATTCTATACTATAGCAACAATAATGCTATAACAACGAAGCAAAAGTCAATGTTATGGTAACCATACTTGTAACAATGACATAACAAAATTTAAGCATATTAGCATATTAATTGCGCATTAATACAAGCTAGAAAACTTAAATATGCAAAAAAGGGTTTTTATCTTTTCTTTAAACATACTTAGGTTATATTTTAGATTTATTTCAAGTATACTTTAAACTTGTATCAAGTTAGGTATGTTTTAGACCATTTTTGTTCAAAAACTCTCAAAAAAGTGTGTTTTGCAGTCTATACATATCTCATGTAAGATTTTTCTGGAACATGTTATATTTCCTAATGTTTCCATATAGATTGATGAATATAAAACAAAAAAATATAGACCGTACACTCAACATCTATTTTTTATATTAAAAATATAACACCCAGAACATAGCTTATGGAATATGACAAGAAATGCGCTAGTCGTATATATCATCCTCAAAACATTTTCGTAACATGTCTGGTAATCATCGTATCTCTCTAAGTCAAATAACAATCAGTCTTCCACTTTAAAAAATAGCTCTTTTCCTGAAGCCTTACACCTCTGCATCAGAATAGAAATACACCATTCAAAATAATATCTTTGTTATATATAAGTCTGACATTTTTCAAAACTCAACCTCAATACTATCATTTATTCAGTCTTCCAAAACAGTACATACCATTTCTTTAAAAAATAACAAAAGAAACAGAACATTCAAATAAAACGTTTAAATATTTATAAAAGCGATTGTTTTACTTGTGGAAAAATGCTATATACATAAAACTAAAACTTGCTATGCTTTAACTTCATCTGATTTTATACTTAAATCATTCTTATTTTAACTCTATCCTTAAATAGCTATTTATTTCTCTTTATTCCCCATTAAAACATGTCTAAATATTACAACCTCATCTCACTAAATTTATCTTAACGATATATATAACCGCCTCGACAATTATCCAAAGATATCTTCAATTTAATATTTCATAATATATAACATTTTAACACAGATTCTATTTGCTTTGTCATAAACTGTATCTATTTCACTCTTCCATATCTTATATGCGCAGTATATGCACTGTATATACGTGTTATATGCGTATTACATGTATATTATATACATATTATATACATGTTGTATACATATTCCATGTTTTTTCTATAAACTTATCTGCTTTTTTATACAATATATTCTCCACGGCTGTCCGTATTGCTCACTACATACTCACTCAGCGCGATGGCGCTGCGCTCAATTTCAGTTGATTTCTCGGGAATCTCAAGTCTTGCTGCCAGCGGTATGCTATATAAGCGCCTAAATCCTTTAAAATAAACCAAATACTTACTAATATGTCTAGGAGATCGACTTCTTGCAGGATCAACCGATGGCTCACTATACGATTTATACGTTGCACCAGAGCAGCAAGCTGAAGAAGAAGATAATATGCAAAAAGAAGGACTACCACTGTCTTTTTCAGCGTTTTTTTCAGTGCAAATAGGCAAATTTATTGAACAGATTGTATATATTGATGAAGCAACATTAGCAGTGTGTTTAGTGGGTGCGGAACGCTGTTTGAACAATATTGGGTATTGTTGATGATGATGACACTTAGATGGACAAGTAGTTCTTTATAATGTGTCTTTACGGCGAATTGAAGGCGTATTACCGAGTGAATCAGGAATAAAAGGACAAGAAACAAGAAATAGCAGTTTAAACAGTGCTCAGGAGACAGCATATAAAATATCATTAATTTCCCATATGCAAATGGATGGGACGATGGTTTCTTTGCTTGCAATTGCATTGAAACAGCGTTTAGTAGTGTATTTTTGGCGCGATGGGATTTTGAGCACAGAAACAGTGGAGATAGCATTAAATCAGCGAGTACGGGCACTAACATGGATTAATTCTACACGAATATATCTTTGTTTTGGTTCAGAGTACGCATTTGCAGATCTTGAAGCGAAATGTCTTACTAAGCCCGTATCAATTAAAGGATTTACTACACTATTACGATCTTTGGGTGTTTCTAGCACGAATATAAATTATATTGGGCTACATACACGATCTTCTAAATTCTTAAGCGTACGGATTTCGGATCATGAATTTCTTTTATCATATCATCGTACTTATTGCGTGACAATAGTTTTTATTGATATTTCTAATATTATAAATAGTTAAATCTATTTTTTTGGATAATAATGGACATCCTCTTAAACGTAGTCCTATCATATGGGATTCTGAACCTACACATTTAGGTCTGCTTTTCTTTTTTTTCTCTTTTAATTTAATTTCTTTTTATAGTTTATTTTCATCCTCATCTTATCGCCGCCTTTGATCATCAAATTAGAGTCCATAATATTGAATCTTATGTTTTAATTCAAACGTTTAACATACGAAACATTACTTGCATATTTTCAGGAAAATATCTTTTCATATCCACTCAAACTCAAATATGGAAATTTTTAAACATTCCATTTGATACCCAAGTATTTGTTTTTATAAATTGTTTTTTCCCTAACTGTTTAGGTAAACGATCTTATCGTTCAAAATCGACTAGATGATGCTCTTACACTTTTAAATCAGGTCAATTCTGTTTTATTTCAAAATAAAGTTACACTTGTCTTTTTTTATATTTTAGTATTTAATTTTAATTAGACCGATAAAATAAGACATATAAAAATGATGAAAGCATATCATTTATTTAATAAGAGAGATTATAAAAATTCAATGATATTATATTCTGAAAGTTCTGCATCTCCTATAATTGTGCTTTCTTTATTTCCATTGGAGAACATCGATTATGAACAATATGCAAATGATGCATCTATATCAACATACATTCATAATTCTAAAATGTTTCTCAAAACTATGAATAAAAAACTAAATCAATTAATTGAAATTTCAAATTATCCGGGTATTTTTAATGAATTTCATTTTTAAAATTAATTTTTTTTTTTTAGATTTTGATTTAAAAGAGGCCACGCATGCTCTTGCATCGTATTACCTTAATGATGCACGTCGAAAACTGTCTATTTTAATATCTTCTATATCCCAATTTCAAGAATCTTTTGAAACTTTAAATGAACCTTTAATTCCAAAATACCATTTTACGCTTCCTAATTCAGATAGTGCTTTAACACTTGAAGAAATGGAAAAACTTCTTGAAATTGTTGATACTGCATTATTTCGTGCATATATGTTTGTTACTCCAAATTTGGTTGGACCTCTTGTTCGATTACAAAATAAAATTCAACTTTCAGTAGCCAAAGATCTTTTAGAAAAAGACAGGGTATTTATATTTTGAATATATAATAATTATTAAAATATTCAGAGCTATAAAAATTTAATAAATTTCTATTTTGGAAAATCATTACACAAAAATGCATTACAACTTTTAAAAGAGTATAGATTAATGTATATAGACAAATAATTAACATATATAGACTTGGCGAAGGAGTTATATCAGATAGTGTACATAATGAGCAATTTAAAGGTCCTTCAGAAACCATTAATTATCTTAAAAAACTTAATGATAATCATATTGAAGAAATACTTTTATTTATAAAATGGCCTCTTGAAATAAATCCAGATTTTGCTATGGAAATATTTTTAAATGATAATCAGCAACTATCTTTGTCAAAAAAAAAAGTATATGATTTTTTATTATCTTTTAACGAAGATCTAGCCATTAAATATCTTGAATATTTAATAAATGATCTAAATAACACTATTCCAGAATTTCACGATTCATTGATCATGCATTATCTTAAAAATATTCAAGAAAAAGAAAATTCCAATCTTATTTCAAAGAAATTATTAAAATTTCTACTTGACTCCGAAAAATATAACTTACAATATATTCTAGAACATCTTCCTAAGCGTATATTTTTAATTTGTATTGAAATTTCTAAAATTTAATAGAAGACAATTTCCTTGAACATAAAGCGATTATTTTAAGCAAACTAGGAAAACATAAATGTGCTCTTGAAACCTATGTTTTCGAAATGAAAGATTTCAAAAAAGTGACGGAGTATATATTTTTTTCTTTCAAAAAATGTTCTTATTTAAATGTTAGATACTGTACTAAAATATTTTCTATGAATAATTCAAAATTAAGCAACGAAATATACTTAATTCTATTAAATCTTCTTCTAAAGCCACCAAGTGGGCAAAAAATACAGCTATCTTATGCTCTCGATTTTCTATCACAATATAGATCACAAATCAACATTGAAACAATTATTTCAGAACTTCCTTTGGATATTAAAATATCCAATCTTAAATTATACTTAGAAAGTACAATTCAAAATAGAATAACAAATATTATAAACGGAAAAATTATTTATTCTTTACAGATGGCCAACTTAGCACAATATCAAAATAAATTGATTGATGCTTCTAACAAAAAATATACAATAACACCTGAAAAAACATGTCAAAACTGCCATAAACGGTTGGGACAAAGTGTCCTTGCTATATTTCCAAAGTATTTCTTCATTAACACCATATAAACTAATATATTTAGCGATTCTATCGTGCATTATGGATGTCAACGAGCATTTTTGAAAACACATAACATGCCATACTCTCCTAAATAAAATATTTATGTCTAACCACCATTTACAATGAAAAACTGATCATGAAACTTTATTTTTCATATATTATTATTAAGCTTGCATTATGATTACGTCATACTATTGTTGTATTATCCATTTTTTGTCGTTACTTTTAAATATTGGTTTATTTTTTCAGTAAGAAACTTATTACAGTCTTCCTGCATTTTCATAATATTTGTTTCAAGCTTTGAAAGTGTATTATCTTCTGGAAACTCCTCTGATTCTGCTAACAAATCATATTCAAACAAATTCATTTGTTTTTCCTGGAATGAATATACTGCTTTAATTGTAAATTGTTTGTTTGACATTTAATTTTCTAAAAAATAATATAAAATATTTAATGTAATTTATAGTGTTCCAGTAAATAAAATACAAAATAAAATATAAATAAAAAAATACAAAAAATTATTTTTACAAAATTACTTCGAAAGTCGATATCTTTTCATAAAAAAATGGGTTCAAAACACTATAATAAATTATCCTCAAAATACAATAATTCTAAGAATCCTAAAAACCATAACATATTACATTCAAATATTAAAAAAAAGAGAAAAAAAACACGCCATATAGGAGAAGATTTTATTGAAAAATTAAATGATATGACATCAGAAATATATAGTATTAATTTAATAAAAAAATCAAATATCCCGCAAAACACAGAAAAACAAAAAAAAAAAGAACAAAATACTCAAGTTTCCTATATAAATACATTAAACTATATCGAAAACAATATGAATAATCTTCAAATGAATAAATAGTGATATTAAAACATTCAATTAACATATATTTGGATATATAAAAAACTATAAATTATTCATCAAGTGTTTATTATAAACTCAGACTCGCTTTTCATAGCAATAAAACCCCGGCGGTTTCTTCCAACACGTTCAGATTTGAACCAATTATGACATAAAATTTTTGTAAGATTATCTATCTTTTTCTGCTTTTCATCCAAAGAATGAACGGATGCTAAAATAAGAATACTTTGAAGAAGTTTTGATGCAGTGTCTGTTAACGTTTGTTCTAAATCCAAATTCAATGGAATTTTTAAAAAGATAACTATTTTTCTATATGAAAAAAAGAAAAAAACAATATATAAAATTACCTTTTAATCTTTCATAAAGTGGAATAATAATATTATCTCTGAATCTGATTAATGTTATACGCCTTATATTTAAATCGATTTCATTTTCCCGAATGTCATTTCCATAAGTACAAATTGTCCATTCTAAATCATCAAATTCCGTTTGTAATGGCAAAAAAATAGCTTCAATATACGGAAGAATTGTACTAAAAAAGAAAGTCCATAACTAAAACATATTATTAGATCGTAATATAATATATTTTGTCTTACTTCAACAAGTCGAAGAATCATTTTTTCATCTGAAAGAGATAATAAATTTACATCGAAACATTTTATTCCAGCTTCTATAAATCTTTTCAACTCCTCTATTAATAACCTCATTTTTTTCTCAGCATAACGTTTCTTAACATGAAATCTACTACATTTAAATCCAAATTTAAACCCAATTCTTTTTTTACTTAACAAGATTATTTAAACTTTCCACAGGCATAAGAAGACCCTCTCCATTAAAAAGAGGAAAAATCCTCATGCAAAGCAGCGGCCATACATCATCAATAATATTATTAACATAAATATCTTTTGAACCTATATGCTTAATATCAAATGATGAAAGTGATTTTTGAAGAGGATGAAACATATTGGACATAGATGTTAACGTATGTCCAAAAGAATGAGAATTAGTATTTGCAGAATGCGGTTTGAAACTTATATGTTCCGGTATTGCAGAAGAATTTGCATCCTTTTTTGAAGTTTTAGAGAAATAATTTTTGTATACAGAAGACTCAGATAAAGTAGGTAAAAGTGAAGTAAATTTAGGACTTGCAGTGTTAATAATCGACGGCAACAATGGCGCAAATGTATCTGTCAAAAGATTGATTGTAGATGGTATAGTTAATATTTTATTTTTAGAAACCCCTGTTTCTTTCCCAAATAATAAATTTTTAATAGAATTCTTAGAGAGCACAGAAGATGTAGACAGAGCCCTTTGACGGACTGCTTTTACTCGAACATTTAACGTTTGTGACGCTTCATCATTAATAGACAAAATATCTGTCTGATAACTATATTTAGAGGGAGACAAACCCGAAGAACTTAGCGCAGAAGACGTAGAGGAATGAGAACCAGGTTCTTTGTCCTGTGAAAAACCTTTTAAAGACCTAGCTTTCCTTAAAACTGGCATATTGAAGAAGATAAAGTTAACGGAGTCAAGGGTGTTCGAGATCGTACCTTATCAGATGAGCCTTATCTAATCAGTAAATAGAAATAAATCAGAAAAAATAAAAATATAATATAGAAACATAGTAGAAAATAAAAAAAAAAGATTAATTTTTAGAAACAAATTATTTCCCTATTTTTGTATTTTTCAATAAGTCACTGATTTTGTAACAAATCTTGATAATGCAGGTCCTAAAAGTTTCTCTTCTGGCAATCCACGCCGCTTTCTCAAATATGCCTGTCGTAATTTCTTTTCTTTCTCAAGAGCAGCCTTTACACGAAGTTTTCTCTCATCTATTATATTTTTGGCTTTTTTACGTAAATACCTTCGTAAAGAAGAATTTTTTCCACGTGTTTTAGGCTTAGGAACCCACTTTTCTTCAGGCTAAATAGCTTAATTTAAATAAAAAAGAAATGAAAAAATGTACTTGTTTTGATTCCAAAGCTTCTTTTTCCCTAACTTCTAGACTAACAGTATCTACATTTCCAATATAATTAGGATCTAGGGTAATCATTTCTGGCTGTAATTTTTCAAGTAAACCAATAATTTCTTTTTCTCTACGCTGTTTCTTTGTTTCATAAGGATTCACTTCATATGCATCGTAAGAAGGTTCTCCAGATCCTAAAAATAGTTTATTAAGGTTATCAAATATTAATTAAAAGAAAAACCTGGAATAATAAGATTTGAAAATCCCTTAGCATGTCCAAAACCCAAAATATCCTCATATGGACAGAACTTAACGCGCTTAACAAAAGACCCAGGACTAAGATGTGTCATATATGGTGAATTTTGTTTTTTTTGTAAGGCATCTTTCCAAAGCTTTTCAAAATAAAGATAAAAATTTAAAAAAATAAAATGAAACATACGCTAACATGTGAACTCCATCCTACTGCAAGCATTCCTGTATCGCTTATATGTAAAGTAGCAGCTGGAGTTGGAGAAAAATAAGAATGTACTTCCTTCCAACTTCTGATATCCCATATTTTTACTTGTCTATCAGCACCTGAAGACGCCATATACCTTCCTTCACGATCTATAGCAAGTGAATAGACAGGACCCCTGTGAACTAGCATTTTAACTAGAGGTGTAGATAAATTTGGAGACCATAAAGTGACAACACCGTTAGAATGTCCAATATGAATAATTGAATTATAAGGATTTTGAGCCATAACTTTAGCAGGTCCAAGTTTTGTAGGATATTCAGCAACAATAACTCCTGTTGAAATATCTTGGTACTTCAAATAACCCGCCCCTCCCTGAAAAATCATTAGTTTATTATTCAATTTTCCATATCTTTTACAATAGTTGTTAAAAGATAATGATATGGTAAAAATTCCATAGAATATATATCAATGTGGCGTTTCAAACAATGCACTTCTAATCCTGTATTATCGTACATGTAAACATACTTTTTTTGCGCAACAACAAAAAGTTTTTCATTATGAAGCCATCTATAACAATCAAAAAAATCTTTAAAAAATTATAATATACTTGACATCTCTAACAGATTCTTTTAAATGAAACTCTGTACTCAATTTCCCACTTTTCCAGTCAAATGATGCAATATGTCCCTTTTTACCTCCTAATAAAATATATCTCCCATTTCTAGTATAATCAAAAACGTATGGGCCAAATGTTGGAAGTTTCAAATCAAACCCCTTTAAAATTTCAAGAATGTATATAAATATATCTTAAATATATTTCTTACCTTTTGACAAGTAATTAAATCAATTTTTTCCTTTAGTTGCGATTGAGTAATTTTATAAGTTTTCTCCATTCCTTCAGCCTCAAGATAACCTACAGTAGAGGACTTCATCATATCAAATATTTCTGCATTTTTTTGAGAAGATTTGATACGTTTTTCAATTGTTTTAAGGTTATGACGCAGCTTTTTATCTTTAACATTCTAAAAACCTAAATCAAATGCAAAAAAACATTTTAATAAAAAACCGTGTGTTTTAATGGCTTTCCTCTCTTATACTTAATACTATACATCTTTAAGTATTAATTATATAAAAATCTAGAGAAAAAATCGTTTTTAAAACTGTCCAAAAAACTAATAATTAAATAAATAAGATTTACAAGGTTTAAATTTTGATAAGGTCAACCGATAAAAAATCTTAACTACATAAAAAATAGAAAAAAAAGAAAAATAGTTTTTTTTTTGAAAAAATAACAAGATTTAACACTATATCATCAAAAACACTTAAATAGAAACATTTTACTAATATGACTGCAAAAAAGCCGGCTGTTTTACACCATCATCGCTCAAGTATGAAAAAAGTACATAAAAAATTTAAATCTCAAAAAAAATCAAAAAGTATGAGATAGATGCATTTTTTTTTAAAGAGAATATTTTTTTCATACTGGAATATTGACTAATTATTTTTAGAAAGAATTGATGCAGTTTTGCATGTTATTTCAACAAAAAAACATACATCATTAAAAGCAGATAGAAAAAACACCAAAAAACAAATCCAAGCAAACAAAAAGGATAAGATAGCAGGAAATAACAGTATGCATTTTGGGGCATCAGGAATTTCTAAAATAATTGTATTTTCTTGCATTTTAATTTTATATTTATTAAATTATAAAAGGTCATTGTTCCTCTTTGTACTAATGTAAATCCAATGAATGTGATACAAAATCTTAATAATTCGATTGGTATTGATACATTTGAATTTTCAGGGATGTCAAATATATTTATGTTTGTTGTGATTTCTGTAAGGAAGTAACTAAAATGATCAGTGTAGAACGATTCAAACAAAAACTCCAATATATTATACCGAAAAGACATTTTTTAGACATTCTTGACTTTTGCAAAGTCGCTGACTTTGTTTTATTGCTTATGTCAGCTACTGAAGAGGTTGATTCATTCGGAGAAGTATGTTTGCGATCTATTCAAGCACAAGGTATTTCTACTGTTATACCAGTAGTACAGGTTTGTTTATATATATATATATGTATATATATATACATGTATTAAATGATTTAGCATATGAATGAATTAAATTCTTTGAAAAGAAACAAGGAAGTAAAAAAATCATTATTAAGTTTTATCAATTATTTTTTTCCAGAGCAAAAAATATATTCTACTGATCAGCCTCAAGAAGCTCTAAACGTAGTTAGGATGATTTGTGTTCAGTCACCTATTGGAGTGCGATGGCGCGATGAAAGATCATACATTATAGCAGAAGAAGTTAATTGGAAAGAATCAACTGATAGCACAAAAGGGATTTTAAGTATCAAGGGGGTTATAAGAAGTAAACCATTGAATGTAAATCGTTTAATCCATATAATTGGATGGGGAGATTATCAAATTGATCGAGTAAATACTTCTACTTTTTATTTGAAATTATTTATTTATTATTAGATTATTCCTCTTACTATAGAAGGAAATTATAATGAAACATATAAGGGCGAAATAATGGAATGTATCGAAGGAAATGCTATATTTCCTACAAAAGACCAAGATTCTTTAGAAGAACTAGCACCAATCATTGAAAACATGGAAGACGTAAATAAGCATATTGATCAAAAGAAAGAAGAGCAAAAAAGTATACGTGTTGATGATTATTATTACTTTTCAGATGATTCGGAAACGGCCAAAAGACCACGTCGTTTACCTCCAGGAACATCCGATTATCAAGCAACATGGATTCTTGATAGTGATTCTGAAGAGGATAAGAATAATGATTCTGAGATGGACGAAGATAATTTAAACATGGAAATTGATGATTCTTTATATTTAGAAAAAAAAGACAATTCTGATAGTTTTTCATCTAAATATGAAAAAAATAGTTCTGATACAGATCAAATAGATGATTATAAAAGCGATATTTCATTAGAATTATTACAGGAAAATAAAGAGTGAGTTAAATTATTCAAGAATTTTAAAATAATAACTTTTAAATTCAGAATACCTGAAAATAGGGAAAAAGAAAAAGAAGAAGATCGAGAATTTCCAGATGAAATAGAAATTCCGTTTGATGTATTAGCTAGAGAAAGACTTAAAAAGTATAGAGGGTTGAAAAGCTTTAGAACAAGTCCATGGAATCCTGATGAACATGATACAAATCAGCCTGATTATTGGAAACATATATATAAATTTAGCAATTATAAAGCAACAAAAAAAAAAGTTATTAAACAAGCATTTCTAGATGGAATCAAAGTAAGCTAGTATTTTAGATTTAAATATATTTTTAATTGATCAGGTTGGGACATATGTTATTATTGAAATTAGAAACTGTGAAAAAGAAATATATTCTACATATTCTTCCACTTCACCTTTTATTGTTTTTTCACTTTTGCAATATGAACATCTTTTAACAACATTAAATTTTCTTGTAACACAAAATACAGAGTATGAATTCCCAGTTAAATCTAAAGACGAATTAATTTTACAATATGGTCCTCGAAGAATCCTTGTTAACCCTCTTTTTTCTCAAGCTTCTAATTCAAAAAGTATAAATAATGTGCATAAATTTGAAAAATATCTACATCATGGAAAAGCATCTATTGCGTCAGTTGTTTGTCCCATTTTTTTTGGAGCTATTCCCATGCTACTTTTAAAGAATACACCATCTGGTATAAATCTTTTTATTATTTGACTTTTTTTAATATTTATAGGTCTTTCTTTAGTTGCAACTGGATCTTTTTTTAATACAGATTATTCAAGAATCATTGCAAAAAGAGTAATTTTAACAGGACATCCTTTTAAGATTTATAAACGGACAGTAATTGTTCGGTATATGTTTTTTAATCCAGGTATTATAAGAATACTTTTTAATATTCATTTTAATCATATATAGAGGATGTAGAATGGTTTAAACCCGTACAATTATTCACAAAATACGGAAAAACAGGCTATATCAAAGGTAATACAATTGTATTAGCTATTTAACTGATTTTATAATATAATAGAAAGTCTGGGTACTCATGGTTACTTTAAAGCTACATTTGACGGAAGAATTAATCAACAAGATACAGTTGCAATGAGCTTGTAATTACACACTCTCTTTATATATACAATTACTTACATATTATTTAGATACAAAAGAATTTATCCACGTCCTTGCAAAATATGGCATCCTTAAACGAAACAAATCTACAATCATAGATGTTATTTTAGAAACATATTTATAAAACAAGATAGCATTTTCATATACAAATGATAACATGTTTGAATATATAGTTGTCTTTGAAAAGAGTAAATATAAGTGATCATACAAAAATAACAGTTCATATATGAAATAATTTTTTTTCCCTCTTAATATGTTGTCTTATCGATTTCGCCTGTGTTCCATCTTCAATAGGTACAGTTAAAAATAAAAAAAATTCATATTAACAGAAAAACACATGAAAACGCAAATTTTGCTCAGAAAATTATCTACTTTTCACTTTTTTAGAACATCCAAACAAATGTTAGATAAAATTAAACCACCGTTATATAAAGATCTTTTTGAAAATAATGTTCATCCAGATACAAGAAAGCCGCTTCTGCCAGAATTTGAAGGAGAAGTGAATCCAAATGTATTAATTTTTCCATATATTTTTAATAAAATACTAAACTCTAATTAAGACAGGTGAAGTAGGAGGTTTTTTCGGAACTTTTTAATATTTTTGTTAAATAGAAACAGGACCTAAAACAGATCCACTTAAATATGGAGATTACTCATTTGGAGGAAGAACGACAGACTTTTGATGTATTTTTTTTACAAAAATTACTCACCTATGTGAGACTTTAAAGCTATTTAAGCGGCAAAAACCATATTCAAACATAATATTACTTAACTAACTTTTTATCAATATACTTTTGGAAATATTCATACAAATCTATATTTGTCCATGATGGATTATTTATAAATAGATTTGTTACTTTTTAATAATTTTCAACATCTCAGCACACATCTATACATTTCTAAGCACTGTTATACACTCATATACAAAATATACGCTAGCCAAAAGCATTCATCACTTTTAAATATATTTACCCGTTTATGTACATGTTCATCCTTTATATATTTGATTTATAATATTTGATTTATAATATTTGATTTTGTTTTGAATAAAATAATATTAAAAAATCAGTCATATTTCAGCTTATTAGATTATAAATCCTAGCAGGAAACATGTTTCTCACATAAACATATTGTTTATCATATCAGGCAGATAACGTATCACCATAACTCCCAACCACAGTCATTGCAAAAATAATACATGCCCAGACCGTATTAGCAATATAAAACCGATTCCAGTTCTTTAAAGTCCTTTCAGACAGTGTTAAACTTTCTTTTTCTTGTATTTGCTGTATAATTTTGGTAATTCGTGGCTGAATATAAAAAAATGTAGCAGGAATTAAAGAAACAATGCCAAAACTACCTAATATTGTTATTTAAAGAGAAATACTGTTCAAATAGCTGTTACTATAAAGTAAATATGGGTGAGAAACTTGTGGTTCTGACAAAATATAAGCACCTAGAAATAATACTGAAGCAAGTGATTCAAGAGGCCAAATATAACGAATCCAACGTCTAACTATAACATTTATCATTGAAAATATAGAAGATAATGAACAGGCTGATGTTATAGCTGGAATCATAAATGCAGACAAAGAAAGATATGATCCCTATAAATATTAATTTTCATGAAAAACAGCCATCTTTGGGGCTTTTTAAACACAAAAAAGCCAATACATACAGCAATACATCCAATTGTAACTGTACCAATAATCTTGCATGAAACTGCTACAATAACACGTTTATTATCCATCAATTGAATCAAAATGTTTTAACAAGTGTTGTCGTAACGTGAAAAATGATCAAGATTTACAATATTTCTATATTATACAGAAACAATTTTAATACACAACAGTTTTCTTAATATTTATTTAAAAATTGCTATCAATGATATTTGTATACTCTAAATTTTTCAAAATCACTGAAAATTAAAAATATAAAAATATTATTACAATACTAAAACATAGTTAAAAGAAGTCGTTAAAACTCTTTCAGATAATACACAAGAAATAACTTCTAATATACTTTACTAGATATAATAATCAACAAAATACAAATCCTTAAATAATTTACAGAAACGCAGAGACAAGAACATATAAAGTGAACTTCTTAAGAAGAACGACTATGACGAGAATCGCTACTAAAACTCTTAGATCTATGGGGCAATGTACTGACATCATGTTTTCCTAAATAAAGGTAAATAAATAAAAGAAAAAGACTTCAAAAGAAAATTAATTACCATCACAACAAGATCGAACATTCTCCAAATTTGCATATTTTATAATAGAATTAATCCTTTCATACCGGTCATTGATACGGCGCTCAGTTTCAGATGAAGCATAATTTTTAGGATAAGGTTTCTTAAATTCTAAAGATGGAGACGAGCTAACATCGGATCGAATCGTTTGATTCAATCTAGAAAAAGAACTTTGTCTTCGCAAAGATGATTTTTTTTCGAGAGTCGCCATATTTGAATTATTGAAAAAAGTAGAAGAAGAATCTCTCGAATGCTTAAATGTTGGGCTGATATTTTCATTAGCTTGTTGAGAAGTCAAGTCGAAAGCTTTCATTCCCATCACATCTTTAGCTCTATTCGTAGGGATTTCCATAAGTAAATTTACCCGAGAAGTCAAATACAATAATGCTTGATACCAAAGCTCATGACTGCTAGATGATGTTGTAGTAAATTTGATCGCACGAGTCGGCGTAACAACAATAATACTTTTGTTGTAAATTCCTTGTGGATAAGGATTATTATCATAAACGACTTTTACCGACTGGATAAACGCAGATTTTGCATACAATTCATGTCCATAAGAAGTCGAGGGGTTATATTTTGACCAATATAAAGACCTTGAATAAGGATGAATCCAAAAAAACCTCAAATGACGATTACGGGATAATTCCTGACGGATATGTTTACGTGTATATTTCCATAAATATTCACCAATCATTGTTTGAGTAACAGAGTGAATAATTTGTGGATCTATGGATGACTGTGTATAAGTAAGAATCTTAAGTCCGTTCGATTGAGGCTGAAAGTTTTCAATATTACTCATAGAAGAGGAAAACGAATCATAAGACATTTTCCTATCAGTGTCGATAATAGAGCCTTTAGTAGCTCGAGCAGAGTCAAAAGCAGTATTAGACCTAGATAGGACTCTTCTATTATTCGTAGGAGTGGAAAAAAGTGTATTTGATCTCTTTAAAAAAGAATTACACGGGGAAGATCCAACCGACTTATCCTGTGCATTGAATCCCGAGTGATGAAACGGTTGTTCCTCATTAACATTTTGTGCCAAACGAGGTGTCGAATTAGTGTTTAACTTCCTTAAAATTCTAGAACCAACGCTTCTGTTTAAAGAACACGAATGCAAAGAATGATCTGTCGTATTATTTTCCGAAAACTTGGAAGAAACAGAGAATATCGTTCCTTGATCTAGATCAATTATTAAGTTTACCGAAAAGAAAAAAATGCAATCCTACCGCTAAAAGTCATTTTTGAACTCACAACACTATTCTGAGATCTTTCCATAGCTGCTTTAGATTGACGGCTATGATAGGTCATATTAAATTCATTTTCCAATCGTTTAATAATATTTGTTAATTTCGAAGTAGACTTGTCCTCTTGTTTAATATTATTAATCAAATTGGAATCAGATTTATCCTCTTGTTTGATATTATCCATTGATTTCGAATCAGAAGATTGATTTTCATGTTTAATACCATTCACCGATCTGAAATCAAGTTCATTATCAGTACATTTAGCATCACTCATCAATTTTGAACTCAATTCATCTTGCGGTTCTTTGATACCATTCATCAGCTCCAAGTCAGGCATTACTTCAAGAGAGTTAAACCGGTTTACCGGAGAAGTTTCTTCATTTGAAGCATCACTGGACGGTGTTTTATTCATTTTCGAAACAGAAGGTGATATGTGAATACTTTTCTTCCTTCCAAGCTTGAAAATCGACACGATAGAACTGAATGAAAAAGGTCTTGACTGGGACTCTACATTATTGCTATCTTGTACATCATCCTCTTTAACGTTTTGAGAAGGTTCAACCATTAAATCCGTATTAGAATGCTTTGATTCCAAATAAACCGTATCATGAAGAGTTGCATCACATTTATCCGGAATAATTTGATTCGAACCAAGGCAAGCGGTATCCAAATGATCCGCACTATGATCCCCATCAAGATCAACTGTATCACAATCCGCTACAAGATAAACCAAATCACGCTCAGGATCAAGGCAACGCCCACTAGGGTGAATCGTAATGTGACCCATATCAACATCATTCTTGTCAAAACAATCGGGATCAAGATATTCTATGTCGAGATTGTCTATACTAAAATGATCTTTACTAAGATTATCCTTATCAAGCCGAGCTGGGTCAAGCTGATTTACAGGCGACCTTACAGGCGACCTTGAAGGCGACTTGATATCCTGTACTTGAAAGTCATTCTTGTCATGGCCTGAGAGAACGTGTCTTTCAACGACACTCGAATCCCGGTTAAAAAGAAAAATCTTGATTTGAACCAAATCAGACACTTCATCCGTCATCGTTGCAACGTCTACCGTCTCAACGTATGCATTTTGATTGAATATCTGTAATTCCTTGAATAACGGCTGACACTGCCCAGTCATGTCGAGCGATAATACACGCCCTTTTTCAACAGTGACTTCCCGCTCCTTATATTTATCCGGGTCATTGTTTGAATTCAAAAAGGCATCACTCTCGTCATCCATATAATCCATCTTTTTCATACGACTTAATCGTTTGTCCTCCCAATCTCGAAGATCTTTCTCCTCTTCTGATTCCTCTATCCCAGAATCCGTTCCAAAACCCGCCTTATAACCCATTCCAAATGCTGGTTCAAACGTCGGCTCAAACGCTGCCTCAAATGACTCTCCATTCTGCCCATTCGATCCAATATGCCCATTCTGCCCATTTAGCTCATCCAGACTGCCTTCCCCAAACACCTGCCCTTCATCCGGCCTGTCCTCGGCCTGATCAAGTGCTTCTTGGTCATATTCCCACTCTAAATCCGACTCAATCGCAGCTCCATTCCTACCTTTGACCGAACCATACTCATTTCCCTGATAATGAAACAGCCGCCGCCGCCTGGGCACCTTCCTCTTCACCAGCAGCTGGTCTTTGGCATTCACCTTCTCCAATTGCTCCAGTGCTTCGTTCAACCGCTGTCTCAGCTTGATTTTTTCGCTTTTTTCATGCTGTACAGCATTCCTAAGCCCGTAAATCGTCCGCTGCGCATGGGAAAACGACGCCTTCATCGTCTCCACCTCAAGTGGGACGCTTCTCAACGGCGTATGCTTGATCGGCGACTGTGGCGATCGTTGCTCCTCCAGCGTTGCATCGTCAGATAACTCTTCCGCCGTCTGCACCTCTGTCATATCATTCCCCCCGGCCCATTCTTCCTGCCAATGCACCGGCTGCCGCTGTGCTTCAAGTTCTGCCTTCAATTCTTCAATCTGATGCATCAACTCCGCCCTTTCCTCCAACAATTCCGCCTGTGTCCGCCTAAAACCCGCACTATCTATTTCCCACCGTGTCCTCAGCTGTTCCACTTCCTCACTCAGCTCTGTTTCCCTTGCACGCAGCGTTTCAACCGTCTCCATTTGTGCCTGCGTCTGCCTTTGCAGACGCACATTTTCCTGCGTCACCCGCTGCTCTGCTGCTGATACCTCGTTCACCCGTTGATTCAGATCCTGTGTCTGAAGCTCCAAATTCCAATTTTCCTCTTTGTAACGCTCTTTTTTCCGTCAAAACCCAGTGCACACAAAACTTTCTTCTAACCTTCCGATTCTCCCACTGCTTTCAGCCGGTGCTCCAATGCCTCGATCTGCTGCTCAAGTACTCTCTTCTCGTGCTCTGCCGCCTTCCATTGTGTATCCCGTTCGCCCAAAACTCCCTGCAATCGCCGCACTTCTGCCAGCAATCCCTGACCGATTTCTGCCGCGAATTCCAGGTTGTGCGTCCGCGCAGACAGCTTTGTAGGCCGCCGGCGCATCGACAGTGCCTGTTTGACCGGCGACACCGCCCCATTTCCCCCCCATTTCGTCATATTTGGCGTCTCCGGCGTCTCCCATGTTTCCCCCTAGAAATCCGTCAAAACACCCTCAAATCGCTCCCGGAAAAAACGCCCATACTCCTGACGACAGGGCCTCTACTGCCTGCCAATTTTCTCCCGCGTCCCGCTTGATCTCCTCCAGTTCTCGCTCCAACTCGCTCAGCCGTGCCGATAGCTGTGCCGGCACTGCCAGTGCCTCTTCCAGCCGCTGCTGCTGTGCCAGCAGCCGTTCCCCGAGGAGCCCTGCGCCGTGCAGCCGCCGCGTCACCTCCTCGAGCTGCGCACGCGCTGCTGCTGTTGCTGCTGCTGCACCGTCCATTACGGATGGCGCGCTCGCAGCACAGACAAACGCGACCCGATGTCACGTGACTGTCACGTGACAGAAGCATTATGCACGTGACACAACCCGATGTTCACGTGACATTCATTCACAATCACGTGACCTGCAGTGAATGGCACGTGACCATGGAGAAGCCATGGCGCTATCCGTTCCAAAAGTACCCCAGCGAGCGGTATTGGAGGCAGCGCACACCGAGGAGGTCCCAGTCGCGCTGCTTGATCCAAAAGTCACGTGCAATCTTGAGCTGGCTGAAGACACACGCGCCTTTCCATGCAAGCATCTGCGGGTCGGTGTCACGTGACGGTGAGAGGAAGCGGATCGGTGCCGTTGCTGGCTGGCGGGCCCGAAGACGGTCCTCGAGAACATGAATAAACCCGGGAAAAGCGTGTCCGCCACCAACGAGAAGAATGCTTGCACACATCGTCTTGAGACGGTCGTCTGAAGGCGCATGTTCACAGGCACGCATGATGCTCTGTATAATTGCATCATCAAGAGGCATAGGGTGAGAGTGTCCCGTGTCTGCACTGGGGGTGTCCGGAGTCTCGGCCGAGGCCTCTGGCTGCTGTGCATGTGTGGAGTCTTTGTAAGAGTTTCTGTAAGGGAGGTCACGTGACTCCTGCACAATGTGTGCAGGATGTATGGAGTGGAAGACGGCGGGGAAAAAGTAGGCCTAAATATACATGAACGAGTGGACAGGACGCACGCATAGTTTACCATTGTGGCGAGGACGGGCTCGTCGTATGCTTTAAAGCGGTATCGGTGGGTGCCTGTCGAGGAGGTGTGAACAAAGTCGAGAAGCTGCACTGTTGCGCTGCCGACAAAAGAAGTGCAATAGCGGACTTTGAGGGTGTCTGCAAGCTGCCAGTCGTGGATACGCCGGAGGTCTATTTTGTATGGAAAGGCATTCCGCTGTAACAGCTGTATAAATAGGCGTGTAACATCGTCTCCGCCATACGGAAGCTGTATTCTGCAGCCAGTCAGCACACTGCATATACACTGTACTACCAGATGCACTATATATAGCGCATACATGTATACAGCATGTGCGGTGGATCTACAGCATATGCACTGAATATACAGCAGATGCAGTAAATATACAGCAGATGCACTGTATATACTGTATATTTACTGCATATGCACTGTGCAGCAGTGTGCATGTATAGCATACCGCATATAATATGTATAATGCATGGACTGTGCGTATATATGCGCTGCACCCACCTTGACTCAGGAATACAAATGCCCTCCTCGACACACGCAACACTCGTTGTCTGTGCACCCACGTCGACCACACATGCTGCCGACAGCCCCGCGCCAAAGACTGTGCATACCGACTCCTGCACGCGTCAGCGACGCGAAACGCGAAACGCGTGTTTCTTGCCTGAAGCACGCATACTTTTGAAAACTGGAGAACACGAATAAGTATATCAAGCATGGCCTCAACATAGCATTTATCGTATACATCGGGGATAACAAGCACAACTGCAAGCGGTGTCCAGTCTGCACGCTGCATGCCAAGCTCGCCCAGTGCAGCAACAAGGATTGCTGCAACATCATCTATGCATTGGCGTGGCGATGCATAGTTATATGTATTAAAGACGCCCCGCTGCACCGGCCAGTACAGAGTGTATCTATCCAAGGCGTCTGGCGGCAGCAGCAATGCCTGTAATTGTTAACGCATTCAGAGCTGTGCACTGCAGAGCACAGTGTATACAATGTGTATGGAGCGCATATAGCACATATACTGCAGACACTGCACAATCTACATAGGCTGTGCATAGAGCATGCAAAGCGCAACGTGCATAACATAGTGTGTACATATGCATATATTGTGCATATATGACGCATATATAACGCATATATAACGCATATATAACGCATATATGGCGCATACATGACGCACACATGCAGCAGCGCTCTCTGGAGTGTATCGCGTACCTTCTGTCCCACGAACACCGCAGGCTCTGCGCCGACATCCGTCCACTCCGGCGCCGCGTCCGCCTCTGCCGCCTCCGGCAGGGCATTCTGGTTATATGCAATGACCAGTTCACGTGCATTCGACTGTGTGCGGCGCTTTGACAGCCGCAGCCGCGCACGCAAAGCCACTTCCAAAGTCTGCACAGCGTGGTCAAAGTCCTCATCTTCAGCTATGTCAGCAACATGGCAATCATGGGAGTCGGTTCTGTGTGGGTGTGCAATAACATTAGGGATCGTCCGTGGAAAAGCGTCTGCAGCAAGGCCGATACGCAGATACTGCGAGCCAGGATGCAGCACCAGGACTTTGGCATCATTTGCCTGAGTAGTTAGCCGGATAAGCAGTGAAGCGGCAGAGAAACACGCATATACTCCAGTTGGCACGCATATATACAGGCAGCTGCACGCCATTGGCCTTTTGCTGCATATCTTGCAAGCAATATACAGTGCAGAGTGCACTCTAGTGCAGTGCACACGCATATACAGCATGTGCATACTACACGTATGTATACACTACCATATATTATGTATACACATATATGCATATATATGCACCTGGTGTGCACAGTGTGCACAGTATATGCGCATACTGCAGTATGGTGCGTGCGGTATTCGCTGGATATGCAGTGCATGCGCTATATGCGCTGCATTGAACGCATATACCCAGGAAACAATGCTCACCTGCTTGTCTTCGTCGTCCTCCTCGTCTTCGCCATCTCCCTCATCCGTCCATGTTGCTGCCCGACACATCAGCAGCTGTGCATGTAAGAAGCAGTTATATATATGCAGACAGGCGAACCTGGTCCTCCCGCTTAAGATACTCACTGCAGCAGTCAGAACACAGCAAATACACACAAAACAACACAAAACAGAGCATTTCCGTATCTCTTTATACATCTTTATACATCTCTGTATATCCGAGTATCGAGTACTCTTAATGCTCTGACATATGACATACGTATAATAGTTTTTCTGGTTAATTGGCTGCACAACGGGGAACGTTGTGAAGCGCAGACGGACATTGCGCTGCTGCTCGAGGCGTATTGGGCCTTTTTTACGCGGCGGCATAAGTCTGCTGTACAAAGTGCCCTCGGCGGGCACTGTGGTGTGCGCTAACAGTAGCTGTCGTCGGCATATACGTATATATGCACGATGTACCGGTGTATACAGTGTAACACGCTATATACACAATATACACGGTATATGCGTAGTGTATGCGCATTATATGCGCAATATATGCGGCGTATATGCACTCGTGTTTAAACATAGTACAGTATAAGTGTATAGCGGTGCATGCAGTGTGTATTATGTGCACTATATACATTGTATGCGTGTTATATGCAGTGTGGTGCATCCACGTCGATACCGTGCTTGCGCAGCCAGCACGATGCCTCGTTTATGTCCTGTTTTGTGAGGAACAGCGGCAAACCCAGCGCAACATACCTTTATCATCGCATTATATGCGTCTCGTTTGTCCTGAAACCGGACCAGCTGGAAGCCAAGCAGGCCAAAGAGGCATGCAGAAAAGCTGACAAGCATCCACATTAAAACCTGTAGATATTAGAGCCCAATGACCCAGACGCGCTGTATAATGCATGCAAATCTATGAATGCACGGCGCATATACACGCATACATTGCACATAGTGCGCATATACAATGCATATAGTGTACGTATATGCGTGTATATGCATGCATATGCATGCATATATGCAGTAATCTTGCAGCAAATGTGCAAAACATACCGTTGGAAGCAGTGCAATGTATCTGGAAGACTGACCGGCGCTCCATCCAGCAGAGGCTATTACTAAGAGCACAATAGGGAGCAGAACCCGCGTGTATTTTGTTTGTTTTAGAGGCGCTGGGGGAGGCGGCTGGACGGGAGACATCAGCAGCGAGTTGCAGAAGAATGTGCGAAATAAGGCCTAACAACGCTCTGTATGCGCTTTTGCGTGCTTATATGCGGTGTATATGCGCAGTATATGCGGCGTATATGCACAATAAACGGCAACTTAGCTCGTACACAGGACACACACGTGCACGGACACGCGATAGCTTGCATAAGGTGGATCGGCAGCAATAAGTGCAAATACATTGTTATTTTATGTAATTATGTAAAATCTATTGATGTAAAAGTGTGTATTTAAGCTTTTAAAAACCAAAGATTACAAAAAAACAAAAAGACCTAATTTTATAAAGAATTTATAAAGAAAGCTGTAGTCTATATCTAGCAGCAATTCTTTCTTTCATATCACCTCGACCCTTTCTTGTTTTGTCTTCAACCCATTTAAAATCCTCAATCATAATGCTTTCTCCGTCATGCTTTGTTTTCCAACCGCGGGACATAATATTATGTCTTAAACTTCCGCTGTACTTAATCAAGCGAGGAAGAACACGAACCTTGACGATTGCATCGCATGAGGGTCTTTTCTTTTTAAGACGACCTGTATGTAGCAGGATTGCAACAATATCAGAATCATCTGTATATATATCTGTACCCCATAATGCCCGTTTTTTAATACCGTCATTTTCTGATTTATAAAAGTACTGTTTAGCTATTCGAACAGTCAATATACCATTAAGTTTTCCGTCAAGGCATGGGACGGGTTTAAAAGGTGTATATATATGTTCACCCAGATCCTTTTCTTCGATTCCTTCTATAAAACTCATAACAGCATCATTTTTAACTATCAATTTTGGCCTGGGCAATGGAACTGTTGGACGAAAAAACTGTTTTTTCCCTTCCTTTTGATTTTTTTTCTGAGGCAAGATTTCCTGTGATGTCTTAGGAGGATCATCTGTTATGCTCACTTTATTTGAACTACGAATAGTCTCTTGAGACATTGATTTAGGAGTTAGTGGCTGTTTGAGTGGATTTTCATGAAACTCTGTATTTGGTCGATCATTTAAATAAAAACCTGTGGATTTTCCACTAGAACCTGTACAATAATGAAAATTTTTTTGAACTTTTGGAGAGGGTGCATTAAACTTATTAGGAAGCATACCTTTTGATGAAGAGTTATAGCTTTCTTCCACGTGATTTACTGAATATTGTTTTCCCTGGTCCATGTTTTGATTTAATGATTGATGTCCTTGTGATAAAGAGGGTAATGTTGATAACATCATCATATTATTTGGAAATAAAGGCGGTGGAAGTTGTGAAACTTGATCAAACAAATGAACGTGTTGGTATCTATTATAATTTTGTTTATCTTGATCAGTGTCGTTATCATGAACCAAGATATTATTAAATAAAGGAGGCTGATTCATAGGTCTTGGAAAGTTCATCTCAATATTTGGACGAAACATATCATTTGTCTGTCGGTTAATCAATGATGAAACAGAGTTTTGGTTAACAGTCTTAGTATTAGCCGTGTCGTCAGTATAATTTTTACATGATGATCCTGTGTTATTATTCCATGAAGCAGATTCTTGACCAACCATAGATTGGATAGACATCATAAGACGGTGAAAGGGCAAAGATGGTGTTGAAGAAGCATTTTGATTTGGTACTGGATATGTCTCTTTAGAAGGATTATCAGATAAAAATGTATTTATAGATGATACTATATTCCCATTATATCAAGCATAAAAGCAGAATATAGGAAACTTACCGGTTTTCTGAGGCAATGAAAGACTCTTAGACGAGTCAGATGTCTGTAAGGAGTCCTTGATTGTCTCATCTAATGATTTATATTAGTTATTTATAGATTTTGGCTATTTTAAGCCGTTTTTCATGCAATTTTCGAAAAAACAACTTGTATTTACCTACTGATATCTTCTCACGTCTTTCTGCTTTGTTTAATGTATTCTTTTTCCTTAAAATATCGGTTTTTTGAGCTTTTTCTTTGTGTTCATTTTCACTTATTTGTGTGTCTTTCATATTCTCTAAATAAAGATTTATTCAATTAATTTTCATAAACGTATTTCCATATATTTCATAGTATTTTATGCCTTTGAAAATATGATTTTTTCAAGATTTTTACAGATCAAAAAGATGAACGTTGATTGCATCGTCTGACGACGTCAATCTAAATATTAGCCTGTAAAAATAAAAGAAACAAAATATACATAAATTATCTATGGAATCACTTGAAGAATTATCAAAAATTTATGAATCTAATGAAAAAAATAGATGCAAGGATTTGGGTATTTTTTTTTTTAAAATATAAAAATTCTAATTTTTCTTAGATAAGACCAAAGAGGAGCTTTATAATGTTATTTTAGATACAAAGGATATTATTTTAGATCCTATAATTAATAAGTATTTTTTACTTTAAAATTCTTTGAAGAATAATATTTTTCATTTCAGGATAAAAAATATAAAAAAACAACTAAGTACAATGGAAACACAAGAAAAAATGCTTCATAATCAAGTATTTAGTTTGTGTAAACATTTAGAACAAAATGTTTCTTCTATTGATTATTTAAAAAACCAGTTAAAGGGATTTTTTATATAAAAAAGTATTTTTAAACTAATTTTAAAAGATAGACGATGCTAATCAAGATATAACTATGATTGAAACACAATTAAATCAGATAGAAAAAACTTTATTTACAATCAAAAACTTAAATGCATAAATGAATTAACTAGTTATTGATTTTATGACTAAGCTTTTTGCAAAAAATATACAACATCCATGAAATATGCATTCTGTTACTTTCAGTTTTTATTACTGATAATTAAATGTTAATTTTTAACCATATAACTCGATCTAAAGCTATTTTCATAAAAGTTTTTTTTTCAAAATATAAACCCAAAATTACTAAGAATTATAATTAAATATATTAAATTGTGAATTTATGAAGTATTCCGAAAACGAACCCTTTTACTAGGCATTATGATGATTCAATGATTTTTTCATATTTGCTTTAAATATAAACTTGTTTTTGTTTATAACATGTATACATTTATTTTATGTTTTTAAATTTAGTATTTTTTTCATAAACCATTAGCATTTCTATAAATATTTTATTAGTAATGACCAAATAATTTGAATAAAATTTTAAAATATTTTAAAAATATTTATCATTTAAAATTAATTTTTCATTATTCTAAAATATTACCATGATATCTAGTTATGATGCTTATTTTGAACAGTCTATAGTAAAAATAAAACACAAAAAACTCTTAATAGTCATAATAATTTAAATATTGATTAGTTGTATATAATTAAAATATTTATAACCTCAATAATAAACACATAGATATTGAAACATTCTGACTAAATATTTATACAAATATTAACCAAAAAACGCCATCAGCCTTTAATAAATGAGCAATTCATCTAAAGAATATATAACTTGACAAAATAAAAAAAGATATATTTTAATTAAATTAAATTTTATCATTTTTACTCGTTTGATACATCCAAATATCCCTCATACGAGATTTCCTCTATAATGTGTTAAATTCTAGAAAAAAGTATTATATATTACTTTTTTCCATCGTGCCAATTTATCTGCATATTCTTCAGGTGACGGTTCCCATTTACTTTTTAAAATTCTTCGAATTGCTTCAGGTGAAACCTTAAACATATTTGAAAGGACAGGAACAGTATATGCTGGGTCCTAATATTGTAAATATACCATTATTTAAAAAAAATAAAAAATATAACTTGTTGACGGAGAGTTTTAATTTGACTCATTGTATCTGGTGAAAGTTTTTTTAAAGGATTCCAGCCTTCAGGAAACTTTTCTTTAAGTGCTATTTTCTGTTTTTTCCACTGCTGAAATGAATTGTTTTCTTTTTGATTATTTTCCTAGTTATTTTTTAGAATTTACTAGTTTTTAATGAGATGTTTTTAGTACTGAATCTTTTTTTAAAACTACTTTTTGTACCTCATTTAAACTCGAAGGTAATGGAAGAGTCCATTTCTTCCTCTTTTTTTTTATTTCTGAACTTATAGTTTTTCTTGATGTCAACAACTTAGATTTATAAAATAAATTTTTCTTAAAAATAGAAAAAACATCAATCCTTATCATATACTAGCCTTAATGCATTGATAGTAATAATAAATATAAATTTTATTATTTTTATTTTTCCCTTGAATATTTTAATAATATGTTTTTATAAAACGTTTTTTTCAAAAATTCATCTGGAATAGGTTTCTTTCAAAAAAATATAGAACAAAATAAATAAAATATGATATAATTTTTTAAAATATTTTTTCAAATTTAAATTCTGAAATATTAATAATATATAATCAAGTATATTTAAGTATTTGACCATTGTTAAAAGATGTATAAAAATCAATCATTTCTGGTGTTGTACGTTTAACAAGATTCATTAACGCTTTGTCAAAATGCTTCTTTTCTATATTAATTGCATTAATATCATCATACATTGCATTGATTCCAGCATCTTGACATAATGCAGAAATTTCTGCACCAGAACATCCATCTGTCTAAATAATATAAACATTGACTTTATATTTTAATAGAATATCTTACTTTTTCGGATAAATAATTAATGTCTATGTTATTTGATATATTCATAGTTTTAAATTTTATTCTAAAAATATCTTTCCGTGTTTCTAAATCAGGAAGACCTATATATATAATCCTATCAAATCTTCCAGGCCGTAGTAATGCATGATCCTCAATTTTTTAATTTATTTTAAGGGTAATTTATATTTAAAAACTTACAATGACATCTGGTCTATTTGTTGCAGCTAAAACTGTAACATTAATAAGACTTTCAATACCATCTAATTCATTAAGTAATGCTGATAATACTCTATCAGCTGTTTCCTCTCCTGATCCTCTATTAGTTGATAAAGCATCTATTTCATCCTAAAATGAATTAAAAAAATATATTATGATTAAAAAGACCTTTATACAAAAAATATCATACTTGGACTAGTTAAGCGTGCTTTTCTAAATATCTCACGAATAGTTCTTTCACTTTCTCCAACATATTTATTAAACACTTCTGGACCTTTAATAGCGAAAAAATTAATTCCTGCTTCTGTAGCAGCTGCTTTTGCAATCAATGTTTTTGAGCATCCAGGTGGTCCATATAATAAAATTCCTTTAGGCGGAATAATTCCCAACCTTAGAAATGTTTGGGGATGCTAAAACGATTTTTAAAAGATTTAAATATATAAAAATACATACTGTTAATGGCCATTCAATGGCTTCACGTAGCTTTTGTTTTACCATTTGTTGTCCTCCTATATCTGACCATCTAACATGTGGCGTCTCTAAAAATACCTTACAATATATCAGATAATTAGACAAAATAAAATTTATATTACCTCTCTCATTGCACTTTGCCTTACATGTTTTAATGCAGTTTCAATATCATGTTTAGATATACTAAAATTTTCATCTGAAATATTTTCAGCAATTCCTCGTTTTATGGCAGATATTGCAGCTTCTCTGCAAACAGATGTTAAATCTGCACCAACATATCCATGTGTTCTTTTTGCTAAATTTTCAATATCATTCTTATCTAAATTGTGGGGCATTTTATCAAAATGAAGTTTCAAAATCTCTAATCTAGCATCCACATCAGGAACACCTATTTCAATTTCTTTTTCAAATCTTCCAGGCCTACGAAGTGCTTCATCTAAAGCATTAGGCCTATTTGTCGCTCCAACAACTACTATTTGACCTGAACTATTCATTCCATCCATTAAAGTTAGTAAACTAGCAACTGCCCTCCGATCAGCAGTATCATCACCTCTTTTTGGAGCAATTGCATCAATTTCGTCAATAAAAATAATACTTGGCTGGTGCTTTTTTGCATTTTCAAATATTCTGGTAAGATTTGCTTCTGTTTCTCCAAGATATTTCCCAATAATAGATGGTCCATTAACAAGTTCTACATAAGCATTTGTTTCATTTGCAATAGCACGAAAAAGCATGGTTTTCCCTGTTCCTGGAGGCCCATATAAAAGTATTCCCTTAGGTGGAGTTATATTAAATCTTTGAAAATATTGAGGTTTTAAAAGAGGCATCTCTACATAATCTTTAAGAAGTTCTATTTGACGTTTTAAACCACCAATATCTGCAAATGTAACTTTAAAAAATAGAGTATCAACGTTTTCATTAGATGATAAAATAAGTTTCGTATCATTCATCACCAAAAATATATCAGGATAAATGCATTTATCTGAAATCTGCATTACTTTAATAGAATTCGAGATGTCATTCTGACCATTCACAGTTTTAATTTTAATAGTAATAGCTCTTCTACAATGATAGTATTCATACTCAGATCCTATACAAATATATTTGATTTTTACAAGAAAATCCTTGATTTTATTCAACAAATTTCCTTCTAAGTCACAATTTAAACTCTCTATTTCAATAATACCAGCTTTAAGTGGTTGTTCTGGGTATTTTTTAACAAAAATACGCTGTCCTAATGCAAAATTACCCTTCTTTCTCATCTCATCTGACAACATTGCTACTATAAATTTGTTTTAAACCATTTTTTTAACTTCTCTTAATTATTACCATCAAAACCTATTCCAGAATTCACCCAAGCAATTCCAAGCAAATGTCGAGGCAAAGATCGTTCATCTTCAATTAAAACAGGATCTCCAATGTCCAAACCAGCATGTTTTAGTTGATAGTTATTTAAATAAACTTTATTTAATCCATTTTGTTTTGTTTCAGGGCTTGATTGAAGTATTAAAGATGATAAAGGTTCAGTGTTCTCACGAGATAATGAATATGACGATTGAAGAGTATCCGGTGTTTTCTTAGGATTAATATTAGACGAATATTTTGTTGGCATATTCTTTGAGACCTTTCTGACTAAAAATACTATTTTTTTTTCTAGATTTTCTTCATACAAATTACTTTTATAAAAACAAGGATAACAATTCTTACTTTAATGTATAAATATACAAAAAAATGTACAAATACTAAGATTGTTTAAAATAGTTTGTTTATAGATCATAATATAAAATTATTATTATTTAATATACAAAAAAAGACATTTTATCTACAAAATATAAGGAAACATAACCTTTCTTTGCTTAGGATAATCATTAAACTCATCTATATATCTTCTATGCTTTTTGAGGGCCCAAAGCCACATTTGAACACCACTAACAGCAAGAAATATCCAAGCTAAAGCAATAATTATAAGAAAATATATTAATAAAAGGAACTTACAAGATAATGAACGGCTTATGGAAGCTACAATAAGCCATGATGTATATTCAAAAAAATAATTTGGACATGACACAAGATTAAAACCAAAACCTTTAGGAATTTGACGAATACGTGATTTCGGAGGTCTTATGCTGCGCAAAATAAGATGAGTCTTAAAGTTAGCGTATTCAGAAAACTAAAAAATATTTCAAAAATGCATGAAATGTAAGCTTTATGTTTTTACCCCCCATAGAATGACAAAGAATAATAAAATAATGTGAGACTGATATAAAGGCGAAAACCAAGGCCCGTATGTCCAATAAGCCATGTTTATGCCACCCAAAATCCAATAATGGAATGAATTCTTAAATAAATTTCTTCTTGGCATTGTATCCATTGAAAATCGGTGTACCCATAATGTCTCCAATTCTCGTTTTATAAAATGAAGAAGAACAAGTATAAAAACAACTCTAAATCAATAAGAAATTAACAGAAAACAAAAACTAGAAGTGACCTTTGAGAAGAAGAATGATGCACCACTTTTCCATATAATAATTGCTGAATTAACGGACATCCATATATCAATGGGTGAATCAATAACGGTCCTATATATTCAACTAAAAATACAGTTTTCCATGCAATCTGTGGCCCTAAATCTTTTACATATACACATTCTTCTTCTAAAATATCACAAATATTGTCTTCTTTTTTCAAAACTCTATCTTTAACTAAAAGTCTCAATCGAGTTTCTGGGAGTCCTATGGTCTTTGAAACAGCTTCAAAAAGAGCAGAAACTTTTGTGTGCTCAGAACTAACTAAAACATTATCTTTAAAGTCTTTTATAGGCTTTCCTTTGCACTTAATTTCAAATTTTCTCATTTTATTAATTCTTTTTTAAAGTTAAAGTTATCGTACAATCAAATAATTACACATTTCTAACGTCAAAAAAAGTTTTATCAGAGATTTTCAAAGCAATTGTTAAAGTAACAATAAATATCGTTATTTTTTCTTTTAATTATAACTTAAACATAAAATTATTCCTATTATTTTTTTAAAGAAAGAAAAATGACCCAAGTTTGCGCAGTTTCAAGAGATAATATTCAGTATTCAAAGATCATTAGATATTATGAGTTTATTAACAAGATATTAGAATATGTATGTGCACAGTAGGCCTTCCTGCACGAGGGAAAACATATATTGCTGAAAAAGATATTTTTTTTTCCATTTTTTTATATTTTAATTGATTATATATGTAATGAGGAGATATTTAACATGGCTTTCTATTCCAACAAAATCTTTTAATGTTGGAAATTACCGTCGTAAATATTCTATTATTTCACAATCTGCTGAGTTTTTTGATATGAAAAACACTGTTGGTGAGCAAGTACGCAAAAAAGTAGCAGGAGAGGCACTTGCAGATATGATGGCATGGTTTAAAAATGAATCGGGTGTTGTAGGAATTCTTGATGCAACTAACTCAAGGAAAGATAGACGAAGATGGATACGTCAGGTTTGTCGGGAAAACAATGTGTTATGTATGTTTGTTGAATCAATTTGTAACGACGAAAAAATAATTATGAATAATATTATGGATGTTAAAATTAGTTCTCCTGATTACAAAGGGAAAGATCCAGAGAAGGTTAATAGAAGCATTCTTCTACCTTATTATTTTTTGTTAAAATAAGCTCATATATTTTTATAGTCTGCGTCCGATTTTTTAATGCGAATTAAATATTATGAACAAGCATATGAACCGCTAGAAGACGAAGATATGACTTATGTGAAATTAATAGATGTTGGCGAAAAAGTTATTATAAATCAAATTCAAGATTATCTTCAAAGTAGAATTGTATATTATTTAATGAATTTACATATAAAACCAAGAAGTATATGGCTAAGTAGAGTACTAAATATACTTTTTTCATTTACTTTTAATTGATTTTTATTTAGCATGGCGAAAGTGAATTCAACTTACATGGAATTATTGGTGGTGATTCAGACTTGAGTTATCGTGGTCTTCAATATGCCAAAGAACTTCCAAATATTCTTCAAAAGTCAGTAGGAGATGCTTCTCTTACTGTAATAAAATAAATTATTACTTTTTTAAGAAGAAATAATTTATCATAGGTATGGACATCAACAATGAAAAGAACTATACAAACAGCGCAATATCTTCCTTATAAAAAGATAGAATGGAAAGCTTTAGATGAATTAAGTTCTGGTGTTTGTGATGGAATGTCATATGAAGAAATAAAAGTTGTCTTTCCTGATGAGTAATACAAAAAATTGTAAAATTATTATTTTAATTTTATATAGTTGGAATTCACGAGAAAATGATAAGTTTAATTATAGACTTCCTGGAGGAGAATCATATAGGGATGTCATTGCACGACTAGAACCGGTTATTATGGAACTTGAGCGTCAAGAAAATGTATTAATTATTTCTCATCAAGCAGTTCTTCGTTGTATTTATGGGTATTATCGCGATCTTAACCAAGAAATTTTCCCATTTGTAGATATGCCTTTACATACTGTTTTCAAACTTACACAAGCACCATATTTAACTTCTGAAGAACGGTATTTCATATTTTATATTAAATTTATATTTATTAATCTATAGATTAACTACATCTATTCCTGCTGTTAGTACGTATAGACCTAGAAAAATAAAAAAAGAAACTATTTGAGGACTTAACAATTTTTACATAATTCCGTTATTTTTTATACAATGCATTAAAATGTATAAAGAACATAAATTATATAATATACACTAAAAGATTGTGATATTTGCAAACAGTTTCAATTATAATTTTGAATTCTTTTATCTAATTCTTTAATAGCTATTTACATAAGTATTATTTTATATACAATCAGAAAAACATTAAAATATTGCTATATTAAATAAATAAATCATCTAAATATTCAGAATGCTGTATAACTTGTGTATTATTTATTTCAAAATGCTTGTTTCTACATATATTATTATATTCATGTAATTTCCCAATGCTTGCCATAAATTCAATAATAACATTCTGATCTATTAACAATCCTTCAAAAAAAATAGATGGTATAATCTCCTTTACACGTAATTCCCATGTTCCTCCGCATGAAAAAAGACATAAAACAAAATTAAAAACACCCTTTAATAATAATTGTTTTATCTTTAAAAATCAATTATGAATAATAATAATTTAAACACATTACTTTTTCTTCATTAAAACCAGAAATAAGTTTAATTTCCTGATTCCTAAAATTATGAAACCAAGTATATTCTGTTTCAAAATCTTTCAATACCCATTCTCTATGTATTTGCCTCTGAATGGTTGCTAATTGTTTTTTTTGTGTTTCTACAATATATAAATCCGGCCAGCGGATAGATTTTTTTCTAGATGATATCCATAATACAAATATAGGTACCAATTTCAAAAAATTAGAAACATACTCCCACAAATGCTCAATACACTTATTTTCAAATATATAAGGACATATACTCTTCAAACAACTAGTATGACTTAGTGACTCCAAAAATTCAACTGAAACTGCTAATATTTCAAAAATTTTAGCAGAACCATATACTGCTAATAAAGTAGATGATTCAAAAAAAGTTTTAAGACAAGATAAAAGAACATTAAAAAAAGATTCCATAATATTTAAAATAGAATATATGTTTGAATTCTGATATTTATATCTTAAAAAACTAGTAAAAAGTTCTTGAGTAGCTTCTAACATAGGAATTATGTATATCCATGTAATATGTGATTTTGAATATATAATATATGTAGTAAAAATTTCATCAAGAATAAAAGAAATAAGATTCATAGTTTGTATTTCACTAGTAATTGATAAGATAAATTCTTCTATAAATCAACTTACACATTTATATTATTTTTTGTTTCATCTAAAACAAAACACATTAAGGTAGAAAATTTACTTCTCTTATTTTCAAATAACGCAGTTTCACATTTCGCTTTAACAAATCTAAACAATTCTTCCTGTATTATAGGATTATGAAGGTTTCTTCTTTCATAACCTTTAAGCTTTTTTGCAGTATAAATAATATCTTCTTCTGGTTGCGGAAAGTTTGTTGAATCAGTAAACCACTCTAAAATTGGAAGACTGTTTTCGTTAACAAATTCTCCACAATATTGCAAAACATTGCCAATAAGTTTCTGACACAAACCAATATATTTTTCAATATCATTGTCTTTTTTTTGTATTAATTTCTAAGATTTATTACTAAAATATTTAAAAATTAAAAATATTAAACTTGATAATTTTCACGCATGGAATGAAAAAGATTTGATAAATAAGTTAAAAATTCACTTTTTGTACTTTGTATAGAATTTTCAGAGATTAAATGACTATAAATTTCTCCCATATTCGCTAAAGTGTCTAAAAATATTTATTAGAATATATATTAAAATATAATTCCGAAACTACTTGAAATTATAGACAATTGACAAAGTTTTATTTCAAAAAGCTGAATTTGAAAAAAACCAGATTTTTTTATAAAAGGAGGATTTTTCCATAATTTATTACATGAATCAATATTTAAAATAAGACTTGTTAAAATATGCTGATCATAAAGTTTATCCTCAACAATAGCACGGAACCAATATGATATAAATGTAACACGATAAGCCTATATTATATTAAGAAAGATAAGTCAATAAAATAAAACTCACAAAATATGCATTGGGACATTCTTTAATTACTTTTGACATAAAAATAACACCTGTTTGATTAACTTTTGAATTATTTCCAAAACGAATCCATGACTCTTGTCCATAATCTAAATAATTTGACCATTCCTTTAAAAATTAACTTAATGTATATAAAATAATCATGATTTACTTTAATTCCATTTCTTACTAAAAGATCTGCTATAAGTACCCAGCATTCAATAATCGCATTTAATAATTCATACGAAATTTCTATATCAGAACCTAAATAATTTGATAGCATTTGAAAGATTTGCCCACTTAAAGTTTTATTAATAATCTAAAAAAGTAAATAAATAATCAATATAATTAAATGAAAATAAACCATAGAAAATTGATATTCAATATTATCTTGAAGATCGCATTCGTCAATTAAGTCATAAAATATAGATATATCACCATAATCTTGACTATCATTTACATGTTCATTATGGTTTTTGTAAGAACGTTTTTTGGATAATTTTCGAATAAAACTAGATGTCAAATTTAATGCTTCAATTACTACTGAATTAGGAATAATAGATGAGAAGTTAAATAAATTAATTGATGATGCTTCAATATATCAGTAATTAAATTAAATATTTTTTTTACCTTTACTAAACAATTGTAAAATCTTTTCTCTATTATTGTTATTTTCTAAGTCAATGATCTCTTTTTTATAAGTTAAACATGAAATCATTACATTTTCAAGTTGTTTTAAATTATATTTTAATAATTTGTTATTTGAAAAACATTTTAAAGTTTTCAAATCTAGTTGAAATTTGTGAGCACGATATATTGACAGATATTCCTCTCTAGTTGTATCCAATACTAAATCATACCAACTACACACAGCTTGAAATTCATCATTATTTGAATTATATAAAAGAAAATGTGTTAAATAAAGCCACGCTTTAATATTCACTAATCTCGCCTTACAATGCGCATTTTCTATTTGTACTAAATCCTGTATCATTACTATAGGTGGTCGATACTGACATGGAACAGCTCGGAATAATATAAGTAAAAGACTATGATGATTTTCAAGAGAAATAAAATCTTCAATAGAAAGTTCCTGATCATTTGAATATTTGCGGTTATGAAGAGGTATTATACGTGATATTAAAATTCTTAAATCTTTAGAAAATATGAAAAAATCATCTGATTGTATTTTTAATTGATCAATTACTAGAATAATTAATTTTAAAAAAATATGAAAACACGTGTCATATGTTTCAATAGATGTAGGAATAATTGTATTAAGATTTTCGATAAAACGCGGATAACCTGGTAGATTCTCACTTAATAAATTACGTAATTGTCTTTTACTAAAAAAAGTATATAATAAAATAACAATAGATTTTGAATATGACCATTTCCAAGTAGAAATAAGATAGTGACATCTCCCAAATAAAGTCCGAATATATGCATCTTGAGTATTTCCTAATTCTTTCTTAAATATTTCTGTGTTTTCAAAAAAAATTGATAACTTTTTTTCTATCATTGACCAATTATCAGGTCCATTTGGAAAATAAGAAACCCCAGATAAATTAAATTGATATAATAATACAATATTCATTACAGAGTACCAGCATTTTTCATGACTAAGAAATTCATATATTTCAGATGAATTTAATTCAGAATTTAAAAGAGTCCAAAAATTAGATATTGATTGACCAAACAATGTATTAGAAAAATCTATTATATGAATAGTTACTACCCAAACCTCAATAAAATAATCCTCATTGCTAATTCCTTTTGATAAATATTTTGGGTTATTTTGTTTCTTTAATTTACAACTTAAAGAATCAAATCCAAGCTGAAGTAAATATTTAATCAATCTCTGAGATATGCTTATTATCGTGTTACACATATCATGAAATTTAGAAATGTTTTTTGTAAAATATAGTCTTGTAAATTGAAAAGCAAAAATTAAGGAAAACATTTGTAGTTGAAAAAAGAATTTTACTGGAACAGACTCTATGGAGAAATTCCGACAAAATTGAACTGATGAAATCAATTGTTCAGAAAGGTTTTCACATGATTCTAAAAGATTTTTAGAAAAATCTATTAAAAGTCCCGAAACATCCTTTTGTAACCAAAAAGTAATATAACGAAATATATAAAATAAAAACGAATATAACGGACAGTTAGCTATATCTTTTTTTTTAGAATTTTGAATATTATATTCTAAAACATTATATGAGAACTCCTCAAATACTTTTTGTATTTTTTTAATGTCATTAGGAAGGTCATTTTGTATTTCGTAATTGAATATAGTATAAGACTCAATACAGTATAATGATTCCTCAGCACTATTATCTGATTCTAACAACAATTTTCGAAGTAGACCATTGCCAATAAATGTTTCTGAAGCGAAAAAAATACCCTGTTTAATAGGATTAACATTAAATGACATTGAAAACGCCGAGTTTTTTAAGAAAAATTGTTTTAATGATTGTTGAAAAGAATCATTAACAGTTTTTTTTCTCACATTTGTTTCATCTAGATTATAACGATGAATTATAGTATCATCAAAATGATTGGAATCAATTCTTTTAGCTGTCGACTTACGAATATTATGGTATTTTCTTAACTTCAAAGTTGAATTATCTTTTTGTTTTTCTATATTAGTATCAGCTCTATCAATATTTAGCTTATATAATGATAATTTATCCAGCCAATCATAAATAGACTTAAAAACTCCTATAGTATTATATCTTTCATAACTTTTTTTTCCATAACAATGATTATTTTGTCTTTTTATGAAATTATCTGTTAATTTTTTTTGTAATCCTCTTTGAAAAAGCATTTTCCCAATGATTTTTTTAGATTTTTTATTAGAATTTTCTATATTTTGTTCTGCTTCATAATCTTTAACTGATACACTTGATTTTTTTCCTTCTAAGTCACCTGAATCTTTTATAATTTTTGATTTTACATAACTAGAAAAAATATCATTTTTTAGATATACTGGAGTTAAAATGCCTTGTTTCCATTTTCTAAATATTTCATTTACTTCATGTCTGTCATCAATGTTATCAAAAAAAAAAAACTTTTTATAAGGATAACATCTGCCAAGATCTTTTCTAGATTTCATAATTCGACATGCTAAATTGATAAACTTTGGAAAAATTTGATGGTTTTTATCTTTATATTTTTTAAAAATATCTAAAATTCCTATTTTAATTGCAGGACGTTTTCTTATTATAACATGTGAAAAATTATTTAATTTTTTTTTAATTTTTTTTCTTGGTAACATATATTCTAAAGATTTTTCTAAATCTTTTTTATATATATTATCTTTTTTACGCCTTTTTTTCAAGTCCAAATAACTATTAAGTACTCTTGTCTTTGCGTACATTCTATTTATTAATTTTTTTTCTAAAGCACTATTATTATCAGAAGATTGACTAGATAAATTATGATCATTTCTATCCTCAGTAAAATTTAAGTTGTTTATTCTTTCAGATTCCCCTGACAAATTTTCTGTATTCATAATCGTTAAGAAAGATTCTGAAACTGGTGGAAATTTTGCCATTTTTCTTTTTACTAAACCTTTTTTATTTTCTTTTTCTTGAAAATTCTTTTTCTTTTTAAATGCGTTTTCTTTCGAATGTATATTTGAAGTAATAAATCTATTTTCTAAAGTAAGATATGATGGTGGAAGAATTCCTTTAAGTTTTTTTTTATAATGAGAAATATCATTTATAAGACTTTGTTCATAATGGGAATCACTTTTTTCTATATCTATATCAACACTATTTAGCAAAATAGATTTTATTTTAGAATTTCGTCCAGTAGAAATGCTAGGTGAATAATTACTCAAAGACAGTGTTGATGTATTTGATATATTATTTTCAGAATGATATTCTTTATCTTTAACTTCAATCACATCGTCAGAGTTTTGGAATGGTTCAGCAATAGTATCAATCATTGTTTCTGAATTATAACTAGAAATCTAAAAAAATTAATACATATTTTAACCATGTATATCTGTATATTTATAAGTAGATATATATATAAATATACATATATATAAATATACATATATATATACTTACATGGCTTATTTCCTCCGAATTATTCGAGCTTGAAGATAATTGTTTTTGCAAAAATTTCCTAGTTCTTTTAAGACGCCAATTATGCCGATTTGGATTAATAAATTTTGCATTCGATTTAAACCATTTAAAGATTTCTGATTATTATTTGAATTTATTTCTTTACAAAAACAATACAATTCTACCTGAATCTTGACTTTCTGAGGCTGCATGTGCTAAACTCATATATGAATCTTCACTATCTTCAGATGTATATTGAGAATCCGAATTCCCAGAATCTAAATGATCTAAAAACATGCTTGTCATAGGCTTTATTCCCAACTTTCTAAATTCCTCTCTGTGCTTTAACAGATCATATGTATATGGTCTTTTTTGTTCAGGACGTCGTTTTCGAAATTGACGTTTTTCAATAGTTTTTTCTGAAGTTTTTTCCTGCTCAATTAATGTAGAACACACTGAAACACTTCTGAATTCTTGTTTGTTGTCACTCCAAGGATCATCTTCTCCTTCAGAACAAGATATTTCTTGATCTTATTTATTAGTTATTTTTCAATTCTTATAAAGAATGCTCACCAGAAATTCTCGTTTTTTTTGAGGATACTATATTTTTCATTATTTATATCGGTTTTCAAAGAAATAGTATTATTTTATAAAATTTCACCGCATTGTTATTACTCTTTTTTTTTAAAAGTAAGGAGACTTTTCTATGGAGTGGACCGACGAATGAGTCTAAATTTATTAACATAATAGTTAATAATAAAATTTACTGTTTAAAAATATAACAAACGCCATCTGTTAATAAATATTATATGTTATATTTAGAAAATAAAGCTATTAATATGTGTATTTTTTTTAAAAAATTAAAAGTGCAATTAATCATAAATATCGATTATAAGATATACATCAAAAAATATAATAAACATTATATTCTTTAATTATAACGTCTATTTTTTGCATTTTTTAGCAACAGTAGTTAAGAAGAAATATTTTTGAGATATTTTTGGTATATGTGTAGTAACTAAATCTGCTTATTACAATAATTCATACTTTTTTTTATGCAAAACAAAGAAATCACCCTCTTTATTTTTTGTTAATCCTAGTACATTCCATTCAGGCACTGGCTCGGGTTCACAAATCTCATCTAAAATCAAACGAACTGGCTTATCTTTTCTAATAGTCACTAATCTTTCAACATTACTGGTATCTATATCATCAATACATTTAACAAACTGTACATATTTCGCTATTTTCTTAATTATTTTTTCTTTTTCATCATCTTTTGGAACAGACAACAAAGACATTCGAAAAATATGTTCCAAAACTTTATCATTTATTTCTCCATCAGTATTATCCTTTTTTAAGCATAGAAAATCTTCTAATTTAAAAATGTGTTTATCTAAATATTTTGTTACTTCATCATTAAGCTTTGTTTCTTTTATTTGTGATTGTGCAACATTTGAATATTGTCTTAAAACTGGTTTTTTTAATCCTAAAAAAAATACATTTGTTTTTTCAAAAAAATATTTTGTTTTAATAGAATATTTTATCAAATTTTTTCTTAAAAACATTTTTATTTTTTATAAAAATATTCTTTGACGTATTATTTTAAATCGATGATTGCAGCTTTAACCTCCAAAAAAATAACGTATAACTAAATCTCTAAAAAATATGACAGATCCGAGATTACTCTTAGAGAAAGTAACTATTAAAAGTTATTTTAATCTATTTATCTTTAATTTTTTTAGGCTAATAAAAAATCTGCAAGTCATGGTGGATTTTTATCACTTTTTGGTGGCAATAACTATGGAGAAGCAGCAGAGTTATATCTTGCAGCAGCAAATGCATTCCGTTTACAAAAACAAGGTGTATAATATTTTAATATGAAAATATATTTAATATATTCCTTTTTTTGTTCATTCTGTTTACTTTTTAAAGGCAGAGAAGCAGGAGAAGCACTCGAGAAAGCTGCATCAATGCAGTTAAAAATTGATGAGAAAGATGAGGCGGCAAATACACTTGTTGAGGCTTATAAAGTATACAGAAAGACAAATCCAGAAGGTCTGAATATGGGTATCCTGTATAAATATATTTATTATTCTTAGATGCAGCTCGTGTTATTGAGACTGCAATCCAAATGTTCACTTATCGGGGAAATTTTAGAAGAGCAGCCGGATATAAAATGGATGTGGCAGCTTTGTATGAAACAGAGCTAATGGATATGCAAAAAGCTCTTGAAAGCTATGACGAAGCAGGGGAATGGTATTCTAATGACCAGGCTGAAGCGTATATTATAAGTATATATGTTAACGCAGACGTGCTAAATATTACTTTAGCCTCTCTAGCAAGGCTTACTTAAAAGTTGCAGAACTTGCTGCATTGGAAGAACAATATTCTTTAGCAATTCAAAAATTCGAAGAAGTTGCTCGAAAAAGTATTAATAATAACCTTACGAAATGGAGTGTAAAAGATTATTTTTTAAAAGCAGGAATATGTCATTTTAATTCAGGGGTCAATAATTCTCTATAGGTATATTTTTTTCTTATTTTAAAAATAGGATATGATCGCTGCACGAAGAGCTCTTGAACATTATATTGATTTGGACTTAACATTTCAATCAACTCGTGAATATAAACTTTTGGAAGTAAGATATTTTTTTTATTATTGCATTATATGAATATCATTAGGATATTTTACATGCCATTGAATCAGGTGATTCTGATTTATTTACAGAAAAAGTTAGAGAATATGATCAACTTAGTAAATTAGATAAGTGGAAAACAACACTTCTTTTAAGAATCAAGAATTCCATTAACGAAGAGCCCGATCTGACATAAATACGGTTTCATTTCGTAAATTATCATTAATTTCATATTTTACTTTTCTACACTCTTTCAGAGTTTTCTTATAATTTTAATGAATCCTATTTTAAATACTTGTATATTTATATATTTATTTCTTAAACATGTTCAATATTATATTTAGTTTTAACGTTAAAAATATTATAAAAAAATCTGAAATATCTTTTTAAATTTGTAATAATTTTGAGATGATTCAATTTGATCAATTCAAAATCAATTCATATTGTTTTTTTCCAGTTTTTATAAAAAATTTTAAATATGAATCAAAAGCATTTAAAGCACAATTATCTATTTTTTATATACGGGTTTTACATTTCAAAACAAAAACATTATTTTATGTAAAAAAAGAGATAGAAAATATTAATTTTCAAAAAAACCAAATCAAAAGTCCTTATTTTTCAACATTTGAAGTTGGTTTAAACATTTTGTATCGTTTAAAATTTAATTTTATAGGAATGTCATATTCATCCTTCAATTGTTAAAGCATTAAAGTTAGCTTTTCCACATATTTCTACACCTACAACTGTTCAATCAAAAATATTCTCTGCTCTTACTTCAAAATCACCTTTACTTATTCGCAGCTGGACTGGAACTGGCAAATCATTTGCTCTTTCTTTATATGCCTTAAATTGTTCACGCTCTATTTTTAAAGAAAATTCTAATGCACCTACTTTAACAACTATTATTTTAGTACCAAACAATGATCTAGCATATCAATATAAACAATGGATTGAAAATATTTTAAAAAACTATGAAAAACCTGTTGAGCATAATGAAAATATTATCCAAGTTTTAACAAGGAATAATTTTGACGAGAATCTTCAAATTGAAAAATTAAAGCAATTCCCAAATCCTCATATTTTAGTTGCTACACCAAATAGATTATTAGATATATTATCAGACTTAAGAGAAAGTTATAAAAATTATATAGATTTTAAAAATTTTCAATCTATTATTATTGATGAAGCAGACTATCTTCTTGACACATCAAAATGTTATTCAGTAAAAAAATCTATGCAAAATCGACATCATTTTTCTCCTGGATATATCTTATTAGAATATATTATAACATTGAGAAACAAAATGTCTAAAACTAAAGCAGAGTTTCTTGCTGATAATTATCAACTTATTTGTTCATCTGCTACTATTAATAAAAGACTTAAACAGCTAATTTATTCTAAAAATTGGAATAGATATCAAGTTATTTCTTCAATAAACATGACTGATAATCATGCAAAATCTGGCTCTTGGATTCCATCTAAAATTAAACATTATGTATTGAAAATAAGTTTGAAAGAACATGATAAAATTCATATTATGGATGCTATATTACCTCAATTTGAAAAAGATAACGTATCATGTATTAAAAAAGTAAAAAAAAATAAAGAGAAAATAAAACTTTCAAAAAATATATTTATAATTAATAATCCTAAAAATATTTCTATCAATCTTGAGGATATAATCATTTCTACTTTAAATTATTTAATTAAACATGATAATGTGAAAAATGGAATAATTTTTATATCTCATACTCTTTCAAGAAAGAAATTCGTTGAAAGATGTCAAGTTCACGGACTGTCATATGTTATTGAATTAAGAGAAAACGCATTGGAAAATAAAGTAAACCAAAATAAAATATACGTAATGAACTATTTATCTGCACGAGGTATTGACTTACCAGGATTAACTCATGTATACATGATAGGAAGAGTTGATAGTGATGTAAAATATATCCATATGGCAGGAAGAATTGGAAGAATGGGGAATTTTGGGAAAATGATTTCAATTATACCATCATCATCAACAAAATACGAAGATGATTATTTTTCTAAGGAAACAGCGACAACTTTTAACAAAATTGGTATCAAAGCTGAATTATATTTTACAGAAGCACATGATCACAGTATATCGATTAAAATGTTTTAATTTTACATACCAACAGTGTATGTATTTCATATAATTTACACCAATACTTTGAAATACATACCAAAAAAGATATATAAATATATCCACACACATGTATATATATCCTAGATTTACCTTATTTACTAATACTAGATATACTTCTTGACTTAGAATAGCTTCTACGTGAATAACTACGTCCATGTGAATAGTTCCGTTTACGAGAATAATTACGCCCCCTGGAACAACTTCTTTCACTAGAATATCTTCTACTACGACTACTATAACTACTATAACTAGACGTCCTATTTTTTGAATTTCCATTATATCTATAATAAGGACTTGAAGATTTAGAGCTTCTTCGAGGAGGCCTGTACGAATCCCCAATTCTAGACTCACGCATACTCCTTCTCGGTGGTGAATATGGCCTTCTATATCTTTTCATAGGCATAGAAATACGTCGTCCAGGTGAAAAAGACGATTTGCGAGTATTAAAAGGACGAGAAGAAACAATAGATACAGAAATTACGGATCCATCTATTTGCCCTTCATGCATGTGAGATATAGCAGCATTGGCACTATTAGATGATGTGTAAATAATGTAACATAGCCCACGGTTAATATTCACTATTTGAAATATTATTAATAATCTTTTGAAAAGAAAAAAGAGTACATCTTCGATTCATAGGCATATCAATTGAACTAATTTCACCATATGATCCAAAAATTTCCCGAATATGAGCAACTGTTACATTTTTTGTCAATTTTTCAATTAAAATCTAAAAATATTAGGAAAATTACAAGAAATTATTTAAAATAAAAGAAAAACCTTTGATGATCCTCTTGCTGGAGATGATGTCCGTTTAGACGACCGTGAAAGAGAACGGCTATTTCTATAACCCTGAGGGCTTCTTGATCTTGATAAAGCGACTGAATGTGGTTCCATGGTTTTACTTAACTCAACATTTACTGATCAAAATATAACATAAAAACAGGAAAATTGCACTTTTTTTCTAAAAAAAACGTAGAAAAATAACGTTTTTATACCAAATTCTTTAAAATATATTTTTTAAATGTTTTTTTGAAATTTAGTAAAAAACCGATCGACATACTTCAGAAAATTAGGAATTTTGGAGAAATAATTTAAAAATAAGAATACTATTTTTTTTCTTGTTTTTTTGTTAAAATACATTGGATATTATAGGATTTTCTTTTCTTTTTTTTTATGCGTTTTTTCTGTGCTTTTAGGCCTTTTTGGAAGATGAATGAAGTTAAAATAAAGTCAGAGCCATTTTTAGAAAAAAAACATACATATAGTACTCAAGAATGCACACAAAATGTCCATTTGATTACAGAAGGAAAAGCATCTATTTTTATTCCAAAAGAAAATAAGGTAAAATAAGCAAAAACCATCAAAATAGAATGATTACAAGCAAAAAGGTGTTTTATAACCCAGTTCAGACATTTAATAGAGATCTAAGTGTAATTGTGGTTCGTTCTTGGAGCAAATCTTTTCTTAAAAACAAAGAAATAACAATAAAAAAGAAATATGAAAAGAAAGAGTTTAAACGCCAAAAAGTATCGTATTCTTATGAAGAAAAAGATAAGATTCCTGAAGAATCAGGTGAAAAATCAGGTATAATATATTTAGAAAAATAGGAACAAATGATATTTATTTCCTTAATTTTTTAGACCAGTCACATGAATTGTGTTTGCCAAACTTTAATATTCTTGATGCATTTTCAGCAACAGGAATTCGCACAATTCGTTACATAAAAGAAATCCCAAATGTAGGCAGTGTAGTCGCTAACGATTTTGCTAAATCTGCAGTTAAAATCATTAAAAAAAATTGCATGCATAACAATATCATAGAAAAAGTAGAACTTAGCTGTGAAGATGCACGTTTTATTATGTATCAACAAATTGTTCAAAAAAAGCGTTTTGATGTAATTGATATTGATCCCTATGGGACAGCAGCCCCATTTATTGATGCAGCGATACAATGCATTTCTGATGGTGGTCTTATTTGTGTCACATGTACAGACCTTGCTGTATTAGCTGGAGGTGGTTATCCGGAGAAGTGTTTTGCTAACTATGGTTCTATGCCTTTTCGTCATTCTGTTTTTTGTCATGAGCAGGTTTGATAATTTTTCAAGTGTTCGATTTTAACATAGAATAAGGCACTTCGAATTGTTTTATATACTATTGCGTCATCTGCTGCAAGATATGGTCGTTATATAAAGCCTTTGTTAAGTGTTTTTGTTGATTTTTACATACGTTTATTTGTTAAGATTGATACATCTCCATATAATGTCAAATTTTTTCATAGGTAAATAAATTATTTTGATTATTTTTTTCTAACAATTCTTAATTAGCACATCAATGATGTCTTATTTATGTTCTGGGTGTCATACATTTTATAATCAACCAATTGGGAAGACGTCTCCAAATAAAAATCCAAATACTTATAAACATTTTAATTCTCAAGGGCCGATTGTTGGTCCTAATTGTGAATTTTGTGGATTTAAATGTCATGTATTAAAATATATATATATATTTATTTAAATCTAACGTAGACATTAGATTTCAGGTCCAATGTGGTCAGGTCCCTTACATGATAAAGAATTTTTAGTGGATACTCTAAATATCATTGATTCAGAATCTGTCGATATTTACACAACATTGCCCCGTATGAAAGGCATACTTACTATTGCAGAAACGGTATAGTTTTCAAAATATTAATTATTTATAAAATTTATTTATAAGGAATTAATGGATCCGTTCTATTATAATCCAACACATTTGTCAAAAATTCTTCACTGTCAAACCCCATCTATGAAAGATATTTCTTCAGCATTAATTAACGCTGGTTATTCTATTTCTTTAACACACGCATCCCCAGGAAGTATAAAAACAAATGCACCGCCAAAAACATTATGGGATATTATGAAATTTTGGGTAATTGGCTATTTTTATATTTTTAAACTTAAATATTTTCAGATTAAAAAATATCCTGTATCCGAAAAACGCATTCGTGATGGGACTGTTGCAAAAGAAATACTTAAAGTTGAACCAAAGTATTTCCTGTTTTTTCATTTTTGTTATTAAATATTTTAGTACTTACATTGATTTTACCTTGCATCAAGACATCGAAAAAATTTTCAAATATGGTCTTGTTAAATACCAGCTGAATCCTATTAAAGACTGGGGACCTAAAGCAAAAGCAAGTGGAAAGTAGATTTTAGAATTAATATATTAAAAATTATGTCAAATAATTTTTTATGAAAAATATATACAAAAATCAGCTTCTGATAAAAGATAAAACTCCAGAACAATAATTGACTAATCCTTTTAGCCTAATGTTTGAAATTTTATGTTCCTTTTCCCAATTTATAAGCGATTGTTTTAGTACAATATTATCAGGATTTTCAATAAAAATATCTCCGTGAATATTTAAAAAACTAGCCATACAGATTTGAATAAATTCAAAGTCTAATCTTTCTTTTAATCTTTGAGTTAATGCATCTAAAAACCAAATAATCTCAGAGAATGAAAAATCAGTTGAAAGTGATCTTATTTCAAAGTCTATTGATGATGGATTTAATGCTTTTAAATGATCTATAAATTTTACATCTAAAATATTAGAAAAAAGCAAAACATATATTAGTGAAACTTACAATCGTTTTGAGCAGCACCTTCTTTTAAAAGTACAGTAAATTTACTTTCTACAGTTAAATTTTTTATTTTAATAATTTTAGACGCATTTTTATCTATTTTTATATGCTCGTTCGTATTTGAAGTTAATGACATTATATCTTTTGATGCATCTTTTAAAAGTGGTATAAAAAATGGCGGCTTTTCAGGAGCTTTTGGAGGTTCTTTTGGTTTATTTCTAAGCCGTATTATTTCTAAATTACGTAAAATGTTCAATTTAGAACGAGGAATTGAACTAAGTGTTAATATCTGTGTATCAATTTGTTTAGAAGATATATAATTGGTTTTATAAAAAACACCAATGTCATTAGATATATTTTTCAAAGAAATATCAACAATTCCAGAACCTTCTTCTCCTAAAATTGAAGGCATATTTATCATTTTAATCTCAGATTCTTGAATATTATGAATGGATATTTGAGAAAATTGGGACTTATTTGTCCTAAATTATACTTAATTTTAAAAATAAAAGAATTATATTATTACCATAAAGTTATACCAAAACTATCTCTATGCGATGTTGCAAGGAAATCTCCCGATGGTGAAAAGTCTAAACTTACACATATGCTTGGTGTACGAAATGCATCAATAAGATATCCTAGTGGAAGATCCCAAGTTCTAATTGTTGAATCTAAAGAAGATGATATAAGCCATCTTGCATCATGTGAAAAAACCTTTAAATGTTAATATTTGTTTATAAAATAATTTATCTATATACTAAATCTGTAATACGATTTGTATGACCCCATAGTTCTCGGACAATTTTTTTTGTCTCAATGTCAATGACTCGTATACAAAGATCGTCAGAAACTATTGCTAAAAGGTCAGAAGAACTTTGATATATCATTAATGTTATAGGTGATTCTATGTTAAGAGTATACATAAGTTTTCCCGTTGAAATTTTCCAAAACTATATTTATTAAAAAAAAACAAAAATAAATATTTTCTATTTACTTTTAAAGTTCCATCTAAAGAAGATGAAACCATTGTTTTATTTAATGAGTCTGAAATTATTCCTGTAATATCTTTTTTATGTCCATTTAAATCATCATAAAATTTACGACGATGAAGTTTAGATTGCATATTATACATATCAATTGTTCCTAAAGAAGAACCAACAAATCCAAAATTTCCACAAATACTTATTCCAACACTCTATAATTATTACAAAAAATATTTTTTTTTTTCTATTTTTACCTTTATAGAACTTTTATCAGTAGTTTGCAAAACGTATCTTTCAATTGCTTTTTTTTTCCAGCTCCATAACCTTGCTACTTTTTCGCCTTTATGTGCAGTTATTATATTATTCCAATATTTTTCTTTTGAAGGTTGTACAGCTATAGATAAAATCTCTGGAAGACGTAATTCTTCTATGGAAAACTTTAAAGATATAGATTTTTTAACAAATGGTTTTTGAGATAATTCTGTGGTTTGTGAGTCATTAAATGTACTAAATCCTCTTAAAGAGCGATCTCGTGACGATGATAATATAAAATGAGAATCATATCCATAAAATCTAATAATTGACGGAGGTGCACTATGGCCACTTCTATATCTAAGTAATCTTGGAATATTGTCTGATGAATCGAAAATCCATTCCTATGTTTTTAAGCAAATAACTTTTAAGTTATAGAAAGTTACCTTTAGAGAGTTATCAATACTACTAGATAATAAAAGAGGTTGTCCATTTAAAAATTTTATTTTAACAATTGAACCAAAATGCGCATTGTGAAAAACATGAACAATTCTTTTTTTTGAAAGATCCCAAATGAATATATCGCCTTTATCATTAGATGAACACATAATCGTCGATCCATCTATAATTAAAGTTAAAGTAAATTGGTAAATTTTAGGATAAAACCTGTTCTAAAACTGGTAGATGTAACCTTTCCATCTTGTTTAAATTGAAATAACTCTTTATCTCTCTTGATATCATATATTAAGATTCTTCCATCAATTAAACCAATAGAAATAATATCCAAGACTGGTGATTGTTCAAGGCATGTTATAACAGCTTTAAATGACGAAAATGTATAAACTATCTTCCTTTTTTCATAATTAATAAATATATAAAGCTAAATAGATGGGATACATAGTCCTTATATTCCATATTTCAAGAGTACCATCTATTTTTCCTAAAACAAGCTTGTTTAAGTATGTTGCGGGATGAACCATACACAAAACACTCGATTTACGATCAATTTCAATTTCCGTATATATTTCTGAAATCTCAATACAAATACATCAAGAAGAAATCATAAATCACCTTGGAGATGGATATTCCAAACTGTAAGATAATTTTGATCTGTATATGTAATAAGATAACCACCAAACGCTTCCATTAGCGTTATGTTTCCATTATAAATCTGTTTCATCGATCGTTCCTCAAAGAATGTTAATAAAGTGCAAAAATATGCTACAAAGTGATACAAGTTTTCCTTTGCGATATCCAAATATTTCATGCCCTACTGCTGCAAAAATAAAATCATCCCAAGAACATATAGATGATATTTTTCCTTTTGTTTTTGGTGTTACAAAAAGAAGATTAAGTTTAGCACACTAAAATATTCATTCTTATTTTTTCAAAGATAAAACACTTTACATCATATGTTTGAATATTCCGTCCAACACAAGTGGATACTAAAAAAGATGTTCCACGAATCATAACATCAAATGGAACATGATTAGACACATAGCCAATTGTTCGAAATGGTGAAAATAAATATGAACTTTCTCTACTTTGATCTTCATTTTTATCTTTTATTTCTAAAACCGATTTCAAGCGTTTTGAAGCCCGGTTTTTTGAAACTTCCATATGCCAAGGTTCCTAGAAACTTATTATTTAAAAATGTACTATAAAATTATATTTCTTCTATAAAATACTTGTTTCTTTATTTTCTAAATTTTGAACATGATAAATCGAGATTTGTAACAAAATCTTCAAAAAATCTAAAAATTCAAAAACTAAAGTTTTAAATATATATATTTTTATTTCTTTAATATTAACCACTTTAGACGCTCTTATAAATGACCTTATCAACAAAATCACACCATTCTTCATTTTCAGAATCAACAAATGTTTCACAACCATCGTCTCCACCAGCTTCACCAAACATTAAAACAAAGCCCAAATGGGTCATTGGTGTTTGTGCAATGGATCAGAAGTCAAGGTCAAAGCCATGCCAAAACATTCTAAATAGATTAATCCAGCACGGTGAATTTGAAACAGTTATTTTTGGAGATAATGTTATTTTGGATGAAGGTAGAATTAAACATCTTGAAGTTCTTTTTTTCTTATGGAAATGTATTAGAAGTGGAGAATTGGCCATGGTGTGATTTTTTCATTTCATTTTTTTCACAGGGATTCCCCCTAAATAAAGCAATTCGTTATGTTAAGCTTCGTAAACCATTTTGTGTAAATGATTTGCCAATGCAAAAGGTTTTATGGGACAGAAGGCTTGTGATGTCAATTCTTGATGCCATTAATGTTTCTACTCCATATCGTGTTGAATGTTCTCGTGATAATGGGCCAAAAATTGAGCAAGCTTTGGCTGATAAGCTTTTTAAAGTGTTTGGAATTAAAACTAATATCATACAAAATATTAGTCAACTTAAATGTATTGATGAAGACACAATTGATATTGATGGAAAAATTTTAAAAAAGCCGTTTGTTGAAAAGCCTGTAGATGGTGAAGATCATAATATTCATATTTATTATGCAAAAAATAAAGGTGGGGGTGGAAGACGATTATTTCGAAAAGTATGCTATTTTCTTTTTATTTATACATTATTAATTAAAAATAAGATTGGTAATAAATCATCAGAATTTGATCCTGAACTTTCATTTCCTCGTACAAATGGTTCATATATTTATGAACAGTTTATGGATGTAGATAATGCGGAAGATGTTAAAGTTTATACAGTTGGTCCTCATTATTTTCATGCAGAAACACGTAAAAGTCCTGTTGTTGATGGGCTAGTTCAACGCAATACATATGGAAAGGAAATTAGATTCGTTACCAAACTTTCTGAAGAAGAATCTGAAATGGCTAAAAAAATATGTCAAGCATTTGGTCAAACTATATGTGGTTTTGATTGTTTAAGAGTAAACGGAAAATCTTATGTTATTGATGTAAATGGATGGTCATTTGTTAAAGATAACAATGAATATTATGACAATACTTCTCGTATTTTGCGACAAATATTTATTGACGCTTCTCGAACAAAAAAATCTATAACTCCTTCTATTAATCAAACAGTTTCTTCATTGCCATTAGAACAAAATTCATGGCGTATTAAAGGCATGTTTTCTGTATTACGTCATGCTGATCGAACTCCAAAGCAAAAATTTAAATTTTCTTTTAAAAGTAAACCTTTTGTCGAATTGCTTCAAGGACATACTGAAGAAATAATTTTAAGAAATGAACAACTTAAAATGGTAATATCTGCTACAGAAAAAGCAAAATTAGAAAAATCCGAAGACATAGAAAAATTGAATCAATTACATAATACATTGTTAAAGAAAATAGAGTTTCCCGGAACTAAAGTTCAAATAAAACCTAATTATTCATCTGAAACAGGGAAGCTTGAAAAACTTCAACTTATTTTAAAATGGGGAGGCGAAGTATATTTTAATACTTTTATTTTTTAAATAAATTAATTTTTTTAGTTTACACATTCTGCTCGTTACCAATCTAAGGATTTAGGGGAGAATATACGAAAGGATCTTATTTTAATGAATTCAGGATGTTTTGATGACGTAAAAGTATTTACAAGTTCAGAAAGAAGAGTTAGTGCTAGTGGTATTTTTCTTTATAACTATATATATATATATGTAATTTATTTTTTAGCTGAAATATTTGCAATGGCTTTTCTTGATAAAGAAGAACTTCCACCAGGTTTTCTTGAAGTCCGAAAAGATCTTTTAGATGATTCAAATGCTGCAAAAGATAATATGGATAGAGTATATATTTTTTATATATTTTTTACAACTCTTAACTTGTTTTAGGTTAAAAAAAAGTTAAAAACATTATTAAGAGCAGATTCGTCAATGCGACCACAGTTTACATGGCCCAAAGATGTGCCAGAACCTAGTGAAGTTATGAAAGAAGTAGTTGAATTGATGAAGTTTCACCGTACAGTAATGAATAATAATTTTTCTTTATTTTCTGATAAATTGGATACATTTCAAACACGATGGTGTTGTAATGAAAATCCTTTTTTATTTAAAGAACGTTGGGAGAAATTGTTTTCTGAATTTTGTGATTCTGAAAAGGTTTAAATAATATTTATTTTACATAATTCTAAATATTTAAAGGCGGACCCTTCTAAAATATCAGAATTATATGATACAATGAAATATGATGCATTACATAATAGACCATTTTTAGATGCTATATTCTTACCAGAAAACTATCATGATACCAATAAAACTGACAAATCTTCTGTTTCCGATAGAGAAAATGGAACATCTAGAGAAATGTGTGGATCTAAAATTTTGCAAGGATCTGAAAAACTTCATAAATTATATCGTTTAGCAAAAATATTATTTGAGTATATAGTTTTTGTTATTTACTTAATTAGTTAATTGGTTTAGTTTTGTAAGCCCACAAGAATATGGAATTGAAAACGAAGAAAAGTTAGATATAGGGCTTTTAACTAGTATGCCATTGTTGAAGAAACTTATTACAGATATAAATGAAACTAAGTCATCTACACATGCTAAGGTACTATATTTTGAATAATATTTGGCTAAAAAGAATTAGTGTTATTTTTATTTTACAAAAGAATCACATATTTATACTCTTCTTAATTGTATATTCGAAAGTGGAATACCAACTAAAATAAAAAGAAATGAAATTCCTGAACTGGTAAATTTTTTTATATTATTATGTTATTAATTTGATTTAGGACTATCTTACACAAATAAATTTCGAATTATTTGAACGTACTACAAATTCAGTATTAGGAACAAAAGAACATTCTGTCAGAATTACATTATCTCCTGGATGTTATTCCCAAGATCCTTTATATATGCGACTAGATGCAAAACACTGTATCAGCGTTGCACCTAGGAAGTCTTTAACAAAACATCTAGATTTACAAGAAGTTTGTGGAAAAATTGAAGAAAATTTTAAACGAGTTAATCTTCCTAAAAGATTTATACCTCATGTTTTAAAATAAGGTATTTTAATAAATTATGAATCTTTAAATTTTAAATATAGAAATAGGATAAGGTTAATAAATATATTTATTTTAAAATTTTAGATATATTACTTAATGTTTTTAGGAATATTGTAGGTGTTATTTTTTATTAAGAATATAAATTTCATATTTATTTGTATATTATTATTAAACGTTATTATAAAAATCGTAAACAGTAGCAAATTGAAGGTATTTTACAATTCTTATATTTATAAATATTGGTGTTTATAAATATTTTTAGATTTTAAAGGCCCATGAAATCTTATGCATATTTAAATTATTTATTAATATGTATTTTCTATATTTTTGATTCCTAAATATAAGATTATTTTAGTCCTAAAAATATTTTTTAATTTACTATTTTTAGAATAATTACTATTACTAGAAGTTTATTGAAAATGATAATATATAAAAGGGTAGGATTGTTTTACTAATACTTTTTGAATTTTATATTTTTAAAATTTGAAGATTTAATTTTTATAATTAAAAATTTATATAAAAAAAGATTTTTATGCATTTTTAATTTATTTAACATTCAGTTATACTCGATCATAAGATTCTTATTTTATCATAATAATTGTTTTCAAGTATGTGAAAATCTAGGTACATTAAAAAATTAAATTATATGCTAAAGATTTTTAAAATCGTTAAACTTTATTTTTATTTTTGGAAATCAATGTAATTGGTTATTCTTATATTTTTGAAGCATAAATGATGTTTAGATATTGTTTTTAAAATTGTTATATTTATTATAATCAACTTATTTTTATATGATTATGAATTTTTAATTTGTATAATTATATATATTAATCAAACAGGTTGAAACTGGTTTTATGAATTAACACAATTGTACCTTCTTTATCTCTTACTTTTTATTAAATTATATTAATAATTAAAAACTAAACTTTATGTTTTTATAAAAATTTTATGTATATATATAATTATAATTTATTCTTTTACTAAATATACATTAAAATATACATTAAAAAATCTATAGTTAACTTTAAAAAACAAATTTTATATATTTTTCATAATAAAAATTATAATATTTCCAGAAATGCTATCATATGCTATAATTATAAAATATAGTTAAAACTTTAAAATTTCAAAACGTTAGACTTTGGTTACAAAGAATTAAGTACAAATAATAAAACTAATAATAACTATAAATAGATTCATTTACTAAGATATGTGTTTGATCAAATTAACCAAGATTAAAAATCATGAGTCATAGAATCAATTTAATAAATATATTACTAAATAAATTTACATATGTCAATTTCTGTAAAAACAAAATGTTATAAATTTCTAAAAATACTTATGCATAATAATAATACAAAATAAATTAATACCCTTATAATGTTCTTTCAAACAAATAACTAATACTTTCCCCATTATGTACCCTTCTATAAATATTTAACTTTTTTATATATAATTGAAAAATATTATACCTGATAGCTTCTCCAAAAACTCTGCTAATATCAATTATAACCAACTTTGTAGATATCTGTCTTTTTTCTTTACTAACAGGATATGTATTTGTAATAATAACCTAATTTATATCAGCAATAATGTAAATCAACAAAAAATAACCTTATCAATACAACTACATTCCTCTATTTGCTCTAAACAACCTTCTTGTAAAATTCCGTGAGTAGCAAGTACAAAAACTCTTTTTGCTCCACAATTTTTAATTAAATGCTCTGCAGCAGCTACAAAACTTCCCGGAGTCTCTATCATATCATCGAGAATTAATGCTGTTTTATTTTCAACATCTCCTACTAATGTAATCATTCTTTCTTCATTCGAATTCATATGTTCTTCTTCGTCAGAAGGAGCAATAATTGATGTATCAACAGACGCATTATTTGGATAAAAAGAAAACGTAGGAAAAAAAAGATTGTCTGAACCATGTGCAGCATCTGTCAAGTTTCCACATGGAGACATAGAAGATGGATAATCATCATCTACAACATGTCCTGATATCAATCTTGCAGTACGAATATTTGAACAAATACTTCTACTTGATTGTGGTTTTCTATGAGACGAAAATTCACTAGGAGTACTTGGCCTAGAAATAAAGGGTGTTTGATCTTCATAACAACTATTTTCATGAGAATTATAGATATACATATTACTATCATCAATGCTTTCATGATTAGATGTAATAGGCGAATAAGAATTCACGCTTATATATGAATACGATCCTTTGAATGTCTTTCTTTTTTTGTCTGTATGAATAAGAGCAAAATTAATATTCAAAGCATCTGCCAAACTCGTTACCCTAAAATAATAAGGCACCAATTCAAAAACCACCTCAATATACCTCTTTGCTCCATCCGGATTTTTGCTTACAACAACTGCACTCTCCCAATCGTCAATATTTTCCGTAATCCATCTTGCAATACTAGGCTCTGCGTATAAATTGTCAACAGGCTTGGTAAAGAAACCTTGAATCTGAGAAGCCTGGAACAATAAATACAGATATATATAAATATACAAAACAAAGAAATTACGTGGAGATCCATTGTAATAATATGATCTACTCCGGCAACAGTCAAAAGATTAGCAATCACTTAAAAAATTAGAAATAAACACTATAAGGCTCTTAAACACTTTTTGCTGTAATAGATCCTCTGTGTTTCCTCATCTTGCTTTGCTTAGAATAGGGGAAATATGGCATAACAGCTATTAATAATTAAATAAAGAAAAAATCGTATTTTGACCTATTTACCCGTAATTTTAGCTGCAGAAGCCCCTTTGCATGCAGAAATCATAATCAAAAGCTCCATCAAATGGTCATTAATCCTAATCATCTCTTTTAATCCTTCTTTTTACAAAAATACTTACGTATTGCTTCCTGATTGAATAATAAAAACATCTTCCATACGTACAGAACATGCTAATTAACATTAAAAATCATCTCAAGACTTCTTTATCCATTTCTAACCTATTTCTACTCTTGTTTCTTGATTAGAAAATTTTTTGAGACTAACTGGTGCTGGTAAAATCCCTAAATGATGTGTAATTGCTTCTACAAGTTCAGGATGGGATGACCCCCCAAAAATCTTTGTTCTTCTCATGAATAAGTGCCTTTCGGCTCTGATTTTGACCCTTTAAACAGCGTATTTGCTCTGATTTAAAGAAATCATTTTTTTACAATATTATGGTGCACCGTAAATCGGATACACTCACATCTTTACTTGAAATACCAAAGACTGATGATATATACTCAGATTGCAGTAAATGCATCTATAGAGGCATCCCTATGCACTAAAAGCTGAGTATATACGTGTTATATATATACTGTATGTGTATTGTATATGTATGCATTATAAATTATATATGTATTTGTAAGTTACATCTATATTATATCAGTATTTTATATGTATGTATATACGCGTTATATACGCATTGGATACATGTGTAATATATATACATTATATTTATAATGTATACACACTATATAGATCATATATGTATGTATGTGCACTTATATGCATGCAATATACGTATTTTTGTATAATATTATATATGTTGTGCACTATTAAGACAGTGCAATGTACATACAGAGTGAATTTACGCAGATACAGCCGAGTAGTTGATCATATAGCAAATATAATGCAAATAACACCTATATGCGCATATAAAACGCATATACTGTAGATAAAGAGTAGATATATACACGAATAATACATATATAGCACGTAGACATTATACATGGGACATTGTGTAATGCATATACACTGTGTATATATAGCGCATATATAGTGTACATGCAACGCAGATACACAGATAGCATGTGCTATATAAATAGATATACATAAACGTAGTCATCTATAGGTGTATATAAACATTTTAGACATTTATAGATATTTGTAGATACATATATGTATATATATGCTTGTATAAACGCATATACATCTAATAAGTATGTATAAATGCAGAGTGGATATAAAATATATATAGCTATATATGCGTATCTTATGTGCATAGACTATGTGTACAGAGTATGTAAAGCATATCAGTATTATATATACGCTGTCTATTGTATATATACAGCATGTATCTCCTATGCAGACAATACGAATTGCGTGTATATCGTATATACCATATACGTACAGTGTACATTATATATGTCTTATACGTATTATATGCGTATAGATACGTATATATACATAGTATATGCACATTATATATGCTGCATATACTCCACGTTTGTTTGCGTCTTCTCTTACAGACAATCCCAAAAAGCAGATTGCTGCCTTAATGAACGCCAATTTATCTACCACTGCTCCGTTCTTCTGTTTCCACTGTAAAACATATCAATGTCCACGCAAACAAAAGAGCGTCTTTTCAGCTGTTCAGTGGGTTTTTAAACAACTGTAATACCCAATTATAGTCAAGCAGCATAAACATTATTTGGTATTGCAGCTGTCTAAAATATATACAAAATACCTTAAATACAGCACGTATATAACTTTTCCAAGCCGCTTATATATTTAAGGAGGAAAAAATTGTATAATATTATGAGTATACAAAATACAGCAGAAGCACTGTATCAAGCAAGTATATGCACCAAAGTTGCAAATATACACCCAAATACAGCACTTTGTATATACAGAAATTTGTATATACACTAGAATATGTGCAAAGCGTGCAAATCAAGTACGATACCATTGTATATGCACGTATGCACTATACATATAGTATATACGTACTGTACACACTATATATACGTCATATATGCGTTATATATGCGTTATATATGCGTTATATATGCGTTATATATGCACTACATCTAGATACTATATGCATACTATATGCATATTATATGTACTCAACAGGTACAAGTCAAACATTATTGTCAGTTCTTTGGTTATCGGCGTAAAAGTTAGATTTTATCGAACGTCAAAAAAATATTGAAATAATAATATAGTAATAATGTGGTAAAAAAGGCGGGTTTTGAGGGAGCTTTGGGCCCTAAATGATCTCACTATTTAATGATTTACTACGGGAAAAGATCTGTTTCTTTAGGAGAGCTTTATCGCTATACAATAACATTAGATCCGTCATTTGATGATTTTCAAAAAAGATCTAATAAAAGAGCTTTTAAAAATCTATGGCTTAGAATAAGAAATACGACATCTGTAAGTGTTATTATTGTCTATATTTTTCTGATGCAATAGGAAGCATTTTCTCAGAGTGGCTTATTTTAACGGCCCATATACACTTTATGTTTCAGTTCGAGGTCTTGATTATTCACCATTTAAGTTGCCGTTGGACTTTATTCCCCAATATCGTCAAAATCTTAAAGCAGGTTCATCATTTTGGGTGGCTCTTCCTATTCCAGAGAGATGTTCAGATGATTCATTAAAGGCAGAACATTTGTCTAAAAAAAAGGGATGGATTGTAGATATTATTAGTCAGATTGTGTTCTCTCAGTCTGCTAATGTGCATTTTGAGATAGCATTATCAACCTCAATGCAGGACATATTTTGGGCAGGTTGTTTTGGTGTTACTGAGCTTAAAGATATACCGATAAAAGTATATGAACAAAATACGAGCCAGCTTTGGTCTGTACCAGAAGATTTGAGATTAGATGACTCTATTGAAAAACCATCAAAAAAAGATATTCACTTTGTTGTTTTAACGCATGGTCTTCATTCAAACGTAAATGCAGATATGTTTTACCTTAAAGAGCGGATTGAAGAGCAGGGACGGATATCAGGTGAAAACTTAGTTGTTTCTGGATATAATGGGAATGTTTGCAGGACGGATAAGGGCGTCGAATATCTTGGAAAACGTCTTGCAGAATGGGTTTTAAAAGAAGTTGGATGGTTTAGCAACAAAAGACCCTATTACCAAAAAATTTCATTTATTTCACATAGTCTTGGTGGATTAGTACAGCTTTACGCTATTGGGTGGATTTGGATACGTACAGAAGGAAAATTTTATGATCCTTCTTCTAATGGTCTTGTTCCTGTTAATTTCGTTACTCTTGCTTCTCCGTGGCTTGGATTATTTGCAGAAAATCCTATATATGTAACCAAGGCTTTAGAATATGGAATTGTTGGGAAAACAGGAAAAGACTTAGGTCTCTCTATGAAACATAATAAAACCAATCGTTTAAAACATAATAAAATCAGTCGCTTAAAACATAGTAAAACCAATCGCTTAACAAATCAGGCTATTCATTCGGATAATTCATTGCCTTTTTTAAGTACTTTGTCATCAGAAAAAAGTCCATCTAGAACAGCACTTAAGCTTTTTGAAAGGCGAACAGTGTATTCGAATATAATCAACGATGGTATCGTTCCATTAAGAACAAGTTCCTTATTTTTTCTTGATTGGAGAAATATTGACTGGTGTGAAAAAAAAAATCTTAATAAATATGAAAAAAATGTTTTATTACCAATTCAATCAGATAAATTAAATCAGTATCATTTTCATGAAGAGAAAAATAAAAATTTTATAAATACTAATTATCCATATCAAGCATTATCTACAGTATGTTCTAATGGATCTGTCGAAACAGATGCATCTAATTTTTCTCTAATGTTATCTCCAGTCGACGAATTACAGTTTTCAAATATCGATAAATATAAAAATAGTAAGCATTACAATATACCTTCAAATATATCTAAAAATATGGAATTCCAAAATGAGATAGAATATGAAACAAATATGCAATTTAATACAAATGATTTTTATCCTCCGAAATATAATAATTTTTTACCTATTTTAAAAACAGATACTAAACCGTTTCGTTCAAATTCTAAATCGTCGCATACCTCAATATATCATAGTTATGATTCTTCAAAGCTATTTAAAAATAAATCCGAATCGAATTCTTTAGAAACAAATAAATTAAAAACAAATTCATTTTCTTCTATAATTTCTTCATTTAAGACATATTTAAAGATCAAGCGCAATAAAGACTCTTTGAAAATAAAAAAGAACAAAAAAAGCGGAACTATCAATAGCACAAGTACTGATTATACTTATTTTTGCCATAAGATTAATCTTATTCCAAAAATGGGTTTTTTTCGAAGTGCACGCAATGTTTTAAGTTCACCTTTGCCAAAAAAAGAATACTTGATTAATCCTTGTCAGACAAAGACCATAATTCATGACCGATATTATTATCCTGAAGATATACCCAAGAAGTTTTATAAATTAGATTCCAAATTAGATGCATCCCAGCGTGGAAAGAATAGTTTAAAAAGAAATAAAGTATCTAAAGAGAAATTAATTCTTGAAGAAAAAATTGCTAGAGAATGGCATGCTGATATGATTTGGAGAAAAGTGTTGGTACATTTAGAACCAGATGCACACAATAATATAATTTGTAGAAGAATGTAAGAATTTCTATTTTATTATTAATCTTATATAACTTAGGTTTGTAAATGCATATGGATGGCCTGTTATAGAACATTTAGTATTAAATCATTTCTAAAAATATTAAAAATGAGCAATTTATTAATAATTAGAAATGTAAAATATTTTATATACTTTATTTATTTAACAATATTCAAATTAACAATTATATCTTCACAACTTTTTGATACAATTCTATACTATGAATCTTATAACTAAACATATTTTTATAAATAATTCTAAGATAGACCGACTAAAAACTAATAACAAAAAAAAGTTAATTTATCAATCATATATTTGTAAATATTAACAGTGAAAGACATTTAATTCACTAATGTAAATCCAAATAAATTTTATTTAAAACCTAAATTCTCTATTATATTAAATTTATAAATATATGCTAATAAGCTCCTAAATAGCCCATAACTTTTTATTCAAATTAAAAATGTTTCAAATTAACCATCCAAATATTTTTAATAGTTATATATTAGTCATCAAAAGAACAGCAAGATTTCCTTCGTTTTCACCCAAAATCATTACTTCATGATCACCAACCTGGCATAACCCCAAAGCTTCCATCCCTAATTTTACAACACTTTGTTGACTAATTACTTGATTATTATCAACATTCCAATACAAATATATATTCTGACTACTATATAAACCTTTTCTATAGGCACCTGATTCGACAATAATTGCAAATTTGTTAGTATAACTATATTCTAAATATTTTTTTGATATTTTTGAAGAAGAAATATATGACAAAGCAGGAAATGTAGCAGAATGTGTTAAATCCATCAAAGAATTCACATGAGAACTTCTTATATCATAAATTAATGTATCAACATTAGACCTTACAGGCAAAGTAAGAGCCTTATTCTTTTGATTTACAAATTGATTTCCAACCACATTCACGCCACTGACTTCAGCAATACATAAACCCTCTTTAAACTGCTGCAAGAAATAAATTTCAATGTCCTCATTATCTAAATCATATTCATCATTTGATTCAATTTTTGACATAATTAGCTTAGGCTTTAAAAGATCTTTTAGTACATTTATTCTATCTGATAAATTTTCTAATTCTAATGCATTATCCTCTTTTTCAAAAACACGTAACCATTTAAGACCAACAATGGTCTTTTTCATGGTGATTTCAAGAATTTTTTCCGAAAAAAAAGGAGTTTGTGAAAGATTCCATGTTGATTCTAATGGAAGGATTGTATCGTAAAATTTGTGATTCAATATATACTTGAGTTCTTCATACTTAGATGGCCCTTGCAACTGATTATCAAAAAAATTGATAAAAATATCCTGCTTAGTAATTGTTTCAGATAATGTTAAAAATAAAGAGACTTCTTCTGGTGTCTGAATCCATGTATAATGTATTTTATTATCAGACAAATAGGAAGAATCTTTCTTGTTTTTGAAATTATTTTGGATTCTATCATGAACACCTAAAATAATTGTTAAATTAGTTGATGTTTCCTGTAAAAACCGAGCAAAAATGGGTATCTCTTTTGAAAAAAATATATTCAAAATATGCAATGTCCATGAATTTTCAATTTTTTCACAAAGAATATCTTTTATAGAATACCTTACTGATCTTAAAGATGCTGCTTCTTTATTTCCATTTAAATGAGCAATCAAAATTTGTATTTTTATATCCGAATGAAAAATTGCATCTAAAATGATAAAAGGATGTGACTGAAGCTCGTCTGTAGAAAAGGCAATCATTTCTGTTTGCACTGAATTCTCTAATAGCTTGATAAAATATAATTTCCCTGCACCATCTGTAGCCAGTATAAAAGTTTCTGTTAAAACTTTTAAATCAGGAAAATATGAATAAATATCATCATAGCCTGTGCCTTTATATGAAAATGTTGGTATTTCAATGTTCGTAATAACTCTTTCCTGAAAAACAACATCACCCTAATCATTAATTTTTAAATAAAGAATTTATTATTTTTACTTCAGATTTTGCCCAAGAAAGCTCTACAAAAGCGCCATCCTGTGAAATAAAAATAGTAGAACACTCCCGAGTACCATTTTTTAAATGATTCCAACGTAAACGCACTCTCCATTCATGATATCCAACTTTTGCATGAGACGGTAAAGATAATTTTACAGGACAATGATTAATCTTCTGACGGTATAAACATGGTATTTCTTTATCACTTCTTAATTTATAAGATTCAAATTTAGGCCGTAAAAGTTCTGAATTTTTTTTAAGTTTAAGTATTGTACAATCTCCAATACTTTTGTTCATGGTTGTCCGTAGCAAAAGTAATCGTAAGATTTAAGTATTTAAAAAAATAACCAGTCAATTAATCGACAAATAAATATTCATTATAAAGACAAAGCATTTTCTTTAGAGTTCCAACAATGCTATTTATCTTTTCTAATTTTTTTATGATATAGAAATAAATATCTGCTATAAAATAAATTTGTTTTTTATATAAAAATTAAATTTCGTTAATATAAGTTGGTCCATTTTCATTATATTCGCCTCTTCCCATGTAGTTTTTTGAACTAGGATCGTTAAATGACAATTTAGCTACAATTTGTCCACCAAGAAAACAAGCTTCTTCCAGAATTGCATTGGGATTTCTATCTAATTTCCATTCTAGAAAAAAATCAGGTATTTTTGCAAGCCGGATTGTTGATGGGAAAATGATTGGCGGATTGTGATATACCAAATAGCTTGAATTTACATTTGATATCATCGTGTTGGAAGATGTATACGCTGATGTAGACATATTAGGATGCTTCATTGCTGTACTTTCAATGACAGAAATATATTTTTGAGTAATATCTGACAGAAGTTGTTCTTTAAATCCTATAAATCATTAATTACCCATGAAATCTTAGTCATAATGTATAACCTAAAATTCGAGATCCTTCACCAACAATAGCAATGTTCTCCCAAAGATCAGAACGTCGGTCTGGTTCAATGCTGACACTGTTTATCGCCATATAAATAGCATTCAAAATTCCCAACCTCCCTTCTTGAACATCATCTTCAAAAAAATTATCACATACTTCAAATCTTTCCTTTCCTATAAGAACAACTTGACTATTATCTAAAGTAAATTGGTTGTAAGTTAATTTTTTGTTTTCAAAAACATTATTTTCATTTTTTGATTTTCTATTCTGGTTTTTCTCCGCTTCTTTTTGAGCCAAATACTCTCTTGTTCTACCACTTACAACAATTGATGCTACATCTTCTACACCCTCCATACTACTATCTGGTGGAGGTAAGTTATCACTTGTTTTGTTTAAAAGTTTTTGAAAAGATTCTTGAGGTTTCTGTAAAATCACTTCAACGATATTTGAGCATTTAATTTTTTCCGCAAGTTCAAATGTTATTTCTTCAGAAGGAAGAGGCGTATTAGTTTCTTTCAAAATAGGAGGAGATGATAAAAGTAAAGCATGTAACCTCTCTGTTAAATTTTTTCCGCCAATAGGAATTGTTATCCTTGCTGATGTAACTGCTTGTGCATCCAACACAGGAGTAATATCTTAAAACGTCATATTTTTTCATGAAATATATATAATAAATACCCGTTTTTTCATAGCCCACATGAATAACAATTCCAGAAAGATGCCCCATTGCATACAAAGGGAAAACACTTGCATCTCCAATTGCAAACCCAGCAACTAAGTGATCTTCAAAAAATGTGCATGTTGCAAGTTCTTTATCACGCATATTCCATTGAGGAGGAACAATTAAATAAACAGGATTTATAGACGTTCTTGGCTGAGGAGGATATTGCCGATTCATCCTATTATATAAAATATAGTTCCTGAACTCATAAACAAAACGTATAAAAAACTAAACTGTTCTGACCAAATTGCTTTTAACGCTTCCCAGTCTTTTACAATCCCTTGTTTAATAGGCCATATAACTTCAACATCCTCCTTTGCTTCTAATGCTTTATCTAGATCTAATCCTACAAGATAGCTTTTTTTATTATTTTTATCAATAGTTTCATGGTTTTCTGCTTTCCGAATACCAACACGTGTAAATATTTTTATAGTTGGCGGTGTTAAAGACTCTGAGATCCCAAGAATTGCGCGTGTTCTATAAGACCCTATATGAATTACCTATTTATTATTAACGGACATCTTTTAATAAACAATAATTACTAACAATGATACTTTCATCTCGAAATGTTGTTAATGGCATAATTTAACGTAGAATTTAGAAATATTAATGTAGAATTGGATACTTAATGTGTTTACTTCTTAAAAAGAACATAATCAGTAAAAAAAGAACTTATTAATCATTTTTACTTAGTTTTTTTAATAATGAATATAGAATATTTCTTGATCGTTTTAAAATCAATAGGATAGATTTTATGATATAAAAGCTATTTTCAAAAAATATTAAAAATTAAACAAATAAGAAAAAAATCATTTAGAATTATATGAAAATACAACTCTAAAGCAGCTTAGTTAAATATAAATCCTTTATAAATAAAAACGAATCAGAGAAACGAAATAATTTAAAAATATTGACAGACATTATAAAAACTAAGGATAAATATATATTTTAGAATAGAATAGAATATTTATAATATATTTTATATTTTTTATAGATATTTAACAAAATATAAAATAACGTTACTCAAAATCTAATGACGTTTCCTGTTTAAGCCAAAGATGAAGGTTTAATATTTTAAAAATCAAACAAATTATTTTTTATTAACCTTATACTTTAAGACAATAAAGATAGATATAAATATTTGTGTAATGCTGAAAAATATATGTGCCATCTGAATTACCTAAAATCAGACAAAATCAATTTGTACGGGAAAATTTTTGATAAAATTTTCATTTTTATTTCAATATTGCAGACTTCTCATTCATTCGTTTAAATGCATCACCTTCTTCATAATCCTCGCGTATCTCAAACGCTTTTCTGAGCTTCTCTAATTCTCTGGCTTTTGCAGTTGCAAGTTCATGAACTTGGTAAGATTTAAGATTTTTAACATCTTTATATGTAACAATCTCATCTTTTTCCTGATCTAAAAGCTTTTTACGGTACTCGTCTACTTTTTTTTCAATATCCTCTTCACAAAGCTCTCCACTATCTTCAAGTTCGTCTCTATATTTAAACACTTTTATTTCAATTTTTCTTTTTCTATCATGTTCAAGAATATCTTTATCTGGTTTCTTAGAAACATGCCTTGTAGGTGTATAAGGCTTTATTGGCTCTCTTGCATGCTTAATATGAGATCTAGATTAACATCAAACTTATGACTTTTTAAAACAAATAATTTACAAATTTCTCATAATATAGCCATTTGTTCCAGAACCACGAGGTGTTGGAAGACCAATACTAGAAGATTTCATGAGTTTAAATCAAAACATGCCATATTTTATCCCAACGTACCCATTATAGCTCATTACTTTTATAAAATTAAAAAACTGTATTTAATGGATTTAAACCAGTACTTTAATTTTTTTTTTCTTAAAAACAAAATTAAAAATATGTATTTATAAAATTTTTGCTTTTATTTTCAATTTTAACTCTTATTTAAGACTTATTTATAATTTCTTATATTTTTAAAGAGTCAAGACTTAGGATTTAAATGGAGATTTATCGTTAAATTAAGAACCTTTAAAATATATTTTTAAATTATGTTAAAGAAAAAATTAAAATATTTTAGTAGAAAGAAGCAAAAATAAACAATTAATTTAAGAAATACTATTTATTTTTATTTTTTAGTTTTTTTTTTTTATTCTTTAAGCAGAAAAACATGGCTGATGACAAAAATACTATTCAAGATACAGAAGGTAAAAAGCAATGCTTTTTTTTCTTTTCAAATACAGCTAAATACTTTTAGATACATCTAGAATAAATAAGAAAAAGAAATATAGGAAGGAAAAGCCATGGGATTCAGAAGAAATTGATCATGTAGGTTTTTTGTATTTAGAAATGTCTTTTTTTAAAAATGAATTTTAGTGGAAAATTGAACCTTTTGTAGAAGATAAGAATGCACCTTCTTTTACAGATGAGTCTTCTTTTGCTACTCTTTTTCCTAAATATCGTGAAAAATATCTTCAAGAAATATGGCCTCATGTTACGCAAAATTTAAACAACTATGGGATATCATGTGTTCTTGATTTAATTGTGGGGAGTATGACAGTAAAAACAACAAGAAAAACAAAAGACCCGTGTTCTATTTTAAAGGCTAGAGATCTTATAAAACTACTTGCACGTAGTGTTCCTTTTCCTCAGGTTTTTTTTTTTATATTTTTATTCTTTATTTATTTTTAAGGCAATTAAAATTATGGATGATTCTATGGCCTGTGATATTATAAAAATTGGTGGGTTTCTACGAAATAAAGAAAGATTCATAAAACGAAGACAACGTATTTTAGGACCTAATGGTTCTACTTTAAAAGTAAATTTGACAAATAATATTTTATATGATTTATTATCTTATATAGGCATTGGAGCTGTTAACACAATGTTATATAATGGTACAAGGAAACACTGTTAGCGTTATGGGAAATTACAAAGGATTAAAAGAAGTACGAAAAATTGTAGAAGATTGCATGAAAAATATCCATCCAATATATCATATTAAGGTATATTTTTTAGACTTATTAATCTTCTTTTCTTTATTTTACTCATCTTTTACCTTCTATCTTATATTTTGTTTATTTTTCTATTTTTTATATCTTATTCATTTTTTATTTATATTTTACTTATCTTTTTATTTATATTTTATTTATATTTACTCATATTTTTAGGAGTTGATGATAAAGCGTGAACTTGCTAAAGATCCAGTGCTTAAGAATGAATCATGGGACAGGTTTCTACCTCATTTTAAAAAACGTAATGTTGCTCGAAGAAAGCCTAAGCAAATTAAAATAAAAGAATACACTCCATTTCCACCTCCTCAACAGCCAAGCAAAATTGATCTTCAAATTGAAAGTGGAGAGGTTTTTCAATGTATTCATTTATACTATTTATTAAAAATTTTTAGTATTTTATGTCTAAGCGTGCTAAGGAGAAAAAGAAACGTGAAGAAAATAAAGAAAAGCAAGCACGAATTTCTAAAGAAAGAAGCAAGGAGAGGCAAAAAGCTTTTGAGCCTCCAAAAGAACGTCCCTATCAAAAAACTAACCAATAGTATTTTTATTTATAAATAAGCAACTGTTTATTTATAGAAAAACACATGTTTATATCTAGAAATACGTAGTAATTCTGTTTATTGAGATATACAATTTTCTTAAATAATCTAAATAACTTTAGGGTTAAACCCTCGGACACTCAAATAGCTAAAGATTAAAATTTTATCTGATTTGCTATATTTAAGGTTGTAGGAAATATCATAAATTTATTAGGATATTTTCAGACTACTCTTAATACTTATAAGTATTAATGATTTCTAATTTTTTAGATTTACACTTTTTTGAATTATATTTCTCTATTTCTATCAATTTAAACTAAAAGAGAAACAATTCTTTTAATCTGATAATCTTTTAAATCATTTGTCTATAAATATTATAAAACTGTTATTATTTGAGTTCTAATATTTATTAGGCTATTATAAGAAAGCATAATTAACAAATTCTCATTTTCTTTTAATTTGTGTTTCATTCTTTACCCTCAATTTATTTTCAATTTTGATTTCTTTTTCAATTTAATAAAAAAAATGCAGAAATTTATCATTGGTTTTCTTTTTTCTTTAGATTCTGTCTTTGCTCGCTTTCCTATACATTTGCAAGTGCATTCGAATTTTTATTTTGCTAAGAAATTGCAAACACCTTCTGAACAGGTTTTGGAGCCGCATTTTCATGGAGATTCAGTATGCACTGATATACTTGAGAATAATAAATTCAGTCGTATGTGACCCTTTATTACTTATTTCTTTATAATGTTTTTGTGCAGCTGAATTGATCAAATGTCTCAAGCAAATTGCAAAAGATTCATATTGTGGAGGAAGTTATGATGCTAAATGCCTATGTGATTCGGACCACTTTGTTTTCTCTACTGGATATGTTAAAACTTATGCTGATTGCTTTCGAAAATTCACTTATGAGGAACACTATAACTTTTTTTCTTATTTTCAAGAACTTTGTTCAAAAACTACATCATTTAATAAGGAATGTTTAAAGCTTAATTCGCCACCGAAACCTATTCCGTGTCCAGATCCATATAGAGGCATGGACTGGGGTGGTAAGTATCCTCTTTCTATACAAAAATATGTTCATGTTTGTAGAAAATGTCCTTAATTGCCTTTTAAAGGAATTAGAAAGATCAAACTGTAAAAAACCTTATGATGCACATTGCCTTTGTGATTCCCAGTCTCATTGGCTCGGTGTTAATAAATGCCTTGCAACTGCTGAAATTAATAGACTGTTTATGGCTCAACATATTCGGAAATCACTTTGTCATGATCCATTGTCTTTATCTGGATGTTCAGGTATAGATAAGGAATCACAGCAATGCCCTGGTGTTTTTGAAGATGAAAAACTGGATGGTATATACACTAATTTTTGTGAATTCGTATTAATGAATTTAGGCAATCTTAAAATTTGTTTAGAAAATATTACTAAAAGTACATATTGTGGTGGAAGTGAAGATCCTGTTTGTTTATGTGACTCAAAATTTTTTGAAAAATCTACAAGTGATTTAAAAAATTATCCAAAGTGTTTTAGTGAACTGGATCATGAGATTCGCTTATCTTTTTTATCTTTTAAACACGATATTTGTCAGAACCCTAAATCGCCATCTAATTGTAAAATAAAAATAAAATCTTTTCATAGTAATACAGTCTTTTACGAGTTATATAAAGGTTTACAGCTTGATGGTATGTATTCTTATTTAGTTTCTTTTTTATTTATAAAATTAAGAAACTCTTAAAAAATGCATGTACAAAGCTGCAGTGGAGTCTTTTTGTAAAGCACCTTATAAAGCATTATGTCTTTGCGATTCAAAGTCTTATTGGGATGGAATTCAAAAATGTATTTCTCATTCTAATGCTGAAAAACATGAGTTAGTTAATAGTTATTTGAAATCTGTTTGTGAAAATCCTGATTCCGTTGCCGGTTCTATTAAAGAAGATCAATTATTGTCTACATGTAAAGACGTTTATGAGGGTAGCAAATTTAGTGGTATATATATATTTTTAATTGTACTTTTGGATTTATAAGTATAGATAAATTAAAACAGTGTTTACGAAAGATTGCAGAAGAAACACGTTGTGGAGGGAGCTATGATCCTGTGTGTCTTTGTGATTCTATTCATTATTTTGATTCAACAATGTACGTTAGTACATATGCTGACTGTTTTCTTCTGTTTACTGTTAATGAACATCTTGAATATAGCGATCATTATCGTTCTATGTGTAAAAATCCTCAGTTACCACATGCTCAGTGTATTGGACTTCGGAATCCTCCTCCTGTATTATATACATGTTCCGACATATTTAAAAAAATGAAACTTCCTGGTAAGCATATTTTTATTTTATATGACTTTTTTTATTTATATTATTCAGATTCTATCAAAGAATGCTTAAACAGAGCATTGAAAAAAGCACCGTGTGACCAGCCTTATGATTCATTATGTTTATGTGATTCGTTATCTTTTTGGAATGATATCAATACATGTATGATTACCTCGGATAGTGAAGAGTTTAAAGCGATAAGAGAGTTTCACTTTATTTTGTGTCAAAATCCTAAAACAATTCCTGGATGTGAAAGCGCTATTTCTGCTATATAAAAAAAGTTTTCCACATTAAAAAAATTGTTGACTTTAGTTAAAACCATTGTCATCTTCATTCCACAAGCTATTGTAATCAATTATTCTGAATATAGGAATAAAAACAACAGATTATTAATACAAACCTTGATTCCCTTAGGTATTTATATATCAAATATAATGGATTTGCAGAAAACAAAATTACATAATATAATATATTTGATTGTTGAAATAGTTAATTTTATTATAATACCATAGATTTAAATCATATATTTTATATTTACCTCATTTTCAATAAATAATTCTATTTATAAGTATTAGGTTTTAATATACTTTTTTGTTAAATAATTTGTCTTATTGAACATTGAATAAAATATCCTAAATAGTATTTTATATTATTGATTTTTTATTATATATATATTTATTAATGTTTTATATGAAAGAAATTAAAAAGTATTTTTAGATGATTTTTATATTTTATTATTAATTATTTATGTAATTTTGAATTAAAAAAATTTTAAATATTTTTAACTTTGTAAAATCAAAAAAATAAATTTATTTTTTTTTAAAAAATATTTTCAACTATTTTCAATTATAAATTCATATTTTTGTAGCAATAAATAATATAATATTTTTAATATTAAATATAACATTAATATAAAAATTGCAAACATCTCAGTATTAGTATTTATTTTAATCTTTAAAATGAAATCAATAGGAACAAAATGCACAATTTACAATAAGCATAATTATAATATATCCAATAAAATTAATCTTGTCTCTATTTATCTAAGCAATATAAAGATTTACAACATCTATAAATAGTCCTATAAGAGTAACATGATAAAAGCTTAAATAAAAATACAATAAAAATGTATTTTGCCTAAAATTTCCTAATAAACACATAAAATCATTTTTTCTACTTTTTTTACAAACATTGACTTTATACACTCACCTAATCATTTAATATATCCCTAAAATTTTAAAAATAAAAAAATTCTATTTTTCTAAAAACTATTCCTTTTTCCACAAAATACACATTCAAAAAATTATCTATATATACATATTTCTGTATTTTTATTTTTTTTAAAATCCTGCTTACTAATATCTTTTTATTAGTCAAATGATATACGAGATAACCTCAAAAAAAATATAAATTACACAAATTCCCCATTTTTCTTTTATTAAATACCAAAATCATGGAATCTATTTTAAAACAAGGAATGCGTGTATGGTAAGCAAAGTATTTTCTTTATAAAGTTCTATAAACTTATTTATTCAGCTGGTTTTTAAAAACAACATCACCCAGCACACTACGACATTTAAGCCAAAAAATAGAGAAAGGAGGGCTAACAGCGCTTCAAGCGTCTGCATATGGCTGCCCAGTTATGGGGAATATTCTCCGTTCTCTTGGAGCCCAGTCTTATGTATCAGGGACCTTTATTAATAATGCAAAGATGGACACACTTGAAAATATTCATGCAAAAGCAGGAGTTTTTGATACATCTTCTGGTACAAGAACAAGAATAGTAATTCCTGGTAGACTGAATAATTTGAAGGTCTTTGCCATCATGCAGAAGCGATCCGTACAGCATCATGTCAAATACTAGGAAACCACAAGTTTGATTATGAAGAATGGTGTTCTGAAGAGCTTAATAAAAAACGTAAAGACAACTCGTATCGTTACTTTAATAATATCAATCGGCTTGCAAAAGAAGCGCCATTTGCACATACAAATCACTCTGATAAACGGATTGCTGTATGGTGTTCAAACGATTATTTGAATATGAGTAGAAATAAAGCAGTGATTGATTCTATGCATCGTGTACTTAACATTTATGGTGCAGGTGCAGGTGGGACACGGAATATTGCAGGAAATAATCAGCATATTGAGCGTCTAGAAGCAACTATTGCAGATCTTCATGGAAAAGAGTCTTCTCTAGTTTTTAGCTCATGTTATGTTGCAAATGATGCTTGCATTTCTACTCTTGGCAGTAAGATGCCGAATTGCATTATATTTTCCGATGCTTCTAACCATGCATCAATAATACAAGGTATTTCTCATTCTCGTGCTCAAAAAATAATTTTTAAACACAATGATCTTGAGGATCTTGAATCTAAACTTAAATCTGTTCCTTTACATGTACCAAAGATTATCTGCTTTGAGTCTATATATTCTATGTGTGGATCAGTGGGGCCTATCAAGGAAATATGTGATCTTGCTAAGAGATATGGTGCTCTTACTTTCCTTGACGAGGTTCATGCAGTTGGGATGTATGGGAAATATGGTGGAGGTGTTGCTGAACATATTGGCCAAATGTCACGTGTTGATATTATTACTGGAACATTAGGCAAAGCTTATGGATGCGTTGGAGGATACATTGCATCATCTAAAAACATTGTCGATGCTGTCCGTTCTTTAGCACCAGGATTTATTTTTACAACATCCTTACCTCCTCATGTTGTGGAAGGTGCTCGTACTTCTATTGAATATCAAAAAAATACATCTGAGGACCGTATTCTTCAACAAATTCACACTCGACAAATTAAAAAAGCTCTTAAAGATGCAGGACTGCCTTTACTTCCTAATCCAAGTCATATTGTGCCTCTTATGGTAGGCGATGCTAAAATCTGTAAAGAAATATCAGACGAATTATTGCAGAAATACGATATATATATACAGTCTATTAATTACCCTACCGTCCCTGTTAGCACAGAACGTTTGCGAATTACTCCTACACCAGCACATACTTCTCAATTTCAAGAAAAACTTCTTTTTGCTTTGAAACAAATTTGGAAGGAGCGTTCCTTAAGAAAAATAGACGAATGGGACATGGAAGCTCTTGGCTCATTTACAAAAGAACTATGGACTGACGAAGAATTGAAACTGTATGACGTTAATAATATAATGAGCGATGTCACGTTTCCAAGACTAAAATATCAACAAATCAATGTCTGAGTAAAACGTTCTGCCATGCTAATTAGACATACTGGCTATTTATATTTTTGTATATGCAATATAGATATAATAACAATATAATTTAATTATATTAACAATATGATCAACTAGTAGTGCAATCATATTAATATACTTCCATTACTAACAATCGGTCTAAATTTTGACATTTACTGTAAAGTTTATATATATTTAACTCTTCAAATATATCCATTTTTTTCCAGAATTTCCCAAAATATCCTCTTGCATTCTACCTGCGCCTTTAATCTGCTACAAAGAAGAAACTGTCCACTTAGTTTTCTATGTAAAGAATATGTTTCTTCTGGCGGTGGTGTCAATCTTTGCTGTATCATCAATGGAATCGTTTTTTTTATCTTTTCTGTTATTGTTTGCTTTGAAAAGTCATATCTATCCTCTGAACTAATACGAAATGGTTCTGCTAAAGCCAAAACAGATTCTATATGTGCTTCTCGCATCGCCTATCATTAAAATAAACATCAATGCCCCTCTATATACCCATACCTTTGATTCGTCTCCTGTAAGATACCCCAATCTAATAGAAACCTCATAGCACTCTTCTCTATCACCTTTTGCCGCTGCTTTTAGTATTGATATATAGTCTCTAATAAATTCTTTATTAAATAACCGTGATGCACCAAAGTCCACAAGCCCAATCTGCCCATATTAATAAATAAATAATAAATATATAATGAATTGCGTCTTTTATTGCGCCAAATACCTTTTTTTGTGTCTCATCATACAGAAAGTTACTCCAGTTTGGATCTGTTTGCATGTATCTGAACTCTACAATTTCACGGAGACACAGTTGGAACAAAGACTCTGCAATCTGCCAGCAAATAAATAAAAAAATGGAAATATACAAAGAATTATTGTGCTATACCCAGTTCCTTTCTTTCTGTTCAATATTATCCATTTTTCTCATACTTTTGCCCTCCAGATGTTCCATTGTCAGCACTCGCTTGGTGCTTGCTTCTTTCACAACCTTAGGCACAACAAACCTTCCCTCACCCAATAGCTCCTTAAAACGTTGTATATTCTGTGCTTCTCGTTCATAATCACATTCCCAAGCCAGTTCTCTGCGTGCTACATCCAATGTCCGGTCAAGATACAGGCCCTTTGGAAGAAGACCTGATGCACTCAATAAAATGCTCATATTCTTTAGATCAGACTCAATAGATTTATGAATCCCAGGGTACTGGATCTTAACTGCCACTTTTTGACCTGTAGACCGCAGCACTGCCTCGTGAACCTGGCCAATTGACCCAGCTGCAACAGGTTTTTCGTTAAACTCAGAAAATAAGTCTCTCCATGCATAAGAAAACTCCTCATCCATAACCTGAACCATCTCATTTCTTGGCATACAATTTGCTGAGTCTTGCATTCTTGCTAGTGCCTCATGCACCCGTTCCAGTGCATCTGGTAGCGTACCAGTGATCAATCCGCTTTCTGCCAACCCTATACAATCAGAATCACAAACAAATAGTATAAAACAACATGCAACAAAACACAGACAGATGTCAATTGCTCCAAAACAGTTATAAATCACTGTGAACAACTTAAACAGCCCCCCCAATGGCTATTTTAGAGCAAATTCAACATAATTCTCCCAATATACACCCAAAACATGTCCAATACAGCTGTCCCTATAAATATCCAGTACATATATCCCAATGCAGTTATTCCATCATTTATACAACACCTATCCAAAATCCATCCAATGCCTATCCAGAACTTATCTAGTCCCTGAACAATTCCTACCTAGTGCCTACCCAACATAGCTATTCCAATATATTGTTCAATACGCTTTTCTTCTATAAACTCAATTGTTTTGGCACATTATTTCAGTACACATATTGTATTACATATATAATACATATGTATTATATATGTAATACGCTAGTAATATACTGTTCAAAGCTACTCCAATGTAATTAAATAAATCTATTTCAATATATTTGCTTCAATGTATTCATCCAGCATTGCATCCAGATATTCAACATACTCCAGTCCACCCGTTTAACATATCTGTCCAATACAACTACTCTCAAAACACTTATACACCCATTTGTTCCTAATTAACACTGATATTCAGACACTTCTCACTCTAATTATTCTGCACCACTGCCTCAGCACCAGTACTAGTATCACTCAATCTTGTTATTTCCTCCACATTAAAACAAATGTACCAAAATAGTTGCATAATACATATAATATTATTCCCCAACATAATCCTGACCCTGCTTTAAAACTACCTTGAAACTACATTATAACCTCTCAATATACCAAACAATTGTATATATTATATATCTATATATTATACATATATAATATAGATATAATATACAGATATACGCCCAATATATTTCTTTGTAATTTTTCAACAAACCTGTCAATATACCCATAAAACTGCTGTTCAAACTGCTGATCTGCTTGTTGCACTGCTCCAATGCCTCACCTACCCTGAAAACTGATCATTTGCCCTATCTTGAGCGCTGCTCCCCGCATCCGAGACAGCACCGCCACCACCCGTGCTATATTCGCCTCATTTACCACCATACCACCCTGTTTCCTCCCTGCCAACCGCCGTACGCCCTCTCCCACTGCTCCTATGCCCAGCCCAAGCGCCAATCCCCCATACTCATACAGCCGTGCAAGCCTCCCTGCCGGAACCCGTGCAGGCTGCAGCTCTGCACCAGAATTGCTGCCAATTGCACTGCCAGCTGCACGTTGTGCACCGTTTGACGTAGAATATCTACGTATACTGCCATACACTCCTGCAACACACTGCCCGCGGTGCATCTGAGCGCACAGCCCGCGTGCACCCGCATCATCATACTCGACACACTGTATACAGTCTTTGCTGCGCTCCGGCGCAACGTGCAGCGCCTGCAGCATGGGCATGGTACAGACAATGCATCATTTAAGCCTGAAAGCCCGCTTTCACTCCGCACTGGCTGCAGACCGCGGTATCCAAAGGCTGCTGGCAGACATCGGTTCCGTGAAGCAAGAAGCAAAACAGCACGGCTGGTGCAAGTGCTGCAGCTGTGTCTGCCATGTCTGCCGTCGGTAGAAGTGCGTCAAAGGCACAGCACAAGACCAGAAGCATGGCAGATGGAAATTGCAGCAGAACAAAAGCAGCCTGCACGGATACACAATTATGTATCAATGGGGAGTTTGTGGGTGGCAAATGGAAGAAATATTGAGCTATCAGGTACGTACAAAGGGCAAACAAGCAAATACGAGCGTACAGAGTGGATCAGTGAGCGGTTGCGGCGGGAAACGCAAGAACGGCTTATATGTGAACTACGGCGCCCAATTGCATGGCGTGACAGAGCAGGGCTTATCTGTGTATTCAGTATAGAGCAGACAAGGTGTTTTGTGCAGGCAGAAAGAAAAAATGAAGGCTTTAAAAGCAGCAATCAACGTAGCCTTATGCACAGCGTTGTGCACAACGTTATCGGTAAGCAAAATTTGTGTGGGGTAATGCGGGGTAATGTGGGGTAATTATATGATAGGCACGATAAAAGATAAATTAAGAAGTAATAAAAAAAATAAGAAAAATAAGATTAGAAATAAAGTAGAAAGAAGGGAAATAGGAAGAATTGGAGGGACGGGGAAGTTGGTTAAGATTGAGGGGAGTATCCGTGGAAGGGTGCGTGAGTGGCCAGCAGAGTGTAGTTTTACAGCAGAGCTAGTGGAGTGTTTTCCAGCGGGGAGTGAGTGCCCAGCAGCACAGCGTGTAGAGCGGCTTATTCATATTGAGCTTGAGCGTTTTGCATGCACGGCACAGCCGTGTATGCCATGTGGGATTGCACACAGGGAGTGGTTCTATGTGCCGAGTGCAGCAGCCTGGAAGGAAGTATGCCAGACGATTGAAAAGTGGGTGGCATTTTCGTTTGTTGCATATGGGGCGTCATAGCGTTGTATTTGTGTATATTTTATGTATTATTTGTATATTGAAGATGTGTGTCAGGGCTGGATGGGAAGAGAAGCCAATGCAGAGATATGTAGAAAGCTCTTTAGAAATGCTAAAGGATAGCTTAGTGTTGTTAGAAAGTGCTATTAAAAATATATAGGAATCAAATATGATTTGACTCGCTTTCTCTGCTTTAGTGTCGCTACTGACGCTAAGTCAGTGATAATTGAAGCTAGATAAAACAAGGATTTACAAATGGAATATAGATAAGCAAGGAAAATTGTTTTTCGTTTTATTTAAAAGTATATAATCCTAAATATTAAGATATATAATTCAGTATAAAATGTATAAAATGTATGAAATTTATATAAATAGCTAAGCATATTTGCTGGAATAAGAAAGAAATGATTGGAAAAACAGCTAGCGAAAGTATTTATTTGATTTCCATTCGGAATTTTCCCTAAAAATATTAAGCGTACTAGGGTTCTCTAAAAGAATTCTTTTTTTAGATTTTGGTTGCAAAGTAAACTTCCTTTTGTCTTTTTTCAAAATATCATTTTCTTTCTGAATAGAATTAAAGCTAATATTTATTTCTTGTTCTTTAAGTATATTTGGAAAAAAGCTAGTTGGCTGTATATTAGATTCTATTTCAAATAAATTACTTTTTGTCGGTAACCCAATAGGTTTCTTTTCTGAAACACAACATGGTTTTCCATCCCAATTGGCTAAAACCTTTTCATTATAAACTTTTTCTAAAATAACACGATGACGAGATATCCAAATATGATTCAGGGCATCATCGACAGTAAATCGATCTGCAGGTTTTTTGCGAAGAAGTCCTGAAATGAAATCTTTAGCTACACTTATTTAGAAAATATTATTTCATAGAAAAGATATTACCTTCAATACTTACATTGAACCAAGAATCTCCAGAAAAATCAAATTCTCCTTTCTGGACTTTACGCATGATCTCTTTCTCTGTTGCTTCTCCGTTATCAAAAGGATTATAGCCTAAAATATTAAAATATTATATGTAGAAAATAATCGTAATCAAACCCCCTAAGAGTGCATACATTATAACTCCAAGACTCCATAAATCAATCTTAATAATAATTAAAATAAAAAAATAATCACGAGGAAAAATACTTCTTTTCCATAACCTTTAATACTCTCGCAATTATCATTTCGGGCTGCACAAGAATGTATTTCTGGCGCAAGATAAGAAGGCGTACCGACAAATGTTTTCATTCGAGAAAAAGCCCCAAGTTGCTGTGCAACACCAAAATCCGTTAAAACGATACGAAATCCACCAGAAATCGATGTCCCAATTATCAAAATATTTTCAGGCTAGTTATTTTAACATATATACTTATAATATACTTGTTAAAAATACATACTTTTAAATCACGATGAATTACATTTTGAGAATGAAGATATTGAATTGCTTTAAGCATTTGTAAAACTATAAACATACAGTCAGTTTCCTTAAGTTGCCCATATTTAACACATAATCCATATAAATCCCCGCCATGTATTCTGAAATAATGAGATTTTACCATGAAAACTACTTAATATAAGACTTACAATTCTTCAAAAATAAAACTAAAGAAACGTTAGAAAAAATATAATACAATCTTTGTATACAAATTTCTTTCTGTTTCTACTTCATGAAATACTCGAATTACATTAGGCTGAATGTTTTAAAAATATATATAAAAAAAGAAAATATACATGCGAAAGATTCTTTAAAATTTGTGCTTCGTGAAGATATTTTGATCCATTAAATTTAGTAGAAACTTTTGATATAATTTTACATGCCACTTGTTTTCCCGTCGATTTCTCAACCGCCATATAAATCTTAAGAATACTTAATTCGTTCTTTATGCAATTATTTACCCCTTTACCTCTGAAAACCCTCCTAACCCAAGAAGCCGCGGTGTAATCTCATATTTGTCTCGAAACACCTTTGTTCATCAGACATGTCCTTAATACTTATTCTTCGCATATGCATTGCCTATGCTAGCCATATATAAAATAGATACTACATATATACCATATATACACAATATAGCATTTATATAGCGTCTATATGACATATATAGAGAGCATATATGTATACATCCTTCAAATTTCTATATACATGTATTATACATGTATTATACGTATTATACAGCAAATGTAAAAAAATGCATGCATAATGCGAAAAATACAAGAAAACCTCTTTGTCACAATCAATTCTCTTGAAAATATCCGTCAATGCATGTTCCTGTTGAAAAATAAATGATGCACAATGTCGAATGCTAGTCATCATAAGAAATATCAGAAATATCAACACTCATACTCCAGTTTGTCCCCATTGCTCAGCAAAACAATACGGTTCCTCCCAATCTTTCTTCCATTATGATATGTCCCATTAAGACTCAAATCCTCGCAGTAACACAGCTGATCAGTTTCCTGGATCTGATCAAACCCACGTTCTACTGAAACCTCGTGAATATCAGCCAGTTGGCACATATAATCTCCATTTAAAAAAAATACCGTATATATGCGAAAATGATAGTTACTTGCCATCTTTTGCTCCAAAACTACATCACTATACATATAAATGCGTACTTAAAATACTATTTTCATCTACCAACGCTCATGACGGCCTATCCAGACATCTTTGTTGGCATAAATAGAGACAACTGTGTGCATATATTTGTAAGAAAATGCTTAAAACAGTGCATATAATGCAAAAAACCTTGATCTTTTTCAATTCCTTGAAATAACAAGATTGCACAGCGTCCTTTTCGAAAACGCCGCTCTCCAACTGATGCATTTTGTGGCATTATTTCTAAATTTCCAAGAATCTGTGTTGCACAGGTATATACTCGTTTTGCGGAGTCATTTCGTGTCATTTGCATGGGATCGAGTAGAATCAGCGATAGTAAAATATAGTGGGTTTTATCGTCGTAGAGGGGTCGACGACAAAAAAAAAGAGGCAAAAAAAAGAAGAAAAATCAGAGCTTTTTGAGGGAAAAAAGAGGGAGAAAACGGCCTTAAATGTCACTTTTTGACACGTTCTGTAAGATGGAGTTTTTTTGAATTTAAACGAAGAAAAACTGACGATTTTACAGTGCAACTTCCTTTAAGAATCAATAAAGGCCAAGTTCTTTCAGATCAGGAGGATCTGAAGGAGGAACTGAGTTCATTGTATGTTTTTTGGCGTTTTTTAACGGTTCTTATGTGTTTTTCAGTAACAATTTGGTTAAAGCAATTGCAACCAATCAGTGTCCAGAGGATATACCATCACCGCCGGGTGATGTGCATCCTAAGCGATCTATCCACATTAATAGATTAAAAGAGTCAGGAATTGAGTGTTATCGGAAGAAGAATTATGAAGATGCAGTTAAACTTTATACTCTTGCTATAGAAATGGCATCTGGACGGCCACACTGGGAACCAGTGGCTCTTAGTAGGGATGAGTTAGCAACGGCGTTTTATCAGCGCAGCATAGCGTATATTGCATCAAAACAATGGGGAAAAGCATTTGTAGATGCATCGACAGTTGTTGGAATCCGAAAAGCATGGAGCAAAGGGCATCTTTGTAAATCAAAAGTGTTTCAGGGTATGGGAATGTTAGATAAAGCAAAGGAATCACTTGAATTGGGATTAAGTTTTGAACCTAGAAATGATGAACTATTGACTGCTCTTAAGGAGTTGAACAAACAACTAGGAAAGCATTTTTGAATTATGTAAAAAGACTCATTACAAAAACACAATCATCTAGATTAAATATTTGTCATATAAAAAATGCATTACTTTTATCTTAGTCTTCTCCGTTTTTTTGTCACAACCTCAAGGGGCAATGTAAGAACCGCCCTTTTATATGTCTTGGCTTCTGCTTTTGAAAGATTCAAAGAGATTCGCTGTGCCTCTGTACATCCCTGGATCTTACATCCTAGTATTTTAAACAACTCTTTGCATCTTTTTCTTAATTAGAAATCCATTAATAGTAAAAAATAGTATATACTTTTGCGTACTAAGTGAAAGATCTTGTGCTAAAAGATTCATATCAACAGAAAACTCATCAATTATTAAACATAATGCAAATAAGTAACATAAAATCTTATCAATTCCATACGATGTAATAACCGGACTAGTATATTAATAAACATAGATATCCCCTTCTTTCCAAATACTTACACAATTATCTCATGATTTATTCCTGAGCGACTGGGCTCTGAAAATCGCGTAATAAGATGATCCACTAAAATCTCTGGCGGATCCCCCAATTTTTTTATCAATAAGTCTTTCTTTGATACCAATTGATAGTTTGTATAAAATGCCATCAACAATGATGCATAATAAAGCAATTTTATCCGACGTTTATTTTTCTTCCCATCTACTAATGCCTTCCCAAGACGATCATTAATATACCGAGAATTTCTATAGACAATATTAGCCTTATTCCCCGTAATTATAAGTGTCTTCCTTGAATGGAAGATATGTTACACGGCTTCTTTCATCTGGCGCTCGAAGTAATAATTTAACATGAATTACTGATAATTCTTCTGCAGAAACAATATCTGATAATGAATAAACCTCTTCAACATTTGTTGTTTGTATATTTTGTGGAGGAACAGGTAAATCTCCATTCTCCAATCCCTTCTTTGCTTCTCCATATATATTTTCCTCCTCTATTGCCCCTATACTACTTCCTTTTGCATGTTCCACTGCTTCCTTGACCTGTTCAACAACTGCTGCACCCACTTGCACGCTTAATTGTGCATTAGCTGCCTGTAATGCTCTATTTTGTATGATTTTCTGCATACGTTTGGATCCAAACGCTTGTCCTAGTGCAACCTTTTCATCTATTGTGCTGTCATGAAAATCTCTCGACTAAATGCGTCATTGAGCTCTTATTTATTGTGTTAAAACATGCATATTTACCTCTGCGTTTTCCTTTTTCTCTTCAATATCCTTCTTTTTAATATCGTCATCCCCGTGAACCCTCTTTTCAACACTACACTCAAGCCGTACTAAAGACACAGGCAATAGAGATATTTCATCTTTTTCTGCATCAATAATGCCCAATGCATGTCTGCAAACAGTGTAAGTATTAGGAGAGATAAAAGGTGTAAAAAACGCCAAAAAACATAAAAAAGCACATAAAAGCATAAAAAAACACAGGAAAATCCACAAAAAACATATATTTTAATGCTATGTTCTGGCTATTCCAGCAAATTCTCAGTGCACCATCTCTAATGGTATTCAGTAAAAATGCATTGACTTACGTGTAAAATGCACTAGAAAACAAAGGTTTGGCGGTATAATTAATAGAACCAACTGTACTATGCAGATATTGAGGTGCTGAAGAAGCTGTAAACCCATTGGTAGGAGATTTGTCGCAAGTAAAGGTAAAAATCGAGTCTGAATGTGGAGAAAAACCAGAAGATACATCTTAGACAGGATTAAAGGGAGAAAAGCGGAATATATGCATGTATCTTACACATAATGGCGTTCTCAGCAAGAAGACGCACTTTTTTTGTGACCCGTTCACCATCCATCTGAAGAAATGTGTTTTAGAGAATCTGAGACACAACGACAATATACAGGGCAAAAACGGCAAATATGAAGCGCATATAATACATATAAACCAGAAAAAAGAGTATCTTAAGCAATGTCACTTTTCTTAGGAGTCAATATAGAGATAGAAACAATAGGAAACAACAAAGAGGTGTAGCAAAGCATATATAACATATATAGCACGTATATCGGATGTATACTACATATATGTTGTATATAACTCTGTATAACTATGTATATGCTATGCATATGCCGTTTGCATGCTATATCCAATTATAAATTACAGCACAGGTCAAGTTCTGAGTGTATGTATTAGTTTAATTTTTTATTTATACAACAGATTACATGATTCTGAAAGGTAAAGACATTCTAAAGAAAAATTGAGCAAGAAAATAGTCCTATTTTATACAAAAACAAAATATGAACCGTTCATTCTAAAATATCTTTAATAACAATAGAATACTAAGATTTAATGTTAAATCTTAAAGATATCTAAATTTTCAGAATCTAATAGGAGTAAAGAACCATCTATTTTTCCCGGACTATGATATAAGTATATTTCAAATATAAAAACTCTAGATTTACCATATAACGCTCTTCAAACTGCTTTTTAATAATTTTCCTAGCTTCATCGCGTTGAGAAGGTTCTTTGAATTTTTCAGGAGTCAAAAGGGTCCTCAAATTGTCTAAATCCAATGTATACCGTGTAACCATAATGTGATTATAGTTTATAAGCTTAACAAAAGGCTTTATTTTTGACCGTTTGGCAATTTTCTTGTGAGACATTTTTTTAGTCACTTTCAAAGGATACCGATCAATGCCTGCAACCAATGCATGGCCAAATGGACAGAGTTTGGACCCACCATCAAAATACTGAATAATAACAGCTTTCCGTCCAGCTATTATTTAGTATTAACATATTTTTATCAGTAAAGATTGGATTATACCAAATCGACCTCGAAGGATCAAAACTACTCTTCCCGACTTGATGACTAAATAACATACTGTTAGCTCACAACGTTTTACGAATTCTAACTAAAATAATGTGTTTCAAATAAACGTTATAACAATTTTTTCTTTATATCTTTATTTTTTCTTATTTCTTCACAGAAAAAAATACTTGAATTCTTCCCCAAAAACAACATATTTAAGAAGTACAAAAACACTGATTTACTTACATTTAGCCATATTTAATTTTTCTTTTTTAATTTTTTATAGTTTATCGAAAAAATTCAGATAATTCGAAATATAGACATATACCTAACCCCGTGTATATTAGGGTTAGTCCTATGAAAATTAAGGTTAGGTCTGAATCATAAAAAGGGTTCGATAGAGAGCCTTATGTTGATAATCGCAGTTATATTTAAAATTTAAACAAAAGATAGACAAAATAATTATTTTGGAACGAAGAAGCGCAAAAAATTAATTTTAATATTAGTTGTTTGAGTATTTGTAATTTTTATTGGAATTGAAGCTTTTTTAAGCAAAAATATTAAAATTAGTGTTTTTTGCAAAAAATAACAATTAAAAGATTTTAAAAAAATCGAAAATACCTAAGGATATTTGAAAATATTCAAGAGAATTTTAAAATAAACTCTGTATTTTTAAGATTCACACGGTTTCTTTTTTACAACATATTTTTTTAGTTCAAAATAACGAATCAAAACAAATTAATATTTCAAATTTTATATAATTATTTAAGTTCTAGACTAAAAGAAGATTAAGAAGAGTATAATTTGCTTTAAAATGACACCCCGAACTGAACAGAATGGATCACCTCTTATGTAAGTGTTTTTTTAGGTAAAAAGTTACTAAAATGTATTCTATATAGATGGGATAGTTCAGATCCATTACGACGACCACCTCCTTTGCCAATGCCTGAAGAATTAGCGTTAAGCCATGTTGATTCTTCTGGAAAATTGTTTAGAACACAGTCTACATCATCTCATTTATGTCGACAAATAAATACGAAATCGCCTCAATTGTCTCGGATAAGTATCGATGAGAAAACAATAGATATAGTCAGCAATATTTCGGAAACGACAAAGACTATTGTGGAAGATCTCCATTTTCTTATTGATAGAAGCAAAGACAATGCCTCTACATTAATTGACTTGAAAAAGAGTGTTATCAACGCAACAACGTATGATCAAAAGATTATCGATGAAATACAGAATATGATTACATCTCAACTGCAGATTATTAGTAGAAAAGACGAATATCAGCTACTTCAAGAAAAATTGGACAAGATTACCCAAATCCTAAATACTAATACTTCCCCTGATGCACATACGCAAATGTTGAGTAATATAAATAAGAGACTTGAAGCAATTGAGATAACCCAAAATGAAGTTCTTTCTCAAAAAATAGAGACTAATAATTTGATATCTTCTTATGAAATATCAAAACAAGCAAATCTTGTGGAAATAGAAGATATTTGTCGTCGCAAACTTGAAGTATCAACAGAATTAGCACGACTTGATGCCCATGTTTCTCATAAGAAGAGCATGTTAAATCAATTAGAAGAGCGTATGAAGATGCTAGAAAATCGCTTAGTAGAAATTCAGTTAAAACTCAATAAACAAAAGGATGAGAAACAAAAAGATGAGAATAGAAAATTAAACAAACCCATTGTAATCAAACCTTTTCTCAATTAATATATACTAATGTTTATAGAAAAAAAAGGCGCTTTATCCTAAAGTTCCTACTACGCCTCAAAATATTCGTCATTTTTCTCTTTCAGACATTCACAACAGAAATCCATCAGTTGTTGCACTTGCACCTTCTACAACTATGGACAAATCGCCGTGTAATACTGATAACCTTACGGTTTATGAAAAAGAAAAACGAAAAACTTCATGGAGCAGAAAGGTTGCAAATGTAATGGGATTTCCATTTCAACATAATAATAAAGAAAATTCAGCTGTGTATCTACAAAGTAATGAAAAGCCAATTGTTCAGGAAAAACGAAGAAATTATCCTATTAATTTCGGTGTTAAAAGTACAAAAGCTTTTAGAAGTTTTAGTACAAGAGTATAATAAATATTTGACAAGAAATATGGACTAATATGAGAAAAACGAGTAGATATAACCTACTATTTTTAAATGAGTTTAATAATTAAGTGTAAGAGATTATTAATTTAATGTATTTTTAATTGCTTTTTTGTTATACAATGAGATTTTTGTTACAACTAGCAAATAGAATAGATAGCTTCTTTATATTAAAATGTACGTTATGACTCCAAAGTATATGGATGGTCTTATCTTTATGATGCTGTATCTTTAAATGTTTCCGAGGACTTGTTTTTGGTTGATTCAGTATTTTGTATTTCATTATCAGATTTTGTATTATCAGAAGTTTTTGTTTGTTGATTTTCATTATTACTATTATTAACTTTTTTGTTTAACATATCCATGAAATCAGATGGTATTACTGGTACAAAATATTTTTGCTTTTTCTTATTAACTTCAATAACCTTAGTGCCATAATTAACTAAAAGATCTATATTTGTAGGGAGAGTAAATGGAAGCATCAATGTAGCATCCATAAGAAGATTTGAACATCCAGGTTTTTCTTTGTTTAAAAAGGATCTAGGGGTACTCGATGCATCTATAGTTTTGTTTTTGATTTTTTTCAAAGACTCTCTTCGGGCATTCGTATTTTTCGTTACTTGTTGAGAAAGATATCGTACAATCTCCTTCCCTATTTTATTTTCATCTACTTCTAATCGATAATTTTTAACCACATATAATAATTGGGCAGATGTTAATAAATCTAAAGCCCCTATAGTTGTTTCGATATTTTGAATACTATTTAATGAAGTGATGCATTGAAGCCATTGAAGTAATTGTATTAAAGGGGCCATATGATTCTTTAGACAGTCATACATACTGAAAGATTTGTATTCTAATCTTGAAGACCTTGTATTAATCCCATTTTCAAATTGATAACTGTTCACTCTAGTCCAATCCTCAATAACTGAAATATTAAGACGAATATCCATAGCTTTGGTACGAGAAAGACACGCTTTTTTCATAATAATGCGATTAAAAAGCTCCATGCTTAGCCAATAAAATATTTGACTAATAGCCTGTTTAAAAATAACAGGGTGGACATTATACACGTCAAGGATAAAAAATATAGACGAAAGAAGAATCGTAATCAATAAAGGAGATGGTGTAGCATGTTTTTCGTGCAAAAAGTAAGAATTCGCAGCGTCCTTTTTCTTTTGTCGGCGAAAGATACGCCACTCATTTTCAAACGTCACATTCTCATGTGCGGAAATTGTTTCATAATCAATAATAGAATCATCTAAATGTTTTTCAATACGCGTCTTACTTTCTTGTATAAAAGACAAGTAAATCTCATGAATAAGCTCGGTTAATTGTAACTGAAAATCAATCACTGCTACTAAAAGACCTGGGTCTTTCTTAACATAATATAAAAGAAGTGTACAATTCGAAATCCAAAATGCTAAAATCGCCATATCATCTGATTTATGTTTCATAAGTCCCTGAACACGTTCCAACGTACCGTACAACAATTTGTTAAGCATGTCATTCGTCCCATAATAATGGGCAAACCGTATCGAGAGAAAAATCACATCTGCTGGAAAAACCTTCTGATCTACCGACCTCAATGGCTCAAAATCAGTAATTACCATATCCAAAATACACGGAATATGGTCCTCTGAAAAAACATACATTTGCTCAGGCAAACACTTATTCCATACAAAATCATCTTCTATTAATCCTCGTTCACCTTGTTCTATTCCTAAACCCCCTTCTAAACCCTCTTCTAAGCCAAAACTTGCAAGATCCATTTCTATTCCAAGTGATGACTCCATATCCATCCTTCGTTGCAGCTCACACTCTTCCATATGTGCCTCAAACTGTTCTACACTGCCTTCATTATACCAATCGTGGTTTCCTGTATCCGATGTGCTATGAACTGCTGATGGCTCTATTGTTGATACATCTATATTGTCAAGAGACGCTCCATGTGCTAGTAACAGCTTTACAATATTACTATGATGATTGTTCATTGCCCACATCAAAGGCGACCATTTTACTACAATAAATTAGTTAGAATAAGGCTTTCAAGTGCCCAAAAAGCGGTGTATAAAGCACAAATTTTGTCTATCTTGTGGATTTAAGTAGATATATCATTAAAATGCGTATGCTACACACACTGTGCAGATATACTGAATGTATACTGTGTATATATGTATACAACATGTATATAGTTCACACAACGCACACATTATGTATATACAACACATATTGCATGTATATACAGCACATATAGTGCATACACTGTACATACAGTGTGTATATACTAGATACATAGTGTATACAGTGCATACAGTGTATATAGTAATATATAGCGTATACAGTATATAGAGTGCATACGGTATGTATATAATACGTAGAATACATATTATATGTAATATACAGTGTATATATAACGTGTAGTACATACACTCTACACTGTATATATATACCATACATATATATCGTACACTACACATCATACACTATATGTCTATACTGTGTTGTATAGCATACATTATGTATATATCATATATATAGCGCATACTACACACACTCCGTATATATCGTACGTATAGTGCATATATAACGCATACATAACGCATACACTGTATATACAACACATATATACGCATATATAATACATATACATAGCATACATATAGCATATGCATACACTACGTATACTGTGCATACAATACGCATACAATACGCATATACAACGCGTACACCATGTATATCTTGCATATATGCTGTGTATACATTCCGTATACACTATTCCTGGCTTAGTACCGCTAATTCACTACTACCTTTGTCCTGAACATGAATATCTGCGCCCGCCTCCAGCAGCGCCTCTACCACGCTCTGGTGTCCATAACATGCTGCAAAAATAATTGCTGTTCCTCCACTCTCATCTCTCCCATCCAAATCAATATATTCACGCGCCTTTCCGTGTAACATTGACTCTATACGCTCAACATCTCCATGACTTGCTGCACGGATAAATGCACTCTGTAGAATCCCACGTTTTTCCTCCTCTGTAAGGAATTCTTCTGCCAATACTGAAGCATCTTCATTTTTTGTACTTTTTGCTGCTGTTGGAAGCACTGTTTCACATTCTGATCCTTTCTTGCCTGTCCATGGATCAACCCATGGCCATTCACGGCCATCTGCACAATCTACAGGTTGATATTCAAGAGAATGAATACTGTCGGTGTCGGTGACAAAACGGTCAAGAGGCACAGTGCCGCATGTACTACTGTGTGCACTGCTATTGGCACTGTTTTGCACATCATCTGAGTGCGTATCATTCATTGCACTGTGCTCAATGCTGCTAGAAAGCGGCTCAGACTCCGAATGCTAGAGCGGGTACTCGTGTGTACCGATGGGAAAAGGCGGAGTACGCGTATATATGGTATACACCGTGTATAAGCAAATGATGCAAAGTGTTTTATATGCACTGCATATACTCTGTATGTACTGTATACCTATTGCATGTGTTCTATAAAGTGAGTATATGCGTCATATATACTGCTATATATAATATATATCAATATATACTATATATACAATAGTATATACTATTGTATATATAGTATACATAGCAGTATATATAACAGTATATATAGCGTATGCAGTATGCTATGTCTATGTGTTGCAAGTATATGCACTATGCATACACCATGTATACAGTATATGTACTCTATATGTCCTCTATGCCTTTGTATGCACTAGAGTGCACTGTATATACAGCAAAAAGTGCACAGTGTATGTGTATGCAGTATATATACTACGTATTCTGTGTATGCTGTATGCAGTGTATGTACAGTGTATACGCTGCATATGCTATATATGTTATACACATTATATATACATTAGACACAATATATGCTGTGTATGATGTATATGCTTGTTATCTATACTATATGCACTGAGCCGTAGCAATTCTGCATGTAGTATACATAAGCACACACTTGCAACACAGTATGTATACTAGTGACAACGTATATAGTATAATATGTATAGTATATATAGCACAGTATACTCTGTATCTACAGTCAGTATGTATAGACAATACATATAGTGTATACAGCATACATTATGTATATATATTCTAGACATAGTATACTGATATATGCATTGTATATGCAGCATATATATATACATTAAATACACACTAAACATACACTAAATACACACAAAATACACACAAAATACATAGCTTATTACTCAGCCACTCTTTATTTAGACACTATTTACATTTGCTTTATTGCTACATATTCCACACTCAGCGTCCTTCGCTGCTGAACTTTCGCTCGCTGTCTCCGAAGAAAAATGAGCAGAGCGCTTCTCCATGGCAGACGATGGGCAACTGCATCCGCACTGCTGGAGAAAGTGCAAATCAGCAATTGGGAACCAGTAAGTAAGACTACAAATATACATATTTAACCTATTTTTAGGAACGGTTTATCCGTTATTCTCGGATAGAGGAAAACATTGAGATTGTAAGAAAAAGATTAAAACGGCCGCTCACATATGCGGAAAAAGTAGTATATGGGCATTTAGATGATCCATATGAACAAGCCATTGAACGGGGAAAGACATATCTACGGCTACGGCCAGACCGTGTAGCATGCCAAGATGCAACAGCACAAATGACGATTTTGCAGTTTATGAGCTCAGGAATCCCAGATGTAGCAGTTCCAACGACGGTGCACTGTGACCACTTGATTGAAGCACAGATTGATGGAGTTAAAGACCTTATGCGTGCACGGGATATTAATAAAGAGGTATAGCGGCACTTTGCCGGAATATATGCGCATATATAGGGTCAGAAGTTTATATATGCGCAGGTTTATGAGTTTTTATCAGCAGCATGTGCAAAATACAATATTGGTTTTTGGCGGCCGGGATCAGGGATTATTCACCAGATTATCTTGGAAAATTATGCATTGTATGCGCCTTTTACTCAAAATTATACATATAACAGAGTGTTAACTATGCATATAGCCCGGGAGGACTCATGATAGGAACAGATTCTCATACACCAAATGCAGGGGGACTTGGGATGGCAGCTATTGGGGTTGGAGGAGCAGATGCAGTAGATGTAATGATTGATATTCCATGGGAGCTTAAATGCCCAAAGGTATATGGAGTACGGTTAACGGGGAAATTAAGCGGATGGACATCACCAAAAGGTAATAAATGGTATTTTTATAGGGGAAAAGGGCTAAATTATGTATAAAGATGTCATTCTTAAGGTAGCGGGTATTTTTACAGTGAAAGGAGGAACCGGTGCAATTATTGAGTATTTTGGACCAGGAGTAGAATCGTTATCGTGTACGGGTATGGGTACGATATGTAATATGGGAGCGGAGATTGGAGCAACGACATCGTTATTTCCATATACACAAAGAATGGCTCAATATTTGAATGCAACGAAGAGGTCATATATAGCAGAATATGCAAAACGTTATCAGCACATTTTATCGGCAGATGAGGGTAGTGAATATGATAAAATTGTTGAAATTAATTTATCGGAACTTGAACCACATATTAATGGGCCTTTTACACCGGATCTTTCAACACCGATTTCCAAATTTAAAGAGGCAATTAAGGAGAATAATTGGCCGAAAGAGCTGAAAGTAGGGCTTATTGGGTCGTGTACAAACTCGAGTTATGAAGATATGAGCCGATCGGCATCAATAGCGAAGAATGCGTATGAACATGGTTTAACGGTGAAAAGTAAATTTACAATCACACCTGGAAGTGAACAGATTCGAGCAACGATTCTTAGAGATGGTCAATTGAAAGTTTTGGAAGATGTTGGTGGTATTGTATTGGCTAATGCGTGTGGACCATGTATCGGACAGGTTTGTTGGGTGTAAAAAACGAATGTGATATAGAATTAATATGATTAGTGGGATAGAAGAGATGTTGAGAAAGGCCAAAAAAATTCTATTATCACGAGTTATAATAGAAATTTTGCTGGACGAAATGATGCGAATACATCAACCCATGCATTTATTTCTTCACCCGATATTGTAACGGCTATGGTGTTTGCTGGAGATTTGTCATTTAATCCGATAACGGACACGTTAACGGGCGCCGATGGGAAAGAATTTAAGTTATCGCCGCCTAATGGGGATGAATTGCCATCAAGGGGATATGATCCAGGGGAAAATGCTTATCAAGCACCACCCGAAGATCGCTCTTCCATTAATGTGAATGTTGATCCGTGTAGTGAAAGGTTGCAGTTGTTAAAGCCATTCGAAAAATGGGACGGGAAAGATCCTCTTAATATGCCCATTTTAATAAAATGTAAAGGAAAAACTACAACGGATCATATTAGCATGGCAGGTCCTTGGCTTAAATACCGTGGTCACCTTGATAATATTTCGAACAACATGTATATTGGTGCTATTAATGCAGAAAATGGAGAAGTGAATAAAGTAAAGAATCAATTGTCCGGGAAATATGAAAAAGTTCCTGACGTAGCACGTGCCTATAAAGCAAAGGGTATAAAATGGGTAGTTATTGGTGATTCGAATCTTGGTGAAGGTTCGAGTCGTGAGCATGCTGCTTTAGAACCACGACATTTAGGGGGGTGTGCAATTATTGCTAAGTCGTTTGCTCGCATCCATGAAACTAACTTAAAGAAACAAGGGATGCTTCCTTTAACATTTGCTTGCGAATCGGATTATGATAAGATTTCTTCTGATGATAGAGTAGATATAATTGGTTTGACTGATTTTGCCGAAGGCAAAAATTTAACCCTTCGTATTCATCCTAAAAATGGTCAAGTTTGGGAAGCCGTATTGAATTCGTAAGTTTTCATTTGTTTTTAATTTTAGCTTATAACTGTTTTAAGAACATTCAATAATCAACAAATAGAATGGTTCAAAGCAGGTTCCGCTTTGAATTATATGGCTTCTCAAAAAAAAAAGATTGATGACTTCGATAAGTTAGTTTTGAAACACTAATACTTATGAATTTTTTTTAATGTTTTTATATTCATTGTAACATTGGTTCATAGTTTTTTTTCGAGTATAGTTTTATTACTACTTTTATAACGTTTTAGTTTTCCATAACTTAATGCAAATAATAATAAAAGAAATGTTTAATTCTTTTCATTTTACTTGTTTTTGATTATTTTATTGAAATATATTTCTCGGAATGATTTCTATTTCAGAAAAGCCTCCAACAAAATCTGAAAGACAACATTGTTGGGAAGCTAGAGACATTTTTTTTCATTGCTTAGATAAGAATTCTATTATTAATCCTTTAACACAGAGTGAAAAGATTCGATTAACATGCTTATTAGAAGAAAAAACTTTTAAGAATAGTTGTGCAAAAAGCTGGGTAAGTTGTTAAATCTTGTTTGTAATTTTAATAAGAAAGCAGATAGAATATTTTGAAAAAAAAAGAGTTGCAGATATTCAGAAAGATAATTTTTACAAAAAGCTAAATGAAATGAACAAAGAACAATTGAAATAAAAAAAGAATAAAAGTATTTTTAAAAATTAATAGAAAAACTATGATTTTTTTTTTACTTAAAGTTGTTATGGAATATATAATTTAGATTAATGTAATGTTTTATGTCAATTGTTTTATATCAGTTTCAGAGGACAACTTAATCTATATAAAATATATTGGTTTTTATAAAAATGTATTTTTGATTTAATTGTATCTATCAGGATTATTGAATATTGTAATACGAGAACATTGTATTTAGATGTTGAATCAAGGCTTGTTGTTTTAAAGTTTACTATTTTTATTTTTTTTAATATGTTTAAATAATTTTAAAGCAGTATATATAATATATTATCTAAAACCAACATGATTGATTGTTTTTTATTAAATATGTAAAAATGTCTTATTAATACTTTATATTTACTAATATAACCAAAATTTCTGAAATTTTATATGGTATTTTGTTTTTTTTCTTTAATTAAATAATATTTTATAAGTAATTCATTAATATATAAACGACTTTAAAAATATCTTTCATTCAAAAACATAAAAAAATACAAAACTTCACAATAGTATTTTATATACTTTCTTTTTACTATATAGAGAAATCTAAAATCTCAATACTACTTTTTCCACTTTTTTTCAATTTATCATATATTTCTTTTACGCTGAAGTGAACGTTAGCAGAACGACAGCAATTTCTTTAAACAATTAAAATTTCATATTTTACTTTACTTTGGCTTAAAAATGGGAAATAATCTTTTGCTTCTTATATTCACCTAAATAATGATTAAATTGGATCATTTTTTCTTTTTTGTGCGGTAAAATAATATGTGATAAAGAAAATAAAGTTAATTATTTGCAGATTATTATGTTTTATAGTGGCTATTATATGGATATTTCTTCTCCCGTTTGATTATTTTAACCGTAAGGTTTATATCTCTGAAAATGCTATTCTTCCAGGCTCAGTGAATATGTATTTTGGAGGCAGTGATAGCAATGTTCTTGAAGCTTATCGGGATGAGATTGAATTTATAAATCAACAAAGTAAAAATGTGTACGAAATTATGTTTTATATATATACAAAATTCTAAGAATTTTAGAAGATTTGATTCATTACATGATATTTTTAGAAAACTTGGTTTAAGAACAGCAATACAAGATTATAAAATTCAATTTAAGGGAAAGAATCATTCTGGCACGAATTTCTATGCTATTTTTGATACCCCTAGGAGTGATGGTACAGAAGCTCTTGTTTTAAGTGCTGCTTGGAAAAATATGAATGGAGAATGTAGTTATATATAATTTACATGTTTATTTTTAACCAAAAATCCAGTGAATAAGGGTGGTGTATCACTAGTTCTCGCTCTAGCGCGATACTTTAAACGTATCTGAGGGTCATTTTTTGTAAAAAATATCTTAATTAATAATAGGATGGTCATTATGGTCAAAAGATATTATTTTTCTTATTCCAGAAGAAAAAGAAGTTGGAGTTCAGGTTTGGGTAGATGCATATCATAAAATTGATTATGAAGAAGGTGTTTCACGTTTAATCATGAAAGGAGGAGAAATACAAGCTGTCGTAGATATTGATTTTGTTTCGGAATTTAGAGAATTTGATACTATAGAATTATTGTATGATGGAATAAATGGACAATTGTCAAATTTGGACCTTTTAAATACTGTAAATCATATTATTCAATCTAAATCAGGGATAAAAATAAAAATGCAGAATGTTCTTCAAGGAAAAAACTCTTATTTTCGAAAATTATTAACTATGATTAATGGAATGATTAGTCAATGTTTTGGAGTTTTATCAGGAACACAGAGTTGTTTCATACCATATAAAATTGATGCAATTACTTTAAAAGTGCATTCTAAAAAAAATAGTGAATACGATGATATATTATTAGGTAAAATTATTGAATCATTATTTCGCAGTCTAAATAATTTACTTGAACACTTACACCAGTCTTTTTTCTTTTATTTGATGTTATCAGAAAAAAGATTTGTTTCTATTGCAACATATTTACCTTCTGCAATACTCATTGCTAGTAGTTTTACCATTGATGCTTTCAGTATATGGCTTTCTACATTTTCAAATTTTTATAAAAATTTGTCTTCAAGTAAAGAAAAACTATATAGTTCTAAAGAGAAAAAAAATAAATTAAAATATACGGGAATGGATTCAGAATTATATTTTAAAAAACAATTTATACTCTCAATTTCTACGGTTATTGTTATTCATATTATTGCTTATATTTTTTTAAAAATTTTATATAATTCAGTTAATTATAAAGGATTATTCAAAGACAAGAAGGTGATTATGTTACTATAAAAGTGATTTATTTATATAATTATAGGCATATTTAATGTTTTTACTATTTTTACAAATTCTTCAACATATAATTTCAATTCTTATACAAAAAATTCTTAAGAAAATTATTAAAAGCCAAAATATGTCATTTTTCTATAACTATAGACTTAATAAAGTTTTTTCTCAAGCAATTCTAGGTGTAGAATTATCTACTTTAGCTATTGTTAATTTTTCTTTATCGTTATTTATTGGTATTGTAACATTTTTTTTATCTTTTGTTCGACCAGCAAAAACTAAATTTCAACAAATACTTATCTCCATTGTTTTGGAATTGATTAATCCTCTTAATTGGATTTTTTTGTTTTCTTACTATAAAAATAAAGAAGTTAAGGATCTTATGCATTTATTTGCTTTTGGTTGGAAAGTATGGTATCTTTGGACACCTACTGTTTTATGGTTATTATGGTGGCCAATATGGATAATGACCAAAATAATTTTATGTATGCCTATTAAAGATCATAATGAATAGTTTTTCAATAATTTAAGTATATATATTTTTTATTAAAAAATTCTTTAAATGGAAATTTTGTTGAATAATGTTCCTTGTTTATATCATCTATTAAAATTATTTTAGTTCAAAAATATTTGAAAATATTATCAACTATATAGAATATTTTGTATTTTTAATATAAAATATTATATTATCTTTATAAGAGTAAATTTATTAAAAATCTTGTAATATTAATTATAAATATTTTATTAGTTTCAAAAAATATCAATTTATAGATAATTTTTAATAGAATAAATAATTCATAAATATTTATTTAAAATACATATTCGTATATTTTTTATGTTAAATTTCATTTATTTTACTAAACTAATATATTTCATATATTTTTTTAAACATCTATTAACAGGATATTTTATATCAATAAATATAATTTTAAAAATTAATATATTAATATATTTGTTTTTTTAATATTAAAACAAATTTATAATTAAACATTTTTATTCAATAAAAAAATATATTATAATTAAAAACAAGAACAATTCACAATAAGAATTTTAATGAATGTTTTAAGTATTCAATTTTATAAAATTTTATAATTAAATTTTAAATTTTTTATATCTTTTAAATAAACATTTAAAAAATATTAACAAATTCCAAAAAATATATTTAAAAGATAAAAATATAATAAAAAAACAAAAAAATTTTAATTAAAAAATAACCATTATCCTAAAAACACTCACTTTTCTCTATAATTTTTCTTCACATATCTACAATTTATAGAAATAAGTTCTAAAAAACACTGAAAATATAATTAATATATATAAAATTGCTTAAAGATAAATTATAATAATATTTAGAAGAAATATATATGTTAAAATGAAATATAAAAGCAATTATGAAAGAATTAAAATATTATAAATCCTTATAAGAAATAATAAAATCCTTTTATAATGTTAATAAACTACTTTTTCCTCAGAAAGATCCAGTATCCGCTGTACAAAAGATAAAAATAAATCATTAGATTCTTGACTCCGTAATTTAGAAATTTCATCCAAAAGAAATTTCGGTACAAGAAAAGACGTATCATTATTTAATGGAATTTTTTCATATATCTTCAGAAGAAGATTTTTTAAAGGTTTAGATTCAGTGACCATTTTTTGTAATATTTCATCTGTTTCTTTATCCTTATTAAATATTTTAATATATTGGGTTTTTTACTAATTTTTTCAACTACTGTTTGACAAAGAGGTTTATAGCATGTTATATTTTGAATAGGTTCATCTATTCCATCTATTTTCTTTTTTAACTCTTCATTTTTACGAGTATGGCATTTAACAGTTGCTTCAATATCTTCTGAAGAATTGTTTATTTCTTTATGTTTTTGATAACAAGCAACAGAACAACTGTTGAAAACTATTAGCAAATATTTTAGTTATATAAAAGTTGTACTATGGTATTAAGCAGATAGGACATTTATATTTTCCTTGAGACACTGAGCATAAGTGGCATAACAGTTGACGCTCCAGTTTTTATCAAAATTAGTCGACCAACAACTTTAATCACTTAAAAAATTTTATTAATAAAAAACTCAAAAAAAACAATATTCTTAATATTTAAGATTGAGTTTGTGAAATAAATAGAGAATACTGTGAATTAAAAGTTTAAAATAATTTAAAGAAAGTTTTTTTATTTCAAATATCTTGCAATAACCTTAAAAATGATTAAAATGAAGACATAAAATTGGTTTTTATGTTAAAATAATTAAAAATTGATCTAGAGTTATAATAAATTTACCAACTTTAACATAATATTTATTTTATTAACTATTATTAATTCTATAGTTTTGGAAAAAAATACGAAAATTTATATAAACTAGATATAAATTATCTTCAAGATGAATGAAAATTTGATTTTCATTAAAAGTTTTTGTTAATAGATATTAACTTCGTTGTCTTACATCAAAAAGTTTTAGAGAAAATAGCTAATTTTAAATATCATAGTTATGAATTTTTTATGATAAATGGAACAGATTTAAAAAACATAATAAATTATATGATAAAATGCCTCAGTATTAAAATACTGATTTATAATATTTCCATAATTCATTTTTAAGGAATTTTATCATTCCAAATGTTATATAATTGACATAAACCTAAAAATAAACATAATTTTTATTATTAATGTTTAGAATCATCATCAGAATTTTTATGTTTATTTAATACAGTTACTTTTTTTTTTAAAAAATGAAGAAACATCCACATCAGAAATCAATTTCATAAGCTCATCAATCTTGAAAGTAGCCCCTAAAAATATTGTTAAATATAATTAATAAAAATTGATAAATTACCAGTATATAAAGAAGCAGGAGGAAGAATACTTAAAAAATATAAAATAGGTTCAGGAAGATTAAAGGATTTGTCGTTAGTTGTTAATAAAGAAGTACTTAAATTTTTTTTTCTAAAGTCAACATTTAACTGAAAAGTATTATTATGCATCCATGTAGATTCTAATAAAAGAGGAGAATTGAATTCCACTCCTAAATCTTTTTCCAGAATTATGTCTAAATTATAAAACTTAAATCTTTTAGAAAACCTTAATATAGAAGAATCTATTAGATTATAAGCTACATTTTAACTTTATGAATTTTAAAATTCACGCACCATTAGGATAAAGCTCAGCCATCCTTGAGTGTAATTTTATAGTTGTTGAAAGATCGCCATATATAGATTCATAGATATATAATTTTTCATGTAATTGCTTAACAGCCAATGAATCAAGATGGGTAATTGTTTTCTCATATAAAGCTCTTGCATCTATAAAAATAAGCTATAAACTTCTCTATAAATAAACTATATACTCGTATCATCATTAGTATTTATTAAAAATGTTAAATAATGCAACACATAATCTGGATCATTTCCAAAACTTTTAAGTCCTAAATCAAAAATTTTACTGGCTATTGTAGAATCTTTACTGCAATGATATTCCATCAACGCTATTTCTTATTATATATCTCAATAATTCAAAATATTTATACAAACCGGAAGCTACATAAATATGATAGGTTTGATTAGGCGCTTTTCTAGCTTTTCCGAAAACTTGTCTTGCTGCTTTTATGCCTTCTGCTCTTCTAACTGCTCTCATAAAAACACTCCATACAACAGATGTATTCTTTGATAATTTATTTAATTCTTCTATCCCTTGTTTTTCAATATTTTGTAGTTCCTTTTTTGGAGATAACTTTTGTATTTCACCTTCTTCAACAGGATCTTGGGATTTTACATATTCTAAATATTTAGAAACTTCATATAGCCGATTTTCTACACACTGTGAAATTCTTTTAGATTCCTTTGAAAGGTTTCCAATAAGTGTTTCATAAACTGTCCTCATCTCTTGAAATCGTTTATTTTGTTCTAAAAAGTCAGCATATTGGAAATGAAGTAAACAACTAAAATATTAATAATAGTAAAAAATACATTAACGAACCTAGTAGAATTTGCAATCATTCCATTTTTCATTATTTCTATAGCTTCTTTTTCCTCATTTAAAGACAGCCAATATTCCGCTGCAGAAAACCTACCATTATTAAAATTTAAAACTAACACAATAATTAATGTTATAGTACCAAATTTCAGGAAAAAATCTTAAAGTAATCATAGCCTGTTTATATGCATATTTCACTCGTGCAGAAACGGCTTGCTTCAATTTAAGATCTAAAGGATTCGATATTTCCCATTCAATCCATTTTTTCCATTGTTCAACCTAAAGAAAATTAAGTATATTTATAAATAAAAAATGTATAGATACTTCTTCAACATTTTTCTCTGTCCAAATGGGAACTTTTGGAATAGTAGTAGCCCGAAATCCAACAGTCATTGTAGACATATCTTTCCATGCAGTTCGTGCTAACATATAAGTTGAACTTTTTTCTGAAAGAAATTTCCTAGCCTAAAAAGAAAAAAAATTAATTCTCAATCAATTAAAGAAATAAAGAGGATTTACAGTAGACCTATTAACATTATTTTCAAAAGTATCGTACTCTCGCCATAAGGTCTCAATATTTGCAATTGGTGCAGATATAGCTCGATGATAAATACGACGAATATGATCTATTCTTTGTTGTTCTTCCCATGTAGAATTCCTCTATATTAAAAAAATAGTAAGTATAGAGCGAAAAGAAAATATAATAATTATTTAATAAATTACAAACAAAAAAACTATAAATAAAGATAAAAAAGATAATTGAATATATCCCTTAAACTTACCTCTGCTGTTTTTACAAAATTGATATAATCTGACCATATAGATCCACAATCTTTATCAATTCCAACATGTGCTAAAACAAATTCATAGGCCTGAGATATAACTAATCGAGCTTGAGAACCACCAGTTGAAACATTGTTGACACGACGAATATAATCTAAATAAAACTTCCATAGATCAACGCTTAAAACAGACCTTAAACATCTAGAAAAAATAGTTTCCACACGAATGAATTCATTATTTGTTAACTCCATATCAGCATAATCAATCCATTGCTGAGCCTACAAGTTTTAATAAAATGATTCAAAATAATAAGCATATTAATAACATACTGCAGTAGGAAAAACTTTCAAAAAACGCTCATACGTATTTCTTGCTTGATCAATTTTGTTTCTATTTTGATATTCCTTAATCAGTTTTAGCCAAGAAGAAGAGTCCCTTTCATCAAAAGCAATTTGATCTTCTAACTGACCAACACGATCATGTGATAAGCGTTTTCTTTTATGTGTTTTTAATGAGAATGAATTACTCGAAGATCCTGATTCTGCTGTAACTTTTTCACCCAAAGATCCATCAATTTCTCCATTTTTGGGCTTTTCCGTAGTAGAATTATTCATACAACCTTCCTTAATATCATTTTCACTTGTTTTATTATCTTCTTGATTTATATTTTCATTATTAACTTTTAAATGTATTTTTGAAAAATCATGACTTTCTACTGGTTTTTCCTCATTCAAAACCATATCTTTAGAAACAGAGATATCAGAAGACGTTGGAAGATATTTTTTTTCTATTTCTTCTGGGACTTCGTGCCCCATTTCAGTTTTCCTTCCAAATATACTTTTTTTAACGTTTGACAAAGATCGCACCCGCTTTCAGAGATCATACTCCAAAATATAAAAAACTTTTAAAACGAAATACATAGTAGTTTTTATCATTCAGTGTTAAAAATGATCTTACCTACTTTTAGGTTAATATTATATTAAATTTATAGAAAATGACTGAAGATATTATGAATTATGTGATTTTTCTTTTTTTGCAAAAAGCAAGAATTAACCTCTAAAATAGGTAGAAAGTATAATCTCTGCTAATAAAGTTGTTGTTTTTAGCAAATCTTATTGGTAAACTAATTTTACAAATTAATAGCACTATTCTAAAGTTTTTTATTAAGTCCTTATTGTGATAGGACAAAAGAATTACTTCAAAATTCACATATTGACTATACTGTTTTGGAATTAGATGTAATAGGTAATATTTTGCATGGAAGTATTTTAGAAATGTTATTAAATCATTGTTGATAGCACAGGGAAGTAATATTCAACAATACTTATTTGAAAAAACTGGCCAAAGAACGGTGCCAAATATTTTTATTAACAAGGAACATATTGGAGGAAACTCAGATATAGAAGCACTTAAAAATAGCGGAGAATTGGCCCGATATTTCGAGTAAATAATATTTTTATATTTTTGTTGTAATTATAATTTAATATGTATTTTATATATTTGTCTTTTTGTTATTTATTATGAAAATGAGTTGTTTTTACCAAACGGGGTACTCCAGACATTTCTTCAGGTATTTCTATCCCCATTAAAGCTAGTATTGTTGGCGCAACATCGCATAATGCACCTACTACTTCCTTTTGAAGCGTATACTTTTCACTACATAATATAAAAGGAACATGGTTGCATGTATGTGATGTTAAAGGATTATTGTTTTTATCAATCATAACTTCTGCATTCCCATGGTCCGCAGTAATCTAAATTCTTAATTATGGAATTACTTTCCAATAACATACCAATAATACATATCCTTCTTTTTTACATGCATCATAAATAATTCTAATAGCATTATCAGTATGCTCAACCGCTTCAATAGCAGCATCATAAACACCAGTCTAGTTTTATATTATTAATGTTAAAAAGTAAAAGTTTAAAATTTACATGGCCAACCCTATTAAAAAATTAATTAAGTTATAAAAAAATAACAAAAACTTACATATCAGGAGGTGCCTAGTAAATTCAATATGTTAATAAAATTTACTATATTAGTCACTTACTAAGTTACATATCACAAACGGATATTTATTTTCAGAAATTCTTTCAGATACTTTTTCAGCCACACCATAAACACTCATTTTAGGATCTTTATCATACGTAGAAACTTTGGGAGATGGAATCATATCACGATATTCTCCGGGAAATTGTCTTTCAAGACCTCCATTAAAAAAGAATGTTACATGGGCATATTTTTCCGTTTCTAAAAAATCAATTACAAATAAATGAAAAAAGATTATACCTGCGATATGAGACTGTAATACATTTTTTTTCGATAACCATTCAGCTAAGACATTAGTCATTTCTTGAGGAGAAAATGCAACCGAAAAAGGATAATCTTCTTTGTATCGTGTCATTGTTGTAATACTAAGATTTTTCGGAATCTTAACAGGTGTCAACGTTGAATCTATACCTAATACTTGAGTGATTTGCCGAACTCTGTCTGATCTATAATTAAAAAAAAAAAGTGTATCACCGTCTTTAAATATTATAAGAAAATTTAATTTATTAGCTTATTATACCTGAAACACATCCTTTTTTATTAACAATAATAGGTTTTAGAAATTCATCAGTTTCATTTTTTTGATGCCGTTCATTAATCACACGTATAACATCACTATCCACTTCTCCTTTACCATAAACAATAGCTTCAAGAGCTATTGTTATTCTTTCCCAGCGTTTATCTCGATCCATAGCATAATAACGACCCATTACAGTAGCAAGTTCACCAATTCCAAGATCCTCTATTTTATTTAAAAGTTGTTGCATATAAATAATAGAAGAAACAGGACTTGTATCTCTTCCATCACTAAAAAAATGAATATAAACATCTTTTAATCCTACTTTTTTTGCCACTTCTAAAAGATGAAAAAGATGAGATATATGAGAATGAACACCGCCATCAGAAACCTTATATAACATATTAAAATCATTCGTATATATGTATGTACTTTTTAAGGAAAAATACCAGCCCTAAAATATGAAAACGACCATTTCCTGCCTTGGAACGTTCCATTGAGGCAAGAATAGATTCTACAGACATAAAAGAGTCTTTTTTCATGACATAGTCAATACGGACAGAATCCTGCCATACAACACGGCCTGCTCCTATATTCAAATGACCCACTTCAGAGTTTCCTGGTAAAATATTAAAAAATAACAGAATATTTATTAAAAATAATAACCCATTAATCCTTCTAGAAGGCCTACTGCATTTCCATGGGCTTCAAGCTCCATCCAACAATATTTCTGCATAAGATAATCCATAGTAGGTGTTTTTGCTGCTGCAATAGCATCTCCTTTATCATTTTTCTCTGGATTAATCCCTATTTTTATTTAATTCAATATAATTTTTTGAAAAAAAGATACCCCATCCATCAATACATATAAGACAAACTAAAACACAATAAATCTGTACTTATTTAAATCTTAAAACTACCTTTTTCTGCTAATTTAGTCATAACCAATTTTTTCGTAATTTAAAGACTTTCGATAACTAAAACTATGAATTGTACCATTTAATATATAATTGTATATTTTTTCATAAATCATAAATTTTGAACAAAAAGCCATTCATGGATCTCTCAAGCACAAATTTGATTCCTCAAATTATACGAATTCTACAAATTATGAAGAATAAAGAAGAAAACATCAAAGAATTTAATAAAGAGGTATCTTTTAGTATTTTTAAAATAATAACAGAGTCTAAGTATTTTTCAGATTTCAAATCTTCATCAGCAAATATCAAATATTCGAAAAATGCTGCAGTCACTTCCTGGTAAAGATCTGAGTATTTTAGATCAAGAGGAAATAATTCAGGGCTTAGAAAAGCAAATTTCGATACAGAAGTGAATAAATAGATTATTATATCATTTCTAATATATATTTAGAAAGTTATTAGCTGAAATAAACGTAGTAGAGCAAGATAAATAATTTATATCCATTAAATAAAATACAAAAAGGCTGATCATGTTTAAAAAGGCATCCTTTCGTTTTCAAATTTCAATGAATTACTAGGATTTTTATTTGTCTTTAACAATACATATGTTCTTAAATATGTGGCATAAAATATTTCAACATTTATAAATATTTTATATATTTAAAACAACGACAATCAATATCTACTAGAAAGCTTCTAATTTTTCTTCAGTATTTAAAAATAGTAAAGTATCTTTATTCAATTTGAAATTATACTATTTGACATTGGACATTTGTTTTTAGAATAATATTTTCAGTTTTTTTTTTTTTTTCAAAAAGGAATAAAATCAAAACCAATAACACAAAAAAAGACAATATTGATATACAAAATATCTATTTCATGTTTTAAGTCTACATTTATGTATTTATTTTTTTAAGTTTTAATTTAATATCTTTAGAAATCGTAGGCTTTTGTAAAAAAAGTATAAATTAGAAAATTATCTTTAATCTAATATTCTATACATGATTATTTCAAATATATCATATATTCGCGTATAAAATCTTGTATTTATATCTTTTTCCAAAAAATTAACCATCTCTTTAGTTTATCTCATTAAAAACACCAAAGACAGCACTTCGTCTCTTAGGATATCGCTTTTATACTTCATCTTCTAAAGAATATGACGTAGTAATTATTGGAGGTGGGCCAGGTGGATATGTTGCTGCAATTAAAGCAGCTCAATATGGGCTAAAGACAGCATGTATTGAGAAACGAGGAACACTTGGAGGGACTTGTCTAAATGTTGGTTGTATTCCGTCTAAATCATTATTGAATAATTCACATATTTATCATAAAGTACAACATGACATTGAGCATAGAGGAATTCATGGTTTATTAAAGAAAATATTTAGTGAGAATTCCATTAATCATTTTTAGTTTCAAATATAAAATTGGACTTAGAAAGAATGATGAAAGCAAAAGATCAGACAGTGGAATCATTAACTAAAGGGATAGAGTATCTTTTTAAGAAGAATGGTGTTGAATATTTTAAGGGTATAGGAAGATTTTTAAGTCAAAATGAAATAGATATTAAGGGGACTTATGGACATGCTGATAAAGTTATCTCTGCAAAAAATATAATAATTGCAACAGGCTCTGAACCAGTGTCTCTTCCTGGTCTCAAAATAGATGAAAAGATCATTGTTTCTAGTACTGGTGCATTATCTTTAAAAAAAGTTCCTGAAAAAATGGTTGTAATTGGGGGAGGAATTATTGGTCTTGAAATGGTAAATTATTTTTTAAAATAATTGTTATTATTTCTGAAAAGAAGCTAGGGTTCTGTATGGTCTCGATTAGGATCTCAAGTTACAGTAGTAGAATTTGCAGATTCTATTGGAGCTGGAATGGATGAAGAAATTGCAAAACACTTAACAGGCATCTTTAAAAGTCAAGGTTTAGTATTAAGGACATCTACAAATGTTTTAGGATGTGTTGTTGAAGGAAATAAAGCTAAAGTGAATATTGAAGCTTTAAAAACTGGAAAAAAGGAAATTGTATAACTATATGGTTAACTAAAATATATGCTAATAGTTTTCAGTTAGAAGCAGACGTTGTTCTTGTTGCTATTGGAAGACGACCATATACTGAAGGTCTTGGTTTGGAGAATATTGGGATAAATGTTGATGAAAAGGGACGTATTATAGCTGATTCTGAATATCGCACTAGTGTTTCTCATATTCGTGTTATTGGGGATGCTACTTTTGGTCCAATGCTTGCACATAAAGCGGAAGAAGAAGGAATTGCTGCTGTAGAACATATTAAAAGTGGATATGGTCATGTTAATTATAATGCAATACCATCTGTTATGTATACATATCCAGAAGTTGCATGGGTAATTTATTTTCTTAGTTTAACATCTGTTATAACAATTTAGGTTGGACAAACAGAACAACAAGTCAAAAAATCTTGTATTAATTATGTAGTTGGGACATTCCCATTTGCAGCAAATTCTAGAGCAAAAACAAATTTAGAAACTGAAGGTTTAGTGAAGTTTGTTACAGATAAAGAAACTGATCGGATCCTTGGGATTCATATTATTGGTGTAAGTTTATAAATATTTTTAATAGCTCTTTTTGAATATTTCTGTTTAGCCAAATGCAGGAGAAATGATTGCAGAAGGTGTATTAGCTGTTGAATATGGAGCAAGTGCAGAAGACATTGCTCGAACGTAAGGAATAAAATAAATATTACTTTTATACTAATTAAATAGTACACATGCACATCCAACACTTTCCGAAGCATTTAAAGAAGCTGCTTTAGCTGCATGGTCAGGAAAAGCTATTCATTTTTAACTTATAAGTTGATTGTTGTATTTTTATTTAAAATAATTTAATTAAATCTTCAATTTTTATATTTAAAATATTCGCGTTCATGATTTTATTTTTTGTATATTTCAAAAAGAATGGTCTTCAATTGAGACAAAATAATCTATAATATTGTAAATTCAATTATATATATTTATTTCTTGGGAAATTTTGAAATTTCTATAAAAAATTAAAAAATTATATTAACCTGAATGTATTTTTACAAAAGAAGCATTTAATGACTGATAAAAATAGAGACTATTTAGCTCTTGAGAAGGTAGAATTATATGAATAATAATAGCATTTTTCTAATAATTAAATTAGGATGACATTGCAAATAATTTTAGAAAAAATATTTCTTATTCTTTTGGAAATAAATATGAGTTCCAAGCAAAAAAAATATCTATATCAAGATCTTTTTCTTTAAATGATTTAAAAAAAGTCCAAGAAATTGATAATATTTCACAAATACATAAAAATATTAACTATCATGCGTCTTTGGTGCTATTTGATGAAATAGAAAAATCACTAGAAAATCAACAGAATCTTTGCTTTAGGTACATTTATTAATTTTAATATAATTTAGATATTATTATTTTATAGATTGCTTAAAAAAGAATATCTTAAAAAATTGTCTATATCAGAAAATCTTATGACACAAGTTTCAAATATACTAGAAAAATTAGAACTAATAAATAATGATGTAAAGAACGCATGTAAAAATAGCTATAATTTTAGAATCGATTATGAAAAACTTATAAAGGAAGAAGTTTGTTATATTTTTACAAGATTAAAGTATATTTATATTTTGTAGCAAAATATGATAATACTAGATAATCAAATTACAGAAAATCTTGAAGTGTATGATTCTCTTGATATGGCTTTTAAATTATTAAATACATCTGGGATTGAATTTATTAAAAAACCTGAATTTTTTAATATTCTTAAAAAATTAGATAAAGGTTTATTAATGATGAAGAAACATGTATATTTACATAATTTATTTTATTTTTCTAATGATTTTATTAGCCAGAATATAAGGATTCTAAAATGTATAGTATAAAGTTTAAACAATGTTTAACAAAAGCTATGACATTAATTTGTATTTTTTTTGTACAAATAATGAAAGAATTAAATGATGAAATTGATAAGAATACATCTTATAAGGTCTTTTATTAAATTTTATATTATTTTTTCACTAAAAAAACAAGGAATCTGATAATATTATTCAATCTGCATTGTTATATAGAAAATTTCATGTTCGCGCTTTTCAATTAAAACCATATATCAAAGAAATAGAATTAAGGGTTAAAGATCATGATGAGTATGATTATTATAATATTATATAAAATAACCTTAAATAAAAATTTAGGTATCATATATTAATTAATGATTGTGAAAATTCTTACCTTGGAATAAGATACAGATTAATTAATCGAATCATTTTAGAAAAATTAAATAAATTATCATCAAATAAAAATGTTATTGTGTTTGTAAGAAATAGACATTAATTTATATTATTATTTTAATTTGTTATAGACTAGGTTAAGTATTACATTTTTTCAAAGTCTTTGTCTTGATGAATTTTCTCTCTTTCAAGAATTTTTTGAAAATGAGTATTCGAAATTTTAGTATGATTTTTGCTTTTTTTTTTTCATATTTAATTTTAATAGTCATTTTTCTCAAAAACTATTTAAGCCTATATCTACTTATTTGCAATCAAAACTAGATAATGAACCAAAGTTATTATTATATTGTGATATTTTATCTATTATTAAGACACAATTATTTCAGGATACTGAAAATGGTATTAATAGAAATATATTATAAATAATTGATATTATTTAGAAATTTTATCAGACACATACTCAGATAGTCATAAATTAGACTTTACTATCATATTTAGTGAAATTATTCAAATTCTTGAGTCTCGGATTGTACTTGAAGTTCGAAATATAGCTATATTAGAAATTCAGAATTTTATTCCTACTAAAAATGATTTTAGTCTTTTTAAAAATTTAGAAAAAAATGATAAGTCTAATTCATTACCTACAGAAATGTTTGATATAGAAAAAGAAACATTATTTAATAATGTTTCTATTACTGGATGGTATCCTACATTAAACAAAACAATTTCATTATTATCAAAAATATATCCTATATTAAATGTAAGAATTTATTTTTAATAATTTTTTTAATATTAAATTATGATTTAGAATGAGTCATTTACCAATGTTGCTTATGATATTATTAAATTTTGTATTTCTTCTCTTATTCGTGCATCTAAAGTACAAACAGATATTTCTATTAGAGATAGTCAACTTTTCCTTATAAAGCATTTATTGATATTAAGGGATCAAGTATTGGAGTTCAATGTAAATTTTTTTCGTTTTGAATCAGAAAAGAATATTAGCACAGCCACTACTAATTCTATGGATACTTATAATAAAACACAATTATTTAGTCCATTGGAGTTTTGCAAATCCACATGGACTAAGATCTCTAGATTTTCAAGTAATGAAAAGGATGTGTTTACTGTTTGTTAACATCATTTTTGTTTTGTTTATTTATTATTTTTAGGAATTTAATTCTGTACTTCAAACTGCAATCAATACATCTATTGAACATTCTTTAAAGCCGTTTATGGAATCTATTCAAAAAATACAAAATATTAAAAATCCATCAAATGATGTTATTCAAGCAAAAATTAGTGAATCTCTTGTACTTATTGAAAAAGAAGCACCTATCCTTAAACATGCATTTTTAAATTATATTGAAAACTTTCAAATTATACACATTTTTTTTACTGAAATCATTAAAGAATTTTCAAAAAAACTAGACAAAATAAAAGAACATCTTCCATCTCAGTCTTTAACAACATGGTCTCAAACAAATCAACTTATCTCTTATTTAACTAATTTTTTGTTATCTGGTAACACAATAGAAAATTTGTAAGAAAATAAAAATCAACAAATTACTTATGTTTAAATTAATTATAAAATTATCTATTTATATATATTAAAAATACATTACTATTTTTTAATCGAATTAATATTTTTATAAATTTTTAAATTTATAAAAAAAACTTAATTTTTTGCAAAATTTAAAGATTTTAGAGATGTCAAATGGCATCTCATTGGAACCAGAGTTTTTACATTTTCCGTCAATTGCTGCAGTTCCTGCGTCACGATCTAATGTGATTCAACATTTAATTGATGGAGTTGATCGATATAATCCTCAAAATGCGCCTTTATTAGAAGAATATTTAGTACAACAGTGTCAAGATGGGAGTTATGACTGCATGGCAAACCTTGCTATATTAAAATTGTTAGTAAAAAGTATTTTTTGGTGTCCTGATAGACTGATGAAATAACATACAAAAATAATAAGAACATTTTTTGTAATGAAAATGCATATTAGCTCTATCTGAAATTCTTCTGGGCTCCTAAATATATATTTAATACCTTATTTTTCTTACTTTTTATTAGATATCAATTTAATCCTCATCTTTCAAAAGATGAAGTGATTACAAATATTCTTGTTAAAGCGTTAACTGTTTTTACACAACCTGATTTTTCTACATGTTTACATTTGCTTCCACCCTCTATTCTTTCTAAAGAGGGTTCTGAAGGGGATTCTTTATATGAAATTGTACAGAAGTTACATTCACTTCATCTTCTTTTAGATGCAGCAAAATACAAAGAATTTTGGCAATCAATAGATAATGATGATCTTTATGCAGATCTAATTGCTGATTGCATTGGGTTTGAAGATACTATTCGACTAGGCATTGCAAAGGTCATTTCACAGACAATGAAAGAAGTTAAACGCGATGTTTTAGAAAATTGGATCAATCTTCGAGATGAAAAGCTAACAGTATGGGTTCGTGATGTATTTCATTGGGAAATGTCAGGTGAAATAATAAAATTACCACAAAATAAGGACAATCTATCTTTAAATAAAGTGACACGTGAAAAAGTCCCTTTTTCAGATTTATACCAACTTTTAAGATAAATGTAATTTTTAATGATGTAATATATATATATTTAATTAAAAATAATAATTTTAAAAGTCGTTTCAAAATTGACTAATTAATGTTTACTCTTTTTAACTAATGTTTTTAAGAAAATAAGATTATTATTATTATTATTACTTTTTTTTGATTATTCGATATATATTTTTGTTTTTCAATACTTTTAGATCTTATTATTGAATTTTAATTTAGATATATAAAAATTAAAAAAATTAAAGTAACAAAATCAAATGTTTTAATTTAACGTTAAATATTTTAAAATTATCTATCAATAAAAAGGCTATTTGTTATTATAAATTAATGTTTAAATATTTGTATTCTTTTTTTTTAAAAAAATTTTATGAATTTTTAAAAAATATGTTTAGCAATTGTAAAAATCAAATAAATATATTGTTATATATTAACATCTATTTTTTTATAAAATAAAAAATAAAATTAATACATTTAATTTAAACTTTAATTTTCAATATTTTTAACTAATTTTTATTTATTAAAGATTTTTTACATTAATTAAATTATTTAAAACTAAAAATCTTTTAAAAAACCTAAGATTTCTAATGCTTTTTTAGAACCCCAGATAAATGTTTCCTTATCTTCTTTTAAATTAAATATTTCAGTATTTTTTAAATATTTCATTAAAAAAATTTTAATTCCTTCAACTAAAGATGGGTATGATGAAAGTTTTCTAAAAATTTCTTGAATTGGTGCCGCATTTCGAGGATTATGCCCTTTTTGTGTTTCTAAAATCAATGTAGAAAAAAATACTTCTACAAATGTTTTTGTTTTAGGTTGAAGATGAAAAAAATTAAGTTTCTATTAATTATTTTAAATATTTAATAAAAATAAGAATAAAATTACTTTAAAAATGATCAAATCAAGACCTCCATTAACTACCAAAAAAGCATATAATTTTCCTAGGTTTACAATACGCCTCAATGGAATGTTTTCTAAATTTCCATTATTAACATTTCCAATTACTTGAACATCATTTTCTCCCATAGATCGAAATAAATCCCACAAACAAAATTTAAAAGCTGTTCGTATAGAATGTATTTTAACACAAAACCTAAGAGCAATATAAGCATAATAAGGGTTGTAGCTCTGTTCATTTCCACAACAATGAAGTAGTATTCTTGGTATTTCTAGTTTTTGTACTTTTTTTAAGCCTAATTTTAAAAGTTTTTCAAACGCATCTACAAAATCCTTTAGAAATTAGAGCAATTCCATTATTATTATTATTAAATAAAATAACCTCTGCACTCATTATTGTAATAAAAATAGATCTACGGATATCTGTATTCATTCTTTGTGATTGTGCTAATGCAAGAAGTTCTTTTTTTTTTTCTTCATGTAGGTCATTTGAGGTTAAATGCTTTGAGTTTCTTTCTTTTTTAAAAGGAAGTCCTATATGCCACCATTTATCATTTTCGTCTATAGATTCTATATCATGCAATGAAATTCTCAAAGGCTCCGTATTTCTAGTAGAATTACGATTAGATAATGTTCCTAAAAATTTTTTCATTCTAAATATATCCTCTTGTATTCTATTATTGTAGGGTATGCTCTTAATTTTGTTATTTTTTAAATTATCAATAGATTCGATCATAAATTTTGTCCTTGTACTAAGATCTATTAAAAATATAAATAATATATAATTCCTTATTATACTTCAATATAAAACCTGTTTCTGAAATTTTTTGATGCATTATAATAACAATATCTTTTAAAGATGAAGGATCGTCATGGCGTAATTGGCTTCCAGAATCTATAATATAAATTATATAAAAATTAGGATATGTATATCTTACTTAAAATAATCTTTAATAACAATTCCGTATTTAAATCAGTTATCTCGTTCAAAAATAATCTTACTAAATCATATATTAAAGTGCATGAAATAACTTGAAAATTATACAATTCACTTAAAACGGTAATTAAATTAATACATTCTTTATTATATGAAACAATAGTGTCATTAATCTCTTTTTTTGAACTTTCTTTTGAATAGAATTCACGAAATGTTTTAAAAAGTTTTTGAAGAAAAAATGCTCCAAAATCTATCCCAATTATTCTATATAAAGCTGTGACAAACCCAGAATAAAGTATTAAGTAAGAGTCTTTTAGCGTTGTTTGAGATGTTATATATGTCAATAATAACATTATTAATTCTAAATTAACAAAATAGCGAGGATTCAAATTATATAAATTTTCAACCTCATTTAAAATAGACAACATATTTGATTCGCTTAATCTTTTTAATAAGAAAATATTATTTTCTAAATTTTTTAGATTTACCTGTTTAACAATCCTTTGATTTTTCGTCTTAAATGGAAAATTAATTCTGTATCATCCTTTTTATTATTTTTTAAAATATTGTCTTGAGTAATAAGTATATTGTTTTCAGAAGGAACAACATATGGATTTTCTTTACTTTTTTTAGCAAAAATGTTTATATCCTTTTTAGATAAATATGTGTTATCTTCCTTATTTTCAGAAGAACAATGATTAACACTTGCATCTACTTTGTTTTTAAAAATATCAAGGTTGTCAAAATCAGAAGATTCGTTTATAAAACAAGTATCCTTGATTTTCGAATTCTCCATACGATTCAAATCATCCAAAAGATAATCAAGTTCATCTTTTTTATTTTTGTCATGTTTACACCGTTTTTTATGTTTTAACTTTTCTTCTAAATAAAGAATAATTGAATCCTCTTGGTCAATTTTCTCTTCTTCTTTATCATATTTTATCTTGTATATTTTATTTTTTTTTTTTTGCAAATCTTGATCATTTAAGTGTTCATCTTGGTAACAAATCAATGTTCCTTGCCTCTACAACATATAAAAATTAACTTTAGAAACAATTATAAATACTTTTTTTATATTTTTTGTTTTAAGGCTTTTTTTCTCCCATTCTTTTTTTCTATTAAGTATTTTTACTTTTTTAGATTTTATTTTACTTGAATCTGAAAAACAATTAAAAATATATATTAAAATTACAAAAAATTAAGACCTATAGTTTCAAGTTTTTCTTTTAATTTTCTTGGTAATTTCAAGACCTTCAAATGTGTTTTGGTCTTTTTAAACATTTTTTAAAATAAGTTTAACGAAATCGATATTGGGATGTTTAAATATAAAAATATAACAAAAGCATATCAAAATATCTCTTTTTAATATTGAATACAAAATTTATGTATTACTTTTTACCATATATATCTAAGATAAATTGAATTTTTGAAAAAATATATAGATCTTGTGTATAAGTTGTAAAATAGATTTTTTAAAAATAAAAACTAAATTGTTTTTATTAAAATAAATACTTGAATTAATATATAATATATATAGTTCGTTCATTTAGAGATGGAAAAATATATATACATTAATAGTTTTCTTATCTCGTTGCTACCGTAACGTTATACTAATAAATCTATAATTTCAAATTTTATAAAATGCTATTGTCAAATGAAGAAGTATAACCTGTATTTGTAAATGAAACATTAAGCTTATATCTTCTTGAAAGTATTTGAAATCATTAGCCCTACTTTTTGTATCGAAAAAAGAGAAAGGTACTATATTTTTAACACAAAAACGGTGTAGGTAAATAATAGAAACAATTTATAAATAACAGGGATAGATTCATATAAAAATCCAGAAGATGTATTAAAAGAAGAAAATGAAACATCTAGTGAATCTTCCTCGACTTATAAACTTCTTTTTAGGGCTACAGATGGAAAAGGGATGAAAATTTCTACACTTGTAGATTCTTCATTTTTACTATCTTTTTTTTCAAAATACACAGAAATATGCAAATCTGGAATGGTTTGCTTAAAAAAGCGTGACAGAAAAAAACAACGAGCCAAGAAAAATAAAACAGCTCATGTAGACACGAAATCATAACATTGACCAATTACATTGTTTTTGACTATATTGTTAAAATACATTTTCTTTATAATAATGATATTATTAGATAATATTTTTAAATATATTTATTTGTTTAAGGGATTTATTATCTAATTACTTTGTAAATAGTATAGATTTTGTTCACTTATGTCAATCGATTTACGATTTTTAAAAACCTTAAATTTAAATAAAAACGTTATATTGAAAATGAGTCATATTCCTCTAACAAAAGCACACAAAGATGCTATTAAAAAGATTTTAAATATTCTTTATAACGCGGTTGATGAGAGGTATAAAAAATGCAAAAAAAAAAATAGTTATTTACGTCTAAAATTAGTGGTCGTTCTATATCTAAAATATTTGAAGAATTACCGGATAAAAAAGAAATCCCTGACTATTATGAAGTGATTAAAAGGCCTATGGCGTTAAATATTATTAAAGTATTATCATTGTTTTTTATCCAAAATGAAGATTAACGAATAGGAAAATATAAATAAAAATTTGTATAATACATTCCATGATTTCATAACTGATGTGGCTCAAATATATTATAATGCTAAATTATATAATCGTCGTTCATCTGTAATATACTCTGATGCTTGTTTAAATGAAGTAATTTTGGTATTATTCAATTAGAATGGCTTATAAAATTATAGATGATCATCGTAAAGGAACTATCTGCTTTAAAAGATAAAAAACTTGTAGATGATAGTATACTCCCTGTTCTTGGGCCATTGCCTCCAAGTTCTCCGGGGGAAGAGAAATCTGATGATGATGGCTTTGATCCTGATATTGAAGACAAAAATGAAGAAGATGAAGAGGATGAAGATGAGGACGATGAAGATGATGTCCGTCATAAAAGAAGACGAAGAGAAACTAGGATTAAGTCCTATGAGCCTCCTAAGGTTATGAGATTTGATACTGGTGATATAAAAAGAAAAAGAGGCCGTCCTCCAAAAGTAGATACACCTGATGAAGCTAGAATGAAAATTGTTTTGCGTGTTATTCGGAAAGAGAAAGATGAAAGGTATCTAATTTTATTATTTATAGATAAAAAGACTAAAATTGTAAGGGGACGTACTTTATTTACATGGTTTGAAAAATTTCCGGATGATAAATTAAACCAAAGCCATAAAATTAAACAATCTATATCTTTAGAGGATATTAGAGTATTTTTTGTTTTTTTTTTCTATTTTTAACTAATTTAGCAAAAATTAAAAAGAAGGGAATATAAAACACTTAAATCTTTTTTGGACGATTTGGATTTATTATATAATAATATAAAACTTATAAGCCCTCCTGGAAGTCATATGTATCGTGATGCTGATTACTTACAAGTTATTTAATATTATTTTTTTTCTCTATCTAATAATGTTAGCAAGTTACACATGAAGTAGCTTCAATTGAAGCCTCCAGAAGAGATATTGATTTTACAGGATATGAGAAAGATCCAACTTCTAGTGTTGGTACATTAATTAAAATTAATCGCACTCCATTACCTAAAATTGAAATTAAAGGCGAAGCTTTAGAAATTGGTTAGTTATATTTTTTGACTATACAAATTTAAGAGTCTATTTTTAGGTGATTGGGTTCATTTAATAAATCATAATGATGCAAATAAACCAATTATTGCCCAAATATTTAGTTTATGGGAAAATTTAGAGTATGTATATTACTAATTATAAATTCATAGGATTTAAATACATTTTTAGAGGAGAAAAATGGATAAGCGTTTGTTGGTACTATAGACCAGAACAAACAGTTCATAGAGCAGATCGAATATTTTATGAAAATGAAGTTATGAAAACTGGACAATATCGTGATCATCAAATTAATGATATTATTGATAAATGCTTTGTCATGTTTATTACTAAATATATAAGAGGAAGGCCTAAAGATGCAGGAAATAAACTAATTTATGTTTGCGAGTCTCGGTATGATGAAGAAACAAAAATGTTTAATAAAATCAAAAGCTGGAGAGCATGTATTCCTGATGAAATTAGAAATAAAGAGTATGATATGTATTATTTTGAAAGGCAACAGCAACCGAAGAAAGTACTCAGTCCTATTTTGCATCTTTTACCATCAAAAGTAATGGAGGATCCTAATGCACCTATACCCGAACCAACTCAAGGAAAAGAAAATGCACCACCTATTATTGGTGCGATCATTCCAGCGCCAATACCAGATGAATCAACACTCAATGTATTACTTTTTCCATTTCTTTTTAAATATTAATTTTTATAGCCGCCGGAGATTTTTATACCATCTATAGTATCAGCTCCTATAATTCCACAAAAACCTATTATTCCATCTTTAGTAACGCAAACACATACATCTGTCGTGATTAATCCGAATAATCAACCACAAAACAGTCGCAAAACACATATTCCATATTATCCTCCAGTTGCTTTTACATTACCTGTAGTAGATTTGAATTCTGAAAATACTCAATCTGAGAATATTGATATTTCTGAAAATGATCTAGAAAATCCAAATAAAGAGAAAAACAATGAAGATATTAATAAAAATATAAATAAAAGTATAAAAGACATTAATATGAAAGATGAAATTGAGAAAATAAATGAAAACAATGATAATTCAATAATTGAAAGTGAAGAAAAGGCTGTTGAAAATATTAAAAGTGTGAAAAAAAGTAATAATTTTTCAGATGAAGTAGCTGCACTTTTTTCTCGAGATGAACAAGGCCGAGTATTATGGTTTCCTGTTCCACCAATAGATGTTGTTTCACCAACATTAGAAACATTTGTCGATGGTAGAAGTCTTGCGTACTTAGCAAATGTTTATAATATGATGGAGAATCATAATGAAGAATTTAAAAAAGAAAAAAAACAAAAACTTAACATTATGAAACCTTTAGATGATTCTAATTTTTCAGAATTTCTTATTAATGCATTAAATACTATGACACAAAACATAAAATCTAGTATTCATTAAATTTTTGAGTAAAAAGTACTTAGATCTACTTTATTTTTGATACTGTTTATTTTTTATAATATTTTTATTATATTTAATATTGGTGTAAACATAGCTATGGTTTAGTGTTTTTTAAGTTATTTTTACAATTATTATATAATACAAACCCTGAGAAATATATTTATTCATAGTATACATATTAACTTAGAACAATATATATTATTTAATAATATATTTCTTTAAATAACATTTATAAATATATATTAGTCATATAAAGGTTGTATTTCGCATCATTGTTGATGTTTTAACCACTAATTTCAATTTTTATTTTATAATGATTATGTAAAACAATAGTATTTTTAAAAATACAAGTAATATTAGGACTTGATTTTTATAAATTAAAAATAGAGAGAATAAATTATTTCCCGTATTATATTTGTATTTACTGATCTTTCCAACCTAAAGTTAAAAGCTCTATTCTTATTTGATTTTCTGTGGCTATTTTTCTTATTTGTGTATCTTCCAATTTATCCCCTCTTGTTTGTAATAATTTTAATTCTTGAATAGCTCGTAATTTTTTAAGTAGTGAACGAATTCTTTTGTTTTCATTATCAAAAGAATTTTGAACAGTAGAAGAATCTTTTAAATCTAAAGTAGTTTCTTGAGATAACGTACCATTAGTATTTAATGCATTATTAATTTCTATTTCTTTTACTTTTCTTGCAGCATCTCTTCTTTTTTTATTTTTTAAAGCAGCTTTACTGCAATTTAGAGCTTGGTTATGTATTGAAGTGCCTGCTCCAGGTACAATTGAGCTTATAAGTGGTGCTTTAGGTGCTGCTTTTTGAATATTTACTTCAACATTGATTTTCTCATCTTCTCTTTTATATTCTTCAGGAGTAGAGGTAGAACGAGCATGAGGAGGCCTATATGCCCCTACTGGTTTAGTTGGAGTTTTACTAGCTATTAGTGAAGCAGAAGAATGCGGTTTAGGTGCTGGCGAAAGAGATGAGCGAAGAGGATATATTTCAGGATCTTGCGGTCTCCAAAGAACCTATAAATAAATTAGATATCATAACCTAATAACTTTAATACCTGATAAAGTTCATTTATTTCTTCGCTATACATCAAAGTGCCAGTATAATGCCAAATTTTAATTCCATTATCTACTCTTAACCTTGGACTTGTTATTCCTGTTAAAATATGTCTACCATCAGGACTCCATTTACAAACACTAGCATTACTAGCTTCTATTGTTGCTATTTTTACCATTTTTTTTTCTTTATCATAAATATCTATTGTTCCTTGTAGATTCCCAAAACCAGCTACTAAAACAAACCGATCATGAGGAGAAAAAAGTATCGTATTACGGGGAGAAAGAGGTAAAGAATGGACGACGTTTGCTTGGTGATCAAAGATAGTAGCTTTAGATGGCATGTCTTTATTAAGTTAGTTTATTAATATATAAATCAATCATTGTACATACAGCCATATACTACCCCAAACTCGCGCGAATTTGGTGACCATGTTACATCATGAATAGGCCCTTCTTTATCTTTTAATTGTTAGATTCAATAGGTGTATTGATATTTCCTATTACCAAGAATAACTTTAGAATCGTAATTTCTTATTGCACTTAAAATATACATATTTGTTTCTCCATAATAACTTTTATTTGTTTTATCTACATCTGTAGATGTTGAAATAATTAATGTGGTTCCAATTTTGTTCCATTTCATCTGAATATTATCTGCTTTGTAAAATGCTTTTTGACTAACAACAAAAGAAAAAGTCGGAATATTATAAATTGATACAGTTGCCGGTTTTCCCTAATCCTAAGTATCAAGAATATATTTATAATGTATAATCAAAAACACCTTCATTTCCGGAATAAATACTGCAACTACATTGTTTCTCCCTGGAGATAATGAAAATGATGATACACCTTCAGCATAAAGCTTATATATAGGACCTGCAGAATATCAATTAATAAGTTGATATCCCTATAATCCAACTACCTTTCTCCATATTTGTAGCTTCAAAAAATTGAACTTCATTTGTTACTTTACGTGCACAAAGTTTCTCATCTGTTGTATATTGCAAATTCCTATATAATATACGTATAAGTTTGATAACTATATAAACCATACCAATTATAAATTACCATATTTGACTTTTTTGAACAAAAGAACATAATAATTTCGCTGTACTTATATTCCATATTTTAAGATTCTTATTGGCAGATCCATCTTCTGTTTTAGCTAAAATTATTATATTTTTGTAATTCAAAAGAAGGATAAAATTACATGGTCTTTGCCACGTAACGATATAATTGCTCTTTGGAGATAACATAATCTCACATACTTTAGGAATGTTTAAGATCTGAACCAATTCTCCTGTTGATGCATCGACAATTTTAACACTTCAATATTAAATATAAAATTATAAAATTTATTAAAAATAACTTTTCAGAGGAAGACCACGCAAAAAAGCGTCCATCAAGTCCGTACGAACATGTCAACATGTCTTTTCCTGGTCTAAAATGCATTTTTAATACTTATACAAGGATTTCATATTTAATGTTACTTATTAAAACCTGTGACTGGTGCATATAATGGATATCCATTTGTTAAACTAATATACTGTGCAGATCTGCCTAAAAAGCAATATTAAGCATTAGATCATTGAAAATATTTCTTACAAGCAAATTGTGTATAAACCATTCTCAAAAAATGTTTTTTTAAATATTTTGCAATTTTAAAATCGAGATCATATAATTGAAAAATAAAATAAAAAAATTATATAAAAATTATCAATTAAATAAGATTTTCACATGTAAAGTGGTGACCTGGTTCAATATATCAAATATATAGTTCTAGATAAAAAAATTACATTGACAAGCTTTAAGAGTTTTTATGACATATTTCTAGTTTCAGTTGATGGTTGATATTTTCTTTTATGGAGAAAAGTTTTAAAAATAAAAAATGATGACATTTTTTATTAAGCAAATAAACTGTAATATTTGTCTTGGTGAAAAAATTAACATTAAAAAAATACCAAATTAAATACCAAATTATTCTATTATAATAAGAAAATATATATTTATTAATGGAACAAAATTTAAAATATTTTAAAAACTGTTGAAACTAATTTAATGGCTAGATTTAATTTTAAGAAAAAAATCTTTAGAAGTTTAGAAATTATTCTTAATATTTGATTCAGATTATTTTCTGTTACAAATAAATATATAGTATTTTATATAAAAAATTTACAAAGTTTTAAATTAATATTAAAACATAAATTTGTTATATTTATAATTAATAGCAAAATAAAAATTATTTTTTTATTTTATATTTAATTACATAAAAATATATTGTTAAATATATTGTTAAACTTTTCTTAAAAATATTTAATTAAAAGCATAGCATTATCTTTAGTAAAACAGCATATTTTATTTAAAATATTTAAATTAAATATATTTTGCAATCAATATATATTCAAATTATGTTTCTGAAATAAAAGTATAAATATTGTGAAAATTTTATATGCTTTAAAATAAGTATTGAAGTTCAAGTAATTAAAAAAGTAATATTTTTAAGATATTCTGAATACTTTTATATTTTTATATATGCAATTATCTTTATTTATCTGATAAATTTTTAAATTTCGTTAAAATTTTTATCTTTGAGATTTATCTAATAAAATCTAATAAATAAAAAAATTATTATTATTACATTCTTAAGAATTTCATTTCCTATATTTTTGTTTTTTATTTTAGACTTATTTTTTAATTTATAAAATACTTATTTCATAAATTGAGAAAAAAATATATAACATTATAAAAAAATACGTTCAAGTTTTCTAGATTTCTTTTTGTTCTTTTTGTATTTTAGTTAATAAATAATATAAATAATCTTTTAATATCATAAATATATCATTTTATAAATAATGAATCATAAATTTTCGAACATTTCTAAATTTATCATAAAATAATCACAAAATAGTATATACGTTTTTTAAAAAAGAACCTTTTTAAACTATTCAATTTTAAAAAATAAACAACATTATTTTAAATGGGATTATTTATTTTCTATCAATAAAATGAAAAAGTAATTTTACATATCAACTTTTTTAAATACAAGATGAAAACAAAACCTAAGAGAAAACATACATCGAATGGAAGGCATAGGTTTTATAAAACAAAAAGATGTCAGAGGGGGATCGACCAAATTCATGAAGATATTGCAACATCTGAATCAAGAGCAGCGTTATTATCACAAGAAATCAACCCTGATTTACCAGGACTTGGTATAAAAATCTTTATTAATAAAAGAAAAAAATTCTTAAACATATAGGTCAACACTATTGTATTGAGTGTTCAAGATATTTTGAATCAAATAATGCATTAGTAAAACATCAGTCTGGAAAATTTCATAAGAAAAGGTTAGTTTTAATATTATTAATAATCCTTTAACTGAAAACTGCAGAGTGAAACTTCTTAAAGAAGTACCTTACTCCCAGAAAGAAGCAGAAGCTGCAGTTGGTATAGGTGTTAAGGATAACATATTTTGTACTTTCTAAAACTGATATATAAACGTAATGTTTTATATAAAGAAAATAAATCCTATAATTTTAAGCAAGTTATATTTGGACAATAATCATCATCTATTTTGAATCATATTTATTATTATTATTATTATTAAAATTCTAATATTTTATTGTAAAATAAATTTCATTATTAGATTTTATCAATACATTATCTTCAAAAAAGCTTTTAAATGCTATGCAACTTTTATGGCTTTTAATATTCATCAAAATTTACATGTCCTGTTGTCTTAACATGTTCTAATGCATCCTTTTTTCCACGAAGACTCATATGACAGTCTTTACATTTTAATAAGAAATTTGTTGTATCTGTATAATAATGGATTTTTCGTAAATGATCCGTAAGCTTAAAAATAGCATTCTTTACATCTAAGTCCTCAACTGAAAATATTGTTGTATCAAAGTCAGGCGACGCACCTGATCTTGGTGTTAACGCGATAGCATCGTAATGAATCCCTTATTTCCTGTTAATAAACATAAAATCATTTTTCAGATTTAAATATTACCTGAATACACAATGAACCCACACATAGGCCTTCCTTCTCCTAAATGTATTTAGTTATTTAAAAATTAAATTTAAAAATAAAAAAAAAACAAAAAAAAAAGCATATGAACGTACCAAAACGATCAGCTCTTCCTGTAGCAACATCTATTGAACATATCTCAATATCAAAATGGTTAGCGAGAATTGATATTTCAATTGCTCCACCCCAACTGTTAGTCTTATTAATCCATTTACAATATTCGTCCCTTGAACGTCCAAGAATTACATCTGAATATGTTATTGGATCATTTTGAATTGCTTGTGCAACTAATGACCGTAATTCATTTGCTGTATCCATTTTTCCCATAATTAAATATCCTACTGCACGAAACAAACATGAATTGCTATTCCATTATTAAGTAACTAAAATTTGTAATCTGAAAATATACTCATTCTCCATAACTCTAAGAACTACTTTTTCGTCTCCATGTGCAAGCTCAATCTCTGGTGGGGAAAATATATCATATGAGGATTCAGAAACATGTGTTTGTGCTAATTCCGCTGGAAATGTACTTTTTTGATTAAAATTTTGACTTTTTTTAGGTGAAAAAAATGAAGAAGTTTCGATGTCTTTAATTATAAGGACTTCTGCATCACGGATGTCAAAGAATTTCAAAGTCTTATCAGAATCAGAAATATCGATTTTCCGTGGAGGAAATTTATGTTTTATTTCAAAATTATTAACATCTAAAACAGACATAATAGCTGCTTGAAGATCTTCAATTGTATCTTCTTCATTCAATTCAATTTCATGTACACTTTCTCTGTATTTAATTTTTAGGCGCATTTTAATAAAAATTCAAGATTATTACGATGTCAAACGTTAAAAAAAAATGACAACACTGACATTAAAGTCTTTTTTACAGAAAAGTCTTCATAAGACATGGAGAAATTCAGTACTAATCAATCCAGTTATTGCAGGTTTTTTTTTTTTTAAAAAAAGTTTTAGATTTAATGTTTATTAGAACGTGCAGTTAATACTTTGGAATTAAATACATATCATGATGCAACTATTATTGAAATGAGTCCAGGTAGATCTCGTGTTGAATTAAAAATATTTTTAATCTGTTAAGGTCCAGGAATGATGACTCAAGCACTGTTAAAAAAAATTAGACCGAAACATTATATTCTTATGGAACCCAATAAAACATTTCATCCAATTCTTGATGTAGAATCATTGGATTCAGTATAAAACTATAATTTTAATATAATTAATAGAAAATTCGAGAGAAAGCACCTAATCAGATTATTTTAACAGAATTAGATGGTTTTTTATGGTCATCATATTCTAAGTTAATAACTCAAGAATTATTTAAACCACCATGCCAATCAATGGATCAGATTCACACATCACTTTTGTTTATGGCGCATCTTCCATATGGGTCTTTGGGAGAACAGTTACTTGTGCAATTTTTTACTGCACGTTTTGATGAAATATGGATTCATCAGTATGGGCGAATACGTATGCTTCTTTGGGTTACAACACCCTTAGCAAAAAGACTTTTAGCAATACCTGGAAAACAAGGAAGGTGTAGACTTAGTGTTATTTGTGAATCTGTTGCTGATTGCAGAATTATTGTTGGAAATAATGATTTTCTAGGGTTACAGCCTACATTAAAAACAGTATCAAATGATTTTATTCGAGAGGTTAATAAAATGAAGCATTTGTTATTTTATTTATATATAATTTTAGAAAGATTTAATATTAATAGAGGTTATTCCATTATCAAAAATTCCAATCAAATGTAAGTATCAAACATTATCTTTTTTTATTTTTTAGTAATTTTATATCAATAAAGCTTCACTAGAAATATTTGATTATGTTGTTAAGCATCTTTTCGCTTTGAGAAAAACACCTCTTATAAAAGCATTAGGGTAATTTTTGTTAAAAAATGAATATTTATAATTTCTTTAGAACACTCGGGCCAGGTGCTGATGTATTAGCAAAGGAATTATCCTTAGAATTACTTGAAAAAAAAATAGATGAAATGACACGAGAAGATTTTGATGAAATTGCACAACTTTTTGATAAATGGCCCTTTAGACCTAAAATACTGTTTGATCAGTGGATAGATAATAAAGAAGGATCATCCAATATAATTGGTGATATATAAAACATAATTAATTGTATTATGGAAATAAATGGCGCAAAATAGTTTCTGTAAACCGGCATAAAGTGAAAATAATATTACAATTAAACTATTGGGAAAAGATATTAATCATTCATTACATTATATTTCTGTGATTGTTTTTGGCTTATTTTTTTGTTGGTTTATTATGAATCAATATATTCACATAATTGAGGTCCCATAAAAAGCATTTAGGTAGAGTTCATATGTACTTCTACAAGTGTAATGTCATACAGATATCTTGTATTATAAGGAACATAAAAATATTTGAAATTATCTATATAATATATTAGTAAATTTTAAAAGACATTAATTATATAAAATTCTAAAAATATATTCTAAAATACAACTTTATCTTTCTTAAATTTTGATATTCAAATCCATAAATAATATCTTTAACCTGACATTTTAGATAATAAGTTATTATTTTAATTTCTTAAATGCCACGCAATAATGTTTAAAACAAATATCTTTACTTTTGTATAAATTCGAAAATACTATGTTTTCATATTTCTTATATTAATCAATAGATTAAAAAATGCATATAATTATATGTTAAATATTGAGTTTTCAAATAAAATAAACATAATTTTTATATTAAAAACTTATAAGCTATAATTAAATTTGTCTATCAAATATTTATAAAAATATATGAAACTTTTTAAATTTTTTAAAATTATTATTTTTTTTAAGCTATTAAATTAATAAAAACAAAAGATTAATAAGATTAATAAATATATATTTCTTATTTTTACTTATAAAATTTCTTATAAAAAAATTATATTTATAAAAAAATTTTTATCAATTTTTGAAAAAAAATAAATTAAATTTCCAAAATTTGATTGAATATTTATATATCATATTTTTTTAAAATCATATTTATTACTTTTATTCTCTTAAAAATTATCAAATAATCAATTAAAAATAGTTAATTTTTAACGTTAAAATAATTACTGTTGCTATAAATAAATATTAAATAAAAATGTTTTAAAGAAAATGTCTGGATAATTCGTATAGAGTTTTCTTTTTCTTTTGTTTTATTATGAAAACATTTTTATCTTTAAAAAATAATTTTCAGAATAAAATATTATCCGTTCCTCAAGTAAAACTTGGTAGAATCTGGGGACAATATTTTCAAAGTATATCAAAAAAAATAATCCTTAAAAAACCTCAATTTTATTGTGATTTATTTAGTTTAAGATTTTATCCAAGAAAAGATTTGAATACACCTTCTTCAAACGGTGAAAATATTGAAAGAAGTGTTTATAGAATTAGTCGCCAGTCAAATATCTATTACCTTAGAGGGTTAATTCGTATAACTGTTTTAACGTCTAAAAAGAGGATATCAAATGTTGCATGTATTAGATCTAAAATACGTCGGCGTTTAAGAGAAGCTGCTCGCCAAGTTTTACTTTCTCGAAATAAAAATAATTTTCCTTATTTACCAGGTACTTATATACCTTTTTTAAAAAATATATATTAAACAAATTAAGTTGTACCATATGATTTATTTTTTGTAGCAAAAGCAAATATACTAAATGAGGATTGGAAAAAATTACTTTGGTATGTAAAAAAAGGACTACAAAAGGCTCAACAAGTATTAAATAATGGACATGCATCAGATATGTTTATTTCAATTAAAACAAATGATTTGAAGAATCTTCCTATAGAGGATTCATGTTTAAAAAAAGGATCAAATCAAAAAATTCTCACTTATCAGTCTTTTAAAACGAAGCTTTTAAATGATCTGAAGAGACAAGAAATATCTTCTCAATCTAATAACCTTATTTCGCTTCAATTTATTCATTTTGTTATAAAACTAACAAATTCACCGTGTAGTACATCAACAGATATCCTTTCTAAAAATATACTTTTTTTATTAGAACATTATAAATTAAGAAAAATTACATTATTTGATGTAGAAGCATTAACAAATTCTTCTAAACAATTCTATGATTTAAATACTAATGAAAATTCTGATATTAATAAAGTGTTAGAAATAGATGATTAGTCGTATATTTTAATTTAATGATTTTTATAATTATTATAATTATTCTAATTAAAATATTATATTACTAAATTAATAATGTACTTTTGATTTTCTTATTTTTTGAAAATCAAAAATTGAGTATAATTAAATTACTAAATGTATGGACTGTTTAGAGTGTAATGAATTAAATATTTAATATTTTTATAATAAGAATGTTAGAAATTGTATGACACTAATTAGGGGATATTTATTGCATTTTTAAATTATAAAACATTTAATAATTATCTATCAAAAGAAACAAAAAAAATGAGTGAATAAAAAATAGTTTTTTTAAATGTAATTTAAATTAAATCATAATTTTAATATTTGAAAATATAAATCAAAATCTGAATCATTTTTAATACAAAATTTAAATTTTTAAATTATGAATTTGAAGCATTTGTTTACTAATCAATTTTAAACCTAATTATGTTACTATTTCAGATATTGTTTCTTTTTTATCTCCTTGTTGTCGGCGAGCAATTGCTTGTGCTAAAACTTGAGTTCTAAAATTTAATCCTTTTGTACGTTCAATAACTTGTTGATATATAGGTTGAGAAAGATGATTCATAACAATAGTACCCTTTAATGTTAATATATAATATACATATCGAAAAAATATATTTACTTCTTTAAAATCTATTTTTGCATTTAAATCTATAAGATCGTCATGAATAAACTTAACGATTTGATCATGTGAGAAATTTAATCGTTTCGAAAGGTCACTGATTTTTTAATGTAAAAAAAGCGAAATAATATATACTTACTCAATATCAATACGTTGATAAATCTTACAATAAGCTTCCGCCATAAGATAATGTGCAGAATTAACAAATTCAGAACACATTCCTACTAAAAAAAAGTCATTTTTCAATATTTCTTCTGCTTCTTTAAGAGAATTCTGAGCATCTTCAAAATCAAACTGAATATACAAGACTTTAATAAATTGTATAACAGGATCCATATATTCATATGATTCTTGGTCAATCACTTTTACTAATTCTTTCATACGACGTTGATAATGCATTGCATTTCGTACTTGTGATCGCGTTGTAATAACTGCAACAGTTAAATATCTTAAAATCCATGGACATGATGTCTGAATTGTGTTCATATATGATGGAGAAAAAAATAATTCACAAAGAGCTATTCTTCCTGTTTCGTGATTAAAAAAAGGGAAAAGAGACCAATGAATTAGCCACGTCCGATGTTTAAGTTGAAAAATCGGACTAGAAAAACTCTAATACAAATCGTTAAAGAACTGTCTTTTTTTTTAAATAAAAAACCTTTGTATCAATAATTTCTTTTAATTTATTTACTTCTTCTAAAGCACGTTCCCAATTAACAGTCAAAATCTCAGATGCTAACTTTCCCCATGTTGCAGAAACATTTAACTCATTATCCATAGACTTAAAATATATTAACTTTCATAACTTTAAAAAAATGAGGATTACTAAGGCTCTAAAATGATAAAGAAGATCCACTGCACTTGCATAGTTACCAGAATTATATTGAAAATTTCCAAATTTGTACAAGGAATTAATCATTTCAACAGTAAGCTAGTTCACTATATCAGAATTTTGTGATATTTTACTTTTTTTAAAAAAAAAAAAAAAAAAAACAAAAATACATACTCCATGTGAATCTTTCAAATATTGCAAATTTTGTGCTTTATCTTGTTTTAAAGCAGCGATTACCTCAGGATTGTCAAGCACTTCTAAAACCTTTTGACTTTCACTATTTAGTGCATCAAACATTTCTACTTCTTCTTTTTTTTTGGTAAACTCTATATAACTTTTAAACAAAGGATCTATAAAACTTATTTCTTGTGATAAATTTATAATATAATCAGTCATATAAGTTTCAATTAATAAATCATATTTTGCCTGAAGCATAACTTTCTTCTCATATATATTTTTTTCCTGTAAAAATTCCAATAAAGGAAAAATTAAATGTTTGTCAAGATACGGAAGCATACGTGGAACAAGATCATATTGAGAAGGATCTATTAAGGTTAGTATGTAAGAAAAGAAATTGGCTAAAGTAGGACCTGAAGATATAAACGATGCCTTTTCCTTTATTTCAGAATACATTTTAAACGAAACATTAAGATTTTAAAACTTGTCTATCGCTTAAATTTTAGATGTCGATTATAATTTATCAATTTTAAAAAATGAAACCTTTAATTTTTTATTAAAAAATTAAAATGCATTTTCTTACACAAAAAGAAACAAGATTTTCTATGGAACTTTTTGAAAAAATTAAAAGTCCTTTTTTTTTTGAAAAAAAATTAATATTTTTTGGTATTTTTTTTTGAAAAAATACAATCAATAAACTTATTTTTATAATAGGAATAAATAAAATCTTACTTAGAAACAATAAATTCTTTTCCTGTTCTACACGTTATCAGGACTATATCGTTAGAAGGACACGTTTTGGAAGTCTTCCTGTTTATTTGGATATTAAAGGTGGAGGAACTAAATTTCAAACAATCATTCGAAGAGTAGAAGGAGATGTTTATGTAAAATAAATGAGATTTATTCAATTATCTTAACGTCCTAGGAACTATGTAAAAAACTTGAAAAAGACCTTAAACTAAAAGAAAAAGAAGCGTTCGTTAACCATTTAACAAGACACATAATTATAAAAGGCTCGAAAGTAAGACAAGTGAAAGATATACTCTCCAAAGATGGATTTTGATTTATAATATGCATGAAAATATATCCCAAAGATGATTCCAAAGATAAGTGATATTATATACAACTTGGTTTATATAATTCTAAAATATGAAAAAATGTATTAAAATGTATTATAATGTTTCTATCATATTATCCTCTTCAATTAAAGACCATAAATTTTTTATAATCATACCATCCATATGTGGAGTAAGAAGACTTCCTAAAAGCTGTTCTTTTTTTGATGTAAAAAATACATGATACATTTCATTGAGTGGTTTTTCTTTTTTAGCTTTTTTAATTAAAATATGTAAAATGTTCATTATACGTCGCGCAAACCGGGAAAATGGATTTGACTCAATATTATAAAGTTGATGGGGTAGTTGACCACCTCCAATTGAACTAAGTAAACAAGCCAATCTTATAAGACTATTAGGAAAACCATCATCAGCGAATAGCAAAGATCTAGCAAGAGTGGTTTCTTTTGGAAAAATGCTAACAATTGTTTCTGCAGCAAGTGTACAATGCTCAAGCAGAGCAAGCCGCATCTCACATGTATGAATTGGATGAGTTAGACTAGATAAAGGTATTGGTGATATGCATAATAGAAGCGCTCGGATAAAAATGTTGTCTCTAAGACACTGTTTAGAAGATATTGAAATCATAACTTTTGTAAAAGTATGTCGATTTGGAAAACTTCTTGCAAATAGTTTTGCGAGAGTATCTACAGCTGCTGGAAGGTATGGATGTAGTGTTGGATTGTAAGGTGTAAATACAATTTTATCTGGATCAGACGAAATATTTGAATAAGGAGAAAATGCAATAATTAAAGAAATTATTGCTCTAGCAGTAGAAACGTTTTCTATAAGAACACTTTGAGAAATATTTGAAAGAAGAGTAATCAGATCTTTTGCTAAGTCTAGTCGTAAACGGCATGATATTTCTGGAATGTCGGTTTTTGATGTCATTATTATTAAGTGTTCTATTAGAGTAAGTAATGATATGTTTTTTGCCATAAAATCTTGATTTTCTTCGGTAAAAGATAAATTTCTTAAAATAGTTGTAATACATAAAATTTTTTCAGCAGATTTAGTTTTTTCATAAGCTAAACTTCCTGGTCGACAATTAACGGTTAAATTTTCTATCTCATCATAACATAAATTTATCATTTGCTCATAAGATAGCACAGACATAGTCTCATCCATTACCTTTATATCCTCAACTAATAAACTATACTCATCATCTGCCATTTCTATTATACAATCCAATAACTCTTCACATTCTATAAGTGGTAACCCCCATCTTTTGTCTCCTGTAATAATGGTAAAAACATCAAGTGCTCTATTAACTTCTGAATGCAATCTTGACTTAATACTCATTATTAGAGCATAAATATTAACGGTACCCAATTCATGTAATGTAGGTGGTCTACACTTGAGGTCTTCTAAATCTGAACTCATTTTTGTTATTAGCTGCATATCAAAGCCACCATAGGTTTCAATAACTCGTTTCTTTGGTTTATATACTTGTATAGAAGATATTTGTGATGAAGTGTTTGTCAATTGAAGATTATCAGCATTAACCAAAACTCCCGATTGTAATGCAGGTTTCAATGGCACTGAATATTCTTGAAAATGGCAAGCCTTACTTTCCGCATTACAATTCATATTTTTTTGTGAATCGTCTTGTTCTTGAACAAACCCATGCTTAACTTTATCAGAAAGTGGCAATTGTACTTGTGCCTGTTGTTGCATCAGCAGTTGCTGATTATATGTCCATGCTTCTTCGTACGGTGCAAGATATGTTTTATAGCATTCTGCTAATTGCTGAGCGCCATTTGGTATTAAATTAATACCAAGTGCCTGCGCAATACTCGGCCACGCATTAGTTTGTATAACCTTGTACTGCCCACCTAGACGCATCACGTGAATATACAATGCTATTAAATTCACCTGCTGTTCACCAATATACGGAATCGCAGTTATTGGCGTGCCTCTTTTGTTCATAAACTCCATTAAAGATACCATAAGATTATCTGAAACACCCTGTTTTACTAATGTTGACGGCATTGTCGATGTGGTAGAAGCAGATGAGCGTGCAGTTGGAACTATTTTTTGAAAATATCCAGTACCTGTATAAAAAGGCAACGTAGAATGCGGTTGAGAAAGCGACGGCGAAATAGCAGTAACAGCACTTGAAGATGGTGGAAACGAAGACGGAACTCCAGCAGAAGCACACATTGGCCCATTAATTGAAGCACCCATTGCAGGGTTAATTGGCGCTGTCATTTGAAGACCTGCTTGAGAATTTATTTGATTATTAATTGATGCATATGGTGCACCAGATGCACCTGGTAAAGCATGTGTACCATATCCATAGATAAGACCAGGTGTGTAAATAGATTTCCCAGTTCTTTGTCCTGCTGTACCAACGTCTAATGATGTTCCCGATGTGTATACAGGATAAACCGCTTCTGAAAGCCCTGTTGAATCCTGTCCTTGTGCATACACTGGAACTGCATGAATTCCATGTGTTCCTGCTTGCATTCCCTGATGATGTTGCACTGCTTGTTGTTGACTAGATGTCCATTCATAAACAGGCTGCATCATCCACGGAACATATGTAGACTCAGCTGTTTTGAAAAATCTTGCTGAGCTCTCATCTAGAGACGTCTCCTCCATCAAATGTGCTCAATTAAGGCTTAGAGATAGGGTTATCAAATACTGATGTGGCAGCCGTACTAGTCGTGAATAACCATGACGTGTTGTACAAGTCTGTGAGAGGATCCGCATATGAATAAACGTTTCCTATTTGACAGACAAGGTAACGTCGTCGTATGTTTTAGTATAAATAGAAAAAAGGACTTTCTCTATATGCACATTATTAGTTAAATAACGTCCGTCAGCTTATCCGTTTTTTTCCAAGTCGAAAATTAGTTATAGTGTGTACGAAAGCTTAAGAAAAAACACTAAGTGCGTATAATCTGAGTATATATACACATTTATACTATTTTATATAGTGCAAATAGCTTGATCAATGTAATTTAGTGCATTTATTTTAGAGCATAGCTTGGAGTCCTAAATATAAAATCCAGATGCACAACGTGTATACAAGGCGTATACAAGACGTATATACCGGGTATGTACTAAATATATACCGGGTATAAAGAGAATATAAAATGCAAAAATACTCGTATTACTGAGTGCATCTGCCTTTTATTTCTACTCTGAAAATGTATTAATTTATTTGTTCAAGGCCGAAATGCGTGTATAATTTTTGATATATATTGCGCATTTCGATAGTTTAATTCACTTGTACCGTACAAATTTTATCTAATATATACAACTCAATTTTAGACTTTGCACTCTTGACTAGATAATGTCTTCCCAACATACAGTATACAAAAAAACAAAATCAAATACACTCTTGCTTTATCAAAACGCTCTCTCGTCACCAGACCATTATTCACGTGATTCATGTATATATTGAACCATGGCATTTTATGCTTTTTTATGTTTTTGGCCATAGTATTTTATGCTTTCTGACCATTTACTGCTTACATACTGCAACTGTGTCTAAAACATACATATTTTTACAAATCATGTGCACACTTGTGTATTTTTGCCCTGCCTGGAATATCACCGTTTCACGTAAATTATATCAGAGGTATGCATGCGATACTGCATACAGGATATATGCGTATTGTATGCATTATGCTGCTGATTTTAGACTTTCTATTTCTAAACTAGCATTTCTACTGCCCACGACTCATTGAAACACGCCTTGTTTTCGCTTGCAATATATCTCGCAACCAGGCAGTCGCTTATATTGCTGAATGAGTCTGATGCTCGCCCGTTGCATATATGCATATTTATTGTATATATGCGTTGTACAGAGCACTATATGCACTGCATACCATGCATTTCCAGCCATTACATGCTATTTATGCACATTCTGTTGCACATTTTGCATTTTGCTACACGTCGCTTTTGCTTACTTAGCATCTTAGCGTTGATCAGGAAACACTCGTCAAAAACATTTAAAAACAAAACTACCAAAGTATTGCTGAAAACCAAGCAAACCACGCATATTCCACGCATATCCTCCACAAAATGGGGATCCCCGGCCTCTGGGCTTCCCTTGAGCAGTCCAAGGAGCGGATCTGTACTAACCCACGCACCTGCTTCCCCATCGGCGCTAACAAAAACAGCACTGGCAAAACTCGCTTCCGATGCCTATCTCTCAGACCACCGGTCTCCCCGGGGCCTCCGACTCGGTATCGACACTTCCATATGGCTTTACCAGGTCCGTGCCGCTCAGGGCGGCCAGAATCCTGACCTCCGCACCTTGTATTTCCGCCTCTGCCGCCTCCGTTACCTCGGCATCCTCCCCGTTTTCGTGCTCGACGGCCCCCATAGGCCCTTCTTCAAGAGAAAGAAGACAATACGCAAGTCCGCCTTCCTTATTGCTGACATGGTCCGCCTCATCAAGCTCTTCGGCTTCCCCGTCTGGCTCGCCCCCGGTGAGGCCGAGGCCGAGTGTGCACTCCTCCGCAAGAATTCCATTGTCGACGCCGTCATGTCCGAGGACGTCGATTGCTTCCTCTTCGGTTCCGACCTCGTCATTAAGGACTGGGGCCCTAACCCTTCCGATCCTTCCGACCCCTCCTCCCCCTCCGGCTCCTCTCACGTCTCGCTCTACCGCCTCGCTCGCATCACCCAGGACTCTCGCCTCGACCGCTCCGGTCTCCTCCTCGTCGCTCTCATGTCCTCCGGTGACTATCACTCCGGCATTCCCCACTGCGGAATTAAAACCGCCATCGATGCCGCCAGAGCTGGCTTCGGCGACGCCCTCCTCTCGCTCGTGCACTCCAACTCCGATCTTGCCCATTGGAGACGCTCCCTCGAGCACTCCCTCCGCACCAATGCCCACGGCCACTTCTCTTCCAAGCACCCCTCTCTAACCCTCCCCGCCCACTTCCCCTGCCTCGACATCCTCGGCTCCTACACCGACCCCGTGACGACCCCCGAGCCCCATCTCCGCAGGAAGGCCTCACGCCTCACCTGGGCGTGGCCCATTGACCTCCGCGCCCTCCATCGCTTCGTCTTGCTCCACTTCTCCTGGTCCGGCCTCCCCGGCCTCTCCCGCTTCATGCACTCCTTTGCGCCCTGCGGCCTCGTCTCCCTCCTCATGCACCCTCCGCACCGCGCACCCTCTCGGGACACCCCCGCGTCCGATATCAGACACTACCTCCGCACACGCACACCCGCCACTGCCCTCCCGTGGCCCCTCGGCGTCGAGGTCGGTCCGCCCAGGACGCATGCGTCCACTGACTATGCCCCCGAGCTGCGCATCTCCTTCTCCCCGCGCACACTCCTCTCTGCCCTGTGCCCACCGCCTGCAGCAGCCCCTGCGCCCGACACACTCGACGCCCTGCTTGCGGGCGTCCACCCGCCACGCACCGCTGTCTGGGTCCTCGAGCCGTACCTCGAGCCGTATCTCGCTGCACGCCCCAAGGCCAAGCCCCCACGGCAGCCTAGTCCGGCGCATAATCGGACACCCGCGTGTTCAGACGCAGGCTTATCAGCGGCACGCGGTCGAAATCGGCCGTCTCGACAGTAGGCATCCGCGTCTGAGTATGAGCAGCGATGGGCACCATGTAAGTGGCGCCAGTAACAGCAGTCAGCGCTGACGGCACATTAGAAGGCAGAGGACGCAGGCGTAGAGGCGGCAGAGGCAGGAGCGGGAGAGGCGCCGCCGGCAGCGCCGCCGGGCGGATACACAGAGGAAAAGAAGGAGGCGGGGAGAGAGGAGGAGGGAGACGTGTTTGCACAAACATACGACATCCGGGCGGGGAACCCGTTCCCAGAAGACCCGGAGGCACCGGTGGAGAAGCGACAGTTGACGGTGCGGGCGATTCTGGTGGGAAGCTTCCTGGGGGCAGTGGTGACGGCGTCGAACATCTATTTAGGGCTGAAGACGGGATTTACGTTTGGGGCACAGCTGTTTGGAGCGATCTTTGGGTTTGCAATTCTGCAGTTTGTGTCGCGGACGCTGCCCGAGTGGTTCGGCGGGGGGTACTTTGGGCCGAAAGAGAATTGCACAGTGCAGACGGCGGCGACGGCAGCGGGGGGGATGGCAAGCATGTTTGTGTCGTCGATCCCGGCGATGTATACGCTGAGTTTGCTGGGGAAGGGGCCGGAGGAGGACTTTTGGCGGTTGATAAGCTTTACGGCGGTGAGTGCGTACTACGGGATCTTTTTCGTGATTCCACTACGGAAATTCTATATCCTGTATCAACGGTTGGTGTTTCCGACGTCGTCGGCGTGTGCGCTGACGATCCGGTCGCTGCACTCGGGGACGATTGCACACTCGGTGATCCGGAAAAAGACATGGTCTCTGGGGCTGTCGTTTCTGTTTGCGATTCTGATGCGGGTTTTCTCGGACTACGCACCGGGAATCATGTGGAACTGGCACGTTTTTTGGTGGCTGTATGAATGGGGGTGGAAGGGAGCGATTGTGGTCGAGAACTGGGGATGGTGGATTCAACTGACGCCGGCGTTTTTGGGCGTTGGGTTTTTCACGGGGATGAACGCGGCGTACAGCTTTTTCGTGGGGTCAGTTGTCGCATGGGGGATTGTAGGGCCGATTATAGCGAGGACGGGGACGGCGCCGCAGTATGTGACGTTGTCGCCGGAGCACCCAGACTGGCGCGGGTACCATTCGATGAATCTCCGATCGCGGCTGAGCCCGAAGGGGTTTGATCCGATCCGGTACCCGTCGCCTCGGTACTGGCTGCTATGGCCCGGGGTGATGCTTATGCTGTGTGCGTCGTTCGCGGAGATCTTTATGAGCGGGGGGATTATATGGCGCGGGATTAAGCAGGTGTTGCAGTCGATCTACTACAAAATACGGAGACAAGAGTCGCAGGTGTTCAAGGATGCGATTGATGACCCGGCGCCGCCTCATACACAGATTCCGTCATGGCAATGGGTGCCTCTGCTGGTGCTTTCGGCGGTTTTTACGTGTCTGGTTCTTTTCTTCCAGTACGGCATAGGGATTGGGCTGTCGCTTTTGTCGATTCTGCTGGGGTTCGTTTTTTCATTCATAGGAGCACAGTCGACGGGGGCGACGGACGTGAATCCGCTGTCAACGTGTGCCAAGAGTTCCCAATTGATTTTTGGGGCGATATCAAGCGGGCAAAAGATGGACGAGGTGCTAGCACAGCGGCTTAACCTTATAGCGGGGTCGGTGGCGGCGTCGTCGGCGTCTCAGTCAGTCGACATGATAGGAGACTTGAAAACGGGGCATCTTCTTGGGGCACAGCCGAGGGTTCAGTTTTACGCACAGATTATCGGGTCGTTTTTTTCGATTTGGTTGAGCGTAGTTCTTTACATTTTGTTCAGCAAAGCGTATCCGTGTTTCACGTCTCAATTCATGCCGGATTATCCGCCGACGGAGACGTGTGTGTTTGGAGCACCGGCGGTGGCGGCATGGAGGGCAATTGCGAGCGCCATGACGAATCCCGAGCTGCAGGTTCCCCCGTCTTCGGGGTATACGTCGATCGTGCTTGGTATCGTATCGGTGGTAGCTGTGGTGTTTAAGCATTCGTATTGTCCGCAAAAGTACCGGTCTTATATCCCGAATTTCAATGCGATTGGGTTGGGATTCGTTGTGCCGCAGACGTATTACGCGACGGCCATGATTATCGGAGCCATTATAGCCCATTACTGGAAGAAACATAAGCCGGTGTCGTACGATATTTACGCTCTCGCGATTGCGACGGGTTTTGCCGCAGGAGAAGGCATGGGGGGTGTGGTGAACGCTGTTTTGCAGATTTCGGGGTTGCCTGGTCACAAGTATGGTACACGGGTTGGGTGTTCTTACGATACATGGTGTGGTTGAAACGGTTTTTTTTCTTTCATTCCTTATACTTGAACGTATTTATTATTGCACCTGTGAAAAAACTCAAACTACCGAAAAATTATTATCTATCTATGGGTTGCTTGACATTTGGCTTTTAAAATATTTAACGATATACATTTATCCACAGCATTATATTTATATTTATTTTCTGTAACATAAGTTTTCGTATATATATATATATAAACCCTTTGAAATATAATTTATTCTTATCTATTTGTCTATTGGTTTGAGTAAAGCAATTTTTATTACTGAGTATATACTGAGTATATACTCAGTATACATGAGTATCGAGTTAGATGGGGCTCGGAAAGCAAATATTCGAATATTTGGTTTTTAAAATAGAAAAGGGCTTTTAAGCCCTTTAAAATGAGCAAAACATGTCGGATTTTTCTTCTCTTTCATGGGAAGAGATTGGTGTTTCTTTGACACCTTGGATGTTTGTTTTTTTTGAAAAAAAAACTCAATTAATATTTTTGAATAGAAGAAACGCCATGGATATTATGGGATTTCAGAAAACAACGCCTGTACAAGCAAGTACGATCCCTCTTTTTATGAAAAACAAGGATGTTGTTGTTGAGGTATGCCTTTATTGTGTTTTTTTTTGCTTAATATTAGGCTATAACAGGATCAGGAAAAACCTTGGCTTTTTTGGTGCCTATACTGGAGAAGTTAATTAGGAGAGAAGAAGCATTAACTAGGCATCATATAGGGTCATTGATTGTTTTGCCTACGAGGTTTGTTGCGGTATACGTTGGGTGATTGGTTTAAAATTAAACAGAGAATTAGCAACTCAAATTTACCATGTTTATGAAACTATTATGAAAATGTCGGAAGAAACAGATTTAAATTTAAGAGCACAGCTCGTGATTGGAGGAGTAATGACTATACAACATGATATATCCGAGTTTGATAAATTATCGCCATCAATCATTATTGGAACTCCTGGTCGTATAGATGATTTCCTTTCATCATCTATCGTTAAAACTAAAGAATTAGAGATACTTGTTATGGATGAAGCAGATAGGTTACTAGATATGGGATTTTTGCCTACAATAGAATCTATTATTAGAAAATTGCCTAAACAAAGACGAACGGGTCTTTTTAGTGCTACGATGACAGATGCAGTTGACAAATTGATCAGAACAGGATTAAGAAATCCAGTTAAAATAGTGGTTAGAGTAGGAAATCAGAAAAATGGCCAAGAGGACAAACGAATTCCTTCATGGTTATTTTCTTTCCCTTCATTTGACATCATTATATTTAATTCTTTTAGTTTGCAAATAGGATATATTGTTGTAAAATCAGAAGAAAAATATTTACAACTAATTAGGCTTTTAAATTATTCACTTGTTAAAGAGAAAATGAAAAAATTTATCGTTTATTTTCTTTCATGTGTTTGTGTTGATTATTTTTCCCTAGTTTTCTCACAAATTCCACATTTAAAGGAGACGTTTAAGATATTTTCTCTTCATGGCCGCCAAAGTTCATCTTCAAGGATTAAAAATTACAAGAATTTTTTCAATACGTTATCAGGAACACCAGCAATATTATTTACTACGGATTTAGCTGCGAGAGGTCTTGATGTCCCTAACGTCGATATGGTTATTCAAGTGGATCCTCCATTAGATCCAAAAGTATTTTCACATCGCTGTGGAAGAGCCGGAAGAGCCGGTAGACCTGGTAAAGCTGTTGTTATGTTAAATAAAGGAAGGGAAGAAGATTATGTACACTTGTTAAAAGTAAGAAAAATACCTGTTGAGGCTTTAAGAAAAATTGGGGAAAATGGTGATCTTATAGAGAATGAAGAATGTGAACCTAAAGAAGAAATATTCTCATTAGTTAAGGAAATACGAAATATTGTTAAGAAAGATAGGGATTTGTATGAAAAGGTATATCAATTTTTATTTTTTTGATGAAAAGATTATAACTGTATTTAGGGTTTAAGGGCATATGTATCTTACGTGAGGGCATATTCAAAGCATCAAGCACATTTCATCTTTCGTATTAAAGATCTTGATTTTTCTGGAATAGCATATTCTTTTGGGTTACTTCATCTTCCTAAAATGCCGGAATTAAAAAATATAACACTGGATTTTGAAGAAGAAATTGTAGATGTAAAATATCTATAGTTATTTTTCTTTATACTAATTTATTCCAGAAAGATAAATTGGTTTATACTAATAAAGCAAAAGAAATATCTAGATTGAGAAAAAATGAAAAGTTAATAGATCAAAAAAAAAATATGATTTTAAACAAGAAAAACTCAATTTCATGGTCAAAAAATATAGAATTAAAGAAAAAACGAAAATTTTCTAAAAACAAACGTAAACTTAGGAAAGAATAACTTTCTTTAAAAGAAATTTTGGAATATTAAATTAGAAAATACAAAAATAAAAAAAGTATATGTATATAATGTATTATAGTATAAGAATAATTTTAATATCTTTTTTTTACTGTAGTAGATATTGATATCGTAGAATTTTATATACATTATATTTTAATACTCGATGATTTCATTAACATTTACGTCTTTAAAATTATTAAACGTTGAAAAATAATATCGATTAAAAATATTATGAATATTACAAATAACCATGATGATTTAGCTTATCTTTCATTTGAACCATTGTTAACACTTCTTTCCTCGGAATTTCTCTCTAAAGAATCTCAACATAATACTTTCGTTGTACAATATTTATCAGAATTGTTAGAGTCTTCTATTTCTGAATTATCAGAAAAACATAATGAATTAGTTATTGAAAATCAAGGGCTTATATCTAATCTGATTGAAATTATGCAAAAAGAATATAGTAATTTGGTTGCAGTTATAGATCATGAAAGTTATTTCTCTAAATCTTTTGATGTGCTCAATGAATCCGTTAATAAGATTCAATCAACAATTATTTCCATTAATACTAAAATTTCAAATTTTAAAGCTTCAAAAGATTTGTTGGGTGAAACTTTTAACCAAGCACGTTTATTATATCAATATCAGGAATATATTTCAAATATACTTGAGATTCCATCTTTAATAAAAACTTTTATAAAAAATAATCGTTATTCAGAAGCGATAAGTTTAATATTTTATGTAAGACAATTAGAATCTAAATATTCTCAAATTGTGATAGTTCAAGACTTAGTAAAACAAACTAATCATATCTCAGAAGATATGCAAAAACAATTATTATCACTTTTAAGGGGGCCTATAAAATTAACTGAAGCAACTAAAGTAAAAATTAATTTGATTTAAATTTTTTAATGTTAAATGGAATAGGTTCTTGGTTATCTTCATAGAACAAATGGTTTTTCAGAGACCGAATTATGTTATATATTCTTACTTTGTCGTTGGAATTATATAGAAAAGCTTATTTCTAATTTAAATCCCCCTCAACAAGAAGATTCTGGAAAATATCTTAAAGAATATATAGAAATATTCAGAGAACATAGCTTCAGTATATTTTCGTATTATATTTTAATATTTTTAGAAGAATCTTCATTTCAGCCATCAGAAAATTTAGAAAATATTTCAAAAATAAATAAAAATGAGTTAAATGGAAAAGCGCAGAAAAAAAAATTACTTTCAAATTTTGCATTATTTATGGTCTCTGAAATAAAAAATACATTAACTACATGTGTTCCTTATATTTCTGAAGAAAAAACAAAAACACTAATACTTAACCGAATTTTTAATTGTGGGCAAAGTTTAGCAGGAATTGGTGTTGATTTTAGTTTAGCGTTAGTTGATATTTTTGGTGATGAATGGGATAATGATATAAAAAACTACCAAAAAATGATAAAGAATTTAGATAACATAAAAACATAGATACATATATAACTTTTTATCCATTAATATTTTAGGATATATAATTTTTACATTGTAATTTCATTTATTATTGCTGTGTCGGTTAAACCGAGTTTTTTAATACACGAAAAGTATCTTATATGGTCTTCTTTACGTAAATATTTTAATATTTTTTGGCGTTTGTGTACTAAATGTCTTAATGCTCTAAAAGTGTTTTTATCCTTACGATGAAAAGAAAGATGAGAGTTTAAATAATGAATACGAACTGTAAATATTGCTGCTAAAAACTAGTTACAATGAAGAATTTATTGATAATATAAATTATACCTTGTACTTCTGGAGATCCTGTATCTGTTTCGTGTTGTTTAAATTGCTCAATAGCCATAGAAATGTTTTGAAGTTGTATTGCCTTACTATTACTATTTTTTAAGCTTACAATTTTTTTTATAATTTCCGCTTTCTTATCTTCTTGTTTACATATTCTTTGAATCTTATAAATAGATGCTAGTTCAATAATAATATGATTTTTTTTATCCCCATTATTATTTGAATCAAGCGTTTCTTGTACCTTATCGTTCTTAGATAGAATTTCCAATAAAGATTGGATATCTGTTTCTTCAGTGATATCAACATATTTAGATATTTTTTCTTTAAGTTTTGCTAAGTTATTCTTATTCATCATTGACGATGAAAGACCAACACGATAAAGATTTGCTTTTTTTGCAGACTTAAGAATTGTGTTTAATTCTTCGTTAGAAAAGAAAAAATTTGCATAATTTGCAAAAGAACTTGTCTCTGTAAAAACGTCTTTTGGATATAAAATAGAACGAGTAAATTCTGTAGGAAATGCAATAATTGGATCACATAGTTTAGCAGCGCGTTCTTCTTTCAATTTTCTCTGTTTTTCGATATTTTTCTTTCTACGTTGAATTGATATAAGTGATTGTTTCCATTTTGCGCTTATATTATGAAACTTAGAAAACCTTAATAAAAAATATTGAACGTTCTGATAAAGTATTTTTCTATATAAATATGTATTTGATCCTGTGTGTAGTATCTTTATCATATCGTTACTTTTCTAAAGTAGTTTTTTTAAACTTCATTTTTTGAGATTTAGCTTCTGTCGAATAACCTTAAAAAAAAAAACTTAAGCTAAAGAATTTTATTAAAATTCTTTAGGGAAACTAAAAAGATGCTTGGTAGGACTGATTGTATTAAATTAGAGCATTCTAAATATCTAATTTTTTTATAGTTTTGACTGAAACAAGTGCTGGATATGCAATTTTTAAATTTTCTGCTAAAGAAAAGGTGTTGAAAAAGCCAGAGACGCTTTATAGAAGTCTTGATACAGCAGATAAGGCTTCAAGCTTGTATGTTCCAAAAAAATATATAAAGATTTTTAAACATTTTGCTAAAATGGCCTTTTGGCTCAATTTAATAGACTTAAATTAAAAGTATTTTCAAAATTTGAAAATACAATGGACGCTCTTGATAATGCATCAGCAATTATTGAAGGAAGAGTTACTGGAAAACTTGCTTCTTTGCTTTCTGAATTTTCTGGAAAAAAAGATAGTCTTATTGTTTCTGACCCAAAGTATCTTTTCTATTGACATTTGATTATTTTATTCAATTTTCACTTATAGGCTTGCAAGTTCGATAAAAAAGATCCCAGGGCTCGATCTTTCTATCATTTCTGATCCTACTGTACAAGAACTTTATCGTGTTATTAGAGAACATATAACAGCTCTTATTTCAGGACTGACTCTAACAGATATGTCTAATATGATACTAGGATTAAGTCATAGTCTTTCACGGCATAAGCTTAAATTCTCTCCAGATAAAGTTGATACGATGATTATTCAGGCTATTGTATTATTAGATGATTTAGATAAAGAATTAAATATATATGTAATGCGTATAAAAGAATGGTATGGTTGGCACTTTCCAGAAATGTCACGAATAATTTCTGATAATATGGCTTATGTAAGAGCAATAAAAGCTATGGGATTTAGAACTATGGCAGATAAAACAGATTTCTCTGAAATTCTTCCCGAAGACATTGAAATGTCTCTAAAAGCTGTTGCTAAAGTATCCATGGGAACGGAAATAACAAACGATGATTTAGAAAACATTAATTTATTAGCAGATCAAATTTTATCACTTTCAGACTATCGTATCCAACTTTCAGAATATTTACATAATCGTATGCAAGCTATTGCTCCCAATCTTACAGCATTGGTCGGGGAACTTGTAGGAGCACGTCTTATAGCTCATGCTGGTTCTTTGTTAAATCTTGCAAAGCAACCTGCTTCAACTATTCAAATTTTAGGAGCAGAAAAAGCTCTTTTTCGAGCCCTTAAAACAAAACATGACACTCCCAAATATGGTTTAATATATCATGCTAGCTTAATAGGCCAAGCTAGTGCAAAAAACAAAGGGAAAATAGCAAGAGTATTAGCAACAAAAGCAGCAATTAGTTTAAGAGTTGATGCAATGGGAGAAAAGGACATGGCAACGATTGGAATAGAAAATAAATCAAAAGTAGAGGCAAGACTTCGGATGTTGGAGGGAGGGAAAATAGAAAAATCATCTATATCAACAGGAAAAGCATGGAAAAAATATCAAATTCAAGCGTAAATGATTTAATATTTAATTAAATAAAATGCTAAATTGAAATAGAGCACCAAAATATAATATAGATACTGATATTATAATAGATATGGATTCACAAAAAAGCTTGGAAAAAAATGAAATAAAAGAATTAATTTCTGAAACTGAAATACCTAAAAATCTTAACATAGAAATTCCTAAAATAGAAAAAAAAGATCAAAATAAAAAAAAGAAAAAAAGGAAAATGAATGAAGCTGAACAAAATGATAACTCCTCAGAATTACATGATAAATCTAAACGTAAGAAAATTAAAGACAAATCTCTTGTCTAATATTTATTTATATTATTTATATTTATAAATCTATATTTAATTTAATAAAAAAAGTTTTTTTTTAAACTGTTTAATTAGATTTTTAATTTTTTTTTTGTATAATTCAAATTTATGCATTATTAAATTGTTTATATATTATAATTCTAAAAACCCATATAAGGTACTATGGCCGAGTTGGTCTAAGGCGTGGGACTCAAGTTTAGTAACTTGAGTGGAGTTTATCTCATCTCGAAAGAGGCCTGGGTTCGAATCCCAGTGGTACCATGTTTTTGAATTATTTTTAAAAATAGGTTAGATTCTTGAATTTTTATGAAAATGTCATTTTTTAAAATAAAGTATATTATTCAAACTTTTGTGGAAAAATAATATAAAATATAATAATAACAATTTTTAAATTAAAATATTTTTTAGCATTTGACACTTGGTATTTTTAACAAAAACATTTTTAAATATAGATTGCATTTTCAATTAATTTACAGTTTATAAAATTTTGTTTTATTCGTGTGGTAATACTTGCATCAATTTTAAAAGTTTATTATGATTATGAATATATTTTTTGAATATTTTTTAATTTAAAATTTTCATAGAATTCGAAAGAATTAGTTATTTTTAAATATTCATTTTTAAATAAAAAATGAATAAGACGAAATGAAAATTATACTATAAATGAAAAAATCGATATTAATTTATAAATAAATATAATTCAAATATAAATGTTTTATTATAGAAATAAATTATTTTATAAAACTTTAAGATTTATATTATTCTAAAAACCCAAATTATTAAATTTATAATTTCTGTATTTTAACTTCTAAACTGAATCTTTACATAAATAATTTTATTTAATAAATTATAAATTTTAAAATTTTTTTTGTAGAATAAATTTTATTTAAATATATTTTTAACTAAATTCCTATAATATTATAATATTTATAAATCAATGTTTTTTAGTAAATTATATATTTTAAATAATTTATAATTTATTTATTCATTTAAAAATTATGTTATTCCTTAATTATTATATTCATTGTTTCCCTTTCATCATTAAATTTTTTATATTTCATTAATATATTTTTATATTATTATTTCATAAACTTTGAAAGTTATATTTAATGATATCTAATTTCAAATTCCTAAAGTTTTAGAATTTATTGTACTATCCTAAATTGTTATTTTTCTCAAAAACTTGTATTATTTTAATATAAAATTTTAAAACTAATTTAGTAAATTTAAAAGTTTTATTATATCATACGCTTTCTATCCGGTTTAGTGGAATTTACTTGTCGTTTTATAGCTGCTAAATCTTCCATGATTTCTGATTCTTTTAGACTAAATATATCATTTAAAGAAGCTCTATCACGTTCTTTTTCTTGTTTTTCTCGGCTACGTTCCTTAGCAATTTGTTCTTCTATAGATTTAAGAAAAGAGCTAATATTATCAGAACTTTTCTTGTAGTTATTAACATTAGATGAAGGAGGCATTGAATCATCAATAGAAGTATTCTTATTATTTCCAAGTCCTTTTCTATGTCGAAGTTTTCTTTTATCTATATTAGATATTGAAGAAATAGGCGATAATGAAGGATTCGTTGTAGAATAAGAATGTGATGCAAGAGATGAATCATTTACAATATCTAATAATTCTTTATCCTCATGAAGTCTTCGTTTCCTTGAAAACAAATGTGAAAGAAGAGTAGATTTTAATGTTGTTTTACTTATCTATATAATGTAAATTTTCATTGGCAAAAAAACCAATAATTTTTTCTTACAGCAAATTCTTCTTCTAATTCTTCTACATTGTGAACAAACTCATTTTCTGCTCTCTTTAATAAAAATTCTTTCATAAGTTGAACACTTTTAAGTTCTTTTTCTCGAATCTCTTCCAAATCTCTAAGACCATCTAAGTATTCAATATGTGTTCCATCATGCAACTGTTGTATTTCATTTTGAAGTGATAATAATTGGTTATGAAAATAACTTTCTCTATTTATTAAAAAATCTCGAGAAATATGATCCAGTTTTTCAATTAACAAACGTCTACGTTTATCTTTTTTGGATTCTACTATTGGAATATTTAATGAATAAGGATACAACTGTTCAACTGATTCTATAAATATTAATCTTTTTTTATTAAATTTTACAATTCATCTCCTTTACCATCTGACCATTCATCATTCTCACGTAACGCAGCTGTTAATAAATCCATCTCTTGAGTCATTGATGCATTTAAAGACATTCCTCTAGTTTTTAAAGTTCAAAAAACTATAAAAACAGGACTTAATTATAAAAACATTGCATTTTTTTAATTTAATGCAAATCTTTCTGATCTCATTCTATTAAACGTAGATTGTACGTTTCCGGGGAAACGCATCTTCAAAACAACTCATGATAAGCAAGTTTACGGCCTTTTAAGAAGTATAATATGTCTCTTAGAGATGAGAATAAACGAGAAGACAAAGAGTTATCAACTTCTCCTGATCCCTTAGATGTTCTTTCATCACCTAAAGTGTCTTATTTAACACCTCTTCGTTTACGAGGTTCTACTCAGACTCGTCAAGAATTTGGGTTAAGCAGTGAAATTCGGCGCATAGGGCTCTTTGTAGATATAGGCAATGATAAAGAAGAAGTTTTTTTTGTAGGTTTTTTCATTAAATTATATTTTATTAATTAATTAGGTTTCTCCTAAAAAAACAAATCAACAAGTAACAAAAACATCTGTTTCAGAACATATAGAGAAAATACCAGGAGATGTTTCAGATGTTTTTTCAGAGTTTATTTCAAACGAAAATAGCAAAAAAGACTTAGATAAGTCTAATGAAAAGACAAAAAAAACAACATTAAAACGGAAAAAAAAGACAACAATTAAACAATGTTTAAATGTTATTAATCAAAACATTATACAGGATGATAAAGATGATCTGAAAATACCATTGAAAAAAAAAGCTAAAATGGTGGATTTAAATATAAAGAAAAAATATAATGCAGTTGCATCTAAAAAAAGAAAAATAGAATCTGAAGATCATTCTGATCAAAATTCAATGTAAGTTGAAAAAGTTTCAAAAATAATTATTTATAGAATATAGTAATCTTGATAATACAAGTATTACATCTTCGGTTTCTATGGATAAATTAACAGAAAATTCTATACATTCAAATATTTCTTCTAAAGAATCATATTTTGAGGAAAAACATTTCATACCTACTCAAGATATATTTCTTCCGAAAGACAGTACTCTTTCTTCCTCTGAAGGAACTGTTATTTTAAATTCACAGCAAAAAAATACAGAATTTTCTTTAAATACATTTAACATTTTAGAAAATGATATTGAAAAGGATATGGAAAAAACAACTAATATTAAAAAAGATATTCAAGAGGAGGATAATATACAAAATAATCAAGAAAATTTATTACAATCGGAAAGTTTAATTCCTTTAAATAACATATCATATCCATCACCTAAATTTACATCACCCAGAAAAAATAAATTAATAGAAATATCTAGTTCATCAAATACTTCTGCCAAAAGGGTTGTTGATGTTTTAAGACGTACTGGACATTTTGAGCTTGAATCTGTTGTTTGGGGTCAAAAAGATTCAAGTAAGTCTGAAAGAATATCGGAGCAAAAAAGCATTTGGACGAAGAATGAATGGAGACTTTTAGAGCAGTTATTAATTAAACATGGGAAAGCAAAATTAGCTTTAGATGAGTTTCTAAGTTTAAATCAGGATTTTCCAAAAAGAGAAGTTAATAAGCGATTAAGAGTTCTTTTATTTAAAAAAAAGGAAAATTGTTATATATATCTCAAAAAAGATAAAACCGATAATTCTATAAAAGTACAAGAAGATAGTAAAATTTCAAGTTTTATTTTTGGATGGAAAAATTGGTTAAGATGGTAAACATCATCTGATAATTGTAAAAATCTAGGATTTTATATATTTTTGATAAAATAAATATAAATGATTGAATTTATAAAAATTAAAGAGCAAAACTATCTTTTTGTTTCATATATTTTACAAATACCATGTATTTTATATTAATTTACATATTTTTACTTTTTTGTAAATATGTTTTAAATTATTTTTATATTAGAATTATTTTATTTGTTTTTTATAATTTGAATTAGAATTTGATTTAATTATATATTAAAATTAAATATTTAAATAAATAATAAAATTAGTTTTTAATTTCAATAAAAATAAACATAACTTAGAAATAATACAATTTTTAACGTAGAAAATTTAGTAATATATACATAACTAAATAATTGTATTTAAGTATTTAAATTTTTGATTTTAATTTTTTTAAAATTAAATCTATAATGATTTAATATTTTTAAGATTTATTATAAATGAAACGTTTAAAATTTTTAAAAATAAATAAATTTATTTTGAAAATTTTATACTTATCTAAATGATTAAATATAAAAAATATGTATAAAAATAATTTTTCTGCGTTTTAATTTTTACTTTTTATCACTGAATAATTATATAAATTAAAAAAGCATTAAAATTTGCAGACTTTAAAATAATATTTAATATTTATTATGAAATAAATTTAAAGATAAAATGGTAATTTATTCATTTTATATTATACATATTTAATTTTTTTATATAGAAAGTAAAAATACTTTCTCGGCCTCAATCATTAGTAGTAGCTTCAAGAGTAGGTGATCAGAATCCAATGCCTAGAAATCTTGATCCTGCTATTCATCCTTTTGAAAGAGCTAGAGAGTATGTAAGGGCTCTTAACTCGGCAAAATTAGATCGTATGTTTGCAAAACCATTTATTGGACAGTTAGGAAATGGCCATATTGATGGCGTATATTGTATAGTTAGAGATCCTCGAAAAATCAAGACTATAGCTAGTGGTAGTGGTGATGGAGGTAGAAAAACTATATTTAAGAAGATTTTTATTTACTATTTAGTTGTTAAAATATGGGATCTTATTGAACGAAATGAGGTTATAACTATAAATGCACATAATGGTATTGTAAAAGGCTTAGCATATACTACTTTAGGGTATCTGCTATCTTGCTCTGCAGATAAAATGGTGAAACTATGGTCATTGAATTCAACAGATGTATACTTTTTTTGTTTTTTATTCAATTAATATATTTAGCCTATCAATGTATACATGGGTACCAATGCTTTTTCTTCTATTGATCATCATTATTTTGACCCTATTTTTGCAACGGCATCTACAAAAATTGATATATGGGATGAAAATAGAAGTAAACCTATTTTTACTATGGAATGGGGCGCAGAAACTATACAAGCAGTGAAATTTAATCAAACAGAAACCAATATTCTTGCTAGTGCAGGTTCTGATCGGTCACTTATATTATATGATATAAGGACAACTAAACCTTTGTCAAAACTAATTACGCAGGTAAATTTAAATACAATATAAAAAATATCATTCTTTATATATTATTAGCTTCGAACCAATTCTATTTCTTTTAATCCAATGGAAGCATTTAATTTTGCTGCAGCTTCTGATGATCATAATTGTTATATATATGATATAAGGAATCTTACTTCAGCGAAAAATGTTTTAAAGGATCATGTATCTGCTGTAATGGATGTTGATTTTTCTCCAACTGGTCAAGAATTAGTAACTGCTGGTTATGATAGAACAATAAGAATTTTTAATGCAAGAGAAGGACATTCACGAGACATATATCATACTAAAAGAATGCAAAGAGTATTTTCTGCAAAATTTACTTCTGACTCTAATTATATTCTTTCTGGTTCAGATGATGGAAATGTTCGTCTTTGGAGAGCTAACGCATCTTCGAGAATGCATGTACTTAGTACTAGAGAAAAGACAAAAATAGAATACACAAATGCTCTTAAACAGCGTTATAAGCATATGCCTGATATTAGGAGAATCACTAATAGTAGAAATATTCCAAAAGTAATAGTAAAAATGAAAAATACTAAAAAAGAAGAATTAGCTGCATTAAAACGAAAAGAAGAAAACAAAAGACGTCATACTAAATCTGAAAATATAAAATATATCCAAGAACGTAAAAAACACATAGTTGCACTAAAAAAATGAAAAATAAAGTAAAAACACAATATTTTAGAAAGTTAAATAATATTTTCTGAGAATACAAATATATTTAAAATATAATATATAACGTTAATTAATAATATCATTTTCATACCATAAAATAATTTATGATATTTTAATTTTTTTTAAAAGGGAAATACACTAATAATATAATTATAGATTATCTTCTAAATGTTTTGATAAATATAATTCATTTTTATAACAAGTACTCCAATCTGGAATTTGTTTTCCTTTTATAAAATCTTCTCTAGTAATTTCATATAATCCTTCAATTTTAAGATTACCTAATAAACTTGCTCCTACCCATGCTGCATCCACACTAAATTCATTTCGAATAACTCTTCCTGATGTTTTTATTTCATTATTTATTCGATTTTGTAGACCAGGTATCATAGATAAACCTCCTGAAATAACTAAAGATAAAGAAACCGCAGATCGTATATCTATTGGAAGACGTGATAAACATTGTTTTATAATTTGTGGTATTGAAATTTCGTCATTATCAGCATATTTGTCAGATGCCTCAAATAAAACTTCAGTTATACAAACTCGAATCCATCCTGGTACATTGATTTTTAATCCTTTTTGAGAAGGTGGTTCCCAAATAATATCTGAACATTTTATATTTGGCTTGTAAATATTTTCTAGTTCATCCAATGGAATAATATTGGATTTTGACAAAGGAAATGGAGATGATGGTAAACAAAAAATAGCTCTTTGTAAAAAATCTTGCACATCATAAAATGTCAAAGAGCCAGGTAATGGACTAGAATATCGCATTAATAAATATTTTAACCTCGAAAAACAAAAATTAGATGCTAATGGTGATGTAATAACAAATGATGTCATAGGACGTAAATCATAAATCTATAACTATTAATTAAAATATATATATATATAATTTTTGTATACAGGAAGAATGCTAGTTTCTTTAGATCCAATGTCAATAACAACTCCATTGCTTAATCCAAGAGAAATAAGCACAAGAACATGTGATGGTAAAAATGTTATACTAGGAACCTATAAATAAAATCAATATATAAAATTAACGTGCAATATAATACTTGAAAATATGTAAATAATGTTTTTGCTATAATAATTTTGAATTTAATTGGAAGTAGAATATATTCCACTAAGTTTACTTTTCGAGACTTATTACTTAAATTAAGCCATCTAAATACAATATTATTTAAAGTTTTATCATTAAATTAAAAGAAACTTATTATATGCTTCTCTTAGATATATTTCAAGTTTATCTCCTATAAGTTCTAAATCTGTGCCTTCCCACAAAATGTATTCAAACTAAATAAAAACTCAAATTGATTTTAGAATTTTTGATAAGCTTACATTAACAGGGTATCGTGTAATATTTTCTTCAAAAGTACTACGGTATCCAAGAAAGCTTCTTTCATCATATTCGATAATACCCCTTGGACTATTTTCTCCAGAAAATCCTACTTTAAGATGACGTGATCCAATATCTAAAACTACATGAGGCTCTAATCCATAAAGAATTTCTAAACGATTTGAATATGAATTATTATATAAAAAATTTTCAGAAAGTTGTGATTCAGAAGAATATGAAAATGACATATTTAGTGTTTATTTTGAATTTTAGTGTTCAAATTTCTTTACATTTATAATAAATTTATAAATGTTTAAAGAATTGCGTGCAATAGATAAAAATAAATTAAAAGATAAAATATTAATGTAAATTTAAAGAAATAAAAAAAATGTATAATCTAAAAGTTTTATTAAAATTTTTAAAATAATACAAATGAACTAAATAATTTCGAAAAATTTAAGAATCATAAAATGTATTTATATATTTAATTACAATAAAATTTTAAATGTATTCACAAAATTTTTTTTTAATAATTAATAATTATATTATATATATATGTTGTATTAACATAATCTGCTCATTAAATTGTATATTTCAAATTTAAATATTACCAGCGAATACTTAATTGAAAATAAACTTTAAAATGTTTATTGACAAGAAATTTTTAAAATATTTATAATTTCAAAATATTATTATAATTCCATTACATTTTAATTATGTTTAAAATTTAATAATATTTAAAAACTATTTAATACATTTCCAAATATATAATAAAAATATTCATAAATATTATATATTTAAGTAAACTTTGATTAAATAATTAATAAAATAACAGAAATTAAAAAATACGTCAAATTCATAAAGGATAGCATATTTTTTATATTATAAAAAATATCTAGAAAAAAATATTTTTACTTATGTCTAACCGTTTATTTAAATATATTAAAAAAATAATTCAACCATAAATTTGTTAATATAATTATATCGAACATATCTTTTAAAATTTTTATTCTTAAATATTAAATAAAATATAATCTCCATTAAATTCATTTTTATATTTCATGTAATTAGGTTAAAGACCTAACTTCTTTTTATATGACTGTCAAACTGTCACGGAGCGTTAAAAAGGTATTTGTATTATTCTCGATATTAAAAACTTGCAAGTTATGGGTATATTTGATCCCCAACCAGCTGATATTGAAATGCTGCTTGCAGCAAATTGCCATATAGGTTCTCGTAACTGTGAAGTAAGGAAATTTATTATTTTTTAAAAAAGAAATCAAATATTTGAGTAGCCACCAATGGAACCATATGTTTTTAAACGAAGGGCAGATGGTGTTCATATTATTAACCTTGGGAAAACTTGGGAAAAGCTTGTTCTTGCAGCACGAATTATTGTTACCATTAACAATCCTTCTGTAAGTAGTTTTTTTTCAATTATTGCGAGTATCTATTTAACATTAACTTATAGGATATAATTGCAGTATCGTCACGGTTTTATGGGCAGCGTGCCGTTCATAAGTATGCTATGCATACAGGAGCACAGGCTATATCATCACGATTTACGCCTGGCTCTTTTACAAACTACATTACTCGTTCTTTTAAAGAACCTCGTTTGATCATTGTGACAGATCCTCGAACAGATAGCCAAGCTATTAAAGAATCGAGCTATGTTAATATTCCAGTAATTGCACTCTGCGACACAGATAGCCCATTACAATATGTAGATGTTGCTATTCCTACCAATAATAAGGGACGGCATAGTATTGGTCTTATTTGGTGGATGCTTGCTCGTGAAGTTTTGAGATTGAGAGGGACTCTTGCAAATAGGGATGTTGAATGGGGTGTTATGGTTGATTTATATTTTTATCGTGATTCAGAAGAGACAGAAAAAGATACGGAAACTGAGCAAAAAACTCTTGAAGCTGCTAATAATACTGTTACTCAGTTTGCATCAGTACAAGTAACTTCTGAATGGGAAGTTACTGGACAGGCAGCTAACACGGGTATTATTACTAATGTTACAGGTAATGTTCAATCTGTAGGAAACTGGGATGAGAGTTTTTGAATTAAACCGAATATTCTTAGTATTTAAGTTGTTAGTATTATATAACACTTAAAAGTCCATGAGATATAAAGTTGGAGATGACATTTAACGTGAAGCATTCTAAATACTTTTATCAAAATAATTACATATTCTTGTTTAAATTAACCCTATTATTTTTCAATAAAAATAGTTCGTATTTCCTTATAAACAATTTCCAAAAACTTTCTTCGGGGTAATAAGTTTTCAAATATAACTTGTAAAGTATCTTCGTTACGTATAATCAATGCCAAGTAATAGCGTACTTCTAGTCCAATAAATCCTTCATGAATTACTACATCTAAAATGTCTGATAATGGGATAAAACGTGTGCGAGAGGGGAGAAGAAAGTAATGTAAAGTAATCTGTAATCCAATATTGTGCAAAACAAGTAAAGATTCACCTGAATAATAGATCAATAAAAGTAAAAAATAACCAATATACTACTTGATGGTTTTGGATGCATAAACTTACAGATAGAATATAAAAATACCACTGTTATTGAACAAAAAACATATGGTTTATGTATATACAATTCTTGAATCCATTGAATAAGCCCAATATATTGTAAAATATAAATAATAAAGTTTAATTGTTGATATTGAATAAAAAAAATCATAAAAACTGAAAGAAAAAATACAAAAATTGTGCATAATACTAGAATTCTTACTATACAATTTATAGACCATTTAAAATTCTCGTAATATGTAAATTCAACAGCATCAGGTGATGGTCGTTTAATCAACAACGGCATTATCCGTTTCAATAGGCCTTTAAAAAAAGTACATATGTAATAACCTATGTGTTCTAGAGTTATAAATCATTTCTTCAATATATTATTAAATCTTAATACTTTAATATCATTTTTTTAAAATAATCTATTCCGAAGATAATAAAATGGATATTTTCATAGATCCAAAAGTCTATAGTGAAAGCGAAAAAAATAATGAACCAAACATACAAATCAATACAAAAGAAACAATTTCCTTATTTTCATCTTTATCTTATTTACCGTCAATATATATTAATTCATTTCTTCCATCTACTATATCATTAATAAAAGCACAAAATAAAATAACAAATCTTCTTTTATCTCTTGAATTTACATCTGGGTCAGCTATTGAAAAGCTACATAGAGTTGTAGATGAAATTATTCAGCAATCACCGCGATTGAGTTACGACATTGAACTTTTACACAATAATACAACAGTTCTTTCTGAAATATTAAATAAAAAAAAAGAACAAATTAATGCATTTAAAAAGGAAGAAAAAAATAGTACAATTGATTATTTTATGAATCTCGAAATTATAAAACAAAGAATTCAAGCAACATACTCAGTCTTGGAAGATGCAAAAAAGTGGAAAGATATAGAAACAGAAAAAAAAATCATTGAACTTTTAATAAAAAATAATCAAACTCAAAGAGCACAAGACATTGTTAATAAATTAAAGAGTCTTTTGCAAGTATGGGAAGAAACTAATGAATATAATGAAAGATTGGATATGATAGAAAAATTAGAACAAAAAATACACAACTCTTTGACGGAAATACAAAATGAATGATATTTAATAATAAAGTTAATAATTAAATTATTCTTTTTTAAATTATATTTAAATCGTTATTAAAGCTTATAAGAACATGTATCACAAAATTAAATTTAATTAACTTTTATTAATTCAACAAAATAAAGTATCTATATATTTTTCCGTTTTTACTTATTATCCAATATTTTCAACTATTGTCTTTGTCTTTAGAATTTTCTTTTATATCGTCATCTAAAAATATCTTCAAGACATATTAATTTATACATTTTTGAATGCCAAAAAAAAACTTATCTTTGCGCAATTTTGCTTCCATAGAATCTAGGATTACTGATTATTCTTCATGGACAAAGGATGATTTAATTAAAAAGATTATAGCATTGGAACAAGAAATTTTATTCAAAAAAAAAAAAAATACATATACAGAACAATATATATTTGAAGATTTAAATTTTTCTGATAAAAGTTCTAGTTCTATCAAGAAACCTTTTTTAATGTCAAATTATAACCAAAGATATATTGCTTTCAAATTTGCATATTTAGGATGGTATTATAATGGCCTTGTAACGCAAGGAAATAAAACACAGTTGCCTACAGTAGAAGAAACTATATTTTTTGCTCTTAAAAAAGCTAAGCTTATTGATCATGAAAGAAATTGTAATTTTTCAAGATGTGGACGAACAGATAAAGGTGTTACTGCTATAGGTCAAGTAATGGCACTTAATGTAAGAAGTAATAAACCTTTTAATGAAAATTCTGAAGAAAAATGGAGTGAAATAAAATATATAGATATTTTAAATAAATTACTACCAAAAACCATTAGAATATTAGCATGGTGCTCAGATCTTCCTTCAGACTTTTCTGCTCGATTTTCATGTCAAAAAAGACATTACAAATATCTTTTTTTCAAAGATTCACCTAATGTCCAGCTTAATATAGAAAAAATGTCAAAAGCAGCTAGTTACTTTATAGGAAAACATGATTTTAGGAATTTTTGTAAATTAGATACAAGCAAACAAATAACAAATTTTACAAGGATAATAACTAGATCCGAAATCAATAAATATAACACAGCTGAAGAAAATGATTCTCTTTATGTTTTTGATTTGGAAGGTACTGCTTTTTTATGGCATCAAGTACGTTCCATGATTGCTGTTCTCTTTTTAGTTGGTCAAGATCTTGAAAAACCTGAGATTATAAAAACATTGTTAGATACTTCTAAAACGTCCCAAAAACCTATATATAATATAGCACATGATCTTCCTCTTATACTTTATGATTGTCATTTTCAAAATCTTAATTGGAATTATGGAGAAGAAACTTTTTCTCAAAGTCTATATAAAAATATTTATGATTTATGGCATACTGCAAAAATCCAAAACACTATTATTGATCTTCTTTTAAAAAATATACAAAATAATAAAATTCCAAATAACATTATCACGAAAAAAGTAATAATTAAAGACGGAACTGGTGTTAATCAATCTTTAACAAAATATGTACAAATAGAAAATAGGAAAAAGGAAAATAATTATAAAAATGCTAAAAACAAATAATACTTAATAAAAATAACTAATATCTATACATAAAATATTTACAAATGATAATACATATCATGCTCTTTTTTTATAGTTGTCATGCCACCCATATATTTCTGCAAAACAGTTGGGATCCTAATGCTTCCATCACTGTTTTGATATGTCTCTAAAATTGCAATAATTAGCCGTGGTATTGCTACTAATGTACCATTTAATGTATGTGGCCAATTCAATTTGTCACCAGGGTAGGTTATATAGCGAGTATTTAACCTTCTAGTCTGATAATCTGTACAATTGGAGCACGACATAACTTCTCCCCATGCAGCACGACCAGGCATCCATACTTCTATATCATACTTTTTATATGCTGAAGCACCTAATTCAAATGTAGGCATATCCAGTACTCTAATTCATTAGATATTGTTCATTCATATATAAATAATCTACCTTGCATATAACCCAAGTTCTTTTATAATATTTTCCTGCAAATCTAAAATATCTTCCAACATTTTGTCGCTTTCTTTAGGATCAGTCCATGCAAACAATTCTGCTTTTGTAAACTCATGTACTCGGTACAAACCTCTCGATTCTTTCCCTCTTGCACCCGCCTCAGACCTGTAAGCACGACTAACACCAACTATTTTTTTTGGAAGATCTGAACCTTTTAAAGTTTTATTAATTCCTATACCAGCTATAGAAATTTCTGAAGTTCCAGCAAGACAGTGAGTTGGTTCTGTAGAAGAATGATGTAAAAAATATATTTGTGTATTATTAAAGTTGTCCCTAGGTTGAAAACCACATGCTGAAACAATCTCTGAACGAACAATACTTGGTGGTATAACAAACTTCCACCCTGCATTTATTGCTTTTATTAAAGCATAATTTACAAGGGCTAATTCCATAATCGCTGCTTCATTCTTAAGAAAATAAAATGCATGTCCTGAAGTTTTAGCTCCAGCATCAAAATCAATTAAATCCAAAATATTAGCAATAATAATATGATCCTTTGGCTCAGATATAAAACACTGTTTATCTGAGTTAATATACCTTACAACTTTTGCATTCTCTTCTGGACCTATAGGAGATAATGGATGAATATCATTTGGTATTGTTAAACCAAGTTGTAAAAGTTCTAATTTAATAAAACGTAAATCTGTTTCAGCTTTCTGAATTTTTTTTTTTATTTCTGAAGCGTAATTGATAAGTTTCTGATAAGAAGAATCACTCCTATCAACAATCCCTTGTTTGATTTCATCTGTTAGACGATTTCTTTGATTTAACAAATTATCTCTTAATTTTATATGTCTAAGATAAATTTCATATAAATCAATAATCCGTGAAACATTATCAAATGATACTTTATTATTCCTTTTTAAACACCTAGACTTTATTTCTTCACTATTATCTCTTATATATTTATAATCTATACAAGCTTGAAATATCTTTTGTTGCTTTGTACATACTTAAAATAATCAATAGTATGTTAACCTTATTTTTTTAAAGCATACCAAAAAAATTCCTTATGTCAAAAAATTTTATATATTTATTATAATTATTTAATTTCTTCGTAAAAGATAGATTTATCATTCATTTAATATTTTTATCTCAACGTTTAAAAATACACACTCGGTGTCGGTTAAATTAAAAAGTTTAAAAAATTGTAAAAAAACATAAAATATTTAATAAATAAGAAACAAAGAAGAAGAAATATGAGAAGTCCTGTAATTTTAATGAGTAATCTTCATTGTTTAATAAGTTTTATCAACTAATAGTTTTAAAAAGATATGAATTCAAAACGACAATTGGGTCGAAAAGCACAATTATCTAATATTTATTCTGCCAAAAATGTAGCTGATGTAAGTAAATATTTATAAAAAATGGAAATTAACCAATTTTTTGTCTAGATTGTTCGAACATGTAAAAAAATATCTATAATCTATAATTAATTAATGAAATAAGGTTTAGGACCCAATGCAATGTTAAAAATGATACTTGATCCAATGGGAGGAGTACTTCTTACAAATGATGGACATGCAATTCTTCGAGAAATAGAGGTTGCACATCCAGCTGCAAAGTCTATGATCGAATTAAGTCGAACTCAAGATGAAGAAGTCGGTGATGGAACGACTACTGTTATTATATTGGGTAAATAACAAACTTGATTGCATCTTTTTAACTAAAAAAAGCCGGCGAATTTTTAATTCATGCTCTTCCACACCTTGAACGAAATATTCATCCAGTTGTTATAATATCAGCATTTAAACATGCGCTTGCAGATGCTTTAGACATAATTGAGGAAATTTCACAAAAAGTGAATGTAAGAAATGATAAAGAGATGTTTGAGCTTATAAAAACGTCTATTGGGACAAAATTTACAAGTCGCTGGAGTGATTTAATGTGCAATCTTGCCCTAAAAGCAGTGCGTATTGTCGAAAACAATATTGATGGAAAACATGAAATAGATATTAAGCGATATGCAAGAGTTGAAAAAGTCCCAGGGGGAGAAATCGAAGAGAGCGTTGTTTTAGATGGTGTTATGTTGAATAAAGATGTTACTCATCCTAAAATGAGAAGAAAAATTGAAAATCCTAGAATTATACTTTTAGATTGTTCTTTAGAATATAAAAAAGGGGAATCACAAACAAGTATTGAAATAACTAAAGAAGATGATTGGAATAGGATCTTGCAAATTGAAGAAGAACAAGTATCACAAATGTGTGAATCAATTCTAGCTTTTAATCCAGATATTGTTTTTACTGAAAAAGGTATATCAGATCTTGCTCAGCATTATTTTTTAAAAGCAAACGTTACTGCTATTCGTCGAGTTCGGAAGTCTGACAATAACAGAATTGCTCGTGCTACGGGTGCTACTATTGTAAACCGTATAGAAAATCTTCGTGAGTGCGATGTAGGTAAAGATTGTGGAGATTTTGAAATAACCAAAATCGGCGATGAATATTATACTTTTTTAACTAAATGTAAAAATCCTAAAGCATGTACTATTTTACTTCGCGGTCCTTCTAAAGATATTATCAACGAAGTTGAACGCAACTTACAAGATGCAATGTCTGTTACTCGAAATGTTTTTCTTCATCCAAAACTTTCTCCTGGTGGTGGTGCAACAGAAATGGCAATTAGTGTTAAATTATCGAATAAAGCGAAATTTATTGAAGGAGTGGAACAATGGCCTTATAGAAGTATTGGTCAAGCGATGGAAATTATTCCTCGAACATTAGTGCAAAATTGTGGTGTAAACCCTGTAAAAGTATTGACACAATTAAGAGTATAATATAAATTTACATGTTGAGCATTATATAATAAGTATCTAGGCAAAACATGTCAATGGACAGCATTCATGGGGAGTGGATGGTGAAACTGGAAAATTGGTAGATATGTGTTCTCATGGTGTATGGGAGCCACAAGCTGTAAAATTACAATCTATAAAAACTGCTATTGAAGTAATACTATATCAATTTTATAAAATCATTACTAATTATAATTAAGAGTGCTTGTCTTCTTTTAAGAATAGATGATATTGTTAGTGGTATTGGGAAATCTAAAGAAAAAGGAAATTCTGTAGCGGATGTACATAACATTTCTGAAAAGAATGGTATTGAAGATCAAGGCGAATAAAACAAGATTTATATTAAATTTTGAATAATCCATATTTTTTTAAACAATAATTACATTTAGTTCTCTTAATTCTTGATATTTTATTTTCAAAGATTTAAAATTTTTGATAAATTTTAATCCTACTGATCCTGTTTTTATAACTTTTACAAATTTAATTTTCCTGAAAGTTTAATGGCATTTCATTATGAATACGATCTAAAATTTGTTGCAATTGTTCCAAATTAAATCGTTCTTCACATTCTTCAATTAATGCATATAGTTCAACAAGAGTATCCGGTCTTGAATTAACAATCATAAGTCTTTCAACTTTTGTTAATGGATAATTTTCCAACTCTTTAGTAAGTTTACATACTTGTTGCGCAGTCTGTTTTTTTGCTGGAAGACCTTCTAAATATTTCCGAAGCTAGATATAAGTATAAATGTAACTAAATGCATTTAATTTTACCTCAAATTGTATTGTACGAAAATTTTCATTTACGGGTTGTCTTGATTTTATACTATCTGTAGTATACTTTTCTTCAAGTTCATCTTCATATATATGTTTAAGGACTTCATAATCTGTTAAAAATGCATCTCTTTTTATTAAAACTTTCATAAATTTTAGTCAAATCTTTTGTATTTTATATTTTGCAGAAATCATCGAATTTACTACTAAAATTCATACATTTATTAATTTAAGAAAAATCTAAATTTAATAAGAAAAACATATTATTATGGGTATTTTGAAAGATTCGCTTTTTTGCCAAGATATGAATTATATTGATGGTTTGGTCCGAGGTTATAAGACCAATTTTTTAACAAATACAACGTACCAAAATTTAACACAGTGTGAATCACTTGATGGTAATAACTAGAAAGTTAAACTGTTTAACTAAAAATAAATAGACCTTAGAATGCATTTGTCATCTACAGAATACGGGAATTTTTTATCAAATATATCAACTTTAACAACATCTATTATAGCTCGTAAAGCTATAGAAAAGCTAACATCAGAATTTCAATATATTATGTCACAAACAGTTTATCCTTTATCAAAATTTATGGAGTATATTACATATAGTTATATGATTGATAATGTGATTCTTTTGATTACTGGTACATTACACGAGAGAAACACTCATGAACTGCTTGAAAAGTGTCATCCTCTTGGATGGTTTGAAACAATGCCAGCACTATGTATTTCAAAAAGCATAGAAGAGTTTTATAATACTGTAATTATAGATACTCCATTAGGTAACATATTGCTTTTTAGTTTTTTATTATTAATATAACAAAAGCACCATATTTTAAAGGATGTCTTTCAGCAGTAGATTTAAATGAACTCAATATAGAAATAATAAGGAATACTTTATATAAAGCATATTTAGAAGATTTTTACATTTTTTGTAAATCACTTGGTGGAACAACTTTCGAATTAATGTCAAATATTCTTAAATTTGAAGCAGACCGTAGAGCGATAAATATTACTATAAATTCTTTTTCTACTGCACTTACAAAAGAAATACGAAAAACATTATACCCTAGTATTGGCTACTTGTATCCAGAGGGCACATATCTTTTATCATATGCAGAAAGCATAGATGATATTAAATTAGCTGTAAAAGGTGTTTCAGAATATTCCTTGTTTTTTAAAGAAAATATGCCACATAGTGAAAGAAAAACCCTCGAAGATGTTTTTTTTGAAAAAGAAGCTGAATTAAATAAACAAGTATTTTTACAGCAGGTATTATTTTCCATTCCTTGTTTAAATATCTTATTTTATTATTTAGTTTCATTATGCTACAATTTATGCATGGGTAAAATTGTCTGAACAAGAAATTAGAAATATAACATTCCTTACTGAATGTATTACACAAAATCAACAAAATTATGCTACATTTGTTTCTGTATTTTAAAAAAATTATATTGTTTTATTTGGATTTTATATTATATTAATAAATCATTAAGTTTTATTTTTATATCTAATTTAAAAAATCAGTCTAAACTGCTAATATTATACAATTGTTATAAATACTTTATATGTTTTTTATATAATTTTTAGGGTCTTTTAGCCTTTTTTTTAAAGCACTTAACATTTTAGAATACCAATAAAAATTTAAAATATTAAGTAATATATTTGCAGTAAGGTATATTAATGCTAGATAGAGTGGTACAATACTCAAATTATAATATATATCAGCTAAAGAAATTAGATAGATATGTAGTTAATAAAATACTTTATACAAAAAACATTAAATGCAGCATATAATCCCCAAAGAATTCTAACAAGAAAAAAAACAACAAGAAGTACAATTCCATTTATTAGTTGACACAATCCTCCTGTCATTTGTAATTTATCCTAATTTAATTTAACATTAAATATTAAATATGTTTCAGCAGACAAGAAACCAATGTATATTCAAAAAAGGTGTACTGAATTCAAATGCTAAAAAAGCCGTACCATAGTACATTAAAAATGGTTTCTATAAAAGTTAATCAATCAAAAAAAAATATACATACTAACATATGAAAACAAAAAAACTGATAAAGCTGCCATACCGTGCAAATAAAAAGCAACACCAAACAATGATATATAACGAAATGATGTTATTGTATCCCAAAGAAAATATCCGCATGCAAGAGAGTATATATCTTTTACTAATTAACTGAAGAGTTATCATAATAAAATTAACATTATACCTGCTCTATATGCACTATATCCAAACAATCTATCTTGTTTCAATTTATCATCTTGATAACATCTCAGTACTAAACAAGAAATTAATATAGACTGGATTATACTGACAAAGTGCACATCCCATTTTATACGTGTTGGATAGTTTAAAGTTAAATATGATGTAAATAATCTTTTTGAAATAAAAGGAGAAACTATAAATAAAAATTGATAAAACAATGAAGCCCCTAAAACAACATGAAAATGTTTAGAAAGTTCATACATATTTAAAGTTGTCAAATAAGGTGCTATCCAAGCTTGAATTGAAGAAGGAGGTCCAGGAAAAATAGATTTCATTTCTATTTAAATTTACTATTTTTTATTTTTTTTTTAAAAAAATACACTTTTAAAACTCAAAATAAACTAATACTTTAAATTATTAGTTTATTATGTTACTTTTTTTTAAAAATACATATAAAACGAACGTTTAAAATTAATTTCACTTATATAAAATCTAAGTAGGAAAAGCTAATCTTTTTACACAAAGATATCTAGAAAAACAATTATATCTTTTGAAACTGAATCAACTATTGTCTACAACAAAAATGCAGAAAAAAGATCCCATAAACTTATGTTCAGAGTCCCTAGTTTCACAAACACCTACTAAAGAATCTTCGGTATTTAATTAAAAATAAAAAAGTAAATTAATAGGATTAACATTTATCTTAGATTCCAAGAAATATTTTTTCAAAAGCCCGTGCATTTTTTTCACCTTCAATATGGAAACAAAATTCTTATGAAAATAGACAAGATGAGATATATCAATCTTCGAACTTTAAAAACGAAAATAATGATAATATTGATTTAAAAAATCACAGTTATCTTCAAGAAAATAATATTATAGAGGATAGTTTTTTCAAAAAAATAGAAAATCAAAAAACTGAAGTAAATTAATATTCTATTATTAAATATTGAAAATTTAACGTATAAAGGGAAATAATACTCCATCAAAACCATTATCTTCTGAAACATTTTCTAAAAATAACATAAATATTTTTTCTATAGACCCAACTACCCCAAAAATGGATCAAGACATTTTATCTAATAAAATATCTACTCCAAATGAAATTCTATCATCATTTTTTTCTAAAAAAGGGAACTCGCCTCTTAATACTGTAGAAATAGAAGGCGTAATAAGCTTGATGTCAAAAAATACAACATCAAATATCGACTTTTCTTCTTTTATTACACCTTTAAAAGCACAACAGTCAACATTTTCAGTGCATAATAGAAACTTTGTATCAACTCCTGATCCATATATTAAATTTGGATCATCTATACCTACATTTTCACGTTCTAAAACATATTCGATTTTTGGACCAACTATAAGTACACCATTTCGTAAACGAAAATCTACTCAAAGATCATCATTTCGTATAAATAATATCTCTAAGCATTTTTCACCTTCCAAATATGATCTTTTAGCAACAATTGATGTAAATGAAAATCAAAATACTAAATCCGGTAATAAGCATGAATTAGATATAACATTGGCACCAGAAGCAAAACGTCGTCATCTAGATTCTGTATCTTCTACATCTACTATTATTAAAGAGCCATCATCTCAGGTTTCAAAAGTCTTAGATTTGAATATAGAAAATTTTATAAAATCTACAAAAACTCGTACTGCAACAAATATTTTAAATATATTGGACAAAAAAGAAAAGGATGTAGACTTTGTTAAAACAAAACTCGATATTCAATCAACTTTAAGTCCATATGCATCTCCATCTACTTCTAGAAGAGCAATATATTCAAAAAATGGATCTAATTCGAATATTATTAATCTGAAAAAACAAAAATCTATTGCAGGAAAAATTGAAGAAACTATGTATTTGAATGCATCATCTAACTATTACGATAAAAAAAATATTCAAGGTCTTGAAACTTCATATAAAAAATATAAGCCTACTATCAGCTCAAATTTACAAAATGTTATTTCTATAGAAGCATGGAATGAGGATAATTTAAAAAACTATAATACCAAAGTAAGTCATTTTAATAAAGAGTTGTTCTTATTTAATTTAATTAGACTAATAATTCAAAAAATCTTAATATTTTTTCATCTGAATTAATTATTTCTAAAAATTTTACAGAAGAAAATATTTCAGCAAATAAAAATTTAGTTATTTCTCAATCTTTTGAAACTAAACAAAAAAGATACAATTCATTAAATTCAGGGTTTGCATCTGAATCAAAGGCTAATGATGAATCATCAGTGATTTGCTCATTAAATGATCGTAATAAACATACAGTTATTTCATCCTCTAATCCTTTAAATCAAAAAACGGTGTCAGTTGATGAATCTTTAAAAATTATTAATAAATCTTTAAAACATGAAATATATAAAGTAATAAATTTCAACATTTTTTTTAATTAATTTTATTTAGATTGATATAAATTTGCTTCCTCAATTTTCATTTACTATGTTGTCATTCAAAGAAATAAGAAATGAAATAAAAAATATATCATTAATACCAGAAATGCAATTATATAATTATAATTTTACCATTCCCATCTAATTAATTTCAAAGTTTTAAAAATTAACAATAATTCTAGTAAAAAATATAATATTTTCTAAAATTTAAACTTATAGAAAAATTAAATGTTAAAGGTATTAAGAAATAATAAAATAAATGCTAGCAGTAATATGGATGAAATTAGCGAATTATAATAATTCGTGATATCATTTATGTATTATAATGTATTTGCATATTGTAATATATTTTTGTATTATAATTTATATTAAATATTAAAATACTTTTTTAAAATTGTTTAAATAGATATAACTAATTTTATTTTAAGTTAGGTTGTCTAAAAAGAAAAAGATATTTTGTAAAAAATGAATATTAATAAGAATACAAATAAAAAAGTTTGTTAGAATTACTAATAAAATTACCAAGGATATATTTATTTTAAAAATAGATTTATACAAAAACTTATATTTATCAAAAAAGAGTGTAAATTTTATTTAAAACATTAAATATATATATACTGATATTTAAATTTTAATTATTATATTTAATAACACCGATTTGACCCGTTTTGTAAATAAATTTATGCTAGAAATAACAAGTTTGATTATTTTTTATTAGTATTTTATTAATTTATTAATTTATAATTTATAATTTTCATTTTATTTATGAAAGTAGTGTTTTTTTTCTTTTTTGGAATAGCATATATTTTTTCTAAAGGTATTAATATTAAATAATTTAATTTAACCTTTACTTTTTAGAAATTCTTGAAAATTCAAATTTATTAAAATCAGAAATAAATAAAAGTCCTCAGACAAATAACATACATTCAAAATTATTTGAAAGAATATCTAGAAGTTTTTTATCAAAAATAACATTAACCACTAATGATAAATATATATATATATTAGCTTTAATCTTAGAAAAAAATCATAGTAATTCAGAATCTTGTAGGAGGATACTTGAAGAAAAATGCAAAGAGTTAAACAATTCTATTTCTGAACTAAATAATATTTGCAATGATATAAATTCATTATGTCAATCGAAGGCTTATAGCCTTATTCTTTCTGAAGTTCAGAAACTGAGTAACAGAATTATTTCATTTTTAAGAAAAGATTTACCGAATGAAGAATGCACTAAGTTGGAGACAGAATGTTTTTTTTTAGAAAATGTATCTCTTGATTCTATTTTTAAATTATGCAATGAAATAAGACAATTTTGTTACATGATAGGGCGCCAGAATGTAGCGGATTACATTCTTTTGAAGGCATTATATGGATTTTTGGATACATATGATTCTTGCAAATCAAAGATCGAAGAAATTTGCTTACTGTTAAGTGTAGAAAGCGATGAGTTACTCTACAAGTGTTTATTAAAAGAAACAACATGCATGGATCTTGTAAATATTAACAAAAATAAATGTATTCCCCTTAAGAGGAAAATTGAAACTACTAATGATAGAAAAACTTTGAAAGCTGATTGCCTTCAATTATTTTATGAATGTGGTATGCATTCTCCAAACTGCAAAGATGTGGGTCCTACTGTCAATTCCCAAGAATTGTATTTAGAAAACAAAGAAAGTTGTTCGAGTTTGAGCATAACAGATATACCAAACCATAACAGATTTCCTTTAACTGAGCAAGGTGTTTTTTTTAAAGAGACATTGGGTCTTTCTAATATCTATGCATATGCAAGATTATATGGTATTAATATCAGTAAACGAACGACAGCGCTTAATATTAGCTATTTTTTACAATTATTATCTCAAGATTTTTTATCACAAGATCCATTACCAGGAAATTTAGAGGACTCTTATGCTTTAAAAACCAAATGTGAAAAAATTCTTAGAAACAACTGTTCATCTTTTACTTATCTATTTTATGAGTTTAATTTAGAATGTCAAAAAGTTAATAATAATAAAATTTCAGAAACATGTAAAGAATTAGGAAAAAAAATGAAAGAAAATTGTCATAATTTAAAAGAAACTCTCATGAATAAAGTCTTTAATTATAATATTAGTATCATGCATTATGCAGCAATATCGTATATTTCTTGGAAACAATTGCAACATGACGCACTTACAGATCAGCAATGTTCAAATTTGCAATCAGAATGTTTTTATTTGGAACGAAGTTGTTATCATGTGCTTTATTTCTTATGTAGTAATTTGAGATCTTTGTGTTACAAGAAATCACGCGATGCTGTAGCAATTACTGTACTCAGTGATACACTTGGTGAAAGTCTTTATAAGATATTAAATAATAAGTTAAATAATAACTTATTAGATCACTGTATTGATTTGTTGTTAAAAAAATATCAGAATATAAATAAAAACAAAGACTTAATAAGAAAAATTTTATATCCAAAAGAAACATGTATAAAATTGATTAAAGATTTTAAGAACAAATGTCTAACTACTAAGAATAATTTAGAAAAAAGTACAATGAGTTTTTTGATTGCTTCAAAGGTAAATGTTTGTGAAACATTAGGGCTTCAGTGCAAACAATTAACTCAGGATTGTTATATTATTTTGAAGAATTCATGCGATGCGTTTCATAAACGTTGTAATCTTATAAAAGAGTCGAATGAATTAATACATTATATGCTTAAAATCAAGAATAATCCACTAAAGGATGAAGATATTTGCAAAAAGAAACTTAAAGAACTTTGTTTATCAAGAAATTTAAATGATAAACTAACTACTAATATTTGTAATAATAAAGCATGGGCATGCAGGATCATGGTAATGTATACTTATAATCATTGTCTTCATTTTGGGAACAATTTAGAAAAATGTAAGATTCTTCTTCTTTCAAATGAAGATAAAATAACTAAAGACGAATGCACTATATGGGAGACTTATTGTATTATGCTTAGAGGAAACTGTCCTAGTATTCTTGATAAAAAGTGTAGTACACTTAGAAATAGTTGTTCTCGCTTTAGTCAAATATCAGAGCCTACTTCTGTATCTATGTCTACACAATCTTCTTCAAGTTCAATATCAGACTCAAAACCTACTTCTGTACCTACAACTTTAGAATCTTCTTCGACATCTGTATTAGATTTAGAACCTACAGCTTCAGAATCTTCGACATCTGTATTAGATTTAGAACCTACAGCTTCAGAATCTTCGACATCTGCATCAGATTTAGAACCTACATTGGATTCAAAGTCCACATCATCCATGATAAGCAAACCTACTACCACAACTAGATCAAAGGATGATGATAAAGTTATTGGTAATCATGGAACACGATTGAATGGATTTCAAAAAAAATTATTTTGTTTCATTATATTTGTAATAATAAGAATATTGCCCATTATTTAAAAAGTCAAAAATCATTATTAAAATAATAATAATTGAAAAATTTATGTAAATTTGTGTAAAAATAATAATTAGATTTTAAAATTTATTAATTTTTCTAATAAATAGTTTTTAAAAACCGACTTTAATGTTAAAATAAAGCTCATATTAGTATAATGTTGAGCTGATAAATATGTTTTAATTTCTAAAATTTCATATTTTATAATTATTTTCTGTTAAACGTTATAGTTATTTTTAAATAGAAATAATGTAAATGATTATTTAATTATTTATAAAAAGCGTTTTTTAAATACTCTATAATTTTAAAAAATTACATAATGTTTTCAATGGATATAATTTTTAAATAAAATTAAAATTATTGTTTATAAAATATACAAAATAAATAATTCTTAAATTATAGTTATTTAGTCTTAACAGTTATCTTTTATTAAATATTACTTCTATTAGAAAATTACATTTATTTTTTATACATTTAAAGTTCCCCGAAATTACGATATATTATTCAATAAAAAATGTTTAAGTCTTATTTTTGTATATTTTTTGTATATGTATATAGATTTTTTAGTTTGTATCAACATTTATAAAATAATAAAAAAACACTCAACAAAGATTAAATACAACTTTAAAATATTTTAATATCATTTTATTATAATTGGTTGAAAAAATATTTTTTTAAAACTTAGTATTAATTATGAATAATTAATTACAAAAATACAAAAAAGTATTATTAAAATTGATTTTTGGTTTTAATACTTAAAAAGATTTGAATGATAAAAAAAATGTATATAAAGAAATTTGAAAAATATTCTAATGTATTAAAATATTATAATATTAAATATATAAATATAAAAAAACTATACAAAAAATTAGATAAAATTTTTAAAATTAACGCTAAGAAACATTAAATTTTAAAAGCTAAAATATGATATATATAGATCAAAACTTATAAATGTACAAGAAGATTTTAAATAATTACTATTTAAAGAAACAATAAAAATAATATTGAGACTCATAATTTCAACAAATTTATATAAAATTTTAATATGTAGAAAATTAGGTATTGTTAAAAAAATCTAATATAGCAAAAAAATCATTTTAATAATACCTAAAAATTTGAAAGAATATGATAATTAATTCTAATAAATTGAATGTAGAGAAGAAAGCTTATTAAAAAGTATATTAGCAAAAAAAATAAACTAAAAAATTTTTAAAAAAATTAATATAAAATACAAAAACCTTAAAATGGATTTCAATAATATATTTAAAGACAAAGATAAACAATTTATAAAGAATCTTTAAAGAACTTGAAGAGAAATATAAGATGAATATTACACTTTATCAAACTTATATTTTAATCTAATAAAATTTATAATTGCATTGGAGATGTTGCTCTTAAAAATATTTTGTACAAACGCAATAATTAACGGAATTCTGATTTTAAGTTAGCAATAAAAATCTATTTAGTAACATTAAGTTGAAGTTCTACATTTATTAATATTAATAAAAAAAGGGCAAATTTATCTAAAAATGAATATAAATGTTTTAAATATATAAAATTTTTAAAAGTTTATTTAATAACACAAATCGATTAAAAATATAAAAAGTGTAAGAAGTTAAACAAAGTTACTAAATTCTTAAAGATAAAATGAATGGTTTTTTTTTTATTACGATTACCGAAATTATTAGATATAAGCTTTTTATATTGTATAATAATACATAATAATAATAAATTCATATTGCTTAAATTATTTTTATTTAAAAAAAACTTTCCAAAAATACATGTAGGAATCTGAAAGGTAAAAAGTTTGATATATTAATGAATAAAATATTGTAAAATAAAACCTATGAATTATATAGTTCAACTTGAATATAATTTAAAAATTTTAATAAATGTTGATAAATGAACATCAAAAAAAATTTTTTTCAAACAATTATTTATTTATCTAATTGACAAAAATTATTAAATAATTCTGACTTATTTTGAAATAAGAATATTCTATTTATACAATGATTTTTTTAAAGATAAATTTTTCAAACAAAAATTTTAGAAAATTAAAAAATAAAATTGTTATTAAAACATATTTTATACTAAAAAAATTTTAGCTTTAATTTCATAAAATAAAATAAGGATTTTCATTTTATAATAAAAGTATTAAAAATGAAAACTCTGTAGAATTTTATTATTAGAAAAAATGTTTATATAATGATCAGCTAAACAAAATGTTAATAAAAAATGAAATAATAAATATAATTTATATATTTATATATTATTATATTAAGTTAGATCTTGGAAAAAAATATAAAGTTTAACAATTGAATTAATAAATAATAAAAAATTTAAATTGTGAAAGATGTAATAATATTTTAGCATATACAAATCTAATAAAAAAAAATCTCTATATTAAAATACAATAAATAAAGAAATGATATTATAAAAGTTTTACGATTTTCTACTTAAAATATAATGACAAATAATTTTTTAAAAAAATTTAAATTTATCAAAATATAAACGTAAATATATTAAAACACCTAATAATATTAAAAAATAATAGTTGTTTTTCTTTAATTTATTACCAACTATCTTTTATTGATATTTTTAAGAATTTCCTTTGCTTTTAAGTATAAATATTTTAAAATCTTGTTATTATAAATGAAAAACTATTGAATTTTTTTTTAAAATAACATATTCTTCAAAAATATTGACAAACATTGATATTTTATTTTATTATTGTCTTTAGTTTTTAAATTTATTTATGAAAAGTTTATTATATTGAATTCAATGAATATAAAAATTTTTAAAGTATATAAAAAGCTGAAAAATTTTTAATATTTTAGAAAAAATTTGATTTTGAGCTACAAATGATTAATATAAAATTTAAAAGAAAATGTTATAATAATTTAAAAAATATAGATTAATATTAAAAAACTTATATCCTAAATTACAAAAGCTTTATATAGTAAAAATAAAACAAAAATATTGCAGTTTCAAAATAAAACCATTAAAAAATCTAAGGTAAAAATTTTCTTAATGATATTAACACAAATTTTACAAATACAAGGTTTTATTCGTATGAACACGAATTATATTTATATATAATATATATTTTTTTAAAAATTTTTTAATTTTTAAATTACATATGATAATCTAACCAGTGTTGTAAAAAGATTAATCAAAATTTAGTACATAAAATTCTTCTAAAAACTCTTAATAAAAAATTAAAAACTCAAACTTCATGTGTAATAGAAATTAAGGAATTTCTTTTAATGTTAAATACAGAATGTTATTATTTAATATTGTTTATTTTAAAAAAACGTACATATAATATTTTTTAAGGAAAATAGAAATAGTTATAAAGCTCTTAAAGATATCAAAAATACAATTAAAAATATTCATATATCAAAAAGTACTCTTGCTCTCTATGTGAAAAATGTTATTTTCATTCACCAAACTGTGATAATCAGGACAAATAAAACTAGATAAATCTTAAAAATCTTAATGAAAGAAAAAAAAATTACATGTTTTCTTTTTCTTTCTATAATTTTTTAATTGAGTAGGGTTTTTATTTATAATACAAAGAAAATAAATTTTGAGAAATTTAGCGTAAAGATATTGATTTAGGGTATTTTGTTAGAAAATCTTTATTAACAAAGCTTTCTTATTTTTTATTATTTTCAATTTATTATGGAAAAATCAGTAAAAAGAATCAAACAATACTTAGAAATTTACTAATCCTCAAAAAAATTGTATTTCGTTCAAATACTTAACAAAAGAGTTGAATTAACAACATAATTAAGATGAAATATATGAGAAATTAAATAAGTTTTTAAAAGAATTTACATTTTTTAAATCAATTTTTTGAAACAAGAGACTTTCTAGCATAAATAATAATTTTAAATTCAAATTCTATTCCCAGAATAAACTATTAAGAACAATCTCTAAGTCTCTATAAATCTTGTTTTAAGATATTAGCATACAAGCTTACATTACAATAATAATTTTATTAATGCTTCTATGAATTTAAAGCAAATGTACTATAAGTCAGTATTTTATAAATTATCAAATAGAATATTTAAAAGGTTATTTGAATTATTTCATAATTTATATTTAAGTAGACTTAATAAATAAACAATTGACAAAAAATCTAGGATAATCAAGGACAATGATATAGATCTGTTTTATTTGGAACCAAATGAAGCATATATATGGCTTACAAAAAATGCTAAAAGAAATTATTATCAGCAATATATTTTAAATAAAAGGTGTTATTTATGGAAACAAAGCTTTCTCATTTTAAAGAATATAAAATTCTAACATGATATTTTAATAAGTTTAATGCCTTCTGTAACACACTAAAAGACTATTGTGTTTATTTAAAGAATGTAGAAGCAAAAAGATGCTTAATTAAGCAAAAATAAATATATTTTGATAAATATCACTAGCTCTAGCGTATTTGAATATAAAATATTTTTAGTTCAGAAGAAAAATGAATCCATTTAATCCTATGTGACTAATATATTAAGAATTATACGTTATTATAATTAAAATGCGTAAAACTACTGTTTTATATTCAAATAAAATAAGAAAAATTAAAAGTTCTAAATAATCGGAAAACAAAGGATAATGTTTGTCTTTTAAAAGATATTGTGATATATTTATAGGGAATTATTTTTTTTAGTTAAAGGAAAACAATAGTCACAGAAGTAACCTTTATCTCAGGCTCAAAAGAAGTTGTAAGATGTTTTGTAAGATAAAACTTTTAAAATTTTCATTTATAATATAAAAAATTACAAACAAGACAAGATTTGAAAAATAAAATTAATAAATTTGAAAAAATCAAACAAACTGAAAAGATTATTAATTATTTGAGTCTATTCTTAGCAATTCCTTAAATAATAAGCAAAAAGTAGAATTATTGTCGTCTTAGTATATACAGCAAAATTACAATTTATATTAAACTTATATATTAAAGATATTTTGGATATATATTTGTCACTGCAATAAAGGTTAATACTTAATTTGACACTTTTATTTATACGGTAGTATTTAAAAAGTAAGGTTTTATGTGATTATTTTACCTAAAAATATCTTTTTGAAAATAAACTTCTTAAATTTAAAGATTCATATAAGGAAATACTCAAGTATTGTGACTAGTTTATCTTTTCTAACACTTGCATTTTTAATAATAACGTTATTTTAATATCTATAAGAAATACTCAATCTATCTCTACTATAGTAACAATAATGTTGAATGAAAAAATAAAAATATCTAAATTAGAAATAATAAATATTATTATATGAAGTAATAAATGTCTTTTTTATAATTTAAAGATAATAGTAACTATATTAAGTTATAAAATAAAAAAACGAAATGTCTAAGGAAAAATATTTTCAAAAATATAAAGACTCAAGAAAAAATTTATAATAATATTTAAAAATATTTAACTTAAAAGTTTAGATATTCAATAAAAATGTGTTTAAAAAATATATTTAATATATCCTGTACGTATTTTGCAAAATAATAATAGCTAATTAAAAGAAAAAATAATTATTAAAGAAAATATAAAAAATTACTAAAAAAGAACTTTAGAACTAGAATAAAAAAATTATGCCTTTTAACTATAATAATAGTTTTTTAATTTTTTAATAATTTTTTTTTTTTTTAAATATTTTTATTTTTATGAGTCTTTTACAGATTATCTTTTTAAAGATAATTTACTAAATATTATAAAAATATAATATATATTTAATTATTTTTAAGAGTTTTATTTTTTAAAAATAATACTTTTAAATGTGACTAGTCAAGGTCCATTTTTTGTATATTACAATTAAATATTTATTTTTATTTGTAATAATTAGATAATTAATATAAAAGATTCCAAGGCAAATTAACTTTTATTCTTTAAACTCTTTAATAATTTTTTTTATATAAAGTACTTACTATATCAATAATTAAAAGCAAGATTTTTTAAATACTTCATAAAATAAACGTTAATCAATTTAGAAAATATATGTACTTTAATTTGAATTCATATTTTTTATATTAAAAATCATTAAAAATGAAATTATCTAAAGCTTTGTTCATTTTGTGATATATATAATTAAGAATAAAAAAGAACACAGAAATGTTAAAAGTAGTATTTGGTTTTAATTTTAAAGATTTTAAAAATAAATGTATAATATATATAAAATATAATAAAAATATTTAAAAGATAAAATTACAAAAAGATAAAGAAATCATGTTCTAATAAATTTAATAAAATCTTTTAAAAAGTAAAAAAAACTGTTTAATAGAGACAAGAAATTCTTAATATACTTACATTCTTATGTATCTTCCGTGTATTCATTGAACACACCTTGTATATCCCTTTTACACAAACTTGCATACCCTTCATACACATTTTACATCCTCATGTGCATCCTATGTATGTGCCTTGTATACCCCATGGGGTAGATGTTCGGAAAATGAATATATAAAATAGTTATATTTTTAAAAAACGTATGCTTAAAAAATAAAAAAGTGTACAATTTTTAAAAATTTACACATTAATAGTATCAAAATATTTGAAATTATCTTTAAACTCACAAGAAAATGTTTAAATAATAATAAAAATGATTATAAAAAACAATAAAAAATACTAAAGAAATTAAAAAAGAAAAATGGAGAAATAAAAAAATTTTAAAAAAATATTGTTGAAAATTATTAATATTAAAAAAAGTTCAAAGAAAAAAAAAAGCATAGTTGATCAGATACAGGCATGTATCACGTGACATCTGGAATAAGGCAACATATTCTCTAGCATTCGATAAGTCTCTATGAAGCAATTAAAAATATAAATTGAGACAATATTTAAGAATGTATTACATATACAGGATTTTAATGAAAGTAATGAAAATATAATAAATATGATACATACTAGATATCTTAATATCATAGTATAAAAATAGGTATTATATAATTGTAAGTATATAATATGTATTTCAATTTAAGAGTTTAGTCTAATTTTACTATTGTATTAAAGCTTAATTAGTTTTTGAACAAATCTTGGTTTTATTACTAGGTTTGTAAATTCTGATAATTTTTCAATTAAATACAAAATTAAAACATATAAAAAAGTAGAAGTATTAAGATTTAGATCAATATGAGTTTATATTAAAAAACATGAATTATAGGATCTATCATTTAGAAAAATAAATAATTTGGAACTAAGTGCTTTTTATTAAAAAGACTATTTTGTGTAAAAATTTAAATTAATTCATAAATACAAAGTAATAAATTTATTAGATATCTGAAAATACATAATAATGTTCAAAAATTACTATTATTTATTTATTTATTTATTATTTATTATTTTTTTTTAGAGGTCATTGCGTATATTTATGTCAAAAAAATAGTTTTATTTTATTAATAAGATTTTTCTATTTTAATCTATGAAAGTCTTTGCATTTTGCATCTTTAGCATAACATACGTCCTTTCGAAAAACATGAATACAGGTAATTTTTTTTTTATAATTTTTTCTAATTTTTTTTAGAATTTACTAGTGAAAAAATTTCAGATTTATTAAAAGAAATAAGGTATGAAAAATTTCAATTAGCATTGCATATGAAATATTAATAAAATTTGAATTGTAGTGAAACAGAGTTTTATTCATCTTTTATCAAAGGTAATATTCATAATGAGTTTTAATTATTATTTATAACACTGTATTAAGAAGTTTATTATGTATACAATAATTTGAATAGTTTGAGTCATAAATTAACTAGTATTTGTGATGAAGAGAGTAAAATTGATTGTCAGAAGATTTTAGAAAAAATTCAAAGGGATTCCCAAAATTTAGTATTAACAGCAACACATATGATTAAAAGAGATCCATTGGAAATGGCAGTGCCTGATGAAGAACATCTTTATGCTTTAATCTTAAAAGAAAGTGTCAACGATGAAAAAGAATGCGAAAAAAAGCTCGAAGCGTATTGTAACAATTTACAAGAAATGGATCCGAGCCTGAATAACGTAGATCTAAAATTAAAAAAGATCTGCAATGATAACGGAAAAGATAAAAAATGTAAGGAATTAAAGAAAAGTCTTGATAAAAAAGCTAAAATGCTAAAAAAAAACATTAAGGTATCAAGCAAACCAATAACATATTATAAATGTAATAAATATCATCGACAATGTTTATTTTTGGAAGATGCATTTTCACATAGGCTTAATATTACTTGTACTGATTTGAGAAATAACTGTTATCAAAAAAAACGAGATGATTTTGCAAGAAAAATTCTTTTAAAAACACTCATGGGAAGTTTTGGAAATAATAATGAGTCTGAAGAAAAACTTAAAAAGTCCTGCTCAATTTTAAGTGAAGAAACTGATGAACTAATGCATTTTTGTCTTAATCAAAAGGAGACCAATAAAAAACTTATAGAAATAGTTAAAGATGATTGTGAAAATCTTAAAAAGATAAATGAGACAATATTAAAAAACCTCGATATTACAACATGTTATTTATTATGCAATCAATGTTATCTTCATCAATCAAATTGTGTTGCAAAAGAAGTAAAAGAAAAATGTGACCAAGTTAAAAAGAAATGTGAAGAACGAGGATTTGAATGTAAACTTTCAGATTATTCTTTTGATCCAATCAGTTCAAGGCCAACATTGCAAAAGATTATAGGTCTGGAAGAATCTTATGAACTAGCAGAATATAATGGGGTTCTTATTGGAAAACCACATATAAAAGAATTACTTTATTTATTCTTATTATTAGTTGTAGATGAAGATTTGAAAGACGCAGATAAAGATTATAGATGTGAAGAAGCATTAAAATTGAGATGTAGCTTTTTAGTTGAAATGAGGAAAGATTTAAAAGATATTTGCGAAAACGAAAATCATAAAAGACTAAAATGTAATAAAACAATGAATTTTTCAGAAAAATGTACTAATTTAAAAAAAAAAATATTCGATAAACATCTTTCTACTACTGATGATACTACTCCATCGAAGTTGTTTACTTGGAGACAATTGTCAATTTTACCTACAAAGGAGGAACTTATATATTTGTTATCAGAATGCTATTATTTGGCTGAACATTGCCTAAAAAATCTTGATATAGCATGTAAAAATGTGAAAAGTGCGTCTTACAAAAAAGGACTTGATGCAAAAACAAATAATTTGTTAGAAGAAGAAATGCGTGGTATGCTTCATAATTTGACTCAAGATAATGGTAAGAATCTTAAAAAATGTCAAGAAGCATTATTGCAAACATGTAAAAAATATAATAAAAATGAAGAACTTTTTATTCTTTGCATGGATCCAAAAGAAACTTGTTTAATGCTTGAAAACGATATAAAAGTAAAAGTAGATGATTTGCATCGAGTTTTAAATAAAATAAGGGATACACCGAGTAAACGTGATTGTACTAAATTTCTAGTATTATGCAAAAAACTAAGGAATGATTCGAATTCAATACATAAACCATGTTCTACATTAGAAGAACGTTGTACTTTTCTAGAAAATGTAGAACAACTAAAACATCATTTCTTGGAAAAAGAAAAAGATTTTTTCTCAAACAAGGAACAATGTATAAAGAGTTTAAAAGAAGAATGTCTTAAATTATTTAGAAAGGAAAAGAATCCATTTAATTATTCATGTGTTTTTCTTGAGGAATCATGTGATATATTGGTTTCTAATGTGATAGATCATTGTACTTCACTTAAAGAAAATATGGAAACTTGGAATGTAATTGATAAAATAAATAATGATACAGAGAAGGAGAATATTTGTCTATTATGGATGCCATATTGTGATAAGCTTACACCAAATTGTCAGAATTTAATAAAAAATAATAATAATAAAAATGGGATTTGTTTACAATTAAAAGATAAATGCAAGTTATTCTTTGAAAAAAGAAGAATGGAAGAGGCAATAACATATCAGTTGAGGGGTAGTTTGTCTACACGTGATGAATGTAAGAAGGCTCTTGATGAGTATTGTCAACGTTCAAAAAATACTAACAATGCTACAACTTCTGGTTTATGCAAAAACATCACTACTAATGCGAATGGTTATCAGGTTAAAGAAGATTTTTGCGCAAGAATTGTTGCTCGTGTACTTGAACAATGTCCGGGATTATTAAAAAAAATTACAAAAGCAGATAACTTAGGAAAAGAACGAGAAGAATTTGAAAAAATCAAAAAAGATGCAGAAAAAGCAACGAAAAATGCTAAAGTTATTTTGTCAAAAATTAAATCAATAAACAATGAATTAATGGAAAAAATTACACTTAAATTATCTAGTAAAAAAACAAACACAGTAATGAAATCTAAGTTTCTAAAAAAAGAAAATATAGATACATATGTGACAGAAAAAGAAGTAATAGCGTTTAGATTAGTAGCACGCGTATTTTATCTATATATAGATTTAAAAGAGAAATGTCGTCATTTTCTAAAAGAATGTGCGTTTAAAAAAGAATGTAAATATCAAGATAAATGTGAAAAAATAGGAAATGCGTGTAAAGGACTAAAACCTTTTGATATTGCATCACATCAGGTAAAGACAGTAACAGAAAACATAACTATTACAAAAAATATATCAACTACACAAGAAAAAACGAAAAGTAAGGAAAATACAACAAAAGAAAAGGGATGTAAAACGGTTTATACGAAAGAAACATGGGTTACACGTACATTTATACATACAAACATTTCAACACGAATATCTATTGTAACATCTACAGTCACATTAACTTCAAATAGAAAATGTAGACCTACAAAATGTATAAAGGGCACTGGAGATAAAGGAGATAAAACGAGAGAAGTGGAGCCAAGTATAATACCAAGTAATAGCTTAAAAATAAGTGGATGGAGTATTGCAAAAAATATTATGATAACAATAATTATCTTAACTGTAACTTAAAGAATCGATAAACGGAGTTTAAAACATATTATATTCAATAGATGAGTAAAAAGACAAGTAAAATAAAACAAAGAATACCAAAATCAATGTAGTCTTTTTTGGGTTAATTTTTATATATTTTACATAAAATCATCTCATTTTTATCTGGTTATTTAGTATTTATTATTTATATTTTTTATAATATATTTATTTTAAATCGCTATCAAATTTACAAGAAATTTATTTGTATTTAATTTTACACGTTCCTAAATAGTATTCAAAACAGTTCAATTATAAGGTAACGAAATACTATTTAAAATTTTTGATTTAAAAAATGTATTTCTTTAAATTATCTTGTTATAATTAAAAGTCAAATTATTGATTGTTAAATTATTTTTGATTCCATTGTTTTTATTCATTATTTGAGATAGGAACTTGATTTTTTAAAAAAATATAATATTAAAATATATTCTTAAACATTTTATTATCATTCAACTTTTTGTTTAATTTTAAAAAATAGATTAAAATTCTAATGTTAATTTTTTTTGAAATACTATTAATAAAATTTTAAAATTAAGAACTAGCAAAAAATAACTATGTTGGGGAATTAAAAACTATTTATAATTTAAATGAGCAATTAAAAATTAAAAAAATACAAAAAAAGTTCTAAAAACTTAAGAATTTATTTTCTAAAATTAAGAGAAAATAATAATAATTTAATTAAAATAAAACCAATTATAACCAAAATATAAAATTATCTTGCTTATATTAAAAGATAGTATTTAATTAATATTTACAAATAATTTAAAGTTCTATTTTTTGATTGAATATAAAATTTATAAGAATTACTATTTTAACTAAGATTATATGAATATGGGGAAAAATAATTTTCTTTTTTTTAAAATATTTTTATATAAATTTTTCTGTAAAAAATATTTAATATTGCAATTGCATTTAAATATTTTTAAAACCCAAATAAAAATTATGATATTATAAATAATTTTATTTTTTATAAATTAAACAGGTCTATAAATAATGTTTTAAACTTTTAAAATAACAAAATTTATATAAGTTTTTAAAAATCTTTAAATATATTTATAGTAAACAAAATATTTACTTTCACATATTTAAACATTTATTTTTTAAGTTCTAGAAATACTTCTATTATTTATACAATCTTTTTGGAAAATTAATTTTAAAATAATAAATAATTATAATGACTTTTTTTATTTTATATAAATATTAATTTTATAATTTATTACGCATTCCCAAGTAAATTATTATATATTTCTATTTATTAATATCATAGATAATTTAGAATTAATAATTAGATTTGATTTTAAAAAAATTTAACATAAAATTTAAGTATTAATTTTCATTTTTTCAATCTTTTTGTAAATTTTATCGAAAAAAATATTAAATATTAAAAATATTATTATAAATTGTATAAATTACAAATTAGACTAAAAAATAACTAAAAGACTAACGATAAATAAATTTCAAAGTCTCAAATTTAAATTTTATCTTATAAAATATAATAAATTTTAATAAAAAAAAAATATCTAATAAATAAATTCATTAATAATAATACAAAAATATCTAAAATCCCTATCCTTAACTTTTTTTAATTTAATATTGATAATATTTCTTCTTGAATGTTTATCCAAGGAAAATTTGATTTGTAGTTAGAATATAACTTAACTTTGAATTATTATTATAGATATCAAAATATTGCAACTATTTTAAAATTTAGTGAAAATCTATAAAAATCATATAAAATCTTTCAATAAATAGGAAAGTTCTTTATATTTTTTATTAAGAGTATATTACAAAGTATTTTTATAAATAGCTTATATATCTGTTATTATAGTCATGTTAATTTTACAACTAAAATTATATAAATATAACAATTATTTTGAATTAGATAAATCCTAAATATTTTATACCATCATAAAATTTTATGTTTTATGTTATTTAATTATAATTTTATATTATATGCTTTGATGTTTTTAATTGAAACTAAAATTAAAATTATAGTCAAAATTTTTATTATTTATAAAGTTAATATATTTCAAAAAAAATAAGTATAATTTGAAATATTTATTTAATTATATTTACAATTAATTTTTAATCAGACATTTTTATAGATTTAAATTTTAAAACTCAACTACATTATATAGAAAATAATTCAATAAGTATTCAATATGTAGCCATTTAGTAATATTTTCTTTCAATTAATTATAAAATTATTATACAAATTTCCTAATTATAACTAAATTACAGAATATTTTCAGAAAATCCTAAAAATATTTAAAAATAAAATATAAAAATCAAATATTAACTTTTTTGATCAAATTTATTAATATTCATTTGTTATTTTTCAAAAATATTATGATTCATTTAAATATAACTATTTTCTATAAATTTTTACATCACATAATCCTAAACTTTACTAAATATAATTGAAAATTTTCTATATTTAAATATTCTAAATAATTATCTCCTGAAACTCTATTTTTTAAAATATTTATATCATAAAAAAATAAAGTTATTTTATTAAATTTAATAAATATAAACTAGTTTTATATTTTTCATTAAAGATCTACTATCAAAAAAAGAACCTAAAATAATTTTGATATTAATAAAAATTATTAGAATTTTATTAAAAACTTCAAGATAAAATTAATAATATATAAAAACAATGAAATCAATATTTCGATCATAATAACAATGATTATACTTTATAATAAAACTATAAAAAATCATCAGAAAAAAATTATTAATTAATATTAAATACTTTTATAGAACATTTAGTAAATAAATTTTTAATAAATATTTAAATAATTAAATAAAAAATCCTATTTTTAATTAAAAACTTAAAACTTAAACATTATAATCATGAATTAATTTAAAATTAAATTATATTTTGAATTTTATCAATAACTTTACGCTTAACTGAATTAATTCAAATATAAATCTAAATATAAATTTTATATCAACTATATTTTCCAAAATACTCTTTTTTAAAAAACTTTTATTTCTAGGAAAAAATTATAAAATTTATTTTTAACCTTAAAATATGCTTTTAGCAGTTTTTACAAGTGATAAAACATTCTGAAATATTTAAAAATCAAAATTATTATTAATTATAAAATTAGAACTAATATTAAAAAATGCAAATTAAAACTTAAACAATTCATTATTTATCACAGAATTTACATAGAATCCTGAAATTAACAAAAGAAAATACAACACTTAATTTCAGTATGAAAACATGGCTCTAACATTTTACATGAAATAAAAATACATTAACGAAAACTCAAACTCAAACCACACACCACAACACAACCCACCCACTTTCGTCGGCTACAGCTTGGCGCGGGCGGTGGCGCGGGCGGTTAAGCGGCGGGCTGCACAAGGAGCAGGAACAAATGATGAGGAAGAAGTGCGTCTCTTGGCTTTGATTGCAAAAGAAAACTATAAAAATACTGATCAATGCAAAGACAAAGTGGAAAAATATTGCAAAACGTTAACAGATGCAGGATTAAATCCAGAAAAGGTTCACGAAAAATTAAAAGATTTCTGTAATAACGGGAAACAAAATAAAAAATGTCAAGATTTACAAACCAAAGTTACGGGGAAATGCACATCTTTTCAACAAAAACTAAAAACTGCTTTAACAAATCCATCAGATGATAATTGTAAAGAAAATGAACAACAATGCTTATTTTTGGAGGGAGCGTGTCCAAAAGAGCTTAAAGACGATTGCAATACTTTGAGAAATAAGTGCTATCAAAAGAAGCGTGATAAAGTGGCGGAAGAAGCTCTTTTAAGAGCGCTCAGTAATGATCTTGAAAATGAGACTAAATGTAAAGAGAAAGTTAAAAATGTTTGTTTTGCATTAGCTGAAGAAAGTGATGAGTTAATGCAAAAGTGTTTCAATACAGACTCTCTATGCACATCTCTAGTAGCATTAGCAAGAGAAAAGTGTGAATCTCTGAAGACAATGATAAAAAATGTGCTAACTATTGATGGGGAGTTGCAAAAGAAAGGGCATTCTTTACTTGAGAAATGCTACTTTTATGGACCAAGCTGTAAAGGTAGTAAATGTGGTGATTTGAAGGAAAAATGCAAGAAAGAAGAAATCATTTATCTACCTCCAGACTCTGATTTTGATCCTACAAGGCCAGAGGCTACGCTAGCAGAAAAAATAGGTCTAGAAAAGCTTTATAAGGAAACAGTAACACAAGGAGTTGTAATTGAAAGAGCACCAGAAAGAGATATTGTTGATCTATTAGTGTTTCTGTCAGAGAGCAAGCCTTTTAATGAAGCTCAATGCAAGGAAGTACTCACTAATAAATGTGATTCTATTCAATATCTAGCAAAAGATTTAAAAGATTTATGTAAAGATAAAAATAATTATACAGATAAATGTAAAGAATTTAAAAATGAGTTTGAAGAAATAAAGCTCGCTTTGACTGCAAAATTTAAAATCAGACAATTTAAAGATGAGATTGCATTATGGGATGAATTACCAAGTCTCCTTACTGAAAATGACTGCACAAGATTACAATCAGACTGTTTTTATTTTGAAAATCAACAGTCTTTCGAGAAACAATGTAAGAATGTTAAGGCAGCGTGCTATAAAAGAGGGCTCTATGCATTAGCAAACCAAGCATTACAGGACAAGCTGCGAGGAAAGTTTTATGATACAAATGACCCATTGTTTAGAAAGCTTCAAAAAGAGTTAGTAAAGGAATGTGCGAATCTGAAAGGAGAGAGTGACGAGTTATTTGTATTGTGTGTACAACCAACAGAAGCAATTTTTATATTATTAAACGATTTGCGTATAAAAACGGAATTATTACACGAAGATTTGAACGAAAAACGGGATTTTCCTACCAAGCAGGATTGCTGGGAATTACAAAAGAAATGCGATAATCTAAAACAAGACTTTAAAGGACTTGAATGGCCCTGTCATACGCTGGAGCATCATTGTAATAGACTAAATGTTGTAGGACAATTAGAAGAGAGGCTATTGGAAGGAAAAATAAAAGATTTAAAAAATAAAACCGTCTGTAAAGAGAATGTCGAAGAACAATGCAATCATTGGGTTAAAAAAAGGAAAATACAGTTTGCTCTTGGATGTGTAGCACAGAATGCTACTTGCAAGATCATCACAGAAAGCGTAGACTCTAAATGCATTGCATTGAAAGAAAATATGAATACTCTAAAAGTTGTAGACAGAGCAGAAAAAAAACAAGAAAGAGAATCAACCTGTAATTTTTGGGAACCGTATTGTGACAAATTCATGTTTAGCTGCGATAACTTAATAGCTAATGGTAATGGAGAGTGTGAGAAACTTAAAAAGAATTGCGAGTCATACAGAGAAAGATATAACCTGGAAACACAAGTTATGTACGAGTTTAGAGGAAAGCTTAAGAAAAAAAAGAACTGTAGAACAACTCTTGATCAATATTGTACACAGTGGAGTAAGACAAAAAACAGTACACTGGAAAGTCTATGTACTGACAAGGGTGGCAATAATGATACAATTAGGGATGATTTATGTAAAAAACTAGTGAAACGAGTAGAGGCAAGATGTGCAGAATTGTTTACGAAATTGAAGACAGCGAAAGAAGAGATAAAAATAAAAGTAGAAGAAGTCAAAAAATTGAATAAAGAAGCAAAAAAAGCATCAGAAGATGCAAAACTTGTTTTATCATCATTAAAGAAAAATGAAGTGAATTCAGAGAAAAACGCAAGTAACAATCAAAATAAACCAGTAGGAGGAGCAAATACGACACAAAAGACACAAGTCAGACTTGTTCGGAGAGGAACAGTCGAAGTACTTGTCACCGAGGCAGAAGTTGAAGCCTTCGATGCAGTATCAAGAGCACTGGAGGCGTATGTGGAAGTCAATGAAGAATGTAAAGTTTTGAAATTAGAATGTGGGTTTAAAGAAGAATGCCCAACATTAAAAAATGCATGCAGTGAAATTGAGAAGGCATGCAACGAATTGAAGTCATTGGAAGTGAAACCATACGAAGTAGAAACAACGACAACAACCACCACGACCACAACCACCACTACAACAACAAAGACAGAGGGAGAAGGAAAGGCAACAGACTGCCAGTCTCTACAGACGACAGACACATGGGTCACAAAGACGTCGACTCATACCAGCACATCTACGACTACGTCCACAGTCACATCAAGAATAACGTTGACCTCGACGAGGCGGTGTAAGCCTACGAAGTGTACGACAGGAGAGGAAGATGAAGCAGGAGAGGTGAAGCCGAGTGAGGGGCTGAGGATGAGTGGGTGGAGTGTGATGAGGGGGGTGCTAGTGGCGATGATGATTTCATTCATGATTTAAAAAGCAAATGGGCAGGATTTAATAATGGACATGTATATTTACTAGATGAATGAAGATAGGGCAGGAAAGAGTAGATATGATCTCTTCAGCATCAATTGAAAGTGCATTATAACCAAAAAAACGTGTTCCTTATCTAGTTGTCCCCTATTATTTGCCTGAATAGCTTTTATTTTTCGTTTATCTCCTTTTATAATCTACTTTTTATCTATTCAAATTTTACGATTACCCCACATTTACCCCACACAAATTTAAAATATCGTGAAAGCAGCCAATTACACGTTAAAGAAAGCGGACACCTCTTAAATATATTTGCACACATAATGCCTGCCTATCACAGTTATCTCAGTTTTTACTTGAACACCCTTAAAATTAATTAGAAATAATTTAATATTCGAATTTGAAGACATGACTCTAATATCGCATGCAACTAAAACACATTAGTGGAAACTCAAACTCAAACCACACGCCACAGCTCAACCCACCCCCGTCAGGCACAGCTTGGCGCGGGCGGTGGCGCGGGCGGTTAAGCGGCGGGCTGCATCTCCACAGGGAACGCAAGATGATGAAGTAAATCTTTTAGCTTTGATTGTAAAAAAAAAATATAATGCAGCCCAAGAATGCAAAGCAGAACTAGATAACTACTGTAATGATTTAAAAAAAGTAGAATCAAATTTAGACAAAGTTCATCCAATCTTAAAAGGATTATGTGAGAAAACAGAAGAAAAGTGTAATAATTTGAAAGAAGAAATTACTAAAAAATGTACAATACATAAGACTGCATTAGATCCAGTAGTGAAAAAAACACTTTTGGAAGATAATGACTGTACGAATGAAAATGTATGCATGTTTTTAGAGGGAGCGTGTTCAGATGATCTTAAAAAAAATTGCTATGAATTAAGAGAAAAATGCAAAGAAAAAAAACGAAGTAAAATAAACGAAGAAATTCTTTTAAGAGCATTTAGTGGGAATTTGAAAACTGAACAAGATTGCAATAAAGTTATCAATGAAAAATGTCTTTTACTGATGAAAGAAAGTGATGAACTTATGTCTTTTTGTTTAACAAAGCAAGAAAAATGTAAAGAATTAAAAGAAACAGCAAAAAAAAAATGTGATGAGTTGAAAAAAGATACGAAAAAAATTATTGATAACAACAGCACATCAAAAGAAGAATGTGCATTACAACTTAAGAGATGCCACTTTTATGGACCAAACTGTGATAAACTTCAGGATCAATGTAAAGAAATAAAAAAAAAATGCGAGGAAAAGATAAAATATATACCGCCGGGCTCAAAAATTGATCCAATAAAACAAGAAGCTACTTTGGTAGAAAAGATAGAAAAAGAAGATTTATTTAAAGGAAATGTTGGAAGACCAGAAACAAAGGATTCAATTGATCTATTAGCGTTAATAGCAAGTGAAGACTTAAAAAAATGTCAAGACAAACTTAAAAATGGAAAAGAATTTTACGAAAATATACCTCAGCTGAAAAGTTTCTATCAAAAAAATAAAGAACTAAGTACAGAAGGAAAAGAAGCATGTGAGAAGTTAGAAGAAAAGGTAAAACTTAGATGCAAGACATTAAAATCGGAATTACATGGAATATCATTATCAGATACTAATAATGAAAGCAAAGATGCTGCTCCACTAGAATGGGATGAGCAATCCACAGAACTTGATGAAAAATTTTGCATAAGTTTGGAGTCGGAATGTTTTTATTTACAAAAACCTTGCGAAAAATTGAACATTAAACTTGGTAATGCATGCAAAAATGCAAGATCAGCATGTTTGAAAACACAAAAATTTAGAGAAGCATATGAATATTTCCAAGAGAGTTTTGAAAAGCCATTGCCTAATTTAATAAAGAATAATGGAATTAAAAAATGCGAAAGTCATCTGATAGATCTATGTAAAAAAATAACAAGCATTAACGGAGTAATAGTAGAGCTCTGTTTATACCCAAAAAGCACATGCATAGCGCTTGGAAATAATATCAGAGAACAAGGTGTTCATTTGGTAAGAGTTTTGGACTTAAAACGAGATTTTCCAAGTCACGAAAACTGTAAAGAGCTAGAAAAGAAATGTGAATATTTACAGAATAATTTAGAAGAGATTGAGTGGCCATGTCGTACACTAAACCAGCACTGTGATCGATTAAGAAATACAGAGCAATTGGAAGATAAGTTACTAGAAAAAAAGATAAAAGATTTAAAAAATGAAACAATTTGTAAAAAAAATGTTAAAGAACAATGTAATGATTGGATTAAGAAAAGGAAAACACAGTTTATTCTTGCATGTATAACACAGAATACTACTTGTAAAATTATCACAGAAAGCCTCTTTTTTAAATGTACAGCATTAGGGAAAAATATAGAAACACTGAAAATTGTTGAAAAAGCAAATAAGGAAAAAAAAAGAGAATCAACTTGTAACCTTTGGGAACCGTATTGTGACAAATTTATGACTAGCTGCAATAATCTAACAAATGCTGGTAATGGAGTGTGTGAGAAACTTAAGAAGGAATGTAAACCATACCGGGAGAGATATAATCTAGAAATGGAAGTTATGTATGAGTTTAAAGGGAAGCTTAGGAGTAAATGTAAAGAGACTCTTGACCAGTATTGCACACAATGGACTAAGAAAAAAAATAGCACATTGGAGAATCTTTGTAATGGTAATAGTGGTAGTAAGAGTGATACTGTTAGGACCGAACTATGCGAAAAATTATTAAAACTGTTGGAAAAAAAATGCGCAGAATTGTCTACAAAATTACAAGCAAAATCAACAATAATAAAAGAGAAAGTGAAAGAAGTTAATGATTTAAATGAAGTAGCAAAAAAAGCATCAGAAGGTGCAAAACTTGTTCTATCATCGTTAAAGAAAAATGAAGTGAATTCAGGGAAAAATGCGAATAGTGATCAAAGTAAATCAGTAGGAGGAGCAAATACGACTCAAAAGACGCAAGCCAGACTTGTTCGGAGAGGAACAGTTGAAGTACTTGTCACAGAGGCAGAAGTTGAAGCCTTCGATGCAGTATCAAGAGCACTGGAGGCGTATGTGGAAGTCAATGAAGAATGTAAAGTTTTGAAATTAGAATGTGGGTTTAAAGAAGAGTGCCCGACATTACAAGATGCATGCAGTAAAATTGAGAAGGCATGCAACGAATTAAAGTCATTGGAAGTGAAACCATACGAAATAGAAACAACGACGACAACCACCACAACCACAACCACCACTACAACAACAAAGACAGAGGGAGAAGGAAAGGCAACAGACTGCCAGTCTCTGCAGACGACAGATACGTGGGTCACAAAGACGTCGACCCATACTAGCACATCCACAACTACGTCTACGGTCACATCGAGAATAACGTTGACTTCGACGAGGCGGTGTAAGCCTACGAAGTGTACGACAGGAGAGGAAGATGATGCAGGAGAGGTGAAGCCGAGTGAGGGGTTGAGGATGAGTGGGTGGAGTGTGATGAGGGGGGTGTTGGTGGCAATGATGATTTCATTCATGATTTAGATGTAAAATGGGAATGGGATATAAGAGCAGCATGTATATTTACTAAATGAATGAGGATAGGGCAGGAAAGAGTAGAGTATGATCTCTTCAGCATCAATTGAAAGTGCATTACACATAAAGTAGCGTGTTCCCTGTGCAAATAGCCTGTACCCCTCGGCTGAGTGGCCGCTGTTTGTTGTGCCATGTCGTTATCAGCGCATTCAGCGCCTACCCCGGATTTACCCCACATGGAGTCGAGGTGAGATGCAGTGATGGAGAGATGATGGGATAGAACAATGGGGGGAGGGGGGGTTGATGAGTGGAGTTGGTGTTTGCAAGCGTTGATAAAAGCGTTGAGAGAGGCGTTGACAGAAGCGTTAACAGAGACGTTGACAGAGGCGTTGACAGAGGCGTTGACAGAGGCGTAGATATAAGAATTGATAGAAATTAGTGTTTAGAAAGATTTCCATAGTGTATTTAAGCATTGCTATATAATGAGATCAAGATTGAAATAAAAAAAAAGAAATGTTTAGAGATCAAGATGAGCTGTAGAGAGTGAGCTCGGGTGCCATTGGAAAAAATGAATGAAAAGGAAAGATGTTGAGAGGAGTAAGATAGAGTATGTAGTTGAAATGAAAGAAGCGGTTTAAGGTGGGGGAAGATGAATTTTTTTGAAAAAGCAAAAGTAGGTGATAAGCTGGGAGGGGGAAAAGTGAGTGGATAAAAAAAAAGAAAAAAACAAGAGAGAAGCGTTTAGAGGAGTAGAAAGAGTGTTTAGAGTGAAGGTGAGGCGTAGTGAAGGTGTTTTT